GGCGAGGTATTATAAGACGGCGTATTACCCCTTGGGCAAGATCGAATCTCGCTTGCTAGTCTCGGGACAAACTGGACCAGACAAGACGAAAAAAATCACAAATGGTGTGCAAGGTCGACAGCCAGATGGGGGAGAGAAAGAAGAAATGCCAAAATCCCAGGCTGTCTCACCGAGAAAGGCGATTATATTTAACAGATCCTCCCCGAGGCGAAGCAGAGGGCCGTTGCTGCCTTCGCGCGACGACTCGGAAGGGTACTGCGCGAAAAGCCACCCCTCCCCCTCCCCCCTCCTCCTGGCCTGGCCCCCCGGGCCTACCCAACTGCCCACACCTTCTCCGTACCCTCCTACCTTAGTTAAAGTGGAACATGGAACAGGAAGGGGAGGAGGGACGACGGGAGGGGCACTGGGGCACTGGGGCACTGGGGCAGGGAGGGAGAGGCACGGAACGAACGAGAAACAGTGGAGTGGAAGTCAAGAAGGTATCGGTACTGATTCCTCCCCGGCCGCATGCGCAATCGAGTCATAATTCTAGGCAGACCGCGCCGACGGCCGACCAGAGCCTCACGAGGAGACAAAACGGAGGTGCGCCCATGTAGGGGTACCTACCTCCTGCTCAGGTTATTACGTCGGCGCAGAGACCGCAGCAATGGAACGCAAGCAAGCCCTCCATCCTCTCTCTACTGTGCCTGCCCAGGTCAGGTCTTGCTAGGTTGTCCTTCAGAATCGGGAGACCGAGCAGTACAACAACGGGCGCGCGAAGGGGAGGGAGTGTGGGAATGAGGTCCCCTGTGCCTGGGAAACCAGACGCCAAACGGTGGCAGTGCAGCGCACCCCGCTGCAATTGAGGGCCAGCCGGACGTCTGGCTTTCACCAAGGCGTTTTGGACAAGCACCGCCAAGCCTTCCCTCCGTGTGTCGGGCTCATCATCCACCTCTCCCATGGCCTGCTTTCACCGAATTTTTTTTTGGCCTTTTGCCTGAAAATTCGGGGCAAAATTGGAATTTGGTGGGTCGCCAACCAAGGCACGAGTGGGAAAGCGGGATGTCGTCCGGCCAGCAGCGAGACCACCACCCACCCAAATCAGCCAATTGTCACCTGTTTGAGCATGTGGTTGCGCCTGCAATACGTTCAAAGCACTACGCTCTATCCGATGAGCGTTTCGTCTAGTTACTATCAGGGCCAGTGAGGCATGCGCGATCCCAAGGCAGGGGGCCCGTTATTGGCGGCGGGACGGCGAATGATCAGTCGGAGACGTGGGCGAGTTTATTCCTGGCGGCGATCGGCGTCTGTTGTTGGCACGCCGGCGCTTTGGTGCTGGCTGCCCTAGGTGAGTCACCGGAGGGGGGTCGACAGTCATGACTGAGGTGACCGTTTTCCAATTTCATGCGTTCAATGCAGGCCTTTCAGGATACATTTTTGGCTTTTTGTTTCGGATGGTCGCACCCATACCTAAGGGAGACAAGCGCCATGGCGCCTATCATGGCATATAGCTCCCTGCCCGCTAGCGGTTTTTTTCCGTTTTGCAGTCTTTCGGCGACGAGATTCTTCGAGAAGCAACCTGGCAAGGCTGAGGTCCTAAGTCGAAGGACACTACGGGAAATCGTCTCCACTTGGCGGCGGCCGCTTGTGCGAACATCAATCGACACTCCACAACCTCCACAATGCATTCACCCCACCAAGCAATCCACGCCATGGCTGAAGAATATCGTCAAGAAACACCTGAAAGCCTTGACAAAGGCTCACGGGCAGTCCATGTTGCACCGCTCCTCGTGTAATGGTTGACGTGGTTTGCGCTTACGTTTCTCGTCCCGGGTCGTCAGATGAAATCAGCAAGGCCACGAGCAGAGTTCAGCTGGTCTCATTGCACGATTTGTAATTCGCGTCTTCCGTTTCGTGGCCCTTATTTGCGAATCGCGAAGGAACTCGCGGCGCGCACCCGTTGTTGCGGCAGTGTTGTTGCCGCTGTGTCGTTGCAACAGTGGCTGATTGGCACCATTTTCTCGAATGGCGCGCAGAAGGTGCTGTTTCAATGACTCTAATTGCATCGATCGCGACGACGATGCAAGTCATAGCTTCCCTGGCCCGAGGTACATGGCATATGTGCGTTCCTCCGCCGTGCCAGCGCCGTCATGCATCAGATTTCGCCCATTCAGGTGGCTCCAAGAGAAAGGCAATGACGCATTGCCCAGTTGCACGACCAGATGGAAATTGGGGGGGGTCTTGCCAGTTGGTGCGCGGCGGAGCCAACAAACAATGAAGTTTGGAGTTCTGCCCAGCTGTGCGTATTGCATTCGCGCATCCGCGCTGTCGGGTGGAGACAGTTAGGGGACTGTATGGAAAGCTCCGTCTGGGGAAGAGCCACAGATGGGATTATGATCTTGAAAAAGATAAAAGATGTTAGAAACGGGAGTAAACGGCCCCATATGCTCGGACGCCGAGCGGCGACCCAATGGACGGCAGCGTTTTCCAGAAATTCCTAATAAAAGCTTCGCCATGTGCCGTGGCGGCCCGATTGAAACAGGCTCATGGAACGGTTCTCTGTGGCGTTTCCGATCGTTAGACCCTGGGCACATTGTTGGAAATTTGAAGTGTCGGACGGAGTGCCGAGGGAGGGTCAGGGGGGAGGGCCAGGGAGGGAAGGAACGAGACGTCGCCGCCGCACTCCATAGTTGGGGACAGGCGCGCAATTGCGTCCGCATTCGCGTGCCGGCAGCACCATTTCACGTGTGCGGAGAGGCGGACAGAGTTAGTGCTAGCCTGATGCAGAGAGCTGCCCATTCAGGCATCAGACTCGATATTGTGGCCGTTCTCTTGATAGAGCTCCTCAGCGAAAAGGTGTAAGATATCCGCTAGCGCGCAATCAACAGCAAAATTAATTGAACATTGTGCGTCTGGCTGTGTATGCTTGATAGCTAGCTGCCCTCTTCCGTTGCGTGTCCTAGTTTCGGAGGAGCCAGTCACAATGCCGCCCGGTATTCCGTTGCTGGGGGAAATCGCACTAGCAGTCCAAGTCATCTGTGGTTGAATCCGGCTGTTTCCCGGACCAACATGGAGGCACGATAGCGTCGACGAGGCACGACCTCCCCCTGGCCCTCGTCGTGCGATTCCATCGGCGACATCTCATCTCATCTCATCTCTCCTTTCTCCGATCGGACGGCGCAAATATTACGCGGGCACAGGAAAGGTGTGTATGTACAGTCCGTCAACTGCAATCAGGCCGATTGCCTCCTGAACATGGGACGGGAAGGATCAACACGATCGAGTCACTTAGCAGAGAAAAGGTGGGCACAAAACAAACCACAAATCCGAGACAAACACTACTACTATTCAACCGTATATACGCGGACAGGTATTTTGCTTCCGAGTCCGGACCGTGGGGTCGGTCATTCAGTAGGCAGTTGACTGCCATGCTGCGCAGCTGCGCAGTCCGTGGACACGGCAGCCACCAAATCAACGTGTATGTACACATACAAACCTGCCTTACGGACGGGCTTACTAAGTTACTTGGAGTTCCCCTCCCCGCATCGCATCAATGGCTTCCAATTATCTTCCGATCCCGGAAGTCCAGGCCTTTCCCGGTAGTGGAGGCGAACTCTTGGACCACACACTCACACACACACCTAGGTGGGTTGTGACGTTGCTGCCGTGGAGAACCGTACATAACACACCACGCCAGAGAGGGTTTTTTCAGTCGCTGCCTATGACTGACCCCTCTCCGGCATATCCAAACCCGGAAAGTTGGGACAACAGTGCTTTGCGAATCCTCTCGGAGAACCTAGGCCCACAATGTCGTCAATGTCGTCTACGCTGCTACCCTCATCGATGTCGCGTGATGCTACAGGACAACGCCCTCCGCCTGGCGGGACACAATGACATGGCGCCGGGACCGAAAGTCGCCTCGCCAGGCATTGCGGTAGCTACCCCGACGGAATACCTAGGTAGGCCACCTGAGGCCCGGCTGCTGCCTGTGCGACTCACCTAGGTGAGCGTATACACACACATGACATGTTTGAACAACGGTCAGCCTGCCGAGGCTCGTTTCGAGGCAGTAACTCCTCGTGTAAATGTAAATACCTAGGTAGGTTGATTGGCGAGAAGGTGGGACGGGATTTTAGATTATTAATGTTTTGAGCCGCTACGCCGCCGGACCCGATGGCCGTCTCAAAAGAGGGTGCAGCCACGTCACCCCACGAAAAGAAACAAGAATAACCCACAAGCAGCCAAGCCATCTCACTGTTTTATTCCATCAAGGTTGAGAAATTCAATTTCCAAATTAGCAGAAAATCTCTCAATTTTGTTCTCTTTCACCCGTTCAGCAGGTTTGCTGGGCGGTTTTCCCTTTCGGGTCTTTGCAACAATGCCACTAGCAGTGGCCCAGGCACTTACATAATCACTGTACGTACGCCATTCCACCGTAAATACCTTACCGCAGCTACTTGACAAGGGGCCAAGCTCGTAACTTTTCAAGGCCACTTCGTTTTAATCCTTAAATTATGTATTAGAGTATTATAAAGACCTTGTAAACCTCGTCTTATACCCTTGAAGTCGATAGCAAAAGAAGCCATAGACAGGGAATCTTACAGGGTTTTGTAAGTAGTGCATGTACTGAGCAAACTATCCGTATTTTACCGTGGAATGGTGTAAAACGAAGCAGCCACGCTAAGCCACACGAAGCCACACCTCATCGACGTTTGTCAGAGCACAGTGCTTCCAAACGACATGCCAAAAGGTCGCACTGAGAAGCCTGCGAGGTTTAAGATTGGGACGAGCAAGGCTCAAGCCGACCTCTGGGTCATCTTGCCGCCGCGGTTGAGACTTGCAAAATGCAATCGTCTTTGCGCCATTGTTTCCAGTCTCTCCTTGCAGTGATTCGGGTCTCAAAACATAGCCTCTTCTGGGGTGGGATTATTAACCACTAGCAATTTGCTTCGATGTATCAGACGTGATAAATGCTCGCGCGCTCGTGCTTTATCTAATCCATTTGCATCGGACGCAACACCATGTCCCTACTCGCTCGCTCAAATATCTCTACCGCGAAAACTTTCTTGCCAAGAACCATGTTGTCTCTGGCTCCAGGGCACGTTCTCCAAGGCACTCGTTGGGACTACCGCATCTTGGAGGGCGTAAAAGGTGATGATAGGACGCACGCATCCACCATCTTTAAAGCCTACACCAGAACACAAAAAAACTCCGCAATTGGTACGTTTGGCTGCACTATATGTCTCCAAGTTCTCAGGCTAACCTGGCCTTCTAGGGCTATCGTCAAAGCAGCTTCGCCTAACGACGAAATCGCTAAGGAGAACCTGGACCGTGGATGTCGGACCTATGGCCTTCCTGGTGTTTCTTCAGCCGCATGCTTCCGGCAACTGTACGACGTAATCGACAATAGCACCATCGCCTTGGAATGGCTGGACACCACTCTTGCACAGGCGAAATACCAACCTGGCGCAAAAACCTACGTTCTCATCGATGAGGTCCTCAGGTCAGCGTTGACCAGTTGTGAGATTCTAGACCACCAACAATACGTAAATACAGGTATAGTACCGAGTCTGTAAATGCAACCAGGAAAGTTTGGCGTCCGCTAAGTAATCTAGGCTATAAACCCGCTAATATCCTACTTTCCACACCCAAAAGTGGCCGTGTTATTGCAATAGTGGGAGACTTGGGGCTTGGTAAGTAAACCTCGAGGTACATATGACAGATGTTTTATCCCTAATACTAACATTGCAGCTTTTGCGTCCGGCGATCGTATCAATGTCCAACCATTTGCCATGCGCGCCCCTGAAGTATTTCTAGGCCAGGCCTGCACTGAGCTAGCACAAGTCTGGGTAGTTGGCGCCATGTTACTTTGCTGGATTAATCCTGCGTCCTGGGCGTGTCGGACAGTCCTCGTCCTCTCATCAACGAGTCCTGGTCAATGGCCAAGGTCAAGCGGCTCTTCCCTGACTGGAATATTCCGGCACCTGGGGAGGTGAAGGGCTACTCGCTCCAAGATGCCGTTGAGTCTGCCAGATTCTTCAGCGAAGAGATAGAAGAGCTGCAAGCAATCTTACCTTTCGAAACGGAGACCCAAAAGGTAGAGATGCTGGAGCAGCTGAGGGATCTTCTCCGCCTCATGCTGGTACCTAACCCGAAGCAAAGGCCCACTGCGTCGTCTGTGCTGGACACACACACAAACACACAATACTCACTCTATCCAAGCTCAGGAGTATAAACGCCAGGCGGAAGCAAGAAAGGCCAAAGGGTGGGACATGTTCCCAAAGAGTGCGTCTAAACAGAGAGCAAGAAGTTCTCACTAGCTAACTGCGCCCTACAGCAAGCCAATGGCAGTTGATCAGAAACAATGCAAGTCTAGACAAACAAGGCAGTAGTAGCACCTAAGCTAGGTACATACTTTCCGTAAACCACGTCTCAGAAACCCGACACCCCTGGCACATGACTGGCTACCAGTATCAATAGGGAAAAAAGAAGAGAAGGGTGGGAGGCAACACTCCATACTAAGTACCTACCTATTTCCAGCCACGGCATACATACCGCATGGCGCACACGCACTGTGCGACACGCATCGCATCGTACAGTACGTACCTCCGGACGGACCTGTTAACAATCCGTACGCTACTCTGCGCCGCAATCGACAGTCCGACGGACGTGACTCTCGCACTCACACGCCTCCCTCGGACTGTTTTTATGTAGTATACGCACGCACATATACGCAGCGCACATTGGTGCGAAAATCTTGCCTGAACGTACCTAGGTATCCTAGACGCCATTTTCTGGCATTGCCATCCAGCATCGCAGCCAGGTTTTTTTTTTTCGCCTCCTGGTTTTTGTAGACAGACGGGAAGTAGGTATGTAGTGCAGTAGAGAGAGATAGCAAACATGGATTGAATAAAAACAAAAAAACACAAGACTATTACAAGTCTCCGCCCCGATGGAATAAGCCCCTCCCTAGTAACCCCATCCCAAAGACCCAGATAACCTACCGTGTAGCACAAAGCGACCACTTTATTCTAAAAGTATTCCGTTCCCCTAGATAGATTGTACACGAATAGAAATGATTAAAACATCGAAACACAAAAAAAGCGGGTATGCAAGTCCACCTCCGGAAGCCTAGGTAACAATAAACTACAAGCCAGCGGGTGCCAAGAGCGAGAAGAAGAAACCCCCCTAACCCCAAAGTGCGGTATTGCTGCGGCAAACAAAGAAGCCTGAAACATTGTTTCCGATAGGGAGCAATCTCTAGAGACAAACCCGTAAGCTGACGAAGGGGGCAATGGACTGGTGGGCGCGTTGCCATACCTCTTGGTCATCCGCACACTGGTTCCTTCCCACATGCCGCCATGAAAACCCCTGAATTAATGGCGCCTGCAGGGAAAAAAAAAAAAAAAAAAAAAAAAGACCCCTGAACTCCCATTCCCTTTCGAAGAAGAAACGGGGCAAAGTCGAAGACAAATGATGGTGATAAACATATTCCGGCGCTAGACAGACAGGCCGCCAGGCTAGACGCTTTACTAGCCGCGCCGACGGCGTATGCGTGCCTCGATCTCGAGCTGGCGTGAGAGGAGCTCGTTCTCGGCCGTCAGGCGGCGGTTGGACTCGGCGTGCACGTCGAGGTTCCGGCCTAGCAGCTGGTAGCGGCGGTCCAGGTCTTCGTAGCGGCGGTCGAGATCATCGTAACGGTGGCGCCAGTCACCGACTTCCTTGGTGAGGGACTCGATGCGGGCCTTGAGGATGCTGACCCGGCCGTCGACTGCGTCCTTGAGCTGGCGGGTGAGCTCGCGGACGCGGATCTTGAGGCTGCTGTTCTCGTTCTCCAGCTTACTGTTCTTCCTCCGGAGCTCGCGCACTTTGGTGTCGACATCTGCGGTGCTGTCGAGGGACCGCCGGAGCTCGTTGTTCTGGCGCTGCAGCTGCTGGACCCAGATGCGGTGCTGCTTGAGGTCTCCCTCCTTATCGCGGAGCTCTGCCTTGAGAAGGTGGTTCTCGCGGTAGAGGGCATCCCGTGAGGTATGCATGGTGGCCATGGGGACGGTGTCCACGTCGTCTTGGACTATGTAGACGCGCTCGTCACTCGTGGAACGGCGATGGAGGCGAGGGCTTTTTGTGCGCAGTATAAAGTCGGGACTGCTGGTACGGGTGGTTTCGATAAAGACTCGGTGGCCGTGGCTCGGCATGCGGACGTGTGGCTCTCTGTCTGGTGCTTGAAGGGTTGGGGGTAAGATGGGACAGTGGTGGACAGATGAAGGCCCAAGTATGATGTTATACCGGGAGGCAAAGGGGTTATAAGGCTGACAGGCCAGACGGAGACGGGCTAGTTGCTGCGGATGCAAGTAATGACTGCAGTGTGGGGAGCGAATGATGAATGAGACGGGGGCAGTAGCTCGAGCGAGCCGGGCGACGCTTGCTTAAAAGGAAGTAGGTCGGGGGCCAGGCACGGCCTTGGATGAGGCTACATGGTTTGTCACGGGGAAGAACAAAAGAGAGCTTGGGTAGGGTAGGTAGGTGGGAGGCATCTGGGCAGGCATTTGTCAAGGTGAGGAAAGGAGGGTGTGGCCGAGCACGGTGTGTGGGCAATGAATGGGCCGGGCCACGAAGCACTCCTCAACTTCCCAAGACAGGACAACCTAAGCAGCAACAGCATGGCCACACCAGCAACCCAAGCAGGCCGACTTGAACTTGTGGGACACACGAGACAGGTGTGGCTCCACCTAATAGACCAAGACGCCGAAGAGAGAGATGAATCACCCGCCATCAAGCATTGACGGTACTGCTTCGAAGCCAGCAGCAACCCGCAGAAGTGGAAACGCGGCCGCCATAGTGGCAGACTGGCAGACTGGCAGGCTGGCAGGCTGGCAGGCTGGCAGGCTTGCAGAGCAGAATGAACCAAAACCAATAGGCTGACCGAAATGCGCAACGCTTGTTGCCCATTCGCCCATCTACACAGCACACGCGTAGTACAGTATGTATCGTACAGTCCAGAACACTAGATCTGGAACTGGCTCTTTGCATTATCTTGATGCCTGGCATGGCCCTGTCGGCACTAGCTGTCGCGATCAGCACCGCCGACGCGCATTAGTTCTGGTGATCTACGCCGGCGAAGCAGGTAGCCCAAAGAGGTCCAAGTCCAGGTTCAGGACATGGTCCACCATGGTCCACCTATAGGTAGTCCCGGTCCAAGAAGACATTGCGTCACAGACTTGAACTCTGGGATCGAGGTCAGACTGGGAGGTCCAGAGGAATATTGAAGAACCGGGCGGAGTAGACGGCGAGCAGGATTGGGACTGGGAATGGAACTGGGACTGGAGATGGGGAATGGAACTGGGACTGGACATAGGGATTAATGGAGTGGAATAAGTGAGTGTCAAAGTAACGGGAGTTAGTTGACGTACGAAGGCCCCCGGGTGTCCACTACCCAGGCCATCGCGGCGGCATGGACACAGTAGGAATGTACTGGTTAAACTTTGGTTGCATTGTCAGGGAACATGTAGTATGGGTATGGTCATGATACAAAAAAACAAAAAAAAGGGCGAGACGCCGCTTAAGGTTTAGATGTTGGGCCGTGGTTCGTTCCTCCAAGACAAGAGGCTGAAGCGACGGCGGGAGATGGGCCTGTCGTTGCCCGTGCGCTTGTGGTGAGAATCGAAAATCGAAATAAGCGCTGGTCGGGGCCGCTAGGCGTTTTGCGTGAGCCTGTGAGGTCACCACCCGACTTCGCCAGCCATGGGCAGGTGGACAGATGAGTGGTGAGTGGTGAGTGGCCAAACAATCGCCGGCCAGGGTGGGCAGGGGCGCTGCGTTCCCGTTGGCTAACGTAGACCGCCGGCCCGTTGCTAGCAGGCTGTTAGTTAGAGCCGACGGGTGCTCTATCCGTACCCTTCCACTGCCCGCTTCTTTGCTAAGCAAGTCCTTGGCCGGCGCCCTCCCAACGTCAGGACGTTGCACCGCCCCGTGGCTCGTGCAACACCTATTGTGGATACCCAATTCCTTCAGCCTTTCGTCCACTTCAACCTTCAATGGGACCCTGAACCCTCAGCCTTCCAATGCCCGCCCAACTGGTATGGAAGGTACGAAGGGTGATAGCATGACGCTACGGGCGGTTGGATTGGACATTTTTGTCTAACCGTCTTCTTCCGGATTGTCTTCCCGATGTCGTACGCTGTATGTGCGGTCCTGCAATTTTGGCAATGGCAATGGCAATGGCAAAGACAACCTCGTCAGCTCAAAGTTTCTGAACTGTACGTCCGGAGTAAGTCGCCTCCCCTTTCACAGCCACCATTCTCTCCGTGTAAATTTGGAAGGCGTTTTTTCCTTCTTCGTCTGGCGCGCGCCGGAAAGCAAGGCAGTCCCCGAGTTTCATTTAGTGGTGTGAAGTCCACGCAATCCTCAAGGCTGGACTGTCAGCCGCATGTGCAGAGGATCAAGTCCAAAAGGCTGAAGTCGCATCGCATCGCATCGCATCTCATCTCATCTCATCGCATCGCATCGCTTTGTGTCGCTTCGGTCGCGACTTCGCGAGGCCGTAAGGTCGTAAGGCCACAATGCCGCAAGGCTATGGAACTGGGCCTCTTTCTGCGCCATTGGCTGTTTCCGTCAACGGTTTGCATCATCCCCATGCAATTCTGACCAAGAGGAGAATTTCCGTGCCGTGGCCGCACTTTGGCAGGCATGACATAAGGCCCAAACAAGGCTTCTCGAAGAGGCGTTTTCTGCGTGGTTCCTCACAGCCGCAAATATATGCCCACAGGATGCACCCGCCCCTTATTGCCCTCAGCTAAGCAGGGGCCTGTTCGTAAGAGCATTAAGTGAGGCCGCCCCCCACACCATCCGTCCCCGGAACCTGACTTACCCCTCACCACCTTGACAACGTTGCTCCTTTAGTCTGTATACACACGGAAAATGTAGGGTAGGTAAGGTACTCACTGAAATGGATACCCTGACCAAGCAAGCTTTGCTAACCGAATCCAACCTCAGTCACATGCGGCGCGCGTCTTTGTCTGCAGCAATGGAAGCCTTTCGGTGCCATGGTTTGGCATTTCAGCACTCGGTGCTTTGCCGCCCTTCCCGAGTTGGATAACCCAAGTCGGCGATTAGCAAGTCGTCGGCGGGCATGGGAGGATAGGACAAGCCAACGGCGGACGAGGCTGGCGCCACATCGAGACCAAAATCACGGATACAGCCCTCGACCTCGGCATCGCCGTTAGGCTTGACGACACGCCAAGACTCCCCCTTGACTAGACTCTGGCTTTGTGAAGAACCGCCTAGTCTACTTCCACGCTCGACCTCAGACCAAACCGCTACCCCCCTCCGTCGCCGTTTCTCGCTATTTCAGCCTCGGTGCGGCGGGCGTGGGACCTTGCGCGCCCCATGCTGACGCCTCGGGGTTGGCCCCTCAGCGACATACCGGAGCTATCGGTGACCTGACTTGGCCGGGTCGTAAACCAAGAAGTCTGCCAGGCGAGCGGCCGCCCGCGTGCAGATTTGTATATCGTTCCCGATCCGCAAGAAGGGCCCGTGGAGCCCTGCCTGTCGTCCGCAATGGTCCGAAGCAGCCTCTGATGTTTCAGGATGCTATAGGCATTGGTGGGGAACCTGCGGGTTAGTCTTGCTGCCTTGTCGGTTACTAAGCGTTCGCGACTCCAGATTCCATGCCCTAGAACATCTCTCTGCTGAACATTGCCCACGGCAGCCAAGGACTGGTCCCTCTGACTCGCCAGTCGTGCGGCAGGGAGTACTATATTGCACTGTGCTGCTGCAGTATGAGCTATTCCTCGACAGTGCGGCACTTGACCGGCGTGGAATCTGTAGGAGAGGGGGCCCCACCCCCTTCCTATCTCTCCCCGTCTCTATGGGATAGACAGGCGTCAAAGGCAACGGGAACGGCCTCTTCCCCTCATGTCAGACTCTGACTGGGGGCCAAGATGTGCCAGAGTCGCGAGCGTCTCGCCCATACCTTGCTCTGGTTGCCTTTTTGCCTCGAGATACCACCCCACACCAGCGGAATGGCCAGGTTTGGCTGTCTCTGCCGCTTCCTTGCTGGGTCGACCAGGGCACACCGAGACCGGTGGAGTAGGAAATCAGGCAGATGTCTGGTCGTGATCAGGAGTTGGTGGGCGTCGTCCGAGGATTGGGCGAGCGTCGTGTGTCGACACTCCTCCCGGCCAGTGTCTCTCCGCATCTCTCTGATTCGGCTAGAGCCTCTGGATCCATGGCTCTCGTCACAACGGCAGATGTACCAGTACGCCATCCCTTGGCCCGTTCTTCTCGTGAACCGTTTGTGTATCGGTCTCGTGAACCGTTTGCGTATCTGGGGTCGCTGCATCTTTTTCGGCTTTTCTTCTAGGCTCACCCCTTTTCGAGGTGTCCATTGCTCCGAGGAACGGGGCAAGCCGGATTTGGGAACTCTGTTTGCCGTGCAACGTGCCATGCTTCAGGGCGGGTGGGGTGTTGTAGCTGCGACTTCCGGTGAGGCTCGGGGATGAAATCCAAGGCCGCTCATTGTGTTGATGTGTCCATGCCCGGGACCAAGAATGAAGCAGTGACTGCCTCTAGTAATTGGGGGGGAAACAGACTTCGGAGAGACTACTGTGCACATCTACCGGGATCGAACGCCTTTCCTATATACTCACGGACGGTACCATTACTCGGACCTGGAGCCGACTGAGGTAAGTCCAGAGGGTGATCGCAGCTGCGAAAGTCGAGCGTGCTGGCTGGAAAATAGTGCGTGATTCGCTCGCGGCTTCCCCGTCTCACCTCTGGAACTCCTCCACCACTAGCCCTGGCACCCCATTGGTCGGTTTTCGAAACCCACCTCGCTCTCACTGGGCTGCCTCTTTAACAACTGGCAACGGAGACTCAGCCGGGTACGATTCCGCCGGCTTAGGATAGATGTTGATCTGCTCGAGTTGCTTTACTTTCCATGTTGTCTAAACTTTTAACGATGATGTGGAGAGCCTGAATGAGAATAGCCGGCTAATGGCGTGCGATCTGGCGTGCAAATTTTGACAGACCACACACCGCTGTCTCAAATAAACATAAGCCCATACTAAATATTTTCTCATCATTCTCGATTTGAGATTCATCTCATCATGTCCGTGCTGACTGTTTAGGTATTCAGTTGGATAAATACTCATAATCTCTTCAACGCCGACAGGGTCTCAGCGGGAATCATCGCCAGCACGTATGTAAGGTATTCGTAGGTATTACGTACGGGGCTGCAAATGTGGCCCGTGCATATGTACAGACATATGCTTGGTTTTCCCAATGAAGGAACGAGGCGGGAAGCCCCAGACGCCAAGTGAGTACAAACGCGCTTGAGCTAGTACAGACCGTACAATATACATGCAACACCAGCAATGCACTCGCTGGCGCAGGGCCTTCACTGTATAACCTTCCATGTTATGCACCTCAGTTGAGACGCGGGCTGCTCTTTGGCCTATGAGTTTATGGAAGGCGGCTGGAAAATACAGGGCACCAAGACAAGGCGACCAAATCATTCCTTACGTGCCAATCACGCTCGTTGGCAAATGAATGGTCCTTGGACCAGAGCAAACCTTTTTGTAACCTCGCGCCGGGCAGCGGCCCATTCTTGTCGGCCAACCTGACCCAAGTATGCGTACATACAAATCCCTCCTTCACGCACCACCGCCATGAACGGCGGCGTTTCCAAGGCGCAGACGCGCCAGTTTCATCGAAAGCTATCCAACGCCTCGGAAGGAAAGCTTGGAAACTCCCTGAGTACAGGACTGAGCTTCAGAGAACAGCCTCCAGAGCAAGGAGATATTGCACGAGACACACCCGTGTACAAGAAAAGGCAGCGCGGCGCGTCTTCCGTGGTCGACCGACTGACTGGGACGGACACGCAACGGCCTGGAGCTGAGGACGAGAAAGTACTGTACACCTCATCCCCTGACCTCAAGCTCAACGGGCCAAGGCAGGTCTCTCCAGCCACGCAGTTGCGGGAACGGCAGATCGGCAGCGATGGTGACCGCGAAGACAACGGACGTCAGATCAAGCGGGCGCGGTTGACACGGAAAAACTTGGCCCTGTTCGACAAGATGGGGAAGAAGAAGGGACCCAATAAGGCGTCGGCGTCTGCTCCGCCAGAATCCACGAGTGAGTCGATAGCAACGAAGACCGCCTCGACAACGTCGTCTGGCTTCGCTATTCAGGTCTATAAGAATGGCATCCTTGAACCGCGATACTCCAAGCCGCCCACCAATCTCAAGGAAATCCACGAACGGCATGCAAGATCCCGTAAAACTGCTACCACATTTGGCTGGGGAATGGAAGGGTTCCGATGGAAGTATGAAAGAAGCGATGCTACGGAGTGGTTATAACGGGGCGGCTCTTGTCTACACCAGGAATCAGCCCTGTCAGTCATCGGGAAATCTGACCCCTGGCCCATGCAGAAGTCAGGACTTTTACCACAGACGGCACTAGTCTCAACTTCTACACGCACTATGCCGTCCCGTCGGAGGACGGGACCATCAAATACCACCAGTATCAGTACGCATCGACAAACGTGAAGAATACTCACCAGGGACATAAAGACGGCCGAAGACAGCTCAGGAACGAACAGCAACACGTAAGGGAGCAGTCGTATGCCCTAAAGGATCAATTAAAGGAGCACGGGAAGCAGCGTCGCAGTGCCCTCGGACCCATCTCCGACGAGCCTCCCCTGCTCGTTTCAGACATGGAGCCGCTGGTTGCGACAAATACGTACGGAGATGAAGACGAAAATGAAGCCGACTACGAGATGGTCGAGCAGCCCTATCAGCCCACGCCCCCGGCGTCGTCTAGACCAGAATATCAACCCAACCATGGCAAAGAGTCAAGCTCCCACTCTACCTCGCCGAGGTCGCTGCCACCCGGGAATGACGGCGATTGCGGCGGTGGTGGCGGCAACAGTGCCCAGAAACGAAAGGCCTCATTACCGCAAGGATCCTCCCACGAGTCCTCCAGGCAACGGTTCAAGGAATAGAGCTATTGGGAGCGGGACTCTGGGAGTGGACGTTACTTCCACAAACATTCCGATGGTAAAACTGCCTGGCTTGATCAAGGGTGACGATTGATGTTTTTTGCTTTTTGAAGGAAGGATGAATTTCCTTCGTCTCAAATCGGTTCCATGCAATATAACGACGTACTTGGGCGAATAACAGCTGAATTGCGTCCCATTGTGGCTTTGCAGCAGTCCAAGAAACCCCCCCCCCCCCCCCCACAGGAAAAAATCTTGCAACGGATTCCTGGATGCATCTGCCTGCCCGCGGTTGTGTTGTTCAGGTCCGACTCAAGAGCTTACAGAGGGTGTATCATATATCATGATTCAAGACGTGGCGGTGAGGCCAGGCCATTTGGCCGTGGAAAGAGCCACCCGCCTGCATATTGTCAGCGAAGTGCCCAATGGCTCCTTCCACGGCCAAAGACAAAAAGATCGTGTAAGAAAATACACTATTTTTCTTTTTCGGGAACATCTGGAGCTTGTCCGTTGCGTGCGTTCTTAAAACCCCCGGGCTACACCCAATGTAGCTGTGCAGGTGTGCTCTCAGACAGCTGGGCAGAAGGCCGCTGGGCAGTGAGTGGGTGGCTGTGCAGCTGTATAAGGCGTCCAGGCTCCGGTTCAACACCTGGGCCGAACGAGGCTCGCGTCACTCGTCGCTGGAGCCATCTGGGTTCATCGAGGATTGACACTTTGCTTGTCCATGAGCTACATCACTACCCAAGGTACTTGCCGTCGGTCGCGCACCAGAGAATGGAATTGCCTGGTCCAAGCAGCCGTCACCGCTATCGACGATCGAGCGAATGGGCCTAACGACAGTCCACAAGTCAGACAAACCCGTGGTAGAGTAAGTATCTTATTGCCGAAAACAATGCAAGATTCTTTGCCTCGATATTTCCAGGTTACGTATCCACCGGCGCTGAGTGTTTTACAGTAGCATTGTCTTCGTGCACGGATTTAATGGCCACCCGGAGCGAATATGGACGCACAAGCGAAGCAATGACGATCCTCGGTCTCGCTCCGGGGATCTCGAAACCGTTAAACGCCCCTCCAAATTCCGAAAGCTCAACCCATTCAGACAACCTACAAAACAAGACGGGAATTCCAGCAGAAACAAAGAAGTCTACTAGCCTCGAGATCTGCTTCCCGAGACTGTTAACAGGGCCCGTGTCCTGACATTCGGATACAACGCCTCCGTGCGCCACAGGTCCGAAGGGTCAAGGGATCATAATACCGTCTATGGGTTTGCCTGGGAGCTACTCTGTTGTCTAGGCGATGCCCGCGAGCAGGAGGGGGCAACCCATAGGCCGCTGCTCTTCGTTGCTCATGGCCTGGGCGGAATCATCGCCAAAGAAGCCTTGCGATAGGCCGAAGTAAAATGTACCAGTCCGTCCAACGCGCACCTCGGCAGCATATCCTCGTCTACTATCGGCATCGTCTTCTTCGGTACGCCCCACCGGGGAGCCGATCCAAGGGGGCCCCTTCACCATGTCGCCGAGAAGGCCATCCATGCTGCGGGATGGACCGCAGACAAAAAGGTCGTCGAGACCCTCCTGCCCAACTCGGAACGTCTGAAACTTTGCGACGAGTTGGTTTTAACCAGCTTGTTTTCATTAATACCTTTGATGAAGTGAGCTGGTATGCGACGGCGGAGATCATCAACAATGCGTCCGCGAGGCGATTTCTCGCAGATGCTTCAAATCGCCGCCCTCATCTGTTATCACAATAACTAAAAAAGTGTCCGGTAGAATATCGCGTTCTTCGTTCTACTACTATTCCGAAATATCAAATGCCCCTCCCAAGCATCTCAGTTTCTGGTAGGATGAATGTGCGCTTGTTAGGGGTTGTGGTGGCTACCAACGAACACGCATATTGAGCCCAAATCGGCTTTCAGACTTTTGATTCGAAGAAGGCTAGTCTATGTAACTCATCAGACACAAGGACAGACTTATAGTGCTTATGAGAGATACTATGGTTGTATGTTACTACGCACTCGCTCATTCCTCAATATCAATGTACCTCATCTGATCAATTTGAATTCTTCGCGCCCTCACTGACCACAGTTTCACGACTAGCTAAACCCAAGTAGCTAGCGAAATGAAAATGATTTTATTCTAGTTACACTTTTACGAAACAAAATATAAATAGTCTATGCAATAGATTATTTCCAAGCATTGCTTCCTTAGCTATTCGGCTGTTCTTCTGATTCCCTTCAGACTGACTCCCGACCCCAACTGAGCTATATTCAGAGCTTATCTTGAATCCATCTTAATAGGAGCATTTACGAGATTTTACTAATTGTACAATACCCTTTACAAGGTAGGCAGGCTATAATCTAAGCAGAAAATTTTGACAGCCAAAACAAATCCTCTCATCATACATACCACTAATAAAAGGGAGAGGACGAGGCCCTCACGCCTGTCCACTGTGGAACCTTGATAACTTCCTTCCAAGACGGCGGTTTCGACGCATCGAACTGCTCCATCAAGATAACCATGTCACATAGCCCGTATTTCCTAGCTAGGCCAAGCGGCAACAGCAACCTGCCAGAGGCGCAAGGATCGACCTTTCCCGTGAGAAGAAGCCGAGTGATTTCCCAGAGCGGTCGACAGTTTTTGGAAACAGCAGATTTCGACCGCGGGCCTCAACGGTGTCGAGTCGCGGCAGACGAGATCGAGCTCGATCATTTCCGAACCAAGGATAACATTAACTAACGTGGGGTTCCCGGATCGGACCGCTTGCATCAACACAGTCCGGCCTGACCGGTCTCGCGTTTGGGTCGGTGTCTATCTGCAAGACAAGCCACATGGCAATGGCTATGGCGACATCGTCGGCCACCATCGCACACCAAAACAGTATGGTCCTGCCGCTATTATCTCGCGCCCCTAGGCCAACCCTCGAGCTTGTGATGATTTGCTGAAACGAGAATAAGCTGCGTAGCTTCACCGCCAGGACCAGAGCGGCTTCCCCACGCCGGGTGCGTGCCATGGGATCCGCGCCAGCTGAGAGCAGCAATTTTACATCTTCCTTTCGCTCCTTTTGAATTGCCCAGCGGAGTGCAGTCATTCCGCCCTCCATTGTAAATATTTATTCAACATCTACGTCCTCGATGCCCTTAGAAACATAGCCCAGATTAACAAAATATGCCTCCCGGGCTTCCTTCTTTACTAAACAAAAGCGCATGGCCTTCATTTCCGAATCCTCCCACTGTTGTTGAGCTTTTTTCGGCCACCTCCGGAGAAAGCAGGGCATACCAGTCTTCGTTGAATATTTTCATCGCCTTTTCAAGCCACTCGCCAGCAATAGGCTCTTGCGCGAAGGTTGACGCGATAACCTGTATACATTCAAGTAATACGTCACCCTGACTCTTTCTTTTCTTCCTTTTCGGGTGTGATGAGGATGAGGACCGCTTCTGACCGTTACGTACATATGCAGGTACAGGGAGTTCCTCCTCATCTTCGTCAGAGATCACCAACGTAGGGTCTATACGGACCCTATCAGCAGTTAACAGTTGCTCAAGCTTTAGAGCTGCATTCCCGCTGGCCCCGCGATCGTCTTGGAAGACCTGCTCCATTGGTTCACGGCGGGAGAGTCCTGTACCGGAATTGGTAGACTTCTTTGTTTTCCTATAGATCGAAGATTAGCTATTTCCCTTCCTACCTAGGAAGGAAATGACTAACCTTGATAAGGGCATCCCAGACATCGTCTGGCGCAGTATGTAGGCTGGTTACAGGGTCGAACCCCGAAGCCCGAATTTTCCACTAAAACTATCCACGCCCGCCACTTCTTCTTGAACTAAATCGTCTGGCCCGTGATCAAAGTTGACAGTGGCTTGAAGGGTCTTGAATTGTCTGTCTAAACCCCAATCTAATAATACAGGAAAGAAGGCCTTTCATGCTTCCAAGAAAAGGACAAAGGACACCTGGTTCAAGAGTCTGTTCAGTCGACTACGTAAGGGACTCAGCCGTAGCAAGGGAGAAAAAAGAGGGCATTCGGAAGTCCGGGAGCCCGGAAGAAGGGATCAGAGCTGAAAGTCATGAATGAAGGGATATGCAGGTATGTGGCTTGACAATGTGGCTCAAAAGTGGGCGACACATGCACATGTGCTCTTTGCGTTTTGTCCAGGTATGACGGCAAGCTGGGTATTATCGTGAACGAGTCAAAGCAGGGCAACAAAGTTCGCACCAGTCCGTTCTGTTATATTAGCGACGGCGATGACAGATCACGTTCTCAAGAACAACACCGTCAAAGTCGAAGTATCTCGACGGCAGGTGTGTGCGTGAATGCGGGTGAGAGAAAGCCTCATCGTTTTGATTCGCTCCCTCTCCTTTGAACAATGAGCCAAATATGACAACAACAAAAAAATGTCCAAGAAAAAATGTCGAGCGCCCAACTATCCGGAAGAGAACATTTGAGAAATCCACCATGAAACAGAGAAGAAGAAAAGAAAAAAGACTCCCAACAACTAGATAGCATCACTCCGGGACGCCCTCCTTCGCCCCGTTTCCCATTGCCCGAACAGTCAAGGATAGAAAAAAACAAAACAAAGTGTTTGCCTTTCCCTCCCATGCTTGATCAACCTCATCCTACATGCCAACCTTGCTGCTGGCTTGCTGGCTCGCTCGCTCAATTGCGTGCTTGCTTGCTTGCGTGCGCTAGTTCGGATGAGAAATAAAAAACAATATATGACCGAAGATGAGACAGAAAAAAGGTAAAAGGATATCGTCCCAAAAACTAAACCAGATCAAATTTCCCGCATATACCCCTTCCCCGCGCGTAGAAAAAAAATAATAATTCCCGCAAGCTCTGTCATGATTTGTTTCATTGATAAGAAAGAGAAAAAAGGAGAGGGGGCGGGAGGGTTCGATGGGTTTCTTAGGCGTGTAAAACTCCCCGGTCCCTCCCGCCGTGTCTGCCCTCAAGAAAGATGAACTAGCCCAAAACAAATACTTAAAAAATAACTCGATGCTCATATTTTCCCCGTAAATAATGAAGCCCGTGGTTAGATGGACAAAATGCTTCCCAGCATATGCTTGCGTTGTTAGATGTGGTGTGCATCGAGGTGTGTGTATGTGCGTGAGTATGTGCGGGTGTGGTCGGTAGTGTGTGCCTCGTTTAGTGAGAAGCAGCTCGCGAATATACCAGATGATATATCTAATGGCATACTCGCATACTTGAATCAGATGGTGCGTATATCTTTGGAGAAAATGGATGACGTAGAAGGGGCCGTTCTTAAACGGCCTCAGCACGCTCCATTTCCGTCCCATGGCCGCGGAGCCACAGTCAGTTTGTGGTTCAGAACAGCTGAGCCGTTTGCCAGGTAACCCCTTTCAGAGCCCACTGTCACTCGTGTGTCGCTCGACGAGAAGAGAAAAGATGCTCATCTCGCATAGGGCCTGTTCATCAACGCGACCTCCCTGGCGATCTCACCCCATTCCAGCTCGCGCTTGATTTCGCCGGTGGCGCTGGCCCCCGTCCCAAGCATTTCCTCCCATTTCAGAAGCTCGTATGCGAACCTGAGATGGGGCTGGATGATTACGTTGAGACGGCGGGCGCGGACATAACAGTAGGCCCGAGGGAATGATATGTCAAGGGTTCGCATAACCTCTGCAATGCAGATGGTGGCGCTGCGGGAGACGCCCACTCGGCAGTGGACAAGGGTTGCTGTACCATTGCGCCGGCCGCGATCTGATATGACGGGGATCGCACGAGTCAGACAAAGTTGGTTGTTGAACAGGGTCAGTGGCTGGAATGTAAAAATAAGTCTCACCGATAAACTCCAAACATCTTTCAAACTCGTCTGTCAGAGGATCGATGCCATTATCTTGGACCCCATGGACGACACACGTGTTTTCCGGCCCCCATTCTTCGAGCTCGCCCTCTCGCCACATGGCCGTCTCGCCGACGCTGAGGATCTGGCTAATGCCTAAAGACCGGAGCAGGTCGGGGTTGTTGGCGTGCCCGAGGTTGCCGAGGTACATATAATCAAGAACTCTGCTGGGGAAGGAGCCGTCAAAGCCGGAAAACCACCTGGGCTCGTCCCTGACTAGCGCTGTAATGTCGGCGAGGCTCTCGCCGGCGTGCACCGGGGACTCGTGCAGAAGCCGAGGCGCAATGGCAGTCAGCAGCGCCACGTCTGAGGGATAGGCAAAGAAGTTGCGCTGCTTCTCGGTATGCAAGTTGAGCCAGGCGTCAGGAATAGGCCGCCCCGTGCTGTAGCTGTAGTACGCGATAGCGAGGAGCGTCGACTCGGTGTATCCGTCGGCGCAGTGGATGAGCACTTTCCTAGGGCGCAGGTTGAGTTCGCGCGTTCCTTCTGGCGTGTCTACCATCGAACCATGGCCATCTCTGCCAGTCTGGGCATCGGCTGGAACAGACGGGTGCGTGCCGTGCGCCAGATGGTATATCCACTTGCACGTTTCTAGAATGCCGTCCGCCTCGGTGTGCGACCAAGTTGGCGGGAGAATGCTTCCGGACGAGGGGAAGTCAACAAAAAGCTGGCGGGCGGTGGCATCGCCGCAACCCTCGGCAATGGCTTGTAGGGTGCTAGGATTCAGCCGCCCCAGGTCGCTGCATTCTATGAGGACTTCGCAGCCATGCTCTTCGACAGCGGCTGCCGGGTCGGGAGTCGGGCCCAGCCACACGTTGTGGGATATCTCCGAGGCCTGGGTCATGGCATACATCTCCTTCCGTTCCTGGTGGAAAAAGTCCATGACGTTGCCCGTCAGCCGGCCGGCCGAGTCAACGGCGACAACCTCGGGATGCAGGTTTTCAAAGTCGCTGAAAGGGCCGACGCAGATAAAAGTGTTATAGACGGGTGCCGTGAACCTCTGCTTCTCGTGCTTGGCCCGCCACCTCTGCTGGGCGGCGACAATATCCCAGCCCAGCTTGCGCACGGTCACGTCGTCGTCGCCATAGACAATGATGTCCGATGTCATGGCCGACTTGGCGGCCTGGATCTGGAAGTTTCGGACGGAAAAGCCTTCCCTTGGATCAGCCTCGAGGAACTCGGCGGCAGCACCTCCCAGCTGCAGGAATTCATGGGGCGGGATAGCGCCCTTGAGGCGCGAGACGCTCACGTCTCCATCGGCCTTGACAAGCGTGATGCCGCGCAGGCACGTGGGCGTTCTCCTCAAAGTGCGCTTTCGCGCTATGAAGAAGGCCAGCTGGATCTGGTTCTGGGGATGCAGGCCATGGAACCAGGGGAAGACCAGCGAGGGGTCGGGCAGCGGCTGTCGCGAGATATGGTCCAATGCTGCCACCACGTCGGCGGCGTTGATTTTGTAGAGGGACTGGTTGCCCGACTCGAGACGAGTGTAGTTGTCCGGCGGAAACAGCAGCGAGCGATAGGCCTGGTCCTCGTCTTCCTTCCCCGGCGACGGTGGCGGCGTGCTGGGCTGTTCCTGGGGTACGGGGCCTGGGGGACACACGGGGATGTGCTTATTTGGCACGGGTGTGACAGGCGTGGGGCATTGTGTCGGTTGCTGGCTAATGTTCTCGAGCGTGATTGTCGTCGAAAGAGAGCCGATGTTGGGAGGAGAGCGGTGCGAGGCAATCAGACGGGGGAGGGCGATTGTGGCCATAATAATGCGAGGATGCGATCACAACACGGATTCTTGTGTGTTTGCGTGCGTGCGAGGTCTTTCGTCACACCCAAGGCGTCGTTATCGTCTTTGTTCTTGTCGCCGTCGATATCGATATCGATGTCAAAGTCGGGGAGGCGGCTCGTCATGGATGGTGTAGAGGGGTCCTTTGGGCTGGAATGGCTCTGTTGAAGAGGCTCCTAAGACAATGTCTTGGAGAGCGAACGTTGAGCTTGGCTTGAGGCGGGAGCACGCGAGTGTAAGTACAAAGCGCCTGCAGTGCAGGTTGGTGCTGGAGGTGAGGGGAGTGCAGCCTTATCGCTGACCCCTGCTCTCGATGGCTGTCTGCTAATAACGATGCTGCAGCGGCAGATAAGACGCGGCAAAAGCAATCGCAATGGCGTCAATCGCGGACCACGTTGGCCGAACTATCGGTACGAATGGCTGGGCAATGAGAAAGAACCCCATAAGAGATGGGACCCGGGAAAAGAAAGCAAAAGCGTTCACGGCATCGAACAAAGAAGTTAGGACGGGCGCGACGACCAAGGCAACAGGCCACCACCAAGTGGGTGGGGGATGGAAGATAGTAAACGGGGGTGCGCTAGTCGATGGGATGGATGGATGGATGGATGGAGAATGGAGGGGCGGCAGACACCGCAGCCGTTGTTGCGTTGGGGATGCGGGCAACACAACACAATAGAGGGCACACAGACACAGACACAGGCTCACAGCATTGGCATTTAGAGTCGGTGCTCGCAGGGTTTGGTTCCTTGAGCAGGCGAGAGGGGTTCCAGTTGTTTGCAATTCGACCGTCAACCAATTACACAGTACAGCACCTCCTGCTGGGCGGGAGAGATCGCTGGCCCATCAATCGCCCGACAGGCGCCGGTTGGACGATCGTCGCCCTTCTACGCCATCACAAAGAGATAATTGTCATTTATCCCAGGGATGGAAGTCCTAGATGTCATCGATCTCGTCTGGACCTTGGTTGAGCTGGTTTCCATGGGATGAGGCGATGTGGTCCACGCTCCCCCCGTCGGGTCCCGTCTCCACTCTCACAGCGCCGCCCTGCCATCCATGATTTCGTGGAGAAGAAGCAGGGGTGGGGGAGGCACGAGAGAAACAGCGGGGTTGGCGCCAGTGGACGCCGCCCTTCTCACTTCGAGCAGTGAGCACCTCAGGCTGCACAGCATGGAGGGAGGTGGAGACTGGAGAGACACTACCTTAGCGTAGCTTTCTGGCTTGGACACAGGCCAATGACTGCTTTCGCAGCGCCTCCAATTTGTGCGATATCCCCAATGCTGCAAGCGCTGCGAAGCGTGCTGCTGGCGACGAGGGAGGCCCAGTCAACGACGGCAGAACATGCAAGCCCTCACGCAAAAGCAGAGACGCGCACACGTTAGCGTCCCATTCCCCAATCCTTCGATGCACGTTGGCGAGCCAGGAGCCGGTGGGTAGCAGCGGGTGACAATTCCGAGAGCATCTGGTATTCCATATTCCATCCATGGATTGATTCGATTTCTGGACACAACCAAAATAAAAAAACCGGGGACGCACCCCGACTCTCGCTCGGCGCCACGACGTTGTGGGTTGGATTTCCAATTGTCCTTGATTGTGAGGGTATTTGTAACCGATGTACATGCATGGATAATGAGCAAAGCCATTGGCGTATCAGGGGGTTTCGGGCGCGCTTGCGTTTATCGGCCCTCTGGAGGAGTTAACGCAGCCAGACGATCTAGTAGTAGTTCTGGCTTGGCCGCCTGGGAACAATATCCTCTTGCTACATATATACTGCCTGCCCGCTGGGGGCTATGGTCGCATGCCCGGCTAGTTGAGGCCCACTCTCGTTTTCCCGTTCAACGGCTGCGAGGCGGCAGTCGGATGGCGCTTCGGTCGTCGCACGAACAATAGCGTGGACGGGGCGGCATGGCATGGATTGCCCTCAGAATTAAGGTAAGGGGCCGTATCCGCTCGCGCTCGCCGGGGCCACAGACCCATCAACTAGCCAACTCAGCTCCCGAGGTCATCCATCTCATCGCGTCAATGGCCGCTCCGACGGCAGTGCTGTCTGCCTTATTCTCCCTCAATGGCATTCGTCTGAAGTCGACTCGGGTTTTCCATTATGCCTAACGATTTTACGAGATGTCCGTACTCGTTGAAATAGATATTTCGTCCAAATCAACCCCGCCTTTATTTTCCCCTAGCGTGGATACAGTCGCGAGGCTGGATGCCTCTGATTAGACGGAATATCCCTTAACATTTCCAGGTTGTTGTCTCTTGTTGTCGCCCAAAATGCTGGATTTTGTATGTATTTCGGGGACCATCTCTTTATTCCTGCCTTGTGCAACGATGCCGAAGAAAACCATTACGATTTTGTAATACCTACGATGATAATCCTTCTCCATGAGAACTTGGCGGGGTAGGTGGTGGGGCATGTCCCCGCTATTTGGTCCCGAGCCGGCCTGGCTAGCCCCTACACACATCCCGCCGTGCATCGCGCATTCCCCTCCGTCACCTGCGTTGGTTTCAACTCGGTGAGGCACGGTGTAGTGCTGATTCGGCGCGGGGCAAATTTTTAATACCGCCAACTGAGCCACACCCTTTGATTTTGGGGCCGATCCTCGGCGCTGCATATTCGCGATTCTCTCGACTCCACGTCTAATAATTTCGGGCTTCTACCACCACCAACATTAGTACAGCGTTGACAAACTGGCAATTGGAGCTACCTGCCACTCGCATCTTGGACCCAGCGCAGTACTTCCATTGTCTCCAACCGCGTCGACTCTCTCTCGTCGCTAAAAATGTCCAACGGCGACATACCCAATGGCGCCAGCCCGCATGCCACTCACACCCCCTCGCAGCGCTATTTGAGTACCAGGGGCGACGACAGCGACGTAGGACTCCCCTCTCCTCTCCTCTTCGCCTGCATGTAGCATATGCACTCGCTAACCTTTGCGCCTCTGTCGCCCATAGCTCTCCTTCGAGGACGTTGTTCTCAAGGGCCTTGCCTCGGATGGTGGCCTCTACATTCCTGAGGAAATTCCCGTTGCCTCTGACTGGCAGTCATGGAAGGATCTCCCCTTTGTTGATCTCGCCTACAATGTCCTCTCACTTTATATCTCGCCCGCTGAGATCCCAGCCCCGGATCTTAAGGACATCATCCGCCGCAGCTACTCTACCTTTCGCGCCCAGGACGTTACCCCCCTAGTCCATCTGCAAGGCAACATACACCTCCTCGAACTCTTCCACGGTCCCACCTTTGCTTTCAAGGACGTGGCTCTGCAGTTTCTCGGCAACCTCTTTGAGTACTTTTTGGTGCGGCGCAACGAGGGGAAGACAGGCCGAGGTTTGTCTCACTGACGAGGCGCCCCTGCAGACAGGACTTACACTAACAACTTTCTCCGTCTGCGTGTAGACAGGTATCATCTTACCGTAGTCGGAGCGACGAGCGGAGATACCGGCTCTGCCGCCATCTACGGTCTCCGGGGGAAGAAGGATGTCTCCGTCTTCATGCTGCATCCCAAGGGGCGCGTGAGTCCCATTCAGGAGGCGCAGATGACCACGGTGCTGGATGCCAATGTCCACAATCTGGCCATAACAGGAAACTTTGACAACTGCCAAGTAAATCCCGCCTTTTGGATTGCTCCTAACGAGGCTGCCCGAGGCTGACATTGTGCTTTTTTTTTCTAGGACATCGTCAAGGCTCTGTTTGCCGACCGCGATATCAACTCGACCCTCAAGCTGGGAGCCGTAAACTCGATCAATTGGGCGCGCATTCTGGCCCAGACCGTCTACTATTTCTACTCGTACTTCTCTCTTGCGCGGCAGTCCGAGTCGTTCAAGGTGGGTGACAAGGTCCGGTTTGTGGTGCCGTCTGGCAACTTTGGTGACGTCCTCGCCGGCTATTTCGCCAAGCGCATGGGACTTCCGATCGACAAGCTAGTGATTGCAACAAACGAAAACGACATTTTGGATAGGTTCTGGAAGACGGGCAGGTATGAAAAGAAGGCGACGCATGGTCCCGCGGCCGAGGGCGGCCTCGAGTGTGATGGAGTCAAGGCGCACGAGGACGGCGTCAAGGAGACACTGAGCCCGGCCATGGACATCCTGGTCTCGAGCAACTTTGAGCGCCTGCTCTGGTTCCTCGCCTACAAGTTCGCCGCGGGCACAAAAATGGACGACGAGTGGATCAAGAGGCAGGCCGGCCAGGAGGTCAGCAGCTGGCTCAAGGACCTCAAGACCAAAGGCGGGTTCGGCCCCGTGTACAAGGACGTGCTCAAGGAGGCGCGCGAAGATTTCGAGAGCGAGCGCGTGACCGACCAGGAGACGCTCGACGCCATCAAACGACTCTACAAGGAGGCTGACTACATTCTCGACCCGCACACGGCGGTCGGGATCGAGGCGGCGTCGAGGTCCGTGAAGCGCGCCGGCCCCGGGATGCCCCACATTGCCCTGTCCACGGCGCACCCGGCCAAGTTCGCCGGCGCCGTTACCCTGGCCCTCAAGGACGAGCCGAGCTTCCAGTTCGACGAGAAGGTGCTCCCCCGCGAGTTCGTCGGGCTAGACCAAAAGGAGAGGCGGGTCAAGGACGTAGCCAACGACTGGAAGGCCGTGCGGGAGCTCGTCAAGAAGGAAATCGAGGAGGAGCTGAGCCTCCCCTAACAGCTAGCCGTAACCCGGGTGGCGGCGGCGGCAGCTTTTGATGTTCCAGTAGAAATACATGATGAGCTGAGGAGTCAGCAATCAGTTCAAACCACCGCCACCGCCTCTTTCTGTCAGCTTTTTGTTTTTCTCTCTCCTTTTCCCCGTTCACACGTCTTTGTTCGATTTGCGTTTTCACCTTGTTATTTTGGCGTCCCAGGCGGGCATTTGCGCTGTCGCGAGAAGGGTCAGGATATGCATAGAATGGTTCTTCTACAGGTAATTCATTAGGAATGGGAAAAAATCTGCTGTGGGGGGTGCGGATGTGTATCTGAGTTTTGGTGCAGTTGCTATATGGGGAGGACATTGGTCTTTTTCTATCAATTAGAACGTAGAGTAGAAGAAATCCTGAAAAAAAAAATTGGGGAGCAAGAGGGATAGAGATGAGATACGTACCTAACGTACCCAGATAGAAGAAAAGAACTGCTTGACGAGATAGAAACCACTCGGAATACAGATGGAAAATAGCAGTGAGAAATAAGACATATGCCTTCTTATTTCAACAGAGGGGACGAGATGGCCTTTAATCTAGCATCCGCTAGTTATACACTACCAAGGAGGCAAGACTAGATATGTAGTTGGCCTGATTAAAGCAGCTTTGACAGCTTGTTATGCTATATATAACTATATTACCGTCTGTCTCACTATAACAAATTAGGACCCAACAGATAAGACGAAGCCCGACATGAAGCCACGCTGCCGTCTCTGCATGTCCACCATACCTACCCGCTGACGAATATCACAAGACGCTGCTATGACACGAAACGAAGAACATTGACGCAACACCAAAATCATAAGCACAACGCAACAAAATAAAGAATATACACCTGTCTCTTTGAATGCGCCTATGTGGGCGTCTATCTACGGTAGTAGGTAACAGCAGCAGCACCAACAACAAACAACAATGATAAGAATCCCAATTACACTCTGCTAATCTGTACAGTCAGTCGGCCCGCGTCATCCCAGATAAGCACTCAACTCCTCCGACTCTTCTATCATCTGTTTGAACGAAAACGGCGCAAACGGCCAGCCGCCAAACTCGGCAAACTTTGAGAACGACTCAACCCAGGCCAGACGCAACGAGTGAAGCTGTAGTTGTCAAGCAGTTAGCCAAAACCATGTCATCATATATAGAGGAAACACCAGGGCCAAAACCTACCATGGCAGAGACACCCTCCATAATGATCAAAATAATACAACTTAGACAAAAGAAAGCAGCAAACACTACCACAATGAAGATGGCGCCAAGAATGCCCGTCGTATTGAGTGCCGGCCCCATCGTCATGGACCATAGCACGGCCGAGAGCTGCTGGTGAGCAAGCGACAGTGCCCAGAGACGGAGATATGACGCCGTGTGAGAGACGCAGTTAAGACAGAATTCTGTCCCCCGTCAAACCGAGTTAGCATCAGCTTTGCCTGCATGACAAATCGAGACAAAAGGGGGAAACTGACCGATTGTGTGAATGACCTGATGAATCATGACCTCGCTGAAATCAAACTCCTCGTGCTCCTCGTCGTCCAGGTCCTGCGCAATCATGGCCACGCCTTCGTCGTCGCTAACAGCACTATGGCGGCGACCATCCACGGCGTGGCCGTTGTCACCCTCATCATCGGCGTCCAGAGCACTGACCCGTGACTGCTCGCCGAGTCCGCGATAGCCCTTGGCGCGTGCATGGTTGTGCTCCCAGCGGAGATATAAGGGCTTGAGGAACAGAAGAATAGGCACTTGGATAACAGCGAAGAATAAAAGGAACTTCTGCACTCCCGCCTGGCCGCGGTAGAGCTGCTTGTCCAGTGTGCCAGGCTGGAGGAACATGTAGATCAACATGTTCAAGAGGCCGGGCCCCTGCTGGCCAGGCCACACCTGGGTCCACTTGTAGATGATGCACACAACCAGATAGCCAAAGATAGACTGGAAGAAGATCATGCCGGGAACGAAGTTGCCCCAGATGTCGACCGGGCGCTTGAAGTGCCGGGCATTGATATAGGCGAAGCAGAGCGAATACGTCATGTGAGCCCATCCGAGGATGATACTCATCTTCATCTTGTAGCTGTTCATGAAGAGGAGGTCGTTGTCAGCACCGTGCCACCGCCAGTCGACGCCGAATGGATACGTGTAACCCGGGGCAGTCGGCTCGGCAGTGACAGCTTGACCAACTTCCCAACCGGGCGGAACCTTCCACTTCCACTGACTGTCAAACAGCGTCATGGACTTGGAGAAGACGTCGTTGTAGATGAGACCGGTGTAGACGGAAAATGCAGCCATAACAAGGGCGATGTAACGGCCATAGTAGACCATGGCAAACAGCTCAAAAGTGACCTTCTTGAGCGGCTTCTCCCAGTAGATCATTGCCAGAGCGCCAGACAACATGATCACGGCGTGGCCAAAGTCTCCAAACATGACGGCAAATAGGAAGGGGAACGTGACGATGACGGGGATGGCTGGGTTGACTTCCTGGTAGGTGGCCGTGCCGTAGGCGTTGACAATGGTCTGGAAGGCTTCGGTGAACTTGTTCGTCTTGAGGTACGTCGGCGGCGTCTTGTTGGTCCGGATCTCGCTAACAATGGACGGTACAGACAGGCCAGCGCGGTTGTTGACATCCTGCAACGTCGATCGGATGAGCGGCAGGTCGTGGGTGGGCACCCAGGCCTCGGCGATCAGGGTGCGGCGGGCGCGGTCATAGGAAAAGAGATTGAGCGTGTTGTAGACGGCCTTCTCCTTGCCTATCAGGACCATCCAAGCCGCCAGGGAGCGCGAGATCTGCGTCAGCTCAGCCTCGAGGGTCTGCTGCGTATTGCGGAGCACGTTCTGGACATCATTGAGTCTGGCATTGACCTCGTGAACCTGGTCCCGGCGCAAGTCACTGTTCTCGTCGACGTTGTAGACCTCGGCGCTCATGGACTCGGAGATCTTGCGGATCTTGGCGAGAATCTCCTTGCCGTGGGCGAAGATGACGAATACGTTCTTGAAAACTGGCTCGTTGGTGGCGGGGTCGACCAGGGGCTCCGGGATCTCGGCTTGATTCATGTAGAGATTGCCACGAAGGGTACGCCACAGAATGCGCTCAAAGGGAGCCACGCGGTCCCTAGCGATGACTCCGGCAACGAAGCCAATGTTCATGCCTGAGAAGGAGCGCTCGACCTCGGCAGCCGAGTTGTTGTGCTCGATGTCCTGCAGGAGAGGGGCGTCGTCGTTGTCGGTCGAGGCGCGGATCTCGTCGACATTGCCGTGGGCGCGGTCGAAGAAGCCGCCGGCCTCGCGGAGGACCCAGCGCCACTCCGTAAGTTCGACCTCACGCTTCTTCAACGTTTCGTAGCTGTCGTTCAGCGAGGACACGCGCTGCTCTAGGCTTTGGCTGCGTTCAGCCAGCTCGTCGATCTCGCTGGTTGAGGGGGGAGCAAGGGTGTCGACGTCCAGATCGAGTTTGCGGAGGGGAATTCCCGCCTTTTCCATCTGGGCGTGGAAGAAGCCTGAAACATGTTAGATAATTATGGCATGGTATGGTGAAGTGTGGAAAAGGCAAAGTGCGCGACATACGAAGCTGGCGTTCGGCATTGTCGAGGCGGCGGATGTCCTGAGTGAAGGCCCGTTGGAAGGCACTGAGATCCCCATTGAGCTAGGGGGTGTTAGCTAACCAAAAAACAATCATTCGCCATATAAACATAGATGCAAATAGAGACGGAGATGGACGTGGATGGTGACGATGATGGAGGAGGAGAGGGGGGGGGGGGGGGGGGGTTGGATGCGTACATCGCGGAACTGGACGAGGCCGAGTTCGCCGAGGGCGTTGACGACTTCGCGGCCGATTTCATTTGAAATGTAGAGCTGCACCATGCTCATGTCCGCCGAGCGGAACGGCGTGTCCCGAACCGGCGCCATGTTGCGTGCGTTGGCGATGGACCTTGGGAAAGCTTTGTGGAATCCAGCATACAATACAGCAGCACAGCACTGCGAGCGAGTTGGAGCTTCGATTACCAGGCCAGGAGGAGCTCGAGTTGCCTCACGTCGAAACGGCGCTGCGTTGTCGGCAGATCTCCGGCCAACTGCTTTGCCCGGTTACGTTACGCACCCATGCTCAGCCCCACTCTGTCCACCCTAGCCACTTTCCTCCGATCGCTAGCCTGGCTGTGGTCACCGGAGCATCCCTGCTCCTTCCTCCGCCTTTATCCTCAATGGATGTCGCTCACTCACAGAGTAGTCGCGCCTCTCTGTGCTTCAAACCCCAAAAATAACGCAGCCAGCGTTCAGATTTATCTTCAGCATTCCCAGCGAGGAAGGACTCCTTGACCTTTTATTCTATTGTACTGCATGCTCCTTCTGGAGAAATGGTCTATCTAAATTTACATTGCCTTCTTATTCTTGTTGAAATCGTGGATTATTCGATTTAAATTGGCCCGAGTCTCAAATGCCGTTCGTTGTTGAGTCATTTATATTCACATATAAAAAAGCCAGCTGTGAACGCCCCTCTATTTACCCCTTCTCGAGTTTCTATCCTGAATCTACTTGGACTCCCCGAATTATTACTTGCCTAGACCTTTTTAACAACTCTACCTGCCTGCCCGCCTCGAGAGAACTTGAACGTGAGTTTTCGAAAAGGGGTCAACTTAAATGAGAGTCATATTTTCCCGTGCTATATCTGAATTATTAACAAATGTAAGGAGGTAGGTACTTATGAATATCGGCTATATAAGTGCTCTCTCCCAGATCCAAACGCTGCTTTACCCAAACAAGTCCTCTCAAGTTAAGGCGTATTGCCGTTCTCCGCCATGATCCTCCCATTCATGCAAGTGTCGCTTTTCCATTTTGTTGTTCGTACCTACCCAGAAAGCCATTCTTTTCCCCTTTGCGCCTCCAGCAGAAAACTCCATGCAGATGCAGTCATTGTTGGCCAAGAAGAGACGTATCGTCCGACTCCGAACATGCTCCTCGAAAAAGAAAATGAAGAAGTCCCCCGATGCGTGCGGTATAGCCGCCGCCGCCTATAAACCAAAATGAAACATCCAAAGAAATAGCGATATCAGAGCTTCCTCCCAAACATGAAGGAGCCATACATGCCTCCAACCTCAGCCTTAGCGACGGGTATCTTTCTCATCCCCCACGAATCCGCACCCATCTTCCAGGCATCCCTGCCGTCGCCGTTGCCCGCGGCCTGGCCAGTCTGCTGCCTGACCATCCACCCGCGGCTGCCGCACTCGGACACCCGCCAGCCGGCGCGCTGCATGGCCGCTCCCGATTTGCTCACTCGGCGGAACACGTCCTCGGCCACCTCAATCACCTCGAGGGGCTCCGAGAGCGGTCTGAGCATGACGCATTCGCTTCCGAACAGGTACGGCAGGTCGAGCTCGCCGTTCCACATGTCTGAGAGGTCAATGTACCGGAGCGTATGCGGGACCCAATCCAGCTGCGCCATGACGTCGTCTTCTTCATCCGGGTAGAAGAGCCGGTTGACATCCGAAACCTCAAGGCCACGTCCAATGGCCAGCTCGTCAAGGTGCTTGGTGAGTGGCCGCAGGAGGTCGATGTGAGACGCGTTCATCTTACTGCCCTTGAGGCTGAGCGACCTGAGCGTCTTGGGGAGTACGGGGAGCAGCTCCGACATCTCATCGGCGTCAAAGAGCTGGTGGCTCCTGGCATCCACCGACAAGCTCAGAAACTGGAGCTCCTGGACGGCGGGGTGCGTCGCCAGGAAGCCAATGACGTTCCGAGCCGAGAGCAAAGTGCACTTAGCAAGGTTGAGGTGCGTGATTCTTGCCGTGTGCGGAATCGAGGCTAGCGCCGCGTCCGTTATGCGGGTGCCGGCCACATCGAGATGCGTGAGCCGCGGCAGGCGCGGCAGGATCGCCTCGAAGATGGAGGTCGGCAAGGTCATGCACTTATGTAGCGACAACCGGCGGACCGAGAGTTCGGCGGGCCAGTCCGGCGACACTATCGTTGAAAAGGCTTCCTTGAACTTGGTTGAAGTGCAACCGCAGAAGTCGACGGCCCGAAGCCTGGGCAAGCCCAAAAACAGCTTCTGAAGTACCGGCGCATTCAAGTCCTCGTCCAGGTACTCCTGCGCAAGGAACTCTTGGAGGTTGGGCGTGAGCTCTAGGCAGTGAAGGAGAGTCTCCGACGTCAAGTTACGCGCCTGCGATCTCTCGGCCGCTGTCGAGAAGAGCTGCGACGGGTTGAAGTGGCAGAAGTCCAGCCGCCGTACGATGGTGCCGAGCGTCGGGTGTCCGGCGACGTGCACTAGGAACTTGTGGAAGATCCTCGAGTGGGGGATCGTGACGCGGCTGTACAGCGTGGTCAGTGTCGCAACATGCAGCGTCCTCGACGTTAGCAGAAGCGACATGAGGTCGATGTTTCGTCTCGAGATGCCGTTCGGGGGCACGTCCTGGGCCAAGAGGTTGATGATGACACCTGTAGTGCAGTGTTAGCGATGTGATCCCACCCAAAGTTGACGGCAACCACCCAGGCTCTGGAGGCAGGGGTGGAGAACAAGGACACTTACTGAGGACCTCAGCGGGCAGCCTCTCGAGAGCGGATTCTCCGGCTCTGTACCGACCGTGCCTAACGGGCTTGGGCGGGGTGCTCCAGGCATTGTGCAAGACTTGGAGATCGCCGAAGCTCTTGCTGGCGAGTTTACCCCTGACCTGGATCTGCTTCCAGCCCCTGAAGTTGTCGGCGGGGGACCAGTAACCCAGGAGCTTGCTGTCGGGGTGCGTGACGGGAGGCCGAAACTGGGTCTGCAGCATCTTGACCGGGTGGGCCGCGTCGTGGTTGACAAGGGGGGCAGGGTCTTCAATGGCTTCGTCGCCTTCCAGATACGACGAGACCCTGGAGTTGGTGAATGTCTGGGTGAGGGTGCTGTCGTTCTCGCGGATGGAGGAGAAGGAGGAGCGGGAGGCCCGGTCCGGGGTGCAAGGCCGCCCATGTTTGGCAGCCATGATTATATACTCGGAGGGGAAGCAGTCTCTCGAAAGTGTCCTCTTGGTCTGGGATCCTGGTCTCGGCTTTGTGACGGCCATGGAGACAGGCAGAGATGGGGAGGGAGAAGGCTTGGGCCCCGACCCGGATGAGCTTTCCTGGTGTCTGCGGCGGTCTACGGTCACGTCAGATGCGCGATGCACGACAGTGATGGCGACAGGCGCTGCTTGGGGGCCCTGGGCTACCGCGATTCGGCAAGCGCAAACCGCACACAGACAACAGAAACCTAGAACGGGTTGGATGCAGCCAACGATGCGGCAGAATGGACGGGCAGACAGTCAGAAAAACTGTGGGCGAGGTTCCAACTTCCGACAGCAAACAACAAGGGTAGCTGCGGTTGCAAAGTTTGGAAAAGCCTTGCTGGGTTTGGCACAACTCTGTGGTCTGGCAGCCGGGCGGCAGGGCAGGTGGTGCCTTTCTATTAGTCAATAGATGAGCTTTTTAGGTAAGAGGAAGACCTCGCGATGCACCGATGCGGGGAAAGTGCGAGATTGAAGGAGGGCTCCGCAGTTTGTAGGAGGCGTGATCCTAGGTTCGTCTCTTCTCCTCGGAGCCGATGGATGCGCCGGCCAGGGAATCGATCGTCAGACGGCCAGAGGGACTGGGAGGCAGTTTCTGGTTGACGTCTTGCCGGTGCAGCAAAGTATATAATCGGGTGTGGCTTTAGATCGGCCCTGCTGAGCTGTGGGTGTGGACCGTAACGATGCGCATCTAGCAACACTCTCCAGGTATCTTCACAGGCAGCTGCAGCAGTGCGGTAGCCGAAAGCGCCTACCGTAGATAGGCCAGGTAGGCGAGAGGCCTCGACCTCCAGAGGGCAATGGAACACTTCAATTATTAGTGAGACTGCGGGAAGATGCCCTGCGTCCTGTCCGCTGTCCGGGCTGTTTCCAGCTGCGTCCCGTCGTGTGCGTCGTGCGCCTGCAGCGTGCGTCTTGCAGAGTCTCTGTCAAAATCCCGGCAATTTGGTTGGCGTTCAAAGTTGCAATAAAGTTTCGCCTCGCCCACTGCAACTTTTTCCCCCCAGGCTAGGTTCCTCCTCCCTAGTTCCTGCTCTCGGTTGGTTCGGGCACCCACTTGCAGGCCTTCTCGGATGAGAGATGGCCAAGTATGAAACAATTGGCTGATCCGTCGACAGTAAATCGGTTTGGCGATTTCGTCGTGGTGGTGTGGCTGTTTAGTTGGGTGCGTAGCAAGTGCAGTGCTTTGATAGTGCTGAGCCGATGTCTCTTGAATTATATAGGGATACCTGGACGGGACCCCTACGTAAGGCTCGGGCGAATCGGGTCCAGAAACAAGTCGGGGAGTGACTCCAACATCTATTTTCCTTTCCCGTCCTTTCTTACTTTAAACGCGAACTAGCGAGCCGGGTGGGCCAAGGTGCAGTACGTAAGAAAAGGTATTGTGGCAGTGCCTTTGTAGCTTTCGTGTCACCTGCGCTGTCGGCGCCTCTCCAAAGCTGGGCGGTTGGTTGCTAAGAGACTGGGCAAGGGAGCAAAAGACTGGGCAAACCCATGCGCGGCCGTCAAAGTCGGGTTTTTCTTCTCTTTCGCCCCGGTTTAAAAAAGTGACAACGTGACTGACCATTTTGACCTCCAAGTGGATATCTTAGGGGACGGAATGGTGTGTTGGAAGGAGACAGGGGCCGGCCCGCTTCGTCGACATTCCAGTTTACGTTTACCTTGTGTCCGAGAGGGCAGAAAAAGTGCCTGTTATCCACAGCCGAGATTGGTCGCGTCAATTGCCATCTCTATATATGGCATATGCACATTGTACATCTAATTTCCTTATCTTCAATTTCGTAGTCTTTAATTTTGCCTCTAGAAATGCAAGGGCCGGTTGCTGGTAGTGTGGGGCAACAAAGCATCAAGATAGTCACCTACGTAGTAAGGTACGTAGGGTCGAAGACGCGAAGTAGCAGATATTTGACGACTTGCGCCAAGCCCAAGGCCAGCAGTGTATCCGAATGTAATGGCATGAGGTTCAAAGGTCAAATAAAGACTTTGCCGCCTGCACGAGGCCAAATACCCGAGTTTCCATGACATGACATAACATCATCGGTGAAGGTGACCAGCCTCCTGAGGTACCATACGTACGTAATGATTTCCAGGCCAAGAGCCCTTCTCCACCAACGGAACCGGAGCCGTTGCCGCAGGACGCATCCAAGACAGTAGTTAAGACACGGTTCATCGTATGAGAAGGATACGTAGCGAAGAAACGAATCAAAGCGTCTCTCGGCCGGAGAACCGAATTGGATTCTCCTCGTGGTCATCCGGCGCGGGCACGCCTGTTGTTGTTAGTAACAAAAGGCAACGGCGCCACTAGATGCCGCCCGCCCCGGTACCCTATACATGGCTGACATGACGTGTTGCGCCATGTCGCCAAGGGGCATCCGGTCTAGGTGATTCTACTCCGTCTTCAAGCCAAGGTATTGGGTAGACAATAACGGGGTTTACGTGCGCAGTACAATACGGTAATATCAAGGTTTCTCTCTGTCTACTGTCTGTCTGGCTGGCCACCCGCCGTTGTCGGAGCCAATTCCTGGGAACGTATTAAACCTAAACACCCTCCGAGTTACTGGTGTAGCGATGAGAAGAAAGTCAACAACAGAGCTAAACCGAACAGAGCTAAACCGAACAGAGCTAAACCGCTAGCAGCAGGCAGGCAAGCATTTCCAGCCCGCCGAGCATCCAGTGGAATTCCACTGCCACGGACTCCAACTTCCAAGAACAACAGACTCATCAAAGAGTGTCCGTATGGACAAGCAGGCAAGCGCCGCGGAAAAAGGGGGAGAGGCCTGCTGAACATAACCGCTCAGTCCGCCCGCCTTGTTCACGTGCGCCTGATCATACGCATCGGACAGGGGAGACAGGGAGCTTAAAAAAAAAGTCCGGGGAAGCCGCTTGAAGCCGCACCTTCGGATTGACACTATAAACGCCCCGCGACGCAACCCCTGCACCCCTGGCCTGGGGCCGATGCCTAGGTTCGCCTGTCGTCTTCTGTCTCTCGTAATACCATACATAGACGTGTATGTAGATTCTCCAGTTAGCCTCATCCTTTTTTTGCCCCGCAGATGTGCAGGGCGCAGGGCAGGGCGTTTGAAAAGCTGTCATCCCGTCGGCCTTGGGATCGGCACAAGCCGAGCATCCATGGGCGGCAGCTGGAGTTGCCCGGCATTCGGGCACTTGCTTGGTGAATGGAAGTTCGGTCTTGGCCGTCCTCGAAGACACACACACACATGTGTAAGAATTACAGCTACAATGACGTCAAGCATGGTTTTTTTTGTGTGTTGCTTTTCCCTCAAATTTCTTTTTTACAAATACAACACGGTTGGCATCGTATCCAATCCAGTAAAAGTATCGTAAACATGCGATTCTTGAATTTCAATTCCACACAGCAGTGGACACCGCAGGTGCACTGACGCACCAGGCAATGAACCCCTACCTAGCGCTTCCCCCTCGCCACTAATAAGGTGCATAGCTTAGCCAAGGTGTGAACGATCAACCGTCTGGCTCAGCTTACCATTCATTACCTGCATTTAATCGCCTTGCCCTACCAACCCCTCGGTTGGTTCCTTGTTCCTGACAAACGTTCTCCAGCCGGGAACGGTCAAGTGACCCGGCACACAAGACCAATCCCGAGGAGGGCTAGATCAGGGACGGCTAGTTTGCCGAACAAAAGACAGATGGCCGACGAGACGAGACGAGACGAGACGCGCGGGACCCCGTCGAGACCACCCCTCGGCATACCACACTGGACGCGACGGCGTTTATTGTCGTCCATTGTCCTGGATACGCGGCCCGAGGACTCCTTTTGTTGTTGTTGGAGACCTCCTCTCCATCATGTGTGAAGCAACTCGGCAGATCCGGCAACCCGGGGTCCTCACGTTCGTCTGTCCGCAGCCAAGAAATCGATAACCCATCTTGGAGGTATTTTGACTACTCTATCGTACGGTAGGCATCTACAGTTGGAGTTCCATCTCAGATAAACATAACCAGCATAGAGTGGCCGAGAGACAACACAGGGATAGAGAGATGAAAAATTCTCTATTGTGAGAACTCAACAAATAAGCCTTGCCGACCTCACTCACTTACACATGGAGGGCTGAGATTATTCTCACAAAAAGAATACACCACCGCTTCCTCACTCAACCATCAATCATCCACTCCATTCGACGAAAAAGAAAAGTGACACCAAGGTAATACTTGAACCACCACCACCACCACGCCCCAACCATCGCAACCATGTGCCCATTTACGCCGTCTGTCCGTCCGTCCTTCCCCTCATTCGCCCATCCTGTGGTTTGCGGGCACGCGCTCGGCGCGGCCACTTATTTCAAGCAAAGAAAAAAAACAGTTTAACAAAGACAAAACAAAACAAAACTTGCACTCCATCCCGTCCACGGTTCCCGCAAGACATACATGATAAATTATACCTCTTTGAATGTACCCAGAGGGGGATGACAGAGTCGTGGAGGAGAAACAACACCCAATGATATCCAGGTTAGTAGTGAGTACGCGCTGGTCGCTGGCCCACGAACAAATTTCCCGAACAGGGCCCATCTGAACCGCCAAACATGAGGCATAGAAGAAAAAGAAAAAGATAAGATGAAAAAAGGAAGGATTACAACACTGGTGTGTTGGCCATGCGACTCAGCACATGAGGATGACGATGACGATGACGATGACGAGATGACACAACATCCCGCATCACAAACAATACCATTCCCTCTCATCATCATCATCATCATCATCATCATCATCCATAATCACCTGCGTTCCGACCCTCGCAGGTTTCGTTTGCAGTCTTCACAGTACCATTTCGCTATAATTTCAGGTCAGCTCGGGTTACGATGAAAAAGAGAAAGAGAACGTACCATTGAGTTTGGGCGCCACCTTCAACCCCACGCACTCAAGATGGAACCACTCGCGCGGACACCCTTCGCCGTCGCAGGCCACCATCTCGCCATAGCTGACGCCGTTGCAGTAGCAGTAGCGGAGCTCGTCTACGTCGGCGTCGTCATCGTCGTCCTGTGCGCCGGTGGCGCTCTTGTTATGGTTATTGCTGTTGGTGTTGCTGTTTACGTTTGTGTAAGGGTTGGTGCTGGCGTTGGCGCCGGGGCCGCCAACGGCATTGCTGCTAGTATTGTGACTCTTGTTGTTGATGATGCTGCTGGTGTTATTATTACCGGCGCCGTTGTTGCTGGCGACGTCTTGCACGGCTGCAGCCGGGATCGGCACCGGAGTCACAGACGTCACCGGAGCCGCCGCCGCCGCCGCCACCTGCTGTTGAGCTGCCATAGCAGCCGCAGCAGCCACAGCAGACACGGACGAAGCTCCTTTTTTGTGACTTCGCTTTGTAGGGACAGCAGTCATCGTTGCCGTGGTGCTGCCACCGTTCCCCTCTACTGCGTTATTCCGAGACGGACGAGACCTGGCTGCCGAAGCCGCCTCTGCAAAAGTTGCAAGCGCAGGCGTCGACGGCTTGCTGGCCCGCCCACTCTTCGTCTTCACGGTTGCTGTTGGTGCCGGAGGGGGTATTACCGGCGTGGTCGTCTCCTTCTTTAGTTCTCGCTCCTCGACGGCCTTCGCCGTACTGGCCTCCTTGCCACCATTCGGTACAGGTTCTAGTGGTGGAGGTGGAGGGGGAACTTCAATCTTGGGCTTCTCGACGGGCTCGATCTTGGTGGAGGGAGCAGTAGAGACGGCCTCCTTCGGCGATTTTGGGTCCGTATTTGTTTTTGTGGCGCCATTACTCTGGGCAACCACATCGTGAGTTCCTGAGAGGGCCCCGTTTGGTTTGTTTGAGGCAGCAGACGCAGGTCGCTGCCGAGCGTTCTCGACTACATTGTTAGACTGAGTTGAACTCTGGCGAGCTCGTGATGAGGCAGGACGAGCGGGTGCCGCCGGGATCTGAGGTGGCGGTACTGGTGAATTCCGGGCGATCTTTGCGCTCTCCGGAAAGGTCCCAACGAGAGGCGAGGATACCACGGAGGGAGACATGGCCGCGTTCGTCTTGCTATGGGCTTGGTCAGTAATGATATGACGTTGCGGGGTGGGCGGTCTCGAGACACACCTCTTCTTTGCCTGGCTTCCCGACGTTGGAAGCGCCTTTCGCTTCTTGCCGGCAGTCTCCGGGGCCGGCGTTTCTCGAGGGCTTGTCGTCTTCGGCTTCGACGTGTTACTACCAAAGACGGTGCTCATAGCGCGCTCCATTGGAGCTCCTCCATTGGCCTTGGCGCTCTCAACCTTGCGTCTTTTGGATGGAGCCGGAGCGGCGCTGGGGGGAACAGGCGCGATCCCGAGACCAACAGGCGCTACTGGCTCGGCGGGGGGGGGCTTGCGCGACTTGCTGCTCCCTTGAGACTTTTTGCCCGACTCCTGAGGCTTGTTCTCTGCTTCGGCATCTGCAGCGTTGTTTTTGGAGTTTTTTTTCGCGGCCAATGCCTGCTTTCGGTCGCTGCTGCGCGCGGCAGCCTCCTCGGCCAGTTGCTGGGCTGCGGCCGAGAGAGTTGCCGCACCTTCGCGTCTGGACTTTTCAGCCTGCGCGTTGTTCGTCTTCGCCTGCCTGTTTTCTGCGTATGCCCAATGTGTAGTGCTGCCCCATTTAGCCTCTTCGCTGAATTCGGATTCGAGGTGAGGCCAGATTTCTTCGATTCGCCCCAGTTGCTTGTGCATGGCGTCGTTGGCCGTAGATATGACATGGTTCTTCTCCTCCAGAGAGACCAGCATCTCTTGTATTTTGTACGCCGTCTGCCTGAACAGCTGGCGACGGGGCATGTTGCTGTCATCAAAGGCGGCGGCGCTGGTGGAGCCGTCGTGGGACGGAGCGGTGTGTGTGTTAGTAGTCACGGCAGCTCCAAAACTACTATTCTGTGCACTCATGGGCGTCGACCCAGGCGCGACACTGCTGGATGCGTCATTGAGAGACCGGGCAGCGTCGGGGGCGGGAGCTTTGAGGGCAGCGTCGAGGAGCTGGAAGAGGGCCGCCTCGGGGGCAAAGATCTTGGCGTCGACCTCTTTCAGTAGCGTAAAATGCCGGACGAGTTCTTTGGGGAGGGCGGAAATTGCGTCTGTGAAGTGCGTAACGGCTGGGAAGATATCGATAGGTTGTTCCTGCGCGGGGCCGCTCTGGAACGAGTTGCCGCGATTGAGCGACGAGGTGCGCGGTGGGTTGATTCGCGTCTGGCGCACCGGCTGGGCTCTGCGACTCAAGCTCGGCGCGCCGTCAGCTGCTGGGGGCTTGGCCGTCTTCATCGTCTATCATGCGTATGTGAAGAGGGCGCGCCGTGTAGAGGGACTGCTGGTACGAGTGTGAGGCAGCTCGGCCGTCGAAAGCGGAGGGAAGGGGACGACGGACGGAGGACGGGACGGGGAGAAGAGGAGAGAGAGGCAAGACGGGTGCCGATCCGCAGCTGGATTCCCGTCAGGACAGGGCGGTGGAGGGCAGTCGAGTGGATGCTGGGAGGGGAGCGGCGGGAGGGTGAAAGGTAAACAATCCGGTTCATAAGGCTGTCAAACACTAGACATGAACGTTAGGCCATCTCCGCTGGCCAGAGTTGTGCAGAGCAATGGGCGCAACAAAACCGATCCAAGAGTTGTCCCAGTCAGGCGCAGAAAAATGGGTGGGCGAGTTGTGTAGGACCTGGGTGCTGGTGGGAACTTCTACTTCCCCTGTGCGCTGTAGCACGCCAACCACTACCGTAGCTAGGTTGGGGGTAGCCCACACGCAAACGCCCTTGCCATCCCGTTTTCCGCGTCTGTGATACGTCAACGTCACATATTTGCGATAAGATAAGCCGCCAATTCGTTGCGACCAAGGCCGAGCATCTCCAAAGAACTGTGCCTCTTTAGACAAAACCTAATTCGGCTTTCTTTCAAGCAAGGCGCGTGTCGGACGGCTGCTGCGAGACGCGCAAGGCAGAACCCGACCCTAGATCGGACCGAAAGCTAGAGTGCGGTGTCAACTAACAAAAATGCAAGTAGAATACCTGTTCAGAGCTTTCTGTAAATGTTTCAACGCTGAAGCTCGTCTTGAAAAAAACCATCACCCCCTACATAATAAGACACGCCACCATTTAAACGCCTTGACTAAGGTACCGCTCTTGTCCTGTACCTCGCGACAGAATATCCGTGCAATACGGCCATTCCTGTTCTATTCTATTGCAAGCCCCACGCCTTTTTGCCGTATACCTTTGGCCTACCTACCTACCTTTCTAGCCAGGATAGGCTCATTAAACTTGCTTCGCCCGCCGAGGTCTCTCGTCTCTCTCCTTTTGTATTTGACGTCGCTGCCATTCAACGATTACCGGGAGAAATTGCCACAGGTCAAACTCGGGCCAGAAGCACTTGAGGAAGAAGATCTGCGCATTTTGGTGACCTTGCCACAGCATGAAATCGCTTAGCCTCTCCACCCCGCTTGTCCTAACGAATATGTCGAGGGGCGGACATCCAGCCGTGTATAAATGGCTTTCGATGGTCTGGGCAGTGATGTTCTCAGCGTTGGGGTAGATTGTCACGTTAGGCTCCGCTCCGGACTCAACATGCAGTGTCACTGATGACGAGACAGAGCCTTCGTGGTCGTCGGACCGAGACGAAGGGGGCGAGGGCGAGGGAGACAATTCCCTAATCGATGACAAGGGCTCGTGCTTGTCACCCTGCTTGGACATGATCTTTTGTGTGATGCGGCTTTGCGAAAATGGCGTGCTATGGGGGCGCGGCGTAGTTGAGTATTCCTGTACAGTCGATCGGATAGCTGTCGTGATCTCTTCTCTCGACGTGTAGGGAAAGCATATGTTGAGGATGGTACTGGAGAAAGGTGTTAGCTTCTGCGGTCGGTAGCTAAACGGATAAGCCACGGGTGCTGCCTACTCGGTGTTGTGCTTCGTCGTGGCGACGGCTCTGTCAACCACCTCGAGAACGTCGGGGCTTATGAGGTCCCTCTGGCCTAGAACACGAACACAGGCGCCGTATCTATCGAGGAGCTCTCCGTGCTGTACCAGCTGCTCGAGCTTGAGCTTGGCGAGCTGCATCAAGCCATCGACCTCGTACTTTGGGCGGTTGAAATTCTCGATGCTGAATGCGTAGACGGTTACAACTTTGACGCCGCACTTGTAGCATATTTCGAGGACCTGCACAGCCGAATCGGTCAGTCACTCTGGCGGGCGCATCTGAGCCGAGGCACGGGAGGGGATTCTGCGCACCCGAGCTAGAGCTTCAAAGCCAAGGTGGTGGCCCTCGATGGTCTCGATCTTGTGGCTCCTTGCATATCGCCGGTTGCCGTCCATCTCAAAAGCGACATGGGTAGGGACGGGGCCCTGGCGCAATGCCCCGATCAGCAGCTCGCGGAGGCGGATGAGGGCCCATTCGGCAGGAGGCGAGCTGAGGAACCAGTTGCGCATGCGCGACAGATATAAGTCGGACATTGTGAATGAAGTCGAGGCGTCGGCGTGTGCGTGTGCATGTGCGTGTGCGTGCGTCGCCAAAAGTCGGTGTCGAGCGGACGTAGCAGCGGCAGTATGAGTATATAGCTTCGGCTCGGGGTAAAGGTCGTTCCTTATACGTTTGCCATTCTTGGCCTTGTTTCCAGGATGAGGCAACGGGCTTTTGGGGGGCTTAACAAGGGAGGGATGCGGAATGTGGATGCTGACGATTGTAATGTCTCGGGTCCATTCATGCGATTGACACTAGGGCCACGGGTCTGCGCGACTGCTAAAGTGGACCAGACGGGGCGGCCCACGCCCACCAGCACCGCCCAATCAAATCCCTGCCAACGTCATGTAAGTATCCCTTTCCCTTTCCCTTTCATCCCCTACTCACTCCGAGTCCTCTTGCTACATATTAATAACAGAGCGTTGAGGGTGTGACAGATGATGTGCCCAAAAAATGTGCTGACTTCACTCTATCCACCGTGGGGCAGACTGAACTGAAGGCAGGAGCCGTGCTACTCAAGCTAGTAGCTACGGATGTAAACCTTCGCGAACCAAGACTTCTCGAGATCCAGGCGACCTCGTTTGTTGCTCATGTAAGTGATGCGAGCCTTCCCAAGGCACTAGCCGAGCCTTGCAGAGTTGGAAAGAACAAGCAAACCGAAGCCGTCTCAGGCTGTACCTAGGTATCGCTGCAAAACTGCTTCAAGCCAAGCACAGGTATTTCGAAATCAACACAGTTCATCCTTTGGTTCATCCTTCCGCGAGGTACGGTACCGCTCGCGATGGATATCGACCCACGATCACCCGTAACTTGTATCTGTTGTCCCCCTACATACCGCAACACATTTTAGCTTTCGGTCCCTGGCCCCCACGAGACTCTCGTGATTGCGTCGACAGCTCCCCCCGGCCCCCCGTTGAATTCAGAACATTACCAACAGAACTACGCCTTATGATTTGGGAGGCATGTCTACCGAATCGCCTGGTCTATGCAGACCGTCCATTCAGGGTAGGCCGCCAAGAGCGGCCTCCCTACTTGGCTCGTCAGCATCAAGCTAACCAGCTGGGTCGAGTACCTATCTAGTACACCCAAATATCAGAACTTGAACCTGGATTTAGTTTCTACAGGGATGCCTGTAAATGGAGGCAGGCGTCCCACAACCTAACACAGTGGCTCTCCTTCGCCAGCTGCCTTCCATTAATATCACGCGTCTGCCGCGAATCACGGGCGGTAGCCTTGAAGAACGGCAAACGGATTGCTGGATCCTGGAGGCATGGTTTCCCCGTATTGCTAGACCCCGTCCGCGACACCGTACACCTGAACATGAACCAGTGGTGCTACATAGACAACGTCAACGAGGATGGTCTGCCCGTTAGTCCGCCCGATCGTGTGCCCGTTAGTATTCCCATCTTGGAATCGGCTCTAGTCGATCTGGTCGGAATGGAAGCCGGCCGCGCCTCGATTTCCTCTAACATCATCCGCCACCTTGATTATTACAGAGCGGGACAGCGCTGGACGTATCGATATTCAAGGGCTTGTAGTTACGGGATCCATGTCCCCTGCTCAAAAAAATAGCTCGGCAAGGTGCAGAAAAGTTTCAAGGCCACGGCCCGGTCATCATACCGAATCCAATATAGCCATTGGATGGATGAAGCAATGCCTTGAGGCTGCACAGCTTACAGCTTGTTCAAAGGGATGAGATCTTGGAGTTGATTGTCTTCTTTCCTAGGTACGTAGTGAGGCTGAGTTTTTAAACAATAAGATGAAAAAGTGCAGATGTTATCCGAACCGACTGTCAAAGTTAATGGAAGTGATCAGATGAAATGTCCGAAATATACGTCGTATTATTATTATCCAAGCCACAACCAAGTGAGCACTCAGTCATTCAGTGGCATCAAACCCGTTCAATTATTAGGGTGTAGTTAGGACATAGATGGTTACGTTATGAGACAGCGAAGTTCGCTGCTCTGCTGAGAGGAGTATGGTCATCCCCGAGCCTCGCCCTCCCCCCGATCGCCCCTTGTCACCTTCCCCACAACTCCAGAGACGCCCAGCCGACTCGCAACCTTGGGCGGTAGAGCCTTTGCACGAGCTCTTGAAAAAGAAATCACCTCCTACGCCAACCTCCGGATGCAATGATAGGATATGTTGGCTTATTTATTACAAGATGTACACCCCAAATCCAAACTCCTTTCTTGACAAGGCGCTCTGTGACTTACTGCGTCTTCAACGGGGACCTGAGCTGAGTGCCGAACACGTTATCCCAGAACGGGCTGGTGACCCCGAATCCGTTCTCGTAGTCGAGGAAGTGGTGCTGGAGGTGGAGCTTCTTGAGCTTCTTCCACCAAAGCGGGAGGTTTTGGTGGTGGAGGAAGTAGTGCGTCAGGTCATAGCAGATATACCCAAAGATAGCACCGCAGAACCCTGTTGTCCCGATGTACCAGTTAAAGAAAAAGATGACGTGCACCAGCTTCCAAAAGGGAAATGCGAGCACGAAAAACAGCGTCGGCGGCATGACCAGCCGGTACTTGTCCATGGGTAGGTAATGATGAACGCCGTGGAGGAGGAAGTGGAGTGTGATACCGACGCGGTTGTCAGGTAGGTAACTAGAGCACAATGTCAGCAAGCACGATCGATTAGGTGATCGTAGTGGGACTGGGGCAACATACTAGTCCAGGTGGAACAGGAAGCGGTGAAGGACGTATTCGACCAGGGTCCAAACGGACAGACCGAAAAGAAACCAGCCGGCCTCTTCATAGAGATTGTTGAACCCCTCGCTCGCCAAATAGAGGCCGTACGACACGGGCGGCAGCCATACGAGCGGTACGACCCACCACGGCGTCATTGAAAGGGGCTCGAGGAAGTTGCCAAAGATGGGGGCAGACTGTCCTCCCTTGTAGTGGCGCGGCCGATGGACCTGGTCTAGGTAGAACTCTTTGGAGAAGCCGCCAAACCAGACCTGCAGCAGGAGCGGTCGGTTCAAGTCGAGGAACTTGTGTGTCTTGTAGTCGTCCGCGATGTCCGTCTCCTTGGAGAGATCCTCCTCCTTGGACATGCCGGTCCGGGGGTGCACAAACTCGCCGTCTGCTGTGACTTCGCCGCTGTCGACCGCGGTCGACTTGGCCTTTCCGTTCGCCGATGTCCCATTCAACGCTGGCAAGAAGCCGACAAGCGAGTCGTCGAGCACTTCGTAGGCCGCTTCCGAGTGCGTATGTGACGTCTCGTCCTTGAGGATGGCAGCGATATCTTTGCCGGCATACTCTAGAACGAGTTCGGAACCGCCGGGATGCGAGTCGACAAAGTCGGTCACATCGTAGACATTTCTCCCCACGGTGACGAAGCAGGACTTCCTGGAGTTGTGCGACTCGACCTCGGCGAGCGTAAACGTCGGGAGCGTGCGGCCAGGCATCGTCGGTGATCGCCTCTGCTGGCAGCAAGTCAGGCGGTTTGCGGGAGGCAGCCGGGTGCGTCGGTGACGGCGACGGCAGCAGGAGGCGCAAAACAGGTGCGAGGCTAAAGGAGTGACAAGAAGAGCAAAGGAAACTCCAACCAAGCAACGCGAGGCGGAGGAAGGTTGAATAGTAATAGATCTCTGACAAGTGGCGATTATTAGGGCATTGCCAGTGAAAAAAGGGGCTAATAAGTAGAATCACAATGGGACGCCGACTTTTTTCGCAACTGCCAGGAAGCGAGCATGGATTGTCCAGGTCGGACTCAATTAACTAACGACGCGCAGATCCCAGTGCATGGGGAGACTTGGGGGACACGGCGAGCGGGTCAGGAGACAAGTGGCGTTGTTGGAGCGCCATTGGCTGAAAAAATGAGTAGATGAACCATGCCAGCAGTGAGCACAGTCAGCCCAGCCCAGCCGGCCGGCTCGGAGCGGGAAGTGGCTCCCTGCCCAAGCCTTTCGAAATTGGCATATGAAATTGCGACTCGCATCCGTATTTGACCAATCCGCCGTTCCTTCCAGTTCCATTCGTGCCCCGTGCCGTGTAGTATGACTTTGTACGGATTACTACTAAGTTACTATGGCTTTGGTTGCCAAGTACGGAATACCACAGAACTGATAATTAGCACATTTATGCCAACTTGAATATCGTTCTATTCAGAAATTACCTAACGGGGATATGTGCAGTGCACGGCATGTGGGTGCCGACTTGGCGGAGGCCGTTGACCTCTGCCCCTCAGGCAGCCCCTCCATGTGTTTTCCACAGGAGGGGAAGACAGACGATGCCAAATTCTACGTGCAAGCCCGGTAACTCAGTTCCTTCTCCATGCAGAAGAATGTGTGACAAGTTAGATTAAACGGCTGAGAGCCAAGCAAAATAAGGTCAAAGGTCAAGAATACCTAAGGTATTCCCTATAGATTCCTCGATTCTACTGGCTGTGCACCGCCATGCCGTCTTATCTATCTTACTCCCGTCGCTTACGTTCCTAGCTCCCGTTGTGGTAAGAGCTGGAAGGCACCTGCTGCCCGATGAGAAAGCTGAACCTGAAATATGGACCCGAGTAGTGGGGAGAGCTGGACGTAGCTGCCGTACTGAGTAGATGCCTTGTTTGGCCGCTGGAGACCTGACGTAAAGAATTGCCCATCTCTTGGCGCCTCTAGTCTACGGAGCACCCAAGTATGGATCACCTAGCTCGAGGCAGAGGCCGCCAGGATCCCCCAAGATAGCCAAGAGCAGCGAGCACCAAACCCGACTTGATAGGCATAGACAGGCACAGGCTTTTCGTAACATTCGCGCGGCACAGAGCGGCTCAGATTCCTTTCCTCTCGTTGAAAGATAGAGAGTTTCAGTGACACTCCCCCGCTACGCAGGAAGGCAGCGCATTCGTCCCGTCGTCGAGCTCGCGCGCATCGGACGTCATCCCCACCTGTGACCTCTCTCCCTTGCCTCCTAAGGTGCTGTACTGTACTGTACACACCTAAGCCACCAACAAAAACGCTGTCTTTTCTCGATCGCCTACTAGAAAACTCTGACATCGTCGTCACTACAACTGCTAGTCATTATGGCAGGCGGCTTCGGCACAGGCTGCGGCAGCATGCTGCTGGTCCTCGCTCTAGTCCTTGTCGTTCTCCCCGGCAAGGCGGCTGCCTTTGGCGCCGGTAACATCCCGTCGATTGCGCAGGTTGAGGGGCATAACTGGCGACACGGAGGTTCGTAATCGCATCTTAGTCTGGTTTTGAAAGGCCGCACGGGCTGTTCCCACGTCACTCACACTCGTATGGCGGCGCCGTAGACATTGAGGATGTGCTCAAGACGCTTGCCTTTCTGCACGGCAAGAAATGGACCTCGATGATGGTCTCGCGCGTCTACTTTGGCAACTGGCTGAGGGACTACTCGCAGGCTGTCGACGTTGGCAGTCTGAAGGGCGTCAACGCCGCCACCATTCGTATTCTGGTTGGTCAAACACTCGTCTTGCAGCCAAGCTGTCCCGCTGACCGACGTCGCTAGGTCTGGGTGCTGTCTTTCCTGGCCAATGGCTATGCCACCGAGGAATTCGAGGTCACGGATGAGCGCCTCGGTGTCTATCGCCCCGAGGAGCACATTGACAACCCTATGGGCTACGCCGACAACCTGGACGCCCGCAAGTTTGACCCGAGGCTGAGAGGCCCCGTCGACACCCGAGAGCTCGAGGTCGACCAGCGCACCGGCATGAAGAATTACATCGCCAATGAGCAAGGACCCTGGGCCACCAGCGCCGGCTACCTGCGCTTCAGCTTCGCCCGTAGCATCCACTTCGGCCGCGTCTATACCAGCGGCGCCAACGGAACATCGGGCAAGGAAGCCGACCTGTGCGAGGCCCTGAGGTGCCTCGGTCAGGCTCTGCACTGCATGGAGGTAGGCTGATATGATTCTTGACACATTGCTGGCCCTGGACTGTGCCGACACTCACACCCTTTCAACAGGACTTCAGTGCCCACAGCAACTACTGCGAACTCGCTCTCATCGAGCTCGGTCATCGTGAAGTCTTTCCTCACTGCGGATCCTCTACTCAAATCTCCCTGAATAACAAGAGAGTCTACCCCCTTGTTACAGGTCAGTCAGTGCCGAAAGAGAAGAGGCAGATAAATTAGCACTGCTTTGGCTGACATGTGTAAAGGAACCTTTGGTGCTGTTGACTTTTTGCATTCGGTCCTCGGGTAGGTGAATTTGTACTGCCATTGTTGTGGCATCAGCTAACCTCGCAACCAGCGAGGCTACCGACCATTTCACCCAGTCCGAGGTCGATGAGATGAACACGGCCCTCAAGAACGCCGAAGAGCTTAGCAAGAATACCAGCGGTAACCTCGGTATTTCTTCCAACCGTGGCATCTTTGGTTCAAGCTCGGGAGGCGGTGGCACAGACATCATCTCTCTCCTCTCCCAGCTTCCCGGAGTTGGTGACGGATATGCTGCTCAGGCCAGAAATCTCAAGGCCGCCTCGGCGGCAAAGGAGCAGGAGAACGCCAGGGCTGCCAACTCCAACATCGTCCCGGGAATGAGCCCTGACTTTGATCCGGTCAAGGTGGTTGGCCAAATATACCCCATCCTTGAGTTCCGCGACAAGATTGTCAGGTCCATTAGCAACATGATCGCTAGGATACCCGGCTTGGAAAGCTTGCTTGAGAAGATTAGCGAGACCCTGACGGCCTTCGTCTTTGGCCTCTTGGCACCCTTTGTGAGGCCTGTTATCAACCAGGTTTCCAAGGTGTTGAAGGACGGGTCTTCGAATGTCATCAGTGCCAGCGCCAAATCACAGCTGGAGCCGTGGACCAATCCCCGTTGCGATAATCCCACCCACTCAATGCTTTCCAAGGACCATTTTACCAATATCCTTAACTCGTGTGCGGGCCGAGTTGCCGCGACCGTCCTCCAATACGTTGTTCCGTATGTTATCGTCCCCTGCCCGCATCCCTAACAGCTTACTAACTGTATAGCCGCGTTATCTTCGCCTGGGAAAACCCCGGAGTGCCTGTGGAGGAAGTCGTAAACGATGTCCTCCGCGCCTTCCACCACCCAGCCATTCGTGACGATCGTATTCAGATCCAGCGCGAGATGTTTGAGACGGTGCGCAGCTGGGCCAATGAGTCCAAATACCGCAACGAGCTCGGCCGGGTTCTCTCGTCCGAATCGGTCAGGGCCGGCAAGAACCACATTCTTGCCACCGGCGCCGGTACCGGCAGCCGTTCTATAGAGGGCGGGGGCCATTCGTGCGACGGTGGCCACGGCAAGCCCACAGGCTCGCTCTGGTCCCAGATCCAGACCTCTCGGGAAATGTCAACCTCACCCGCACCCGCGCAGGCTGCGCAGCACCGCCCACTCTCTTCTGAGTACGGCGTTCAACCGCAGCCGCCGAGCGGCTACAGCGGTCAAGTCCCTCCGCAGAACTACGGCCAGGGCTATCCAGCCCAGTATCAGCAGCCGCAGCAATATAACCAGCCACCGCAGCCCGGCCCAGGCGGTTATTACCAGCAACCCCAACAGTCCCCACCGCAGCAGTATGGTGGTGGCGGCCCTGGATATGGCTCGCCGCCGCAGCCCCAGTACCAGGGTTATCCCGGCCAGCAGCACCACCAGCAGCCCCCTCAGCAACCGCCTTGGGACCAGTATCCCCGTTACTGATGCCCAGAAGTCCCAAATGGGTTTTTTAGGTAGGTAGATATAGGGGTGTTGATGTTTCTGTCTACGTCACTAGAAATCTTGACTGAAAAGTAGACAGGATTTGGGTTTATTCTATTTCGTTTGGCACATCTCTTTCTCTTTGGAGGGATGTTATTAGGGTGCTCGGACTTACAAACCTGCCTCTTGCTTAAATATCAGGCAAGGGAAGGTAGAGAAATCTGATTCAGTCTAGTCCATTAGCCTAGTCTGATCTAGTGATGGGCTACAGCAGAATACCAAAGTGAAACACAACAAGATCAATCACGCAGCCAACCAGGACAACATGGGAATTTCCGTCTGCGTGCTTGACTCACTGGGAACAGTGTTCGTTACCTATATGAACCAAGCCCACCAAACAGCTTCTCGGGTCGAATTTTCCATGCCGCGGAAAACTGCTGGTTGATGACATTCAATTCTGTAATGAGAAACGCCTCCCGCTCTCTACGAAAGCCTGAACTCGAGTCCTGAAGACTAGAACATGGGGAAGAAACGGGAAAAAGGTCAAGGGTAAAGTGGTAAAGGGAGTTCGCGATAACTAAGACAAGCAAGCAAGAACAATGAACGCGAACAGGAATAATAAATATGCTGTATCCCGGGGGGTTTTTTTTTTCCTGTTTACCTCACCGCCTGTTTTCCCCTCCTCCTACCTCTACCCTAAAAACGCTAGTTCTCCTTCTTGAAAAGTGACGATACATAGTAACCTGGGGACATGAAGGCAGGCAGGCAGGTGATGTAGACAATAGCATGCAGCTAATCAAGTAGGTTAACCGACAGGTCTATTGCTGTGTACTCTGCCTGCTCCTGCTCCTGCCCCTGCCTGCCCTGATCATGCTCAGAAAAGATATAAGATACCCATATGTATCGATCTACCCCCTAACCATGGGCTTCCACGCGTAATCCTATATGCGGTCTACCTATGGAGGTCGCATGTATGCATGCATTTCATACCACTAACCCCTCTAAAACCAAATCCCAGACCAAGCTATGCAGTAACGAAAGGCAAGTAGCCTAGGCCCCATATTAAAGAAAAGGAAAAGGAGTAAAAATAAAACCTTCACCGTCTCCCTCTCCGGGGATCGAGGGCCTCGGCGCGGCGAATGTCGCGAATCTCCTTTGTACCGAGGCTGCCGACGCCGCCCTCGCTGCGGCGCTCCCAGCCGCCGAGGCGGACGACGAGGCAGGTCGCATTATCACCGTCTGCCGAGATCTCGGTGGCGAGCTCGACGACGTGGCGGGCGCCCTCGTCGGGGGTGCGGGCCTCCTTGATGACGTCGACAATCTCCTGGTCGGCGAGGGTGCCGCTGACGCCGTCGCTCACGAGGACGAGGAACGAGTACTGGGCGGGGCCGAGCTCGACGCGCGACACGTCGGGCTCCGCCGAGACGCCGATGCGCTTGCTCTGCATGTCGCCAAAGGCGCGGCTGTTGGCGAGCCCCTGGATGCGCTCCTCGCCAAACGAGTCCGTGACGAGCGACTCGGCGAAGCGCCGCAGCCGCCGCGACTCGGTCGGCGACGACGGGTGGTGGTCGCTCGTCAGCGGGCGCGGCAGGCCCGTAGCCGTCTCGCACAGCAGAATGCGCGTGTCGCCCACGTGCGCCACCACCAGCGTGCTGTGCGCGCCCGGGTGCCAGAAGGGTGCGGGCGTCGGCGTCGAGATGAGGGCGACCGAGGCCGTCGAGCCGCCCTTAAAGCGCACCGACCCGCCTATGCCGTGCCCCGACGGTGGGAGGTGTGGGCTGCCGAGGATCTCGTCGCGGTTGAGCGGGAAGTCGGACACGTACGGGTCGTCAGGGTCCGGCTTCCGAGCCTGCGCCGTGATGAAGTCGAGGTCGGCCCGGAGAAAGGCGTACGTCAGGACCGACTCCAGGCTCACTGGCTTCGAGACCACCGAGCCGTCGGGCGACGGTGATGATCCTGGCCTGGGGACTTCGGGTATGCTAAAGTGCTTGGGGCGAAAACGCCGGAAATACCCCCCCACCGTGTTCCTGTATTCTTCTACAAGCTCCGACTCAAGCTTGATGGCCTTGTCAATATCTACATTTGCTGCCAGAGGCTCTTTGCTCGGGAGGGGCTCAATGTGGGGGGCCTGCTCTTTCACGCAGCCGTCAACAATGTCCGGGACCCTGAGCTTATCCTGGACTTCTTCGGCGCTCTTCATCTCGACCCGGTTCAGTGTCGTCTCCTTGTCTGGGAGTGAACTGATGGTTGTGTCAACTGGCTCTGGTTTGCTTGTCTGGGCTTGCTCCGCTGAGGTCTGGTTTTGCTTTTGCAAGCTGCTCTGCAGGCGGAACTCGGTTGCAGCCTCTTCGATGTACCCGTGAAGCTCGTCACGGAGGAACTCGCTGCACTGGCTCCCGCCGTGGCCATCAAACACACCAAAGTAGAAGATTTGGGGGTCCCCAAAGGCACTGTCGGCACTCGTGCCCTCAGACCTGGACATCTGGCTGCGTACTAGACTGACAGGGGCTCGTTTGGCGAAGGCAGGCATTCCAATTGTGCCCGCCTGGTGCGTGTCCTCGTTATATCCCCGTTGCCCGCGCAGGTTGGAGACGCCGAAGTGGTGCTTGGCACTCCGCAGAGGTATACGGACGACGGTCAGGTCGCGACTGGGCATGTTTGGGGGTGACACAGCCGGCGAGGAGCCAGGGCCGGGAGTGTGTGGTGTCGAAGCAGACCGTGGGAGCTTGTGATGGGGGCCGCTTGACGACCTCGAATCGGGGTGTAGGGAAGACGACGGCAAGTGGGTTACAAAGTAGTTGTAGAAACTTCGCCGGGGCACTCGTCGGTAGCAGTCGCAAGGGTATATGGCTGTGTCGTGGAGTGCAAAGGTTGAAGCACCAGAGTGCGGATGGGCGTGACGGCGTCCTGCTGCCAAGCCCGTCGCTGTGTAGACCGACATGCTGTGATGCTTCAATTGAGCCTTTCCGCCGCCGTGGAGGAAGAATGTGGCGACGTAGCCCATGAAGGCATCGAGGAGATTCGTTTTCGATCTTGCTGTTGTTGTCGTCGTCGAGAGCGCCTCAGCTAGTGTCTTTGCCCGAGTCGGCCCGACAGCAACAGGTCGGCAGGGGAATCGCGCCATTGCCGCTACTGTGGAGGGCGCAGTTCTATACCCAAGAGAAGCTGGAGAGTGTTGCCGTCACGGAATCCGAGGCCATGGGCACCACGAGCAGGGCGTCTCCGACGAGTTGGGTGAGGCTGACGAGCCGAGCTTGCTTTCGTTTCGTTTCGTCGTTGGGGGGTTCGATTCGGAGTGAGACCCTCCCCACCAAAAATATAAGGCCCAGTGTTGGCCAAGCTTCAGTGCTCCCATGTTTCAAGCACTGCTGCAATTGGCAGGAACCGAGGACATGTCTTTCAAGTTTTTTTTCCCCCTTTTTAACTTTTCTCTTCAGTCCGAGAAACTTCTTGCTCAAGCCTAGATAATTGTTTCTCATACATTATAACCAAAAATGTCAACAGGAAAGTGAACAAATTCTTTCCATGGGCGACGCTTGGAGAAACGTTGAGGTTCTGCTAGGGCGCCCCCACAGCGCTAGGTGGTTGTCAAGCCCCCTGACGGCGGCGGTGTGATACCGATTGACAAACGCCAATGCCACTTGGAGTTGAGCCCACGTCATTTTAGTCGCCCTGACCTGACAGCTGGAGCCCGGAGAGACAGACAGGGGACTGGCTGCTTTGATTACCTAAGGGAATTCGTTAGTTGCGCGCGAGGATTAGATTAAGACTTCTCTTCGTACAACTAAGAGACAACTGGCGGTATGTTCTGGGTCTATTTTCACGTTCCGTCAAATGGGCTGCGCTCTCAGTTTCCCAAAATAGACACTTCTTTTTTCGTTGTTTTTAATCTTCTTCTTTGAAAGAAATAGACCACAGGCTCATGTCCCATTTCCCCTGAACGGCGTCGAATGACTACATTTCCCGAGACGAGAGACGCAGCCTGGAGACCGGAGACGTTAGCCTGCTAGTTTTTTTCCGTGAATAAACGACAGAAAAAAGGTCCTCGTATTCACTGCCTATACGGTATAGGTTGTGGAATTTTCAGGACGGGGTGGGATTCTTGGGAACTTTTGAAAGGTGTACCCTGAAAGGGCCTGAAGGGACCTTAAAGGAACAACCTGGACAGGTTTGGCCCTGAAGTTGCCTGACAGCCAAGAATTCCTTCCAAAGCCTACCATACCTACCCTACAGCCATGAGCGACTCCACATCTATCACCGACAACAGCTCTATCACGGCGGAACCCGATGTGGTTCAGATCGTGCCAGACGGCAATGTCCTACTGGACGTAACGTTTGAAACTTCTAGGGCAGTGCTCAGGGCGGCAAGGAGAGCGTCCAAGTCTAGGCCCGGCTTGCAGGTCGTGTCGCCAACCTTTAAGCCCAAGGTCAGGCTCAGATACAGGGTCCGACTCGAGGTTCTCAAGCAGCACTCCAAGTATTTCTTCAACCTCCTTGGAGATACTAGGTTTTCCGAGGGCAAGTCCATAGCGGACGCCTTTGCGAGGCTAGCCCTGCGCCATGTGAATCCATCCGACGCCGAAGCCAAGGACCTACCCGTCGTCCAAATCCACGAGGACGACGAAGCCACCAAAACGGCCGGCCAAGAGGCTGCCTTTGAAGGCTTGTTGAGGGTTCTCCATGCCAAGGATGTCACCACAAAGCCCGTGACGATGCAATATCTGGCAACGCTAGCTATTCTGGCTGACCGTTTCGACTGCGCGCTGCCTGTGTCAAAGTACTTGATCCACAGTCTGAAATACAAGTGGCCAGCAACCCAGACGCGGCTGTCGAGGGACGACGGCCCAGCTCTTACTCGGGCTGCAGAAGAAACGCTCCGCCAAAAGATACTTGTGTCCTGGCTGCTCGATCAACCGCTGAAAATGCCTGCTGCTACTCGTGAACTCATAATGTACGGCTCGAGAAAATGGAGTGCTCTGCACGACGACGAGGAAGCGGCCGACGGCGCAATGTGGTGGGATCTCCCGGATGGGCTTGAACGTGAGTGAGCAAAGACCCCTTTTTACCTCCAACCCGCCTCCCAGGCCCTGTCGGGTATATTAACGGGCTCCGTGAAGACGAACTACAATATCGGCGCCAGTGCATTGTAAACACCATCGCGTCTTCCCTGCGCCACTTCCTCCAGCTGTACTCGTCTCGCGTACGGCAATGTAAACTCGGATATGACTCCAGTGCCAACTGCGACTCGTACCAGCTCGGGGAGATGATCAAGTTCCTCTTCAGCCGCGACATGCTGTCCCTCGTCGACTTCTCGTCCAACTCGTTCGGCGGCGAGCGGGACCACGCCACCGACGACCTGGGCCACATAATCGCGACGCTGAAGCAGTGCCCCAGCTACCAGATCGACAAGAACCACACCAATTGCGGCCTCCGGACCCGCATCATACCCATTCTCGACTATATCCAGGCCATGCTCTCGTCTAACATAGTGCCCATCGCGAGGCATGTCTGGAAAAATGACAGGGACTCGGCGTCCTGGCTGCGCGGCAGTGAAAACGACCAAGAGCCACCTGCCGTCGGCACCGGCGGGGGTGGTGGTGAAGAAGAACGTGTCTTTCGCTTCACCCGCTCCACGGCTACAGACCAGCGGCTTCGGTACGAAGGGGCGCTGGCATCGGACCGGGCCGCCCGGGCATTGTTCACGGCAGATCGCTGGGACTGGACTCCCGAATATTAACCAACAGGCCAAGCTGCGAGACCAACGGCCAAAGAATAATCCAAGAAGAAAAACTCAGACCATCACAATGGGAAACATGTGCATTGCGAGCTCCGCGTGAAGGCTATCTTCTGTTAGGTACAGAACACGGACTGCGCGTGTTGTTTGTAGTCCAATACTTCACTGTACTTGATATCGTGAAGGGAGCCGAGGGTAGTTTTTTAACATCGGGCCTCGAACCTCGGCCACCCAATCAACCAATAGATCAATCATCACGCATTACTCATCTGCTCTCATACTTACAACTCCCTCCTCGGGATGGATTACAGAGTTGCTAGAGTATGGATATTGTCCATCCAACACTTTGTTCATATCATGTCATATTTTGTCTTGGCATACTGACCAATGACGCCGCATGTTCATCTCGCCTCGTCAGCACTCGGTTTGCTCATCGCCCGCGGACCTCTACACCAAACGAGTCAACTTTGACATATCATTATAAAATTTAACAGCCTCATTCTTCTCTGCTACCATATGAAGGCCCGTCCTCAGCACTACCTACTTCAATAAAATAATAGACTGGCGCCTTCGCTGATATCTTTTTGTCGCTTCCTTCTCTCATTTCCCTTTAATCTTTGGGGCATTTTATACCCTAGACTGCCTTATTTCCTGCTCAGTGTGACTTCCAGATGAACCGACTCTCTCAACGATCCCGTCGTTCTCACTCTCCTGGCCTTTCTCCTGCCCGGCAACTGGCTGTGCTACCGACTTTGGCTTCCTCAGTGGCCAATGGCCTTTGACCTCGCGGAATCTCATTACGACGAACATGGAAATGACAAAGATCCAGTATACGTTATAGGAGATTACGGAACCATAGGTTGCCGAGTTGGTCCACCCCAGGATGGCGTTGAAGAAGCCCCAGCCATTGCCGCCCTCGGATTGGGGGCTACAGCACTGCATGTTTTCAGTCAGCACGGAACATGGTGTTGACTTATGCCGGAAGGAAATCTTACGTTGACATGCCAAACGGATTTGGTAATATCATAGGATCCCGGGCCGTCGCCGAGCTCGGCAGCGTCGCTCCCCACAAGCGTATTCCATTTTTGCTGCTCGAAATACCACACGGCACGAGAAAAAAGGCCGGCGGCGACAAGATATAGCAGACACGTCGACGCAACGAGGAAGACTTGCAACTTGGTCGAAGATCCGCTCCTAAATTCGAATTCAGCAACTCGGTCAAAAGCAATGCATATATGACAAACTCACTTGTAAAGGATGTAGCCCACAACAGCCCCAGCGAGGAGCCCGACAATGACTGGGAGAGGAACAGCGCTGGCGGGAGCCGAGAATGTGACCCCGGCGACGAAGACGATAGCCTCGATCCCCTCTCGCAGAACCGTAATAAAAGGCAGGGCAAACATGGCGTACTTCTCAAGGAAGCGCTTGATGACACCTTTTCTGCCACCCGTCCTGATGGGCGCCTCGAGAGCAACTGCGAGCTTTACTCGCCATTTCTCCTGCATCTTGCCGATCCGAAGGAGGGCGACACCGACCGCGGTGATGATTACCGACGCAATCAGAGAGAAGGCGCCTTCATAGTTGAGCTCCGAGTTCTCCCACCTGTTGCCGCCAGCCGTGTAGAAGACTCCGATGAGGGCGCCGCCGATGACGAGGCAGAGAAAGAAACCCAAGCCCGTGCCGAGCCAAACCTAGGGTCCGTGTCAGAACAAGAGCGAGATATTATTTTTGAAGGGGTTAGAGATTATCCTACCTGTCGGACCAGCTTCCTGTACACTTTCACATCTCGGTTGGGACCATCAAGGGTCTGCTTGAGGAAAGCAAGCAGGACAGAGATGATGATGACCGTCTCCAAGGCCTCTCGGAAAACGACCAGGAAGATTGGCACAGAGAAAACGTCGACAGCCATGGCTGCTAGTACTGGAGGTAAGGCGGCGGTGTGGCGATGTGGTGGTCGATGCGGTGGTCTTGGTCAAATTCACCCAAAGACTGACAGAGTGAGAACTTGGGACTGGGGAGGCGAGGGACACGACAAGACGATGGCTTTCTCGTGCTGTATTGAACGTGAAAGAAATGAGGAAGAATCGGGAGCACCCTCTTCAAAAGGCTAGCCAATTATGCACCGCCCTAACCGAACCTACAGCTGCGGATCGCGGCGAGGGAGGGATGGGATGTCGAGGGTCCAAGGGGGCGGCTATCAGTTGATCTGATAAAAACCATTAGATAATCAGAACATCCATGGGTACAGGCCGGTGTGGGGGACAGGGGCACAACAAGCCGATTCCGGCCTGGGGACTCGGCAAATCAGGGTCTGAGACAGGATGGCCCTTAGCTCTTCCGTCCAACTCTGCAGAGACACCAGACGGACAAACAGGGATTTGGTGGTCGGGCTCTCAGAGACCACAAAAATGGATTTTCCTCTGAGGTTACAGCAACAAGTGAAGAGGGGAGCGAATCGACCAACTAGACCAAGCCTTCCAACCCGTCTCTCGGATGGGGTGGTTGGCGAAAACGCGGAGGGCAAGCATGGCCCGACATTCTTGTCAGATTCCACCGAACTATTGAAGAGTGTGGTGCCACGTCCTCGTCTATCTCGACTTATTTCGGCACGCTAGAGCGCACCTTCCAACAAGGTGGGTGGGTGGATGTCTTAGACGCTGTCGTACATTAAGTCCCTCACGTACACTGGGAGCTTGGGTCATGGTGCAACTCGAGGCTATTACCGGGCGGAATCGAATACGCTTTTGCTGCTACGGCGGCTACTTTACGGGGACCGCAGCCATATGGCAGATCGTGCTTGGCGTGATTTGTCTCGCCGGCACCCATTCTATCGAGCTTAGGACTTGGCTTGGCTCGTGCCTACCACACCCTCTCGCCTCAACAATTAGTCCTTTTCCCCACCCGGGCTCCATCGTTCCTGCTGCCAAGTTCCTGCCACGCATAGCCAAGCACGGTTAAGCGTCTCGAACGTTGAACAAGCTTCGCAGATCACATTCTTTTCCCCGCGGTAGTTGCTCGCCGGGCTAGGCTGCAGGTGCCTTCGACTAGACCGTTATCCGAGAAGGACCCCTTTGGGAAAGACAACAAAGGATGAATGGAAGAAGAAAAACCACTGGGCTCGTTGCACTGGAGGAATTGTTGGCTCAAACGAAACACACAAGATCTAGCACGCGGCATAGAATCTATGCCCGAGCGTATCATTTTACGACTTAGGGTCCTTTCTCCTCCCTCATAAGATAGACCGAGGCCCGTCATCCGATTTTTCCTTGCATCCTGGAGCCGGAACGTCGTCTGCAGCATGGAGTCGTCCCGCATGGTCCCCGGCCCAGTGGCCAATCAGCTTTCTCTTCTCCACGTTCGATCAGATAACTAAAAGTCACGCGGTGTGAGTGCCTCGAAAGCCTATAGGCTGCGACCGGGGTGCCTGCCAATCTGATTGATTGATAAGATTTTCGTTCACGACCCCCTGCTCGCGCACCCCCCTTGAGACGAAACCTACGGCGTACAGTGTAGGAACTAGTAGTAGCCCGCCCACAGCTCGTACGACACTCCGTTCTCGGCGGGACATGCTGTCTGCTGGTGGGGACGGTCTCGCCCGAGCTCTGGAGAGGAGGAAGGACGGAAGGGAGGAAGTAGCGAACAGTTTCTCTGGGAGGTGGGAAGTTGGAGCAATAGTGGAAGGTGCAGTATGCATCTCAGCTAAGGTATTGGTATCTACCTGTTACGTACCAGGTTCCAGGTTGTTCGCCCTCTGGGACAAAGCAGAAAGCTTGCCCATTGATTAAGCCGTTCATATATCCATCCGAAGATCGAGCCCCAAAAATCGAGGGTACCTGAGGCTGGTATTATGCAAAGCACATACACGCAAACACAAAACAAACAACGAAACAAGACCAAGACACACGGACACCCAAAGTGGACAAAAAGGACAAAAATAATTTCTTCAAAAAGCTAAACAAAAAAGAAGCGGCTTGTCTCGTCTCTCGTCTATCGGCCTAATCAACAAAAATGGCCTGGCTACGGCCGCCCCGTCTTTCGTCCCTGGTGCGCCAGCTGGGTTTTCTAGCTCTGGCGAGCGCTGCTACGGTTAAGTATGACTTTGAGATCGGCTGGGTCACGGCCAATCCCGATGGCATGGCAGAGAGGTCGACGATTGGCATCAACGGCCAGTGGCCCTTGCCCAGAATCGAGGCAAACGTCGGCGACCAGATCATCGTCAACGTGCTCAACTCGCTGGGCGACCAGTCCACGTCGCTTCACTTTCACGGCCTGTTCATGAACGGGTCCAACCACATGGACGGCCCAAGCCAGGCCACCCAGTGTCCCATTTCACCGGGGTCTCGCTTTACCTACAACTTTACGGTATGGGAAATCCAGAGCTGCAAAGCAGCAAGGAAGATGACTAACATGCACATGCGCAGATCGACCAGCCGGGCACGTACTGGTATCATTCGCACGACCATGGCCAGTATCCCGACGGCCTGAGGGGGCCGCTTATCATCCATGACCCCGACTCGCCCTTCAAGGACGACTACGACGAAGAGCTGGTTTTGACCGTCTCGGACTGGTACCACGATCAGATGCCCGGACTTCTTGACTTCTTTATTAGCAAAGCCAATCCCACCGGAGCCGAGCCGGTGCCTAACTCGGCCCTGCTCAACGACACGCAGAACTTGAAGATCTCGGTCGAGCCCGGGAAGAGGTACCTGTTCCGCGTCATCAACGTAGGAGCCTTTGCCGGCCAGTACCTCTGGTTTGAGGGCCACAACATGACCATCATCGAGGTCGACGGCGTCTACCACCAGCAAGCCGAAGCCACCATGATCTACCTCTCGGCCGCGCAGCGCTGCAGCTTCATCATCACGGCAAAGAACGACACCTCGGAGAACTTCCCCATCGTTTCCAGCATGGACACGTCTCTGTTTGACAAGCTCCCGGACGACCTGAACTGGAATGTGACTGGATGGCTCACATACGACTCAACAAAGCCATTTCCCGACCCGGCCGTGGTTGACGGAGACTACGAACCCTTTGACGACTGGACCCTCGTGCCCTGGGACAACCAGACCATCTACGGCGAGCCCGACCAAAGCATCTCGCTGGACGTCATCATGGACAATCTCGACGACGGCGCCAACTAGTACGTTGTCTGTGTCCGCCCCTGGAAAACGGAATCCGCGTGCTAACTCCACGTGTGCAGTGCCTTCTTCAATGACATCACTTACAGAGCCCCCAAGGTCCCCACGCTGTATACGGCCTTGAGCGCGGGCGAGCTGGCAACCGATGCGACTGTCTACGGCAAGTACACGCACCCATTTGTGCTGGAGAAGGGCCAGGTGGTCGAGATTGTAGTGAACAATATCGATCCCGGCAAGCACCCGTTTCATCTGCACGGTCACAACTTCCAGGCCGTCTGGCGCTCCGAGGAAGAGGCTGGCACGTTTCAAGATTCGGGCGTTACCTCGGCCAACTTCTCAGAGGTCCCCATGCGGCGCGACACGTTCGTCCTGTACCCCAACGGCAACATTGTCTTGCGTTTCTTAGCTTATAACCCGGGTATGTATCATATCTGTTCCATTTCAATCCCTTTTGTTGCTGACTCTCGGGGATAATTAGGTGTCTGGCTCTTCCACTGCCACATCGAGTGGCACGTCCAATCAGGCCTCATGGCCACCTTTGTTGAGGCGCCCCTCGACCTGCAAAAGTCTCTCGTTATTCCCCAGAACCACAAGGACGCCTGCGCTGCTGCCGGTGTTCCCACTGTCGGCAACGCAGCTGGCAACTCGGCCAACTATCTCGATCTGTCGGGACAGAACGTCCCGCCGGGCTTGATACCTGAGGGGTATGTCTTTTCTGTCTTGTTGGGTTTTTTTGAAACCCCCTGAACCCCTTTTATGCCCTCTATTATTGCCCCGTGGCATATAATTATAGCAAAACATCCTATAATCGTGCTGGTGTTTAACATAATTACACCGGGGCTAATATATGTCGTCTTGCTAGGTTTACCACACGCGGCATCGTCGCTCTCGTATTCAGCATCATCAGCGGTCTGCTTGGTGTGGCCGTCATTGCCTGGTACGGCTTCGTCGGCATGGCTGACCAGCCAGCTGTCGAGCCTGCGGGTGCTGGCGTCGTCTCACCTGCGGATCCACCTGTGGTCGTGGCCGAGCCCAAAGGTCCGACACCTACAGAGGTCTCGTTGGTGGATGGTGCTGGCGGAGGAGGAACAAGAACATAAAAAGGGGTTGTTTGGTTTGAATATGCCGGATTGATTTCTTATTGGTTGTGTGTTTGGCGAAATGTAAAATTAGGCACCTGCTTGATGATATCCGGCCGGCTGGCCATGAGTTGTTTGGAAGGCGAAATTGATAGCTAGCTAGCCCCAAAAGACTTGGCCCTATACATAGGAGTGAATTGGGTGAGTTCAGCAAGCATAAATTTTTTGATGTCCTGTTGCTGAGATATCGCATCGAATCTCTATCTGGGACATAACTAAGGTACCTACCTACCTACTACAGAAAGCAGGCGGCAGTCATATGTCCCATTCTCTGTTACTGTCTGACTGCTGTGGATGGAATCTATCTTGCGGTGGAGCTGTGGAACAAATGTGCTGATCAATAATTAGGTAGCTCCGAAAGAAACGACGCGGACACCATCTGAGCATCTGAAGTATTTTTTGCTCTCCTCTGCACGCATGTGTTACTTGCGTGCCGCATGCACATATCAAAACAAAACAGGCAGGCAGGTAGCTTGGTGTCGTGTCCTGCTGCGCAGCGGTATCTTTTGTCGTTGTACTTGTTCATATACAAGGTTGGTAGGCAAGCTAGGCTTCTTCTTTCTGTTCTATTAATAGTAGTGTGGTTGGCTTGGGTAGAGTAGGCAGGTAGGCAAGTGGGTAGGTATGTGATTTGTTCTTTGTGATTGCTCCCTTCGAGAAGAAAGGAGACGGAAAAAAAAAAGGGGGGGGGGGGGAAGGGGAAACGAGAGAAAAGTACAAGAAAAAAGAAAGGGCGGCGTTAACTAGGTTCTCTGTGATGGAGGAAGGCTACCCTGGGTACGTACTCCTGTCACATATGAGGGTGCCATGTCATGTAGCAACTGGGTGAGTGGACGTGTTATATTTGTTTCCCTCTCAAGTTCCCCACAGCCCAGCCAGGCTGTTGTTTACTCTGAGTTACAGTCCAAGAAAGAAACAAGTAAACAAACAAACAGAGCTAGCCATGTAATCCTGTGTATACCGGCAGTTCCCTCGTCCGAAAAAAATTTAAGGACACAACCTAGTGTTGTGTTGTGTTGTGTTGTTACACGTTGCCCACCTACTTTGTAGCCTGGTTGTATTTTGTTTAGGTTTATTTATTGTTTTCCAATTCTGGTTACACTTACCGATTCAGGGGATTGACCAGGTACCAACGAATCTCGTGTTCACGTCTCCAGATGGCCAGGTGTTCGTTAGCCGACGTCTCTCGAGCGCAGCGAGCAGCCCGCCGCAGGGGCCTCCGGAGGGCCGCCGGAGGCATAAGTAACATCGACGGATCCTACCAAATAAAAGCGGAAAAAAGTAACAGCATGTGGCATTTCACGGATCTGACATAGATGTGGAGTTTGGGCTACACTGAGGGTAGGCGTTCAGACTCGTACCTGGCTAAGTATTTAACGAGGTAACTATGCCGTAGTAGCAAGAGTAACAGCAAGGGCAAGAGCAAATGTCTATTTATTGTCTATGTGGAAGCGTTCTCGCTACAAACCCAAATTTCTCCTTTGTTTTTTAGTCTACCTACCTCGCATGTTTAGTGCAACAACCAAGTCTGGTCCTGCTTGTCGTCCTTGCCGTCGGGGCCGAACGAGACCTTGATGTTGACGCCGCGGGCGTGGCCGTCGGGGGTGACGTACTCGATGACACCGCCGATGTGTTTCTGGGCGGCGTCGACCTTGGCGAGCTTCTTCTTGTTCCTGTCGTCGAGCAGCAGCAGGCCCTGGCGCCAGTGGGTGGGGGCACCGAAGGGCCCGGTGGTGAAGGCGACGAGGCCGGCGTCACGCTTGGCCGGGTCGGCGACCCAGTCGAGGGCGGTGGTGGCGGGGCCGATCATGTCGGGTGGCACGTGGCGCGACTGGGCGAAGAACATGTCGAACCACACGAGGAAGCCGTCGACGTCGGCGGGGGCCGTGGCGGCATTGAGGGTGGTGTGCCAAGGGGCGGCGAAGACTAGGTCGGCAACAGTGGTGGTGTGCAGGTCCAGCACGCGGAAGGCGCGACGGGCGGTGTCACTGGCGTCGCACACGGCAGCGGCGGGCAGCACGTCGGGGCGGGCGTCGGCGAAGATGCCGCGCTGCATGGGCGCCATGTCGAAGCCGTAGACATCGCGCCAGAAGCTGATGTTATCGGCCACGTAGGAGGCATCGGCCACGGGCGCCATCCAGATGGACGCGTGGCTAGGCACCAGCAGCCCGTCGGCGGCCAGGTAGCGGTCGCGCGCCCAGATGACGCTCGGCAGCATGGCCTCGTACAGCAGGCAGTAGCCCATCCACTCGCTGACGATGATGTCGACCGACGCCACCGGGAGGACTACCTCCTCGATGCGCCCCTTGAGCGTCGTGATGACGTTGCCCAGCCCATTGCTGTAGATGTTCTCGCGCGCCTTGTCGATGATCTCCGACTTGTCCACCGCGATCACCTGCTTCGCGCCTGCGCGGGCGCAGAACATGCTGAGGATGCCTGCGGTGTATTATTAGACTAGGCACTATGCTGTGTGGCTGTCTGTCGTTCCAGGCAAGAGACATGGGGGAAGTGGGAAGATTTACCGGTGCCGCAGCCAATGTCCAGCACGACCTTGCCGGCGAACAGGTGCTTGTTCTGGTAGATGAAGTCGCGGTACGCGTCGGTGCGCACCGCGTCCTTGAGCATGACCTCGTGGATGTCTTGATTTCGTCTTGTCAGCGTCGATATCACTATCATGAATACTCAGAATACCATCCTCACCATTGTGCGCGTACGACTCAAAGTAGTACTCGGACTCGTCCTTGGCAACAACACCCGCGTCCTCGCCAGCCGGCTTAGCCGCCTCCTTGCCTTTGCTTTCAGTACCAGCGGGCGCGTCCTCCCAGCGCTGGTCCAGCGTCTGCTGCACGGCGAGGCGGTAGCTGGAGAACTGCTTGGCGAGCTGCTCGAGCTGGGCCTGCAGCTCCGCGTTCTTCTGCAGGAGGCCGTCGACGCCATCGCCATGGGGAGCGTCGGCAGCGGCAGCGGTGCCCGCAGGCTCGGGCAGGTCGTCCAGGCACAGGATCAACGCGTCGTCGTCGAGCACGGGCTTGAGGTAGCCGTCGTCGTCGAGGTCGGCCGCCGTGATGTCGGCACCTGACACGGCAATGCCCTCGTGCACGCGCTGCCTGACTGCGGCGACTTGTCAGCGGGGGCTGTCACTTTTCTAGAGGGAATAAAATACGCACTGAAATTGATGAGCTTGACGGTACCGTGGAAGTCGAGGGCCAGGCGGTCGCGCACGCCGACAAAGTCGAGGCCGTGCTCGTCGCGGCAGTAGGCCAGCATGGAGGTGGCGTCGGGGAAGACGCGGTCGTCGACGAGCGAGATGACGGCGAGCGCCTCCTGGTCGTCATCGTCGTCGCCGTCCTGGTCGGCGTCAAGCCACTCGGCCTCTTCCGAGACCGACGACGAGGTCGACGACCCCGACGACGAGCGGGCCTCGTCTCGCTGGCTAGGTGCAGCGGCCATGGCTTCTGATTATATATATGTCTATATATATTTCCTTATTTTTCTCCCTTTTCAGAGGCAGAAAATAACAGGCCGTTAAAATCCCACAACCGGATCTGTGAGAGAGGGGTTGAGGGGCGTGAGTGAGGCTTTGTGAAATTTTTTATATATATGTATGGCTGTATATATAAAATTTATCGTGGCGCGCCAAGTACTCACAAACCACCCACAGCGAAACGGGGGAAAAAAAAAAAGGGTTCGGATTTTTTTTGTCGCCCAATTGAACTGCAGCGACAGAATGTGTGTGGGTGAGAGTGACAAGGGTAGCGCAGAGGGAGAAGAGGAGAAAGTTGATGCGATTTTAGGTAGGTAGCTACGGTGGATAAGGCAGGCTCGACTCGATTGACATGGTAGGCTCTAGGCACAATTCCATACAGACTGATCAGACGGAAGGGATACATGTGAGCGGCATTTCCATATGTTTAGGTTGTTGATGTATTTTACTTCGCTTGGCTTGTATTGCATTGTACTTACGTGGGTAGACCTAGGTGACACGCAGAAATGCATGAATTAGGTTGCCCTGCCCTGGGCCACGCGCATGAACAACACAACATAGCACGTCCCAAAGCTTGGCTGTTTATTTACATTTTCTCTCCAGAGGGCAGCCGGCGACTTGCAAGCCTAGCCGTTGGGAGCCGGGGCCCCATGCTTTGCGTCTTGCTTTTTGTCCCACCTGTGGAAGCTGTGTGTCCTTCGCATGCATCGTTGTCTCGATACCGATATCCACAGTCTAAGCTCCGTCATTCGGGGCACCATGTATTGGGTTGTTGTGGGAGAGCCGTACAATGTTGCAGAAACAAAACCGAAAATAGCCTTCCCTGCGTACTATTTCCGATGCGTTTGTGACTGGCAGCCCGTCGCTGGGGTGGCGCTGATGTGAAGAGCTAGCTTTGTTGACTTTCAAGACGTCGAGTTGAATGCGGCTGTTGCGCTAGTTCCTCTCTCTATTCACTCATCGTCCTCCTCTTCGCCATCGCCATCCTCGTCCTCGCCGTCTGACACCGTCTCACCTAAGGACTTGAGCCGTTCCTAGAGTAAATGCCATGTCAGTCATGCCAAGAGTGCCAGGCAAGTACGCTGCTAGATACGATGATCCCAGCTTGTAGCTAACCTTGTATTTTGTGACCTTGTCCTCGAGGTCGCTGAACACGATGAGAAGGTCGTCGAGCTCGCTCTGCACTGTCTTGCGCTCTTCCTCCTTTGCCTCGAGTTGTGCGCTCGACTGGGCCTGGTTAGCTTTTTCTGGGCAAAAATTTTACATTCTCGCCGTATGCTTTTCTGAGTGAAAAAGCACATACCTTGCGACCTTCTGCTTCGGCTGTCTTGAGTCGCTTCTCCGTGTCGGCTAGGCCGTCTCCCGCCGCCTTCAGTTTCGCGTCCAGCTCTGCCGCCCTGCCTTCTAAGTCGACCCTGGCCTTGTTGGCTTTCATCAAATCAACCTCGAGGCTTCTAATTGTAGCTGTTAAGTCGGCCTTCTCGGCCTCAAAGCGTCGGCGTGCGCGCTCGGCATCTGACTCGGCTGCCTTGCGGATTGCGTCCGCTTGCCGCTGCAGCTCTTGCTCTTTTGATTTCTGCTCCGCACGCAGCTTGGCCACCTCTCCCTCGTGGTGTCGCTGTAGCCCGTCGTTGACGTTCTTGAGCCTTGCTATCTCGGCTTTTGTGCGTTGGTGGTCCGTCTGCTCTTGGTTCAGCTGCTGGATGAGCTTGGCTGCCACTCCTTCGGCACTCTGCAGCTTGCGGTCCTTGGCCGTAAGCTGGGCGCGTAGAGCATCGGCTGCTGTCGTGGCGCGGGAGACGTCGGCTGAGCTGAGTTCCTTGGCGCGACGGTGGTCTGCCTGCTCTTGACTGAGCTGCCTCTGGAGCGAGGCTCTTGCGGCCTCGGCATCCTGCAGAGCCCTCTCCTTTTCGTCGGCCTGGGCCCGCAGCGAGTCGACTAGCTCTCTCGAAATCCCCTTTTGCACCCCGTTCATGATGACGGATATTTCTAGGCCCGGGTCGCGGTCAATGGCCCGAAGAATGCGCCTGTAGTTGTCCTTGAAGAACTCGACAAACGTGTCGTCGAAAAAGACGTCTGGAAGCTTCTGCTCCGGATTCGAGTCGAGGCTCTGGGGCAGGACCTCGTGGTCCCGCATCAGGGGGTACGACCGCAGCTTGGTCAGTTTCTCGACATAGCGATCGCGGCCCATGCGCGACACGATCATCTCGCGGACTGTCGCCCGCGGCACCGGAGAATCTTTGGTCGAAAACTCATAGACTACGCCCGCCAACATGGCGCTCAGACCCTGCACCATGACATCTCCATTCGGGTTTTCTACGGCCGCCTGAATCAGCCCTTGCAGGTTGGTGAACTCGCCCAGGAAATCATTCACTCCGTCAAGGTCCTCAAACAGCCAGCACAACAGCAGCATCAGGTAGCCGACAATGACACGGGGGTCTTCCGACTTGGGGACGCTTCTGAGCAGGTGCGAAGCAATGGTCTGGATGCTTGTAACGACCTCTTCGCCGCTGGCTTCGTCGCCTTCTGTTACGCCCATGGCCAACGCCTTGGTGGCCGGGTTCTCGTGTATCAGATGGAGCATGAGCACCGAGGCAAACCAATATCTGTAGGGATCTGTCGTGACCGACTCGGGCAGCGGGTGGAGTAGAGTTGTGAGCACGTTGGTGAGCTCGTCGGCCTTGAGCTTGTGGCCGTTGATGGCCCGCGTCAGAAAGTGCCGGCGGATCTCGGCGTGGTTATAGAAGTAGGCCTTGAGGCACGCACAGGCCGCCATCCGCATGTCAAAAGCCTGGGGCGAGCTCACAGCCAGGATGAGATCCAAGAGGCCGTCAATGACATAGACTCTCGGCGTGCTGCCGTTGGACTTGGGACCCTGAGCCTGCCTGGCGGCTGGGCCACCGAGCGGCGCCGGCACCTCGAGCCCGGCGAACTGCTCCTGAATGCGGGCGTTGCCCTTGATCATGTCTGCACAGGTCAACAGCGCCTCGCCCTTGATCTGCAGCTCAACGCCGTGATCAAAGGCGAGGTGCAGGGTATTCTCAAGTACACGCTCGCTTAAAAACGCGAGCTGGTTCTGGGGCGTCCCTGCGGCGCCCGGCACGAGGAACAGCCTGATGACGGCGAGTAGGGCGTATATGTTGCGGTTACGTTGGGCCTCGGCCCACTGAGCGACTTCCTGGTCACCGTCGGCTCCCCAGTACGCGCTCTTTAGGAGGCGCCCCAGCTGTGCAATGAAACCCATCTCCCGGAACATGGACTGATTCGACGAGTTGAGGCGCAGCAGGTTCGCCAGCAGAATCAGACAGTCCTCCACGACCCTGCCCCCCTCAGAGAGGCCGCCTTCCCCTCCTACAATGCTAAAGACACGCTCGAAGCCCTTCTCGAACGCTACGAGCTTCTGAATGTCGACCGAGGCCGGGGTGAGGTCGGTGAGGAGGGCAATGGCCTCGTCGCGGATGGCCTCCCTCCGGTCGTCGAGAACGGCCACGAGCCTGGGGATGCCCAGGGGCGCCGTGAGCACGCAGACCTCGGTCCTCTCGGTGCGGGCCGAGAGCACGGCGGCAAGGAGCTGCAGCGAGTACAGGCGCGAGTAGAAGTCGGCCGTGTCGAGGAAGTCGAGCAGCAAGGTGATGTTCTCCTGGCGCTGGGTAAACTCGTCGGCCAGCCACAGGGCAATCTCCTCGGACGCCTCGGGGCTGTCCTTGTTGGGGCTGAAGAGCATCAGGAGTGTCTCCATGACGACCTTGACCGTGTCGACATCCTCGCCGTCCTTGCTGAGGCTGCCGATCAGGCTCCTCAGGGCGCCCGAGGCCACCGATGCCGGGTACTGTTTGGCAAAGCTCCGCAGGCCCAGGATGGCGGCGCGCCGGTCCTCGAGCAGCGTGGCCGAGCTCAGGCGGCCGCTCAGCACCGCGATGGTTTCGCTCACCGACTGCTTGGCCGGCGCAGCCGTGATGGTCGAGAACATGGTCGAGGTACGGGCGGCTGTGGTTTATCTGCCATGGGGGCTGGATGGGGATAGGGATAGGCGCATCGACGGCGGCTTTCGTGTCGTGTCGTGTTGAATTGTCTAGTCTCGTATCGAGCTCCGAGCTCCACGTCGTCGGGCGTCGAGAACCGAATCAATCCAGCGAATGCAGCTGGCGTCAGCTCTTGGGCGGATCGATTGACTCTTCACTTGCCAATCATAAGCATGAACGGAGGCCTTGCATTGCCTGTGGACGTAGTTGCAATCGTTTTCAACTAGCACCTTGAATAGTGGACAGGTGTACGCTTGGAAGCTTGGAGTTGCAATTCCTCTATCCGTATATTCTATACGTAGCCTACCATTACGAGACCAGTTTAGCAGGCCTGAGTGCTTCGTAAGGTAGCTAAATATTTCCAGCGCCCCAGCCCAGTGCGGTAATTTGTACAGTGTGCGTAAATCAAATAGCTTGTTAAAAAACGCTACACTGGAAATGCAGATTCACGATCGAAGCATTTCACCAAACTAAACTATATAAACAAAAATGAATATTCGACAAGCTCTACAAGATTATATTTCTTCCATTTTACGAGCGAGCTGTGAACGTTGTTACGAACAGGTACTCCATACTGTCCGGATATTGACGGAAGCCCGGTACCTGTACATACAGTATTGGGTTTGGAAACTTACTGCATGTCAAGAACACAGTGGGTCAAGGGTGTTGGGTGATGAAATGACGGCTGATATGCAATATTTTTCTACTGGCTCGGGCATCGAATCCACGCCTCGAAAACATCCTCGGCACCTACTTCGCCCTTTCGCCCTACCTGCCAGAGGTACAGCACCTAGTCGGATATTCCGCATCCCCACCACGGCCAACGCGCATCTCTGTCGCGCACCAGCGGACTTGATTTGAGCAGCGAGCTTTGTTCCGTCTCCAACCAAACCTAGGGATCCCCTTCCAATAAAGACGCTCGCACCAGGCCTTATGCTCGAGACCTGCCGCGTCCCGTCTTTGTCGGCAGCCAGCCTTTCGCGTTCGCCTCTCGCACTGCGTCAACCGGTCGACGCAAGCAGTGGCAACCTCGCTTTCCCAACCACCTACTCTCCGAGATCATTGCATAGGATCGTCGCCACAAGTAACCCCCATGTACATTGAAGAGCTATTAGTGTCGTTTCTTTTTGAAACATTCAGCGCTCACTCTCTCGCTATAGCCATTCGAGGCTAATCCACCAGCATCTGTCTCGTCGCCTTTCTTCGCATAACCTGCTCAGTACTTCAAAATGGGTATTCCCGCCGCATTCCGATGGCTTTCGACCAAATACCCCAAAATAATATCACCCGTCGTTGAGGACCTGCCTGTTGATATGGGAGATGGCAATGTCATCCCCGTTGACGCTACCCGGCCGAACCCCAATGGCGAGGAGTTCGACAACCTGTACCTGGATATGAACGGCATCGTCCATCCCTGTTCACATCCAGAAGATAGGCCGCCTCCCAAGGACGAGGAGGAGATGATGGTTGAGATCTTCAAGTACACTGATCGCGTGGTCAACATGGTTCGCCCGCGCAAGCTGCTTATGATTGCTGTCGGTAAGTTCATATGATTCGGTTTTTTGTCGTGCTCTCAGGCGCGCTTTCGAGATTGAAGAGAAGCTAATGCACCGCAGACGGTGTTGCTCCCCGTGCCAAAATGAACCAACAGCGATCCAGACGATTCCGTGCTGCCCAGGAGGCCAAGGAAAAGGAGGATGACAAGCAAGAACTTCTCAAGATGCTCCAGAAGGACAAGAACAGTACCATGCAACCGGAATCTGTTGAAACTGTCGTCCAGAAGGCTTTCGATTCCAATTCCATCACACCAGGGACGCCCTTCATGGACATTCTTGCGGCTAGTCTGCGCTACTGGTGCTCGTACAAGCTCAATACTGATCCTGCGTGGGCCAAGATGAAAGTCATCATCTCTGATGCCACAGTCCCCGGTGAGGGTGAGCATAAGATTATGGAGTTTGTCCGGTCCCAGCGTAATTCGCCCGAGCACGACCCCAACACCCGCCATGTTATTTACGGCCTGGATGCCGATCTGATCATGCTTGGCCTGGCCACTCACGAACCTCACTTCCGTGTCCTCCGTGAAGATGTCTTTGCCCAGGACAACAAGCCCAGACTGTGCAGAATCTGCAACCAAAAGGGCCACGAGGCGAGAAATTGCACAGGTGAGGCCAAAAAAATGGACGGCGAGTTCGATGAAAAGGATAAGCCCCCACCGTTGAAGCCGTTTATTTGGCTCCATGTGTCGATTCTTCGTGAGTACCTTGCCATTGAGCTTAATGTTCCTGGGCTGCCGTTCGCGTTTAACCTCGAACGAGCCCTCGACGACTGGGTCTTCATGTGCTTCTTCGTGGGAAATGACTTTTTGCCTCATCTGCCTGCCCTGGAAATCAGAGAAAACGGCATCGACACTCTGACCACCATTTGGAAAGATAACCTCCCCCACATGGGCGGGTACGTGACTAAGGACGGCCACGTCGACTTGGAGCGGGCTCAGTACATTATGGCCGGCCTTGCCAAGCAGGAGGACGCCATCTTCAGGAGAAGAAAGGAAACCGAGGACCGGCGCGAGGCCGGCTTCAAGAGACGCCGTCTCCAGCAGCAAGGTAATGGTAGAGGCGACCAAGACTCGCCTCGTTTCGGAAACAATAGGGCCCCGAAAAAGACCCAGGAGTACACTCAACCCCCCCCCGGACTAGAGCTGCACCCCATCACAAACTTCCCGAGCAAGAGGGGTGCCAGAGCCGCCCAGGCAGCGGTCACTCATGACATGGTGGTGAACCGGCGTGCCGTTGAACAGGCCAACACAGCCAATAAGAGTGCCGCAAGTGTGCTCAAGGGCCAGATCCAAGGTCTGATGTCGCAAGCCTCGCAAGTCCCAGCTACGCCTAATGGCAAGGCAGAAACCAGCACCGAGGCAAAGTCATCGCCTCCATCGGCTTTGGGGAAACGCAAGGCGGACCTCATCGAAGAGGACAGTGCTACCACTCCAGGAGCGAACGCGTCAGTGGCCGAGACTCCCGCGGCCACCGAAGAGGATGGCCCGGTCGACACAGTCAGATTGTGGGAAGAGGGATATGCCGATAGGTATTACGAACAGAAGTTCCACGTGGACTCCAAGGACATTGAATTCCGGCACAAGGTTGCGCGGGCCTATGTCGAGGGGCTTGCGTGGGTTCTGATGTACTATTTCCAGGGCTGCCCGTCATGGGAGTGGTACTACCCCTACCACTACGCTCCGTTTGCGGCCGACTTTGTCGACCTCGGGAAGATGAAGATTTCGTTTGAGCACGGGCGGATATCGAGGCCCTTTGAGCAGCTCATGAGTGTCCTTCCGGCGGCCTCTCGGGCATCCATCCCCGAGGTCTTCCATGACCTGATGACTAATAAAGACAGCGAGATTCTCGATTTCTACCCCGAGGACTTCGATATCGACCTGAATGGGAAGAGGATGGCTTGGCAGGGCGTTGCTCTTCTACCGTTCATCGACATGCCCCGCCTTCTGGCGGCCATGGAAACCAAAAGCCATCTTCTGAGCGCCGAGGACCGAGTTCGTAACGGCCTGGGCAAGGATGTGCTCTTGTTGTCAGACTCCCATCCTGCTTTGTATGACGAGATCACGTCTCGGTTCTACTCAAAGAAGCAGGGCCCTCCAAAGTGGAAGCTGGATCCACTCAAGAGCGATGGCCTTAACGGCCAGGTGGAGAAGATTGAAGGCTACCACCCGCACGGCTCGTTGACTTACCCGCTGACGAGGGCAGCCATGCCCGATGTTGAATATGACCGGTCATTGAGGTTTGTGGTTCCCCGCTTCCAACAAGAAAACAATTATTTTAGATAGTCCGACTAACAGAAGCAGCGTTCACTTCGAGTTCCCGAGTAGCTCCCACACGCACAAGTCCATGCTGCTTCGTGGGGTGAAACCCCCTCCTCCTGCTCTTGATAGGCACGATATTGAGGATCTGAAGGGTAAATCGCAGAGAGGCGGGAGAAGTTACGGAGGTGTTCCTCTCCGCGGCGGCGGCGGACGTGGAAGAATCAATTACGGGCCGGATGGTGGGCAATCGTATAACAATGGTCAATCTAACCGCGGAGGCTACCAGCAGCCCCAGCAAGGGTACGGGAATGGGAATGGGAACGGAAATGGATATGGTAACGGCAACCGGGGCAACGGATACAACAGCCGAGACTCGTATGCGCCACCGCAAAATTCTTGGCAACCACCGCCGCCAGGTGTTGCGGGATTCGGCCAGGGGTTGCCACCACCTCCGCCGGTGGCATATCCTCCTGCACCTGGTCATGGCAGATACAACCAGGGCGGTCAGGGATACGGGAACAATCAATATGTGCCGGCACCGGCATACGGAGCTCCCCCAGCATACGGGGCTGCTCCAGGGTACCAGGGGCACCAAGGCCAACAGCAACAACCGTACGGCCAGCCTCCCCCTCCTGACCAGTATGGCCGACCGCCGTATGAAAACAACCGAGGTGGGAACAACCGAGGCGGAGGCGGGAACTATCGCGGCTCGCGGGGGAGTTATCACTGATGAAACGAGGCAGTGAGGATTGTGCTACGGAGTATTTCTCTGTTTTATGCACCGGGTTATACCCTGGGTCCTATAATGTTATCTGGTTTTTTGTATGGTATTGTTATGGATTGTAAAATCGGTACAGGGGTAGTCACTTTAGTCGCATGGGGTTTCGACATTTCGATATCCCAATGCTAACTCCTGGCACAGCGAATTCTATGAACTGCAAAGTTGCACCCGCACCGAGAAGGTACCCACGTTCAATGCAACAGAGCGGCAGAGAGATGAGGGGAAGATGCATTCCTTGTTCGCAACCCACAAAATCCACAATTCGTCGACCACTAACCACTGCTCTCGGCATCGAGCGAAAAAGAAAAGAAAAAAAAGTAAATATAAATCCGAGACGGACGCAGCAAGATGACTTGTTACATATCATATCGGTACTGAACACACCCCGTACTTTGAACAGTATGCATTCCGCATGGCATATGTAAATGGACAATACCTTGAACTCGGTTACCTAGTCTTCAGGGCGTCAAAGAAAGAAATAGGACTCGACAATGGAAACCATGACGGCGAGTCAGGAGATGGCCATAGAATAACTCCTAGTTAGTGTATGTATATACCAGACCTTGGTTCATGGAGATAAGATCGGGTAGCTTCTTTCACCCTGGCCGAGGTGTCTCAGGAACTTGAACTAGAGACGTCGGTCTCGGCCTCCACAGCATGGGGACTACTGCCCCGGCCGCCTGCCCGCTTTAAGGCAATTGAGCAAGGGTCCCCGCCCCCGGTTTGGCGTGCACTTGCACTTCCCCCGCTCTCGCGCGCTCAGCGCATTTCGGCCCCAGCGATGGCGCTCTAATTTGGCCAGTGTCTGTCCGTGTCAGTACCTGTGCTTGTGCCTGTGTTCCCGTCCCGTCCTTGTGTTCCCGTAGAAGGCCAGGTTGTCGTCGATCGACAGCACAAATTATTTTAGCCTGCCTAAAGGTAACCGCCAAAACCTAAAACGCCATCGTTGTGCGTGAGAGTGTGAGTGTGTGAGTGTGTGTGTAGTGTGCCCACTGGCAGGCACCTGCCTACCTAACCCACGACACGAGAGACGGGCTCTCTACGCGCCATCCACACAGCACAGACGACTGCGACTGCGACTTGCAGCATTCTGCTCGGCCCCCCCTCCCCCACGATCCCTCCCGCAGCGCATGCACTTGGCGGCCGGGAGAGGAACAACGTTTTGAAGGGACGAGAGAAACGACCGCCACCCGTGCTGAAGACGCTTGAAGAATTTAGGATTGGATTGACAAGGTCTAAGCTTGCCCACGCGCGCCGAGCCGACGACGACGGCGACGACGGCACAGCAAAGCAAGACGAAAAGAGAAGACGACGAAAAGAAAGGGAGAAAAAAAGAAGAAGAAAAAATAGGCGATACGCGACGGTTCGGCGCCGAGGCAGGACCACGAGACGTCGCAAAACACCAAGCATCCGACGCCGACGTCCCATCATGACAAGGCACCGGCCCGCTGCTGCTGCCCTCGTCCCCAACGCCAACGTACAATGATGGGCGATGTGGGCCTGGTGGGTTGCCTGGTCGAGAGGCTCACGTCCAGGGTACGTACTGTACGGATGCAATTGCAGCTGCAGTTGCAGCTACCGTGTACACCTTATCTATCACCAGAATGAGATGAGAATGCCGTCCATGACCGTTGCTGTTGCTGTTGCTGTTGCTGTTGCTGTTGCTGTTGCTGTTGCTGTTCCTGTTGCTGACGCTCTGTGCCTGTCCCCGTCGCCAGCTTCCCCACCGAACCGGCAACCCGGCCCAGGACCTCTATCAAGACGACATTGCCTCCATCACGCGAGGCACTATCATCAAGCTCAGCACCGGCTCCATTGCCGTCGTCCTCGACGCCCTGCTGTCCCTACTCGAGGAACTCGCGCGTCCCTACAAGGCCGTGCTCTCGCACCCGCCCCATGTGCTCCTCTCGGAGCTCTACACGCTCGAATTGATCGCCGACTGCTGCGCCAGCCATTGGGATGCCTCGCGCGCTGCTGCTGCCGCCGCCGCCGCCGCCCAGCAGCCCGGCGGCCATGGCACGCTCTCGACGCCCCAGCCGGCACCCCTCCCCGTCCTCCCCGCCTCCGACGAGCCTCTGCGCGAGACGTTGATCGGCCGAGTCTTCGAGGTTGTGAAGCTGCTGTTCGAACCAATCCCCGAGGCTTATGTGCTGCCCGCCAAGACCATCCTCGACCAGTCCTCGGGCAAGCACACGGCCGTCCAGCTGCTCGAGGAGTCGACGCGTACGCCTCTGTCCACGCCGTCCAACGAGCCGCTCGAGAGCGGCCGTCTGCTCCAGGCCCATGCCCCCGCCATTGAGTCGCATATCAGAACCATGATCGAGTACGTGACGGCCTCGAGCTGGCCCACGGCCTTCGACTACTTCCGGAACGTCATCTATAACATGCGGACCGCCCTGCCCGTCCCCGGCGCCACCCTGCCCAACGCCACTGCCGCTGACGAGGAGAGGAGCGCACTCATCGTCCTGCGCCTCGTCTCGTCCTTTTGGGTCGACAGCCAGAAGCTCTCCCAGGTCATCCAGGAGTTCAGCTCCAGCTTCCTCCACTTCCGCAAGTCCTTCCAGAACACGGTCGCCCTTGTCACCCCGCTGCTCATCACGCGCTGGTTCGACCGGTACCCCGACGAGTTTGTGCAGCTGCACACGATGCAGAAGCGCCGTGACAACGGGCCCGACGTACTGTTCGACATGACGCAGACGGTCGTCGACAATGGGCGGAGGCGCACTCTACTCTACCCCCTGCAGACGACGCTGCTGTTTCTGCTGCCCGAAGTCTTCGAGGTGGCCAGCAACCTGCGCGAGGCCAAGAGCAGCAGCATGACCAAGAAGGTGGGCTTCCTCGACGGCCTGCGCAAGGCCCTGAGGAATCGCAACGAGCATGCCGCCTACTGCCTGGTCCTGCTGCTCCGCGCCGCCCGCCACTTCGACGCCGAGAGCGATTCCGCCCTCCTGAGCTACGCCATGGACGTGCAGGACGAGGTCCGCGACGCCGTGTTCCGCCGCTTCTCGCCCGGCGTCGACGGTGCCCTCTTTGAGCAGGACCTCATGACGGCCGCTTTTGTCAGCCTGACCCATCTCAGCTTTGAGAGCTCCGTCAAGTCCCTGGCGCAGTCGTGTCTTGCCTCCCCCGCCCCGCACAGCTTCAAAATCTCGGTCATCCAGGCGTGTTCCCACTTTGCCAGGTTGGGCAATGTCGACCAGTACCAGCCGCTGTTTACGGCCGCCTCGGCCTTCATCCAGGGGCAGCTGCAGACCATGTCGGAACTCTTAGCCGAAGGCTACATCGAGGACCAGAGCGGTTCGCGAAAGGCGGTGGAGAGCACGTCATATGTCAATATGATATGCAACATCTTGAACTTTCTGGATGCCTCGCCCATGACCCTGCTTGAGGGGCCGCCCACTGACCGGGTGGAGCGTAATCGCTTCTACCAGAAGAACATTGAGGCTCTCGTCTCGTGCGTTATCTGCGCCGACGAGTCGGTCCGGCGTCTTGCCACAGGCGTCACGAAGCGCCTCTTTGCCAATGACCAGGTGCTGAAGACATTGAGGGCGTCCAAGGGCCTCGACTCTCAGGCGTTCAAGAAGAACTTTTGGCGTCTCACGTACGTACTGTCCTGTCCGCTATCTCTCTGATGTGTCTTTCGTCCCCTTTTATCGACGGAAAGGAGGCCTTGCTAACTAAGATAGCTCGCTCATCCTGATATCGATCTGCGACAGGGCTGGCCAGCCCGGCACTGCTCATGGGCTCAAGTCCATCCAAGGGTACCTTCAGTCGAGGGTGCTCCTCTTGACGTCGATTCCGGTACTGTAGACCTTTATTTCTTCTCTCCTTTCTTTCCACTCCACATCTGAACTCGTTTGGCTAATAGCCAGACAGGAGCTCGCCGAAATTTCCGAAGATGTCAGTGAGCGGAACGATGCGTCCACAAAGTTGGAGACGCTCTTGCTCGTGTCGCTCTGTTCTGCCGACATCGAGATCTGCCAGATAGTGACATCCTGCGTGGGGGCCTTTCTCGACGAGTGCCAGATCATCGACACGGCATCCGAAGCGGTCAAGTCTTCGCTGACGCTCTTGCGCAATGGCGACATATTCCGTGAGATATCCTCCCGCGCCTTCCGCTTCACGGGTCTCGTGGCGTTCCAGAAGAGGATCAGGGCGCTCTTGAGACGCATGCAGTATCCCAGCAGCGGCATTCTCGACGCGTGGGAAATTGTCTTTGATCTGTGGCTCCACCTCTCCAAGGACGTGTCGACGACAACTGTCGATGTGGGAGCAGAGAGGACCGTCGCCGAGTGGCGCAACTATTCGGGTTTCCTGGCCTCGCTGGGAGGCATCTGCATTGCCGACCAGGCTTCAGTTCTCGACGAACCCGCCGTCAGCGGACTGAGGTGGATCGACAGGCTCTCGTCTGAAAACCACGAAGAAACCTTCTTGAGCCGCTACCTCAGGCTAAGCATCCAGCTCCTAGCTTGCGCCAATGTCAGGATCCGCGAGACCATGAGAGAGGTCTTGTCGACTGAGGTGCCCCCTTCCCTCTACCAGCCCCTCTTCAAGGCTCTCGAGTCGGAGCTTGACGTGCTGTTCACCGGCGCTCTCGAGCCGAGCGTCAAGGGCCAAGACAACGACATCGTCTTCGCAGAGCAGTCGGCCTCGCTCCTCAAGGCGCTGGTGGAGAGGCTGGATACGCCGTCAGACCTCGGCGCGGCGTCTTCGCTACATCTGGGCGCCCTGACCCTCAACTTTGCCAAGTTTCTCGACGGCGTCCCTGACGCCCCGAGCAGCCTCAGGGTCAAGATCAAGATCTGCCAGCTCTGCGAGGCCGTCACCAAGAGAAAGGAGCACCTGAACCTCCGAGATGACGTGCGGAACCGCAACCAGTTGCTGGAGTACATATTTAGCTGGATTGCGCGGCCTCGGTCGCCGCGCAACGATGGCGCCGTCTTCGCCGGCGGTCGCCAGGACGAGACGGCAAGGGTCCAGCGAGACCTGGACAAGGCTTGCCTCAGGTCTCTGGCCGAGCTCACCTTCCGCTTGCCCCTCCAGCCGGGAGACGGGCAGACGACAGATGCCGGCACCAGCGAGTTGAAATCGCAAATGTTCCACCAGTATTTCAACCGCTTCTTGTCTCTGCTCAATCTCGAGCCCGTTGATCTGGGCCGCAGCGAGCTCCTGGGCAGCACGTCGGGCCGAGACGAGGCGGCTTCGACGGCCGATCTCGCCATCACCATCCTCTCAAATCTCCTCAGCGCCAACATCGACGTTGGTCTCAAGCACTCGCTGAGCATCGGATACCACGAGAACGTCGAGATTAGGACGGCGTTTGTGAGGGTCCTTCATAACATTCTGGTGCAGGGCACCGAGTTTAATAATCTTTCCGACGTTGCCGTCAACGAAAAGTATGACGAGCTGCTGGATGTAAGACTCCCCCCTTTCTTTGCAGGGCTTGAAGCTGCTTGATGTTTACTAATATCCCCTCTCTTCTGCGGCGCAGCTTCTTACAAGCGACACAGCATTAGCTACCGCCATGGGTGCGGTCTGTCCCAGCCACGAAGTTGACGAATTAACGATTTCCTTGTTAAATATTTTCGAAGCTAGGGGGATGAGTTTTGTGCTTATTGAGGCCTTGGTCAAGCAAGAGATTGAAGAGACTGGTGAGTTATCCCCCCCCCCCCATCCCCCCCGTTCCTTTATGCCTGTCCGCCCAGGCCCGGATTCTGGCGCTAGTCAACTAATCCTTGGGCCTTCTTTCACAGAGAATGAATCGGAACTACTCCGTAGAACCTGCGTGGCTACCAAGATGCTCTCAATCTACGCTAAATGGAAGGGGTCTGGCTACCTCAAGGCCACGTTACAAAAGGTGGTCGAGAGACTGATCTCGGCCGCCAAGGATCTCAATCTCGAGCTCGACCCGACGCGAATCAACTCGCCCGAAGAGCTGCAGAAGAATGCGCACCAGCTGCAGATTGTGGCCAAGGTCTTCATAGAGGACATCTGTGCGTCTTCGGCGAGCATTCCGGCGTCGTTCCGCAAGATTTGCAGCATAATTTCTTCGGCCGTGGTGCCGAGATTCCAGGAGGCCAAGTACACGGCTGTCGGTGCCTTCATATTCCTCCGCTTCTTCTGCCCCGCCATCGTCGCCCCCGAGGTTGAGGGGCTGGTTGCGAAGGCGCCTTCGAAAGAGATGCGCCGCGGCCTCCTTCTGATCGCCAAGGTCATCCAGAACCTGGCAAACAACGTACTGTTTGGTACCAAGGAGCCCTACATGTTCCCACTAAACGACTTTCTCACTCAGAACATTTTCAAGGTCACCACCTTTTTGAGGGAGATATCTGTAAGTGGCTTCTTGACTGACTGTGCTTGATAATCTGATCCCAGAGCTGTGTATCTGACTGCCACCACGCGTTAGGTCGAACCCGACAAGCTGGATAGCCCGGTTAGCGGGGAGTCTTTCGACTTCGGCTCGTGCGTCGCGCTTCACCGGTTCCTATACGACCACTGGGACCACGTCCGCCAGCGGCTCGTCTCCCAGGAGCGGAGGGACTTTGTGAGGTCGCCGGTCGAGTCGATGAGAGGCCGGTCGCCGGTTCTTGAGCCGCTTAGGAACCTCATCATGAACCTGGGACCGCCGCCGCTGGCTGTGACTTGGAACAGGCCGCAGATCTCGGCAAACACGCCGCCGTCTTACTCCAGGTTCCAGGACTTTATGCTCCGCAACGCATTCCGCAGCCCCGAGTCGTTCCTCACGGCTCGCGCCGTGTATGACGGCGGCGAGAGCAAGGACGGGCTGTCGATCATCTGCATCATCCTGCGCAACATCGATGCCGAGTCGATCGACTACGATACGCTGATTTACTGCTACCTCAAGATTGCCAGTCGGCTGTGGCACCGCCCCTTCTGTCTTCTCATCGACGCCACGTGCTACAATGGACAGAGCGAGCCCCAGGACGAGGTGTTCCACAGGCTGGAGCAGCTCACGCCCACGGAGCTCTCGCGCCAGCTCTCGCGCGTCTACGTCTACAACATGAACAACGCCTTCCGGAAATGCTTCCGCCGCATTCTCAAAATCTCGACCAGGAACGAAAACAGCGTCTTCAACCCCCGAAACGTCGAGTACCACCTCATCGGCAGTCTCCAGGACCTGCAGGCCCACTTTCATCTGAGCCAGCTACACCTTCCCAAGGAAACCATCAGCGTTGTAACAGACACTAGATATGTCTTTCAGCCCATCACCCGGCTCTCCAAGACCAAGGGGAAGCTCGAGGTGCTGATCAAGGTGGGCAGCCAGTTTGTGCAGGTCACGACGAACAAGAAGCAGGAGGTTCCCGGCTACCGCCTGAGTTCTATCATCAACGACATCTTCCGGCTCGGAGAGGTGGATGAGGCGCCGACGCCGATACAGACCGAGGACGACTCGGCGTTTGGCCTTCGCGCCGACAACGGGAGGGTCGTCATGTACTTCACCAGCCCCAAGAAGGCCGACGTCTTGCAGGCCATCAGGGCGGCCAAGGCGAAGTACGGGAAGGACACGCGGGCGCTCAAGTCGTTTGAGAGACTAGTCCGGCCCCAGGACGTGCCAGGCACTCTGCTGAACCTAGCCCTGACCAATTTAGCGAGCCCAGACCCAATCCTCAGGCTGTCGTCGTACAACTTGCTAGGCGCGCTGTGCAAGGCCTTCAAGTTCACCGCTGCTTCAAAGCTCCTAAGCGCCAAGGACATCTCGGTTCCCCTGGACCCGTCCCAGTTCATCATCAAGATCAGCAAGGAGCTTGCGCAGGCCGAGCCACAGCTGACGTCGGACTTTCTGAACGAGTTCTTCGTCGGCTGGGATAGCTTCTCGGACGAGCAAAAGCCGTTGAGCCTCGCGTACATGGCGCCCTGGATTCCTGGCCTGCGCACTTCCCTCCTAGCGGGCGAGCCGGAGAGCGACAAGGCGAGGGAGAAGGTCGCGGCCCTGTTTAGGAAACTCATCGATATCACCCTGTCGGACCCGACGCTGAACTTCACGCTGGAGCAGTCGGTGTGGCCCGTCATACACCAAGACGAGGTGCTCCTCGACATCTTCCTCGAGGAGATCGTCAAGACGGCGCTTAATATCGGCTTCGGCGACGACCAGACCGAGACGTTGACTTCGATAGCGAGCGCCATTGGCACGATAACGCTACGAGGCAAGATAATATCGCGTCTGCGGAAGGCCTTGAACCGGTCGTCGCTCCGGCCGACAAAGTATCTGCCCGAGAACCCGGTGTGGAACGAGCTGTGCGTGCTGCTACAGTTCTGCCTCGCCCTATCGTTCGACAGCGGCGTACAGTCCCAGCTCTACCTGCCCGAGATCTTCCACACAGTCACAATGCTCGCCAACACGGGCACCCCGGACGTGCGCGTCGTAGTACACCGGCTGCTGATCAACTCGATACACTCGGCCTGCACCTCGTTCAACCTGGACGAGGCCCGGCACAAGCAGATGCGGACTACGCTGGAGACGCTCTCAGATCCCAGGAGCGACATGTTCTCGAGCCCCGCCATCATGATGCGCGACGGCGCGTCCATCTCGACGAACCAGGACCTCGGCCCGACGCTGGCTGCTACCGAGAACCTGGCGGCGCTCCTGTTCGAGACGTGCTCTGTCGCTGCGCCCTCTGTCGACATGGCCAACGCGTGGCGCTCGCGGTGGATGAGCCTAGTGGCCAGCACGGCCTTCCAGAACAACCCGGCCATCCAGCCGCGGGCCTTCACCGTCATGGGCTGTCTTGCCCGCGAGGAGGTCGACGACGACCTGCTGTACCAGGTCTTGGTGGCGCTGCGCAATAGCGTGGGCCGCTTCGGCGAGGATAGCAACAGCGACATGCTCGTTGCCATCGTCACGTCGCTGTCCAAGATGATGGCCAAGCTCCCGTCGGCGTCGCGCTACGGGCTGCAGCTGTTCTGGCTGGCCATGTCGCTCCTGCGGCTGGTGCCGCCCAGCCTGTTCAACTGCACCGCGCTGTTCCTCGAGTCGGTGCTCACCAACATCAGCACGTCGAGCGAGATGAGGGGCGACAAGATGGTGCCCTACCTGCTGCAGGGCCGTGGCCAGCTGGAGGAAGCGGCTCTGCCCTTGGACGAAGCGTATGGCGTGCACTTCAACAGCGAGAACTTCCACTTTGCCGCGTGCGCTTGCCTGGTGCGCGGCCTCAGCGACACGGTGACCAAGGTGACGGCGCTGCGCGTTCTGTCCACCTTTTTGGAGATGACGACTGCGCCGACGACGGCGACGGCTGGACCCACAGCGGTGGCGGCCTCGCCATCGTCGTCGTCGTCCAACGGAAACGCAACAACGTCGACGGAAACCGACGGCAAGACGGTCCGCAACCTGTCGTCGTCGCCGTACATGGCGCTGATCCTGGCGCGCACCGTCAGCCTCGACGAGCTCCGCGAGAACCTGTGGTCGGCGGGCATCAACCCCAGCGGGCTGTCCGACATCAACGGCATCCGGCGGGCCACGCAGGACCTGCGGCTGCTGCGCGACAAGGACCTGCTACTCAACACGGCCATCGAGCTGGTCGACTTCCAGTACCTCGAGGACGCGTTGCAGAACCGCACGCTGCAGTGGCTCAACGACATTGTGCAGGGCAGGCCGTCGGTGATTATGCATCTGTGAGTCTGGTTTTCTGGGGGGGGGGGGGAGATTCTTACGGCAGGTGCTAACGTCTTGTGTGTGCATAGGGCCAACCCCATCATCTCGATCCTCGATGACATTTTGCTGCACTGCCAGAACCCGCCGACGCTGGAGTCGGCGCACGCGCTGCTGCAGACGCTGACGTCAAACCCCAAGTTCTCGACGGCGTTCGAGTCGACGGCCGTGCTCGACAGGGTCCTCGACGAAATGGGCTTCCGCGGTCTCTGGCGGTCGTGCTCGTTCAACCTCTCACAGGAGCAGGATAAGCAGTGTTTTGGCCTGACGGAGAAGTTGATTGAGGTTCGTTTTCCTTTCTCGTCTGTCTGGCATGCAATTTGATGATCTGACTTGGCTAACACTATCTTTGCAGCTCATCATTGTCTAAGCCGTCGTTTTATTTTGGGGTTCTATTCTTTACCCTCTGGTCTGTTTTTAAACGGTCAGACAAGACGTTGGTTGGCTGGCCAAACAAGGTTGCACCGCATCGCAGAGTTACAGCCGCAAATGCGTAACAAGACAGCAAACGCCTCTTGTGCAGGCCGATTCACTTGGACGCGCTCATACATACCCCCTTTCCTTCCATTATAGCAAAAGAAAAAGAAGGAGAAAAAAACTCACAAAAGTTGTGCAAACCGCAAAAGCAGAGATGTAGATACACGCAGTTTCGGATCACAAAGTGGTGGCGAGAAATACATCGAACTGGGGCCAAAGAAAATGCGCGTATCGAGAGAAGAAGAGAAAAGAAAGAAAAGCAAAAATATACTTATACCACTCCAGGTAGCTCAAAGATTACCCTCTCGTTTATTCCTAAATTAAAATAAATTTATCTATCTACCCAAACACAGGCGGCTCTGGACGAGATGCTGAAAACCTTGCCGAACTTGGTTCCATACGTATAAGTAGGATAAGAAATGCTGCAGTTGACGGGGTGTTTCTGCTCTGCTTTGCTCTACTCTGCATCTTACATCTTGCAACGCACGTAACACACCTCCGTCCTCTCCGGCCCGATCCATCCATCCATCCAGCCTCGTCACAAACAACATAGCGATACTCGCCTGGGCATTCTGCTGCGTGCTGTTCCTCGTCTGCCTGTCCTACCTCTACGTCGACCTGCCCCCGCCGACGCGAGCAAGACCAAGAGTAAGAATCCTCTTCGCCGGCCTCGACAACGCCGCGAAACCAGCCATGGCGATGCGCTCCGCCAGCGCCGGCCCACGCAGCTACCGCCAGCTGGGCGTAATCACCGCCAGCCCTCTCGGACTAGCCGCAGCCGTGGAGCGCATGCGAGGGAAGGACATCGAGTTTTCTGCCATCGACCTCAGCTGCGGCGGCGCTGCTGCTCAGCAGTACCAGGGTCGGTGCTGGTGCTGGCCGTGGTTTCGGGGGCATTGTCTTCGCTTCTGCAGGTATCAGCACCTCTTCGGCGCTACCGAGCTCGTCTACTTCGTCATCGATGCGCGGCGGCCGCTGGACCACCTCGAGGTTGTCGAGGACGAACTGCGCGCGCTGAGGGCGGTAGAAGAGCTCGAGGATGTGCCGTTTGCCCTCGTGGCTAGTCATGGTGATGGCCCTGGCGCTGGTGAGTTTTCTTTTTGTTGTGGATGGATATGGAGACGGAGATGGAGATGGAAATGTCGTGCCGCTGCTAACACCCCTCCCCTTCCTTGCTTGGCCAACCCCTGAAGAGTTCATTCGCGATTTCATCTGCGACCGGCTTCGCTTACCCCAAGACCAAGTTTCAGTTTGAGCACATCTGCCTGTGTGTAGGTACACATACTTGGATCTGAAAGGGTCGGAAACTCGTCACCGAACTGGGGATCGAAGCTTTGGAAGGTTTTGGTCTTTGGCTGGGGCTACTCTCTCCGGTCCGGGACAGGGCGTTCGCCATATGGATGGCGGATGAGAGCAACAGAAATGTTAACTTCGTCACTGAACAGATATTTGGCAATAGTAATTCCTGTCAACTCTCATAATTCACCTCCGTGTCCAATCTCTCCTCGCACCGGCGTTAAGAATGAACCACGCCTCAAGTCCAGCTAGATCCATCTCTTAATGGGATATATACGAAGAGAGAGAGAGAGAGAGATTTGGCTTTAAAGTTCTACACCAGGCTTAACGCTATTACTAGAGTTGTGTTTAGAGTGACTTCCGGGGTGAGATCTACCACCAAAGTGAAATACATGGCTCATCCCCATCACCACGCACACACTGGAGTGAACACAGTTTACAAGACATATCAAGTCATAATAAGCTGCAGCCCGAGTAGGGGTTGTCAACGTTTGGACAGGCTCTTGATATAAGTTAGGCTTGTTTATATCTCTACATTTAAACGCAGTAAGTGGAAACTTAAGAAAAGCGGGTTGCCACATCAAAGTATGACATTCATAGTTCTTTAGGAAAATATAAGGAGAGATAACCCAGTATTTCTCAACGACATCCCAGAGTCGTTCTGCCAAGGGTGTGTTCTGTATACCATCGTATCATAACCAAAACGTCGCATCGTCCGTCGCACGGCTCGCTATATACACCCTGTCGTCGCTGGTCCTCCGACAATGAGATCCCACCGAAGAAAACTTCGCGTCCACGCCATTCGCCAATAACCATGCCGATGGACAATCCCCTTCCCCCTGACCCAACTTTAGGTAGTTTTGCAATCCTTTTGTTTTCCCTCTGTCTAGAAAGAAACGAGCCCATGTGTACAGTATAGGGTGTGGTACATATATACTCGGGATTGCATCGAAGCATCTCCTTTGAGTAAGGAAAAAGCGAGCCAGCCATTTACTCATGCATGGTGCGCTGTATCCGTTCTATCATTTCCCCGTAAAGCCCGTAACCAATATAAAAAGCCACATGAAACGATTGCTTGGTTGGCCAGCCAAAGGATGCGTCGTGGTTAAAATGAAAAACCAAAGTCGACGTAACGGAAAGTCATAAGCGCTTCGCGCAATAGAGGGCCACGCGCAAACTCACAAACTGGCGTGATGCAACAGCAACTCCTAAAACACGCTCCAAGAATTTGTACAATATACAACGAAGAGTAGGATATTATCTCGAAAGCCCAATCGCAAGACCCCAAACGCCAGGCATGAAAACAAAGGAAGAAGGAAATCTAGAAATGACGTCATCGCCAGGCGGGCTGGTGGGCTCAGAGTCCCGAAGCCTCAATTATTATTTTTGGTGGTGTGAGCGAAGGAAAATTGTGGGCCTCTCGCTGGAGAGTGAAGCCTGACTCATGCCAAAGGCCGCCAGGGAGTAGGACCCTGCAGGGCGCCCGACGGACCCTGAATTCTAGCGGGGCCTTGTCCAGCCGCCTTTGACCAATGGCTGGCGGCAATTGAACTCGATGATGCGGGCTGAGGGTGGGGGGATGCACCGACGACGTCATCGCGATGCAACTGATATCACACCCGTCAACGGTGCGACAATCTTGAAAGCCCAGCCAGGGAGCTCTGAAACTGGCGCAAATGGTAATCCCGTTAGGTTGCCAGATCACCGTGCTCTCCGCCGATCCGATCGACGGATTTTGCGTCGACCGAAACTCTGCCTCAACAGTTTGGGTGATGAATGATGCTGATGATGCTGTCAACCCGACTGTTCCTGCACCCAGTGGGTCCACCTCATCATGTCTAATGCCGGGTGGTGTCACCGCATCGGTTTTGACAGCTCAGTCACCCCCAAAGGGTGCTGGCTCCTGATTGTTGGCTCGCTAGTTCGGCTGGTACAGATCGACTTTCGCCCAAATCGGAATGGCGATCTTTTCCAAAACTGACTGACATCAGAACTCCCTGCATCAGCGATTTCTCGCCAACTAGAAGTCAAGCTTGGTGACCTCATCCACTCTGTCCCCCGCGTCTGCGATGCTTTCCCGGAAACTCGATGTCCGGGTGGCAGACGCGGTAGTGCCGCGTGAGTGCATCCGCACGGCTGAATGTCTTTTCGTCGGTGCACAGATCGCACCGGACCTTTTGCTTGCGTGCGTTGTGGATGGTGTCTTCGTGGCGCGTGAGATCGTATGGCCTGGAAAAGATAGTGTTGCAGGGCTTTCCGGTGCCTGGGTTGATGCGATCACACTTGTGCGGCCCCGCCTGGCTGTTCAAGAGGCTGGATGTCATGCCCGAGTTCGAACCGGCACTCTCGGGCCTGCGAGCCCCGTTGATTCCGTGAGCCTGCCGATGTCCCTCCCTCTTGTGCTTCTGGAGCAATGCTGGTGTCTCGAAGCGAAGTTTGCAGCCGTGATACGTGCATGTATAGGTGCCGCCGTCTGCGGTGGTGCTGGCCGGCCTCTGTGGGCTATTGCTGTGGCTGGTGTCCACCGAGCCGACATCTGCGGAACTCATCCTGGATGGTGCCAGAGACCCGTTGCTCAAGGATGGTACACTGCTCGGTTGCTGAGGCTGGGCAATGAAGGGATACTGCTGAGGGATTTGGAGATTTGTTGGAAGCTGGGTTCCGAGGAAGTTGTTGAATGTAGTATCCATAGGCGTAGAGTCAAATGCCTGCTGGCTTCGCGATACCGCCTTGTTCATGGTATTCGCATCAAACCCGTTCGAGCCTTGCGGAGGGAAGAGGGGAAAGTTTGCGTCGCCATCGCCCTCGTGGAAGTCCAGCAACGCGTCCTTTGGCGATATTGTCTGAGGCGCGCTCGTCTCGACAGAGTGGCTCATCTGTTGCTGCACGGCGCGCGCGTCCTGGGCAGCCTTGGCATGTTCACGCATCTGCTGTGCAGACCCGAAGCGCATTTGAGAAAAGTCGTGCATGGGCATTAGCGCGAGGGGTGAGCCTTGGCGGAATGGCGACCGATCTCTCGCCGTAGCCGAGACTGGAGAATTTGCGCTCAGGTGTTGGCTATTGGCGGCCTGCATCCTCTGGACGAATAGCTCGTTACTCGGTGAGACTGGCATCGGAACCGATGATGCCGATGTGACAGTGAAGCTTGGGCTGTATAGCTCGTCGGCATAGGCGTCCGTCATTGTCCGTTCAAACTTGGGAACTATATTGACGACTGCGTCATCAACAGATGGTAAGTTTTTAAGTTCCAAAAGGCGGTCAATGTAATCGGAAATCTCACCATTCCGTTGCCTCCGCTCGTCGTCAAAATCCCCGGCTGGTGTGGCAGGTGAGTCACTTGCGACTGAACTCGCCACCGATACGGGCCGTGACCTGTTGGGTCCAATCGGGTGCTCCGGAGGCGGCAGCAGGCCTCGGTCGTTCTTGCGTCTCGGTGTCGCGGCCGCGAGTTGCGGGTAAGTGTTAATCACCGATGTATCGGCAGAAGCGTAGTTGGGATAGCTCGTAAAGAATGTATCGTGCGTTACCGACGGAAACTTGGCCAGCTGGTAGTTGCTAAGATCGTCGACATTCGCAAGACCGTAGCCGTCGCCCATCGAGTCGGTAACAGCGATCTGGGGGTTCGACGTGTTGTGCGAGTAGGGCGACGCGGGACCTGTCGAGCCTAGTGAAGAGAGCGAGGACTCGCGATGGTGTGAAACGCGACCAACTGCTCTCGGCGTCAGTTGGCCGTTTAATATCCAGGAGTCCGTTTGCATTGGGTCTGTGTTGGCGAACAGTGCCTCGCCGAGGGCAGACTGGTTGCTTTGAGGCGAAAAGTTGAACAAAGAGCCTCCGTGGCCACCTCGCGGCACCGTGATAGTCGGAATGCTGTCAAAGGTAGACAAAGGCGACGTATTCACGGCCGAATACTGCGACAGAATCGACTGCGTAGATATAGGAGACGAAGACTGGCTGTTGTAGTTGTGCTCTGCTCCGTCAAAATCGAAATCCAGGTCGGCGGCGTCGGCGTGAAAAGGCGTTGTCGTCGTCTGGCGAGCAACCTCGTAGTAGGCGGGCTGGTGGTGGTGAGGTTGAGGTTGGAATGCCGTTCTTGGTCGTGTTTGGTTTGCTAACATGATCGCGGCTGAGGGTTTCGTAGACGAAATGGTCAAAGATAGCTGGTGGCGAAATATCGAGGAAGGTTATGGTGGAGGGACCCAGGTTGATATTTAAGATCGGAAGACTAGGAAGGGGGGGGGGGGTGTTTGACTAATAGTGGTAGGTACGTCGTTCCAGGCGGAGTGTACGCAGTCGACAGTGGTACCAATGAGGAGGTGGGGTGAGGATCGTTTGAGCAATGACGCAACCTTTGGGAGTGGGAGGGCCCCACTAGCTAGAACGGGGGGGTGACTGGAATCGCCGAGAAGGAAAAAAAAGTAACAGCGACCACCGACAAGGGTTGTGCAGGGTCAAGGCAACTGCAGGCTCTCGGCAAGGTGGGTGCAACTTGCAGTGTGGGACAGATCCTGATTCGATTGGGCTTTGGATGTACCGAGGTACTGTCCCTCCCTACGTCGCTCCAGTTTTAGGCGAGGCCTTGGGGGAGGTCGAGGGTGTCTGGGACTTGGGATTTGCGGATTGGCTGTCGGAAGGCAGGTAAGTGAGATGGTTAGGTAGGAAGCAATGCATCACTTTGCAATCATTTTGTGTAGTTCGCAAGCCCGTCTGTCGACCGACTCAACCCTAGTCTCTTCGCGCGTCGTATTAATAACGTCGTCCGTCTGCCGGGTCGAGGGAAAGAGCCAAGCGCTGACTCACCACTGTCCAAGACTACCTGACCTAGGCAGGTATTTGTCGTCGTCTCTTCGTCTTTCGGGTTTCAAAGATCAAAGCCACTATCGGGAATTAGAAACATCCGTCGGGTCGGATGGATCAACGTATGCCAAGGTAGTCAAGTCGGGGAGAAATGGATGGTGCCCAGTCGTCGCTGCCGCTGTTCGACGAACAACGGGAGAAAAGGATGGCATTCCATCGACGGACCGTATCCGAACGTATAGGACGACTTCCGCCCCAATCGTCCTAAATCTGCAGGCCTGCATAGCTGTATCTGTATCCATATTGCCGTGAACGACTCGATGTGCGCGCCTGTGCACTACGTGTATGTGAGCTGCCATGACAGACAGGTCAGGTATGTCTGTCTGTCTTCCCCGTGGTGGTCGGGGCGGCGGCATTCGAGTCGGTACGAGCTGGCGCCAAGCGATCCATCCCGGGTCCCGTGCCTATGGCGATGCAAAATGCATACGAATGCTTCCATATGCGCCGTGCGAGAGTATACCAGTATAGCTGAGCCTCTGGTGGGCCGTGACGGGTTTGGACGGCGATGGGTTTGCTGCTTCTGCTGTAGTGTGTGTAGGTACTGCGGTACAGCACGCACTTGGTATTTGGACGGATACGGGCTACGAAGCGATGGATACCAGACGAGAGCACGGGCCAACCAGAAGCTAGACAAAATACTATGACGAGCTTGCGGAACAGACAGGAACCTGATAGAATATTCTGTAGGTGTGCCCCCTCCACACTCACCAGCCCCAAAGAGGCGAAATTTTCTTCGTGCAGCGTGCGGGCCGGTTACAATCTCAGGGCTGCAAGCTCAGCCACCTCGCAATTGCAACTGCATTCCCAGAGATCTGAGTCTGACTGATCGTTTCCCTGTTCCCCTGGCACTCTGTGCACTCTGTGCACTAAATCGGCAGTCGGATGCCGTTGCTCCCATCCCGGCAGGAACAAAAATCTCTTTATTTTACGCTTTCCGACGGCATAAGCTACACCCTACCTTAAAACAACAGAGTTTCTGTCTACGGGACATGACTCCACACCGTTCATTCCATAGTACATACAGTTCACTGCTTGATCTACGAGGCAGTGTCGACTTACCATAGATTAAAGCAGTCTAAAGCCCTCCCGGTAACAACGGCCAGCCATGTTGGCCTCAGCAGACCTCGCACCTAAAAGGAAAAAACAAGAGGCCGCTAGTTTGACAGGTGCGCGTCACTAGCCACATCACCGGAGATCATGGCCGAAGGCGGGCAAGATTTGTGAAAGTGGTTACCCAAATCAAGTCGCATGGCGGTGGCTGTTCCCCCTTCTCCCGTGTGTCCCTCCATGCCTTTTCCTGCTGGCTGGGACACGCACGGATGCACAGTCGGCAGTCGCTGGCTGAACCACCGACCAGAAGCCCGCATAACAAAGCCAGCTGGGGAACACATAGCCAATCAACGGCCGCACAGCTCTGCTTCTCAGGTGCGGGACCGCGGAGAACCTGGAACCTGGAGACGGGCCACGCATTGTGGCGTCGTCCCACCTTGTGGCTGACTCCCACCTTTTCCCTAGGCACCCCCCGTCCTCCTCATCTGATACGTGGACCAGCGGACGTGGCCCCAATAAGACCTCGCAACTCTCTTGGATTTTAGTGTTGATCCTGCCAAACCTTTTGCACATCTGTGCGTAAAAAGGCAATTGGAGGCCCATTTTAAGTTTGGGTTTCGCTATCTTCTCTCCTTCCTTTTGGTTTCCTTGACAGGTGTTCCCAGGGCCATCCCCTCTCTCTCTCCCCTTTCCCGCAAGGAGATAGCGGCCAGACTGTGTCAGAAGCGAGCCCTCGTGACTGGCACATCACATGATCCGTGGGCAGGTGATGAGCCAAGAATTGCCCAACACCCCAAAAGTTCACAAATATACATACAGAGTACACGTGTAAAAGCAAAGCCAAATGTAGTAATGAGTCAGACACGGGAACTCTGACCCTTTTCCCCTTGTCAGATCGCTTTCGTCTCCCAGTTTCTACCGGCTTTGCGGGATCTCGGCTTGTTCTCTTCGCCCTACAGCGCATACTCGGGCAGGGATGGAGCTGGAGCTCGAGTCGGAGATAAGTGCGTAGATATCGGAGGATCTCGATGGAGAAAGCAGCCCTACCCTGTGCCAGTCCCCTGGCCCGACAGGGTAGCAGCTGCACTGAGCTGACAGATGTCTCTTGCGCGTCTTGCTAGGTTTCTGCCTACCTTACCTACGGGTTTCATTCTTGACCTCTAATCATTAGTGATTGTTGTGTAGCAGGTTTCCTTACGGAGGGCCGAACGCCCCGAGAAGGCCGACAGCGACGCTAGACTCCGTTCAGTGGAGGTAAAGTGTAAATTAACCGTTGGCGCGCCGTACATAGTAGCGCGGTGGGGGGACCTTTGGGGATGGGGCTAAACACCTGGGATTGCGGGTTCCTACGTTGACCGTGCGGACACCGCGGAACGGCGTTCCCCCTCTCTGCCTGCCGGCTCCAGGTTACCTTGCTACGGTTCCACGATCTAGAACATGGAGTAATACAATAGACTGATATAGTACTTTCGTACATGCGCCGGATACCCCGTGCCTGGCTGGGTACAGGGCGGATAGATAGAGCCAGCGCGGATCTGTCAAAGTATATCCGGGAATAAGTGCAAGTGCAACGCCCGCGCAAGTGTTGCACACAAGTAATGCAATGGCGTTCCGGCAGCTGCAACCGGTAGTGCACGTTGTACGATATTCAGTAGACGTGAGCGAAATCGCCTCGGGTATTCCCGGAATGGGGCCAGTATTGAGGAATTCGCAAACACTTCACAACTTGTGTCGGGAGCAATACTTCCTCTTATTAATGTGACGTTGACTAGCAAGCGGGAAACGTTTACGCCTCGATACCTAATTAGCGTACCTTGTGATGCGTAACTCCGACCCTTCTTCTCCCATAAATCCTTTATTTGAAATTTTCAAAAGCACGCGGAGAGGACAATAAAGAGAATAGAGCACGGGACTCGGGGCGTAGGGGAGAGATGGATGGGGAGGGGGTGTAAGCTTAGATCCGGTACTCCATACGGGTCTCAGATCAGCCGATGAGTCTAAGTTGCAAGACGACAAAAGTGCATGTTTGTGAGCATGGCATTTCCTCGACATTGGGGACCCGATTTCGGCGGGCAATCAAGCGATCACACAGACATGGAAGAGCCGCCCGCGAAGAGGAGCCCTCCGTCAATCGTGCAGCCGCGCAGCACTATGCGACACAGACACATACACACACAGTACATACACATAGGGAGGAGCAGCGCAACGCATCACAAGGGCATTAAAACAGGAGGGCGCGGAGATAAAAGCAGAGACATATAATCAAACCATCCTTATTTTTTTCCCTCTCTAAAAAAAAGCGAAGAAACAAGAGACGAAAAGAAAGGGGGCCGGAAAGGAATCCTTCCCGTCTAGGAAGTCTTGTCCAGCGGTGGCTTTTGTGTGCCGCGGCTTTATTTTTCTCTCTTTTCGTTGTTTCTTCGGAGCTTGCATGGGGGTGCACACAGACAGCTTCGAGACACCATTCAAGGGGTGCCAAACAAATAACGACTAAAAAAAATGTCGCTCTTCTTTCTGTCTAATGCCAACACAGTGCTCCTAACCCCCCGACGTGGTTGTTGGGCCGCCTCGGTGACTCGATCGAGGCATTGGTGAGTATACGTGCACGCTACACACTGAATAGGCTACTCACTCCGTGTCTGTTGCGTGCGTGTTAGATAGACTACTAGGAAGATCTCGAAAAACGACACAAGACAAACAAAAGTCACCAAACTAACAGCAGAGCATCAGCCCGACCGCCCGGCTGAAAATGCGGAGAGCAGACAGACGCCACGTCTAGATTCTCCACGTGGATAAAGTCGTATCCTGCGCACGAGTGAGAAACACAAACGGCCCCGGGTCTGGGCCCAGCTGTCTGGGTCCACACGTTTTCAGCTGTCTGGCGATAGGCAGGTAATGTTTCCAAGTTCTAGATGAATGGGCGGGCGCACAGTCCCTCGCGTGGGTTGTGCTCACTGGTGCCCTGGCTGGCTGGTCCTGGCTGGCGTAAGATCTTAGGGTGTCTAGATCGGCCCTACCCAAAATCTGTGAAATCTGTGGAGGACAGGGGACCCCTTTTCTTTTTTAGTGTAGGTAGCAGCTCCCCCCGCCCAGAACAAGAGGTTCACAGTCAGGTTGCAGCGACTCTCAGAGCGGAACACCCCGGTGCGGCGGACGGGCCACCACCGCACTGCACCACACCCTCCATCCTCTTCGCCAAGCTGTGCCACGCAGCTGCCAGAAACCCAGGGCACACGCTGGTCGAAAGACGGCCCCACCACAGATCTGTTCCCCTTTTCTGACAAATGGGACGCCCGAGGCCGCCTCAAGGGGGGCGTGCAGATCGGCACCCCCGGACTCTTCGTGGTCCCAGCGTTCCGGCACCTGGGCAGAGCGTGGGAACGGTCGGGTGCCAGGTGTGGGATTGGGAAGCGCGCGCCTTATTTTTTCATTTTATTTTCCACACATCTTTTTGTGAGGCTCGCTTCTTTCGCTCTTTCAGCACGCACGACCACTTATTTCGCTGTCCACCAGACCAGGTTCCCTCAATTAAAAGAAAGCCACGCGATCTGTAAGAAGGCGTCGGGGGATGATTTCAGGTCGGTAAGGTATTCGGATTCGGGAGTGCACCAGTCACGTCTGTTGGTTTCTGCTAGTCTCTGGCCGTTTCTCGGTCATTCGTGTTGGCTCTAGACTCTTTGCTCTCGCTCTAACTGCATCCCGTAAAAAGTAGTGCATGTACCTCAGCCAGTGCTGTTCTTGAAGGCGCGCCTCGTGTACTCTGTAGTAATAAACGGTGCATGCATGTCAAAAGTCTAAGCGGGGTGTGGACCCGCGTCCGAGTTGGATGGATAATTCCAAGGAACTAGAACCTCACACGGATGACACATTGGAAAGGGATACCGCACTCCCGCTTCACCCGGGGAGGTGGAAGTAGCAACGGGCGGAATTATCTCAATTCCGGTGTCGTCTTGTATTTAAAGTTTTCGCGGTTTGGCTTTTTGGCCGCGGCGTCGGTCGTGAGCCCGGTGTCTCCTCGATATCTCGCACTTTTTTCGGAATGAGACGCTGAATTGTCCCAACTCCCCCATGCGGGACGGAATTCTGCGGGAGCGAACAACGCGGCGAATTGTATAGAAAAAACGTTCACCCGTAACGCAAAGACTAGGCCGACCGAAAAAAGGGGTCCATGGCCATGCTACCTCATGCTGTAGCACTTAGACCGTCCTACCTAGGGGACCTACGTAGGTAACTTACCGTCGGTAGGAGAAAGTACGGAGAAGAATTTTTCGCTCCTTTAGAAAGTCGTGCTACCATCGGTAACCCAAGACAGCTAGGAAATTCCCCCCAAAATCCTCCGCGGGAATGCGGGTTGAATGGGGCGCGGGTTGACAGGCGGGCGTGCGATGGAGGCAGCGGCAGCGGCACCAGAGCCCTGGTTCGCGCGCGCAGGGCCGGGATTAGGAATCTCATGCAAGACATTTGGCGGCGGTCGGACGTGGAAAAAGGAGGGTTGGTGGCTTTTTCGGTCGCTTTCGAGGGGGGGGGTCTTTTTCCCTTTCCGGGCTTAGTGACCCACACTTCTGAGCTTTTTCTGGGGCAGAACGAGCGCAGAAGGATGCATGGAAGGAAATTGTGGGATCCCTTCGATGTCGGCAGACGCCGAAAATCACAGCTGGAGTTAGGTGATGAAATGCACCATCGGCTGGCCACGGCCTCGGGACCCATTTTTTTTCCCTCTCTTCTCAACGTTTGCCAAACTCGACGCCGGCACGCAACGTGCCTCTGCAAAGCTGTGTTGCTCAGACGAACCCGATGTGTGATTTATTCGCATGTGACATGTCCTCGGTAGAAAACTACCAGTTACGTAGTAATAAAAACCCAAATACGGGAATTATCATCTCAATAACTTGGTTACGAAAACAACGGTTACAAATAAGTGCCTTCGACACGAGGTTCTCCGTCGGTCTAGAATTAACAAGTGGGTTTGGCTACCGGATTTAGTCACCTTACCTACCTGGGAATTCAGCCTCAACTCAACTCAAACTTAGGCATCGTATCGACTTGTAAGCGGATCTTCCGTCTTACCCCGTTTATCGAATTCTCAACGTTGTCTAGACTCGGTAGCGAGCCCCTAAATAGGGAGATGATGCATGCGTGCTTCGTATGTTCATTCCTGAGTAAACCGAAGTATGCACCGCCCACCCGGGAACTATGTCTTCCTCCGTTAAAGAAAAAAAAACCCCCTCACCACAGCTCGCAACTTCCAGGTCAGGGGATAAAAAATAATTCGCGCCCACCATCTGGAAGCAGAACCCGCATATCGTACGTAACAAAAGGGTGGACTGTCAGCAATAATAGCCTCGAAACCGCGCCGCAGCGCTGGGTTTGGTTTTCGCTGATTGGGATTGGGTTGGGTTAGCTGAAAAAAAAATAAAGGGAGTTTGCTGGCGGCGGCGGTGCGCCAGCCTCGCAGGCCACGTGTGAAAGTAGGGAAAGCAGGGAAAATGCGCGCGCGCGCATGTTGTGTGCGAGTGCGAGTATAGCCGCTTAGTAGACCGCAATGCCGTACTTTCCGTATACGTACCCTAGGTACCTAAGCGCAGCTCGATCGAAATAGGTGCATTATAGATACACTTCTAGTGTTGGTTGGTGGAAGTGTGTAATGGATGAAAAAGGGCGCTGCTGTTGTGCTGTGCTGCTTATTACTCAACCCAGCCTCACGCCCTACTTACGGAAGGTATGAATGTGCCTGTATTAGAAGGCGGCCTAAACTCCGAGAATCCGGGCTATGGTCTGCGCGGCGGTCGGGATCGGGATCGTAATCAGGAATCGGACCCGGTGTGATGAGAAACTTCTAGGACGCGCGTAAACCATACCTTCAGTTCTATTACTATCATTACCTTATTTTGGCTAATGCGCTTCACTGCACTGCACTGCACTGCACTGCACCGCATCGCGCACTGCTGCAATGCATCCCAGTCTATTTGTGTTTTTTATTCTGTTTTGTGTATTTGTATTTGCATTAAATCCGCGTGCGACTTTATTGAGACCACCCGCGACGGCCACGCCGCAGCCGCTCCATTACCAATCATCAGTACCTGGTTATAAGGGACGGCTGCTGCTATCCCTAAACTGCCGGACTTATCGCCAGTCTTCGAGGCGCTGACGCGGGATGTGCGGCCGGCTGACTAAACGGGTTGGCCGGCTACCGCAACCCACGCAAAAGATGAGGTGATCAATAAAGCAGCAGCTGCTGCTGCACTGCGCTTCGGATTAAGCAACTCCTTTTACTCCGTGAAAATAGGTGATGATAACCTTATGCACGACATGCACGACAAACCCCCCAAAAAAACAAAGATTTAAGAAATCCTTAGGCGGCGCTAAAACCCCTTAGCCGACGTAAACGCCATGGTTTTTAATTGTTGCACATGGCACATGGCCTAGTGCCTATTGCCTATCTCCGTGTTGGCCTCGGTGACAGTAGACAAAAAATCAAGATCACGAGGATTGAGGTCGGGGTCGGGTCAACTACCGCAGGCAGGCAAACCACGGAGTAACAAACAAGCCAGACCCGTCGGGGGAGGAGGGAGACATGGCCGCCGGCCGGTCCGGCCTTGGACTTGGGGGGCCCTTACTCTTACTCTTCCATTGACCATCCAATTCCCCTTCTTCGCATTGCCCGGGGGCTGACATGTCGAAAACCCCGATAAGCAACCCAGTTGTTTTCATTCCGTCGCCCCTGAAGGAGAAGCCTCGATATCAATACATATTCGTTTTGGGGTAACTAATTAGATAATAACGATAACACAAAGTCAGACATTCATTACGTACCAAACAAACACAGAACCATAAAATAGAAACAATCTCTAGAGTTTCGATGGTAACCATAGACCCTTAGTAGAGGGGGTTGGGAAGGGGGAGGGGATGATTGCCCGCCCATCTATCCGCCCATCCATCCATTCATCATACCATCCCTGAGGTCTACCCCGGCCCGGCCCGGCCCCGGCCAGCCAGCTAGCCAGTCCCATGATCAACAGGCCAGTAACCCCTCCTCTTCTCACCCCTCTCGACTAGCAAGTAAGAAGGGGAGGTGAATGAAACCGGACACGTCGTCCATCACGGAGACATCGTGGGTCCATCCACCACCATCATAAAATGGGGGAGGAAATGTACCTAGGGATCTTATAGTTGTGATGTGATCGATACACACATCATCATCACCACCACCACCACCACCACCACCATCATCATCATCATCATCATCATCATCATCAGACGTCTCATCTGTAAAATCCAATAACGAAGATTAGCATCATTAGAAGCTCGTTTCGTCTTTGGATCAAAAAGAAAAGGGGACGGGATGATACTTTGCTCGTTTGTTGTGTTGCCATATCATACTCAAATAGACAAGAGATAACATCGACATCTCCAGTAATATGATAAATATAGATAGACCATGGCTGACTCGAGTGATAATCACACGTGCAAAAAAAGGGAAACGAGTCCCGCAAAGCAAGCTTAATCTAGAGAGCTTTATTTGTTTTCCCCTATTTCCCTTTATTTGCCTTTTTTGTCTTGGCCGTAGTCTATATAACATACTTCCAACGCCTCCTCACCACAGAAGAGGCACCTTTCTGCGTCCAAAAGACAGACCAAAACAACCCGTCCGTCCCTGTGCGTTGAGCGCCAAAATAGCCTTGTTAGTCTACCCAGAAAGTATAGCGCCCTCAAGCAGCTCAAATGGCTAACCATAGTGCCTGTCCCCCCAGCGAATCACCTCACTCGGCGGTGTCCTCCATGACAGCCGCCCTAGCATCCGAGAACAGTGGCGTGATTCCAGTCCAGGATTGAAACTATGCGAAGGTCAAAAATATTAGCATTGACTCCTTGGATCTGTTTGAACAGGGGTGATGTATGTACCTGGTACCAGCCCTGGGCCGAAAGGACCTCGAGGCCAGGGATGGTGCGCCAGCCCGCGTCTTCTGCCAGCTGCATGAGCGGCGTGTGACGCGGTGTATAAGCCATCTCGAGGAGCACGCGCGCGCCGTCTCCCACTACAGGATGCCGCAGAACGGCCACTAGCACTTCTCTCATGTTCTGGTCAATAGGCTTGTCCGCGGGGATGGAGCTGATGACCACATTCGGAAGCAAAGTGCTCGACAACTGGCCCACCTCTTCAGGCGTGGTTAGGGCCTGGATTTTGTAGTCTGCGGGTAGCGAATCGGCAATGGACTTTACGTTCTCGGAGTTTCTGGCCACGACGTAGATAGGGCCGTAGCCCAGGCTGTGCAGTGCGTAGATGGCGGCGCGCGTCGTTCCCCCAGAGCCCACAACCATGGCACCGGCCTCTCCGGTGCGCTTAACCACGCCGGCGGACCGGAGTGAGAAGACCATGCCCTTCCAATCCGTGTTGTCTCCGAACAGTGTAGGCTTGCTGCGGCCGGGACGAGATTTGGGGATGATGGTGTTCACTGCACCAATGGTCTTGGCAGCATCAGACACCTCATCTAGGAGCGGCACAATATCGAGCTTCAGGGGGATAGTCACAGACGCCCCGCCAAAATACGGAGACCTTATCAGGTCCTCCACGTCTGGCGCGTGATCAGTCTCTAAAAGCGAGTACTGATGAGGTAACCCACTCTCTCTAAACAGCGCGTTGTGCAGAGCAGGCGACCGCGACGTCAGGATGGGCTTCCCGAAGAGATAAAACGACCGGGGCTCAAGCTCGCCAATCAGGGCCAGTGCGCGTCGAATCTCTGTGGCCGAGAGCTGCCCCGGGGCGGCCTTGGACGGCAGCGCCGGGTGGGAGACAGGAGTCATAAAGCCATTGAGAACTCGGCTCAGCTTACCCGGCGCCCCCATGTTGAGGGCGATGATGGGCTTGTCATGCGCCGCAAGCATCTTGGCCTTGAAGTTGGCGAGGTCAAAGTTATCGACAATACCATTGGCCACGCCGACAAGCTTGATGATATCCCCGTGCTGCAACGCCTTGTTGTAGAACGGAACCCACCCTCCATTCTTCCACGACAGCTTCGCTTGTGGGTCGTGGTGAGATGCAATCACACGGGTGAATCCCTTTTTGTCCGTTATGGTCTGGATGATGTGGTCTGGCATGGTCATCTCCAAGTCGAGAAATTCGACCCCAGTGCGCAGACCAACCCGGTAGAGCTTTTCAGCTAGCTCGTAATCGTCATCAGGGAACTTGCCGCCCTGGCTAACGGTGCGCACCGTGTAGACGATGGGGACCTTGGCAGCCGACCGTAGTAGGGAGACCTGCGTGGCGACGAATTCGGGATCATAGTCCTCCAGCAAGTCGACGCGCAGCTCGACGGCGTCCGATCCTACGACCACGCTCGGGATGGTCTCCAATGTATGGGAGACATTGGGGACAGTCAACGAGACAAAGAAGGAGTGCGCCTTGCGCCTGATGTCGTCAAAGTCTGTCGTCTGGCCAACTATGACGGAAAGGAATCGGTTGAAGTCGGCCGGTGCTTCACTCAGTACCTTGGAGCCATCTAGGTGGGGGCTGTAGTATTGGAAGCTGCTGCACTCCTCGAAGAATGGCTTGCGCCGATAGTAGACGCCTCGGATGTCCTCCGAATAGGCAGGACGGGTCTTGTCCCTCATCAGGTACTCAACAACCTGTTCCGTGTCGCGGTGGACCAGCATGACACAGCCGCCATTCTGGTGGTAAGAAATGAGCAGCTTGCGGGCAGCCTCTTCCTCGACGATACCCCCACCGCACGAGAAGACGTGGCCCGTCGACTTGGTCTTGATCATATCCTTGAGGAGGGCGAGCTCGGCCTTTCTAAAGCCTTCCCAGCCTCGCTCGCCGCGAATTATGTCGGGAATTGTCATGCCCTCCCTCTTCTCGAGTTCAACGTCAAGATCCACCAGCGGCCAGTCTAGGGTATCGGCCATCCAGCGGCCAGCCGTGGTCTTGCCTGCACCTCTCATACCAATTATGAAAATTGACTGAGCCGAGGTAGACCGGTTTGTTTCGTTTGCGTGGCCGGCCATATCTTTCGGCTCCTCCTCCCCCTCTAGGTGCACGTTGAAGGATTGCGACATGATGTCCCACCATCCGGGCCACGTCTTGCCAACGCACTCGCGCTCCAGTATCAGCACCCGGTGGGGAGAAACGACGGACAAGACACCAAAGCTCATGGCCACACGGTGGTCGTCATAGCAATAGATGCCCTCGGCGGGATTTTGCAGCTCCCTGTAGGGCCTCCCCGTAACCTCGATGCCGTCTTCGAGCTCTGAGCACTGCACGCCAAACTTGGCGAGCTGGTCTTTCATGGCCAGAATACGGTTGCACTCCTTGACTCTTTGGTTGGCGATGCCCGTGATCCGGGTTGTTCCAGAGGCGACAGCCGCAAGCACCGACGCAGTGAGGAAAGCATCCGTCATGGGCTCCATGTCGACGGTGATGGCCCGGAGCGAACCCACGGGGGGGCCGGTGACGGTTGTTGAGAAATCGGTCTGCTCCACAGTGCAGCCCATGGGCCGGAGGACCTCAACGGCGAAGCGGGCGTCTCCTTGGAGCGACTTTGAGCCGATGTTTGGAATGATGCACGTGGTGCCAGTAATTGCAGCAACGGCAAGCGGGTACGTTGCCGAGCTAGCGTCGCTTTCCACGACATATTCTGCCGGGTTCTTGTAGGCGCCCTGTGGGATATGGTATGTGTTGGCGTCTTCGGTTGATCTCTGCACCTGGATGCCAAACGACGCCATCATGGCGATGGTCATGTCGATGTAGGGCTGTGAGATGGGCTTTCCGCCGACCAAGCGCAGAGTCACGGGCTGGCGCGCATACGGCGCGGCCATCAGCAGCGACGAGACGTACTGCGAGGAGATGGTGGCTGCCAGCTCCATTACGCCACCCGCGAGCCCGCCGGCGGCCTCCACCTGCACCGGCAAACTCTTTTCCTTTTCCAGGTACTTGACGCTCACGCCATTGGACCGCAGGGCATCTACAAGCGGGCCGATGGGCCTCACTTTCATCCTCGTGTTGCCCGTCAAGACGGTCGAGGACGCGTCGGATGGGGAGCAGAGAGCGACGACCGAGGTCAGGAAGCGAGACGCCGTTCCCGCGTTTCCAAGATACAAGGGCGCCTTGCTGGCCTGCAGCCTACCGCCTCTGCCTTTGACAACGAGAACCTCGCCGGCATCTTCCCACGAGTACGTTGCCCCTTGGAGCTGAGCGATGGCAGTCAGCATGTACTGTGTGTCGTCAGAATGCAGTAGCCCGTAGATGCGGGTAGTTCCCTCTCCAAGCGCCGCCAGCACCAGGGCGCGATTCGAGACACTCTTGGATCCGGGAGGCGTTACGCTGACCGAGAGGTCCTTAGGAACGCCGGGCGTGACCCGGATGCACGGAGAGAGGACAATACAAATTGCGCGGTCCTCGACGACGCTGGCCTTGGGCTCGAACGTCTTGCCAATGGCCGAGAGCAGCACAATCTTCTTTTTCCGGCCGTCATTCTTCTTATCGACACCCATCTTCTCCAGAAGCACGTCCACGGGGCACTCTTTACCCGCCGTCAGCTTGACGATGCGCTTGTCCTGCAGCGATGTGGGCAGGTCGTAGCTGGCGATGCACTTGGCCAGGCGAGCCACGGCACCGGGCTTGAGTACGCCGAGAAAACGGGCAAGCTCGGCCTCCTTGACCATGCCGATGGCCACAGCCTCGCCGTGTAGAACTTGCGGGGTGAGGATGGCCTCGTATGCGTGGCCGATAGAGTGGCCAAAGTTGAGCAGGTTCCGCAGGCCGCCCTCTCTCTCATCCGACGAGACGACCTCGGCCTTGACACGGGCCGAACCCAGCACGATGTGCTTGAGGATGTCACGGATGGGGGCCAGACGGCCGGGCGAGTTGGCGGCGGCGGGCTTGGAGCGGATAGCGGCGAGGATGACAGGGGCGTTCTCCTCGAGGGTGGTGAACTCATCCGCGTCCCAGATAGCCGCCGTCTTGATGACCTCGGCCATGCCGTTGATGAACTCGCGCACGGGCAGGGTGTCGAGGAAGGCCAGGTCAATGTAGATGCGCTGGGGCTGCCAGAAGGCGCCAATCAGGTTCTTGCCCATGGGGGTGTCGATGGCCGTCTTGCCGCCGATGGACGAGTCGACCATGGCGAGGAGGGTGGTGGGGACCTGGACAAAGCGGACGCCGCGCATGAAGGTGGCGGCCACGTAGCCGATCATATCGCCAATGACGCCGCCGCCGAGAGCAATGACGACGGTGTCGCGGGTGCATTGCTGGGCGAGCATCCAGTCCTCGATCTCGGCCTTTGTCTCGCGGCCCTTGGAGTACTCGCCGGGGGGAATGGTGTAGGTGAGGAGGCGCACATCGCGGGGGGCCGCGGCGGCGAAGACAGCCTGGAAGGCGGGCACGTAGAGGGGGGAGAGGTTGGTGTCGGTGATGAGGACGTAGGTGGACGACTTGATGTTTTCGAGCAGGTCGTGAGTCACAAAGCTCAGCCAGATGCCGTGGTCGACGACGATGTCTTCCCTGCCCAGAATGGCGATCCTCGTCGGGCCAGAGCCGCTGCCATTGGCGCCTGCCATGATGACTATCAGACGTCTGCTGAGTTCGGGATCGATCACTTTGCAATTGGGCTGCACATTCGCCGGCGATGTCGACGGAGGGGGTGGGCAGGCCGTGTGCTCAGCTTCGTGTCTGTCCTGTCTGCCCTGTCTGTCCGAGTCTCGGTGGATGGGCACGATCGGATTTTCGCATGGGGTCCTAGCAGTGGCGGGGTGAAAAATTGAAGTGGGAGAGCTTCATTGGCTGCCCTGTACCTCTACCTACTTGAGTTGCTCTGTTGGCCTGCTAGCTAAGTAGCGATACATAACCTCGACCGGCCTGCTTGGGCGCCTTCCTACCACTGCGGGGAACCCTGGACACTTTTGAGGTCCATGCTCCCTCGCTCGCTGATCACCTCAGCTGTTGCCCCACCACTTTGGAAGCTCTCTTTCCATCGTTCTTCACCGCTCCGCTGGGTGTTGAAACGAGGGGCTGCTTTAGGTTCAAATTGGGGAAAACACCACCGTCGCCGTTTCTAAACGTGGATGTTGAAGACTTTCTATCTCGTCGGCTACCATGTTGGATATACCTACCTACCTGCCTGAATAACGAAGCTTTCGATTGGCATACTGTACCAAGATGGCCCGCCGTTTGGCGGCAGGATTCGATTGACAGGGCACCCGTTAGCAGGTAATAGGTAGCCAACAATCGACTACGTCGCCGTCGGCCAAGACGACCATGGACAACATCTCAGTGGACGACGACTTGAATTACAAGTCACAATTGCAGGTGCTGCAACGCCCTGCACTCCCCTGGCCTGGCCGTGCTGCCTGGCCAGGAAATTGCCCACTCCGTTCTCGCCCTGCCTAGTGTAGAGACTCAATCACAAGAGACGAGACATTGGAGGAGATGGGTGCTATAAATGCTCTCGGATCTCCCAATGCTCAAGTTGCTCACCCCAGTGAGATCCAGTCCTGCTCTGTTTCTCTGTTAGTCTTTTGTTGCCTGATTGCTTGAACTTTGTTTCTTTCTGCTTGGCTCGCCCAGCATGGCTTCTCTCTCGTCAGTCTTGTCCAAGACGCTGCAGAGCATCACGCGCACCAAGATCCGTGAACTAGATTCTCGCCGCAACTCGTACGAGACACGCAAGCGCGAGTGGCTCGATAAGGTCGATGCAGCGGCGGACCAGCGAGATCGTCTATCTGTCCTCGTCGATGCAATCAAAGACCTGTGCCCGTTCCGTATCAGTACTAGCCTGGTGTCCAACATTGAGCGCTGGCTCACCCAGTCCCCATACGATGCTTCGATGCCCATGTCCAAGCTAGCAAGCGTCGATAGTCTGCTCCGTAACAGCCTCGACATCGAGAGCCGCCGGCTGGACATTGCCCATCTATACTCGCGCCTATTGACTGGTATGGCATAACGTCCTCTCTTACACAATGACAGCAAGACTTCTTCACAGCCCCCCGGCCCGACGTGTTTCCTTCTGACTCGAATTGCCGTCTATGTAGAGTGGATGGATCAGGCCAATTTCGACTCTTTGCCACCCTTGGCCAACCGCGACTCGGACCGTGATGATTCTTTCGAGCTTGTTGAGCGCCAACGCCAACCCCTTGCACAGCTCGTTGACAATTTTGAGAGTGTTGCGTTTGAGCCGTTGGAGACGAGCGGTACAGAGATGCGTGCCTACTTGGATGGCCTGTTCCCCGACGAAGAGAGTCAAGAGGCTCTCGGGAAGATGCGAAAATACGTGCAGCGCTACAGCTCCGAACTAATAGCCAACCTTACGCCCTTCAAAGATACACCTCTTCGGTATTATATTACCGGTCTGCTGACGGAAGATATCATGGGCGATGAGAAGCGGGCTATCCTGAACTGCATTCTCGAGAATGATGTCACGATGGCCGAGATTGCCGACGTGCTCAACTTGCGCTTTTCGGATCTCAAACGGTGGCACTGGGATCAGGGCAAGACGGAATCCGCGTTGTCCCTCGCGCAGGCCTCATCGGTAAGTACCGCATATGGGCCGACGACGAGCTCCTCCAGATGATCTTCGTCCAGTACATCGGCATTGAGCTTTGCATGATACTGAAACGGGCCTTGGTGGATTTCATGTACGCCGTGTGCGCCAGGAATATCGATGGCCATCAAGCTCTGTCTCAGAGGGACTTAGACAGGCGCCAGTACTATCTCAACAACTTTTCCCCGAGTCCCGACTGTCTCGAGGCGGACCGTCGAGAAACCTACCTCAATGCTTTCTTTCTCTCCCAGCTCCCTAGCAACGTTGCATCGCTTTCCAGCGGCGCGCAGCTGTACGACGACGATGATAACGGAAACTCCAATAACCCGTCGAGCATCAAGCAGAAACTTCTGCGGCAGCTCGCAGCCGAGCTTGTCACCCATCGTCTCCGGGGAGCGACCCACGACAATAGGGCAGTGTCGCTGTCGTTCAGACTAATCTGCAATAGTAGGACCCCTCCACCCTGTGGTGCCCGTAGACAAGGGCGGGATCACTACCTTAGGTTCTTGTACATAGTATGTAGGCTAACTATGCCTCTCTAGTTATGCGACCGGTCTCCCCCACACTACAATGTATTCTACTATGCGCTACGTCGGCCTTGGCGAGGACTGGATCGATTTAAACAAGAAGTACCTCGAGGCTCCGTTGAACCTCGACGCTGCATCCGACGATCGGCCGCAGCTGGAACCGCGGCCTCCTAGGAGAGGCGTGCTAATAGCGCACGCCTCGGAGAAGCTCGCAGGAGAGCTCGTCCTCTCTTTCATGGATCTTGCTGTCAATCGCCGGACGGGAATTCTCCTGTACCGGCTGCACGATGACATTTGGTTTGTTGGCGAGCCCGAGAGGAGCGTTCAGGCATGGACCTGCATGCAGGATTTTGCCCAAATCGTTGGCCTGGAGTTCAACAGGAGCAAAACAGGATCCGTATACCTGCCCTGGAACTCCGAGAAGGACACAAAAATTGCCCAGACGCTGCCAAAGGGCCAAGTCGCGATTGGCTTCCTTTGCATCGACCCCGTATCTGGGAAATGGGTTATTGACCAAAACAAAGTCATGGCCCATGTGGACCAGCTGGGAACGCAGCTCAGAGACAGCAAGAGCGTGCTGTCGTGGGTCCAAACATGGAACAGCTGTATCGGCCGATTCTTTAGTCACACATTTTGGGAGCTCCCACACTGTTTCGGGCGAGAACATATCGACAACGTCTTGGATACGTACTCGAAGATGCTCCAAAGGCTCTTTCCCAATACTGGCGCGAGTGGAGGAAGTATGGTAGAGCACCGTAAGTTTCAACCCTCTTTCGTGACGAGTTATTTCATGATAGAGCCATCGTCGGCTAACGAAGGAAACACACACAGCCAAGGGCGTAATCCAAGACCGATTTGGTGTAGCCAATCTCCCCCACCCCTTCATATTCTTGCCCGAGAGGCTAGGCGGGCTTGGGCTTCGGAGCCCATTCATAAACTTGTTCCTCGTTCGTAATAATACCGAGGATCCCGAAGATATCATCGAAGAACTCCTCAAAGACGAACGAGAAGATTACCTGGCGCATAAAAAGATATTCGATGCTCTCAGTGAATCAGACGAGCGGCGCCAGCTTCGTCTAATCTATCACGAGGATAAATTAGCCTTTAGCACCGGTGAACTACCACATTCATGTCCCTCGAAGAGTTTAGCCGGTTCCGTGAGCGGAGAAACCGCTCTTTCCGCAACACATTTGAGAAGCTCATCACCGTCCCCAACATGGGACCCATTCACCTGAGCAGGGAAGTCTCCAGTGAGCTTGGTATTTTTTAAATCACTACGACGAGACGAGCTGGCAGGTTCAACTGTATTCAAGGGGGCTGCTAGAGAAGTTCAGTGGCTTGAGCCTGATTGACAAACAATTCCTGCCCGTCGGCGTGTTGGCCAGGATGAGAAAAAGGAAGGTCACCTGGCAAATGGTCCTCAGGAGTTCTCGGTCAGTTCGAATCGGTTTCAAAATTAGATGCCACCTAACCTCCTGTCTCTATCGTACAGGCCTGTCATTCTCTATCTAGACTCGGCCAGATCTCATTACGCTGTAGTCAACCAACCACCACGCCAGTCGCCTTGTTCTATATTGTGTGGGTTTACAAGACAACCCGAGCGTAGTGCGTGTGCAAGTTCAAGGAGAGCCACGAGGATGCTATTGCCCCTCCCTGCCTTGGCCCACGATGCTTGTGTTTGGGTTCTTTTTGTATGTATACGGCCCCTCTTTACGCTTCTTTTGGGATGGGTACCTGGCCCGGCAGCTGCTCGTCGCCCTCGAGATGGCGTCCCCGGGCTAGATCCGCTTCGATGGGCTTGACGAAGGGCTGCCGCAGCGCAATTTTGTGGCCCAGCCAGAGGATCGCGAAGAAGATGAGGCTGATATAGTTGGCGAAGAAGTCGCTAACGTCCCACTCAATAAAGACTGTGAAGCCCTGGGTGAGAGCAATGAGGCAGCAGAAGAACAGCCCGTACCAAGCATTGTAGGGCTGCCACGGCGAAATGTAGGGTAGCTCGGAGCGAGGAATGCCCTGCGCCTCGAGAGCGCGCTTGAATCCCACATAAGACAGGCAGCAGCATCCCCAAGTCACAAGTCCTGCAACACCACTAATGTTGAGGAACCAGCTGAAGACGCGGCCACCCTCTGACGAGAGATTCAAGAAAGCGAGAAGACCGAAGGCGGACGTAACGGCCACGGAATAGTACGGGATACCAGCCGACGTCATCTTCTTGAGGAACGCAGGCCCCTGGCCTTCCTCGGCAAGCGCCACCAAGATGCGGCTGCCAGAGTAGACGTTGGAGTTGGCGGCTGAGAGCACCGCCGTCAGCAGCACGGCATTGATGATGTCGGGCAGCGCCTTGACGCCGGCGCGGACGGCAGCGATGACCAAGGGCGAGGCCGAGGCGTCCGAGGCCTCCGTGAGCAGCCGACCGTCGTTAGCGGGCACGAGCATGCCCAGCAGGAAGATGGTGGCGCAGAAGAGGAAGAGGACGCCCCAGAAGGTGTTACGGATGGCGGCAGGTACCGTCTTGCGGGGGTTGCGGGCCTCGCCGGCGCCAACGCCCACCAGCTCGGCACCCTGGTACGCAAAGGACGCCTGGATCAGCACCGCCCAGAAGCCCACAAATTTGCCCGCGGCCCCCGTGACCTTGTACTCGGCGAACGGGCCTGGGTCGCCCCAGAACCGGAAGCCCAGTCGCCCTTCCTCGCCGGCGCCCCCGGCGATGCAGATGCCGAAGATGATGAAGCCGATGATGGTGATGACTTTGAGCATGGACAGCCACATCTCGAGCTCGCCGTATATGCGCACGGGCAGGTAGTTGACGGCCGTGAAAACGACCCAGAACACGGCAATCAGGATCCCGATGTTGATGTCAGGGTTCCAGTACTGCACGATCATGCCGGCTGCCGTCAGGCTGAGCGCGTACGTGATGGCCCCTTTAGTTCGACCCGCATGTTAGAAGACTTTTACAAACTCGAATCCTGTCTCGCCACCAAGCCCAAGCGGCGGTAGCAACGGCAAGAGATAAAATATTCGGGAACTCACAGCTAAACCAATAGAGCCAGCCCACGGCAAATCCCAGCGACGGGTCTACAAAGCGAGTGGCGTAGGACGAAAAGGCGCCGGCCGTCGGGATGAAGGTGGCCATCTCGCCCAGGCACACCATGACTGAGTACATGATGGTGCCGACGAAGAGGTACGAGAGCAGGCAGCCTAGCGGTCCGGCCTTGTACAGAGCGGTTCCGCTGCCCAGGAAGAAACCCGTGCCAATGGTGCCGCCGATGGCGATGAAGTTGAGGTGGCGCCCCGACAGCCCCCGCTGCAGCTCTCCCGGCTTGGTCGACGGCGGCGGCGTCTCGGACCCCGTTATAGACGATCTCTTCTCGTCCACTAGTCCCCCGTCTCCTCCTCCTTCTCCAGCTCCTCCTACCGCCATCGTGTCGTTTGGCGGTGGCGGACTGAGCGCCGTCTGGCCTTTCTCTTCTCTCTTTTCTTGCCTAGTCTGCTCTTGCGAAAGAAAGGCCGAGCTAGGTTATGTCAGGCTGAGGTATGCCGGGGTAATGCGAGTTGGAAACTCCGGCGAGTGAGCGACGACGTCTGGGTAGGTGAATGAGTGACGACGGAGGTTATCACGGATACGGACGCGGACACCGGATCCTCGCAGTGACGACGGGCGGCTTGGCGCACACACACGGAGAAGTCGCAAGAGAGAGAGAGCCAGTCAGCCGGGCGTGGGAAAACGAGCGACTGCGGCAGTTGATCTCTTCTGGGTTTTCGGCTTTTTTTTGAGAGAGTTTGAGAAGGGGGGGGTTGTGGTGGGTTTCTCGCAACCGCCATTAGGTTAAAAAAATAATAACCCCAGAGGGTCGGTTCCCCTTCCCCTTTTTTCTCTCCCCCTTCTTTTGCACCCCTTTAATTATGTATGGGTGGAATTACGTTAAACGGAGCTACCTCGCATAAATAAGGTGTAGTAAATACGAAAGTGGGAAGCTGAAAATGGAGCTGGAGCGAAAGAAGAGAAAAGGACCTCGCTCTGGCCGTCTCCCGGTGCGTGTATCCACAGCAAACCGCCAGGACGACAAATAGAAAAGGAGCCCACCAGGGACAAGAGCCGAGGACGCCGAGGAAAAAGTACCGGGAGGATAGGTATCCCCGGGGGGGGTAGAAAAGGCAATAAGAGCGAGTCCACAGCTGGTGCCCTTTGCTTGCTGTGCCTAAACAACTAAACTCGGTTTTAACAGGGAACTCCTCAAGTCAGGGACAAGGGGTGGAGGGGCAGAGTAAATAAACAACCACTTTAAGGATACCGAGATATAAGCAAGTGGAGAGAGTCGAGACAAACAAAAAAAAAGAATACCCACTTGTATTAAACTGCTTCTTCACTCTCCACTGTTCCAAGATTTTTAGGAAGAGAGAGAAAAAAATTAAAAATGTTAGCCCACCCAAAAAAAAAAAAAGATACAGAGAGATAGACGTGTCCAAAACCAACAGCTGACAAATGACCCCCAAACCCAAATCGCCTCAGCCGAGGAAACAACGCCCCTTATCTTCCCGCATTTTACCTAGGTAGTTAGCAGCTGAAAACCCCAGAGAGGAAAAAGAAGAAAAAACACAACATTGACTCGTGGCAAAACCCCTCAGGCCCCCCAGGGGAAGTCTTGTTGGGGGTTAGCCTTCCCGGGATAACCTTGATTTTGAAGTACTGCAGACAGAATTGCCCCGAGACAGAAAAACTTGCGCCCAGCGGCCTGCCCTGAGGTAGCACACAGAATATGAAAATATTTTATCAAAAACAAGAGGCGTGCAGCGTCGTAAGCCAAGAAGAGATGATGCTCGAAGTGGAACCAGAAACCCCCCTTTTCCGCCTCCCGGTTTCCCCTGGTGGCGAACGACAACCAAAGGTTCTACAGATAAAGCCAATCTCATTTTTACTGACAGGATATTTGGAGCCTTGTTGCGTAAACACTTCATGTTTCCAAACGCCAGGCCAGGGAGACATCCAACCTACCAAAGGGCGTTCGTCTCGCTGTTATCCGTCAGTTTCGGCCAAGCTTACCACTTGGTCTGCTTTATTGCCGCCAACACTTGAATGTGTCGGTGACGTCAGGGACGCTAGATTGGGATTCATCTTGGCGTCCCGCACATGTTCGATCCCATCTCTTTTGTTCAGCGACTGTATGCAACAGATTCAATAAGCTCTATGTAATGTCTCGTCGCAAAGAAAGTCTAACAATGTATATACAGCCATTTGCTCGAAGGCAAACTTGGCTAAAATGGTATACGCTAACCGGCCTTGGTACACGCTCCCATATTAATTATGTACTCTGCAACAAACGGCAGACAAATGTATTCGGAATAAACCGACAACTCCACTCCCAACGTTGGTCCAGCTTAGACCGCCACGGCCTTATCGTCGTGCACATCGTGCACAGTCGCATCGGACTCGGCACCAGTGTCAGGCTTGCCTGGCGCGTTGTTGGCATTCCACTTATGGCTCGTGATTGGGTTGACCTTCAACAGGTACATCGTGTCCACCTCCTCCAAACTCCGGTCCTTGCTCTCAATCATGAAGAAGAAAACAATCAGAATGAGGCCAAAGCAGCAGCCGGCAAAGACAAGACCGTAGAGGTAGCCGATAGCGTCCGTGATGAAGCGCGTAAAGAAGCTCATCAAAAAGTTCCACAGCCAATTGCTCGCGGTGGCGACGGCCATGGCCGGAGCGCGATATCTCGCGGGATAGAGCTCGGCTACAACCGTCCAAACGAGGGGGCCCCAAGTGGTCGCAAAGGCGACGATGAAGAAGCACGAGAAAACAATGAGGACGTTACCAGCCTGGGGTGTCAACTGCGGGTTGGTGGGGTTGAGGACGAAGCGACCGACGAAGGAATAGACGAGGAAGCACATCATCATCCAGGCGGCGCCAGCCATGAGAGAGTTTCTTCGGCTGAACTTACGCACGACGTAGAGACCGGCAACGGTGCATCCCACATTGACCGAGCCAAGGATGATTTGCGTCACGTAGCTGTCGCTGAGACCAGTGGCCTTGAAGATGGTGGTGCCGTAGTAGAAGAAGAAGTTGGCTCCGGTAAGCTGCTGTCCGGCCTGCAGGGTGATGCCGAGCAGAGTGCGGTACAGCATGCGAGGACCAGTGAAGATCTCATACCACTTAGTCTCGGCACCGGCTCTCTCCTCGTCCAGCTTCTCGCGGATCTCGTTGATCTGGAAGTTGACGGCGGGGGCATCGTTGGCGAGACCAGCAAGACGCGCAATTGTGCGGCGAGCCTCGTCCTCACGACCCATGCGATAGGCGTAGCGGGGCGACTCGGGGAGGAAGAGGATGCCGCCGCCGAGAAAAAGAGCCCACAGGAAGCCAAGGCCGCTGGGGATACGCCAGGAGGCAGACGTGTCCATGGTATGGGTGCCGTAGTTGACCATCTCGGCAGTCCAGATGCCAAGCGTAATAAAAAGCTGGTACATGGAAATAAGCACGGCGCGGATGCGGGTCGGGCTCGACTCAGACTGGTACATGGGCACCAGAACAGAGAGCGACCCAATGGCAAAGCCCGTGACAAGGCGGCCAATAGCGAACTGAGCCCACGATCTCTCGGACGAGATTTCAATGATTGTGCCAATAAGGTTGAAGAGGGCCGAGACCGAGATGCCCATGCGACGGCCCAACGAGTCGGCAATCTTGCCCGCGATCAAGGAGCCAACGAGACATCCGGCGGGGAGGAGACCTACGATGGCACCCTGGCGAGCAGCGCTGAAGTCGTAGGCGTCGGTGGCAGGGTTGTATGTTCCGAAGCGGTCTCCAAAGTCTCTCATGTCGAAGAAGCCCGATATTTGACCACTGCGCGGCCAATGTCAGCAAACTGTATGACAGTGCCTCGGACACACGCGTGTAGAGGCAAATGGGCATCGTTGGTGTGCCTCTGGCTCACTCACCTGACATAGCCAAACATGAAGCCACCAATGCTGGCGACAGTTCCAAGGAAACACGCCAGCATCGTGATCTTGCCGGCATCGATAAGAGGTGCGACGGTTGACGTCTCTCTCTTGGGGGACTGCGAGTGCTCTGCCCGCGTCTCGCCGGAGCGGTGGCGTTTGAGGAACGACATGACGTCGGTGGGTGTCTATATCTGTGTTAAACAGTGGTTGACGACGACTGGAACGGACGGCACCTGGTGTAAGGACGAAAGCGGACAACGACGAGAAAGTGTGTGAAAGGTTTCGGGGCGAGCGGCCTGCCTTTAAACCGAATGATCAGTCTGGCTGGACGGGCGAAGACAAGCGTAAGGGCCATTGTGGCCACAGCAAGGTTGTCCCTAGGCCGCGAGGTAGCCGCGACAGGGACCGGGGAAGGAGCAAGAGGTTGATGTGGTGGAGAAGATGCACGGCATCGGGCTCTGCATCCGTTTTCTTGCAGAAAATTCCACCATCTGCCAGTCCGCGAGACGCACAGCGTCGACTCGCCGACTTCCCCCTAAAATGACCCCAATATCCCCAATATCCCCAGAACACCAAGAATCCCAACTTGCGGGCGCCCCGTGGGCTTTAGCCTTGGAAAGAGAGAGTCGCCACTTGCCCCGAAAGTTCACGTTGCGGGTTGCGGGTTGCAGCCAGGTACCTGCTCTGTTCCGTGTCGTCATGGACTGTGGCTCTCGCTCGTGGATCCTCAGACACCGCCAAGATGGGTACATTCTGTTCCAAACAATGAACCCAGCTCTGAAAACCCGTTTCAAACACCATCGACGTGCCGTTTCCTTTAGGTGCTTGGCAGGTGAAGCCAAGATCAATCTCGACGGAAAGACATCTCTAGCTCAGCCCGGTTCAGCCAGCTAGACCCAGCCTAGCAGAGCGTCATAGGTAGCTCTGCAGTAGGTGTTTCTAAAGCTTCGGGCCCAGTCTAAATGCAGCCTGAACAACTAGATTCCAGTCGGCAATTCAGGGTAGGTCTCAGGATGGTCCCAGATGCCCCTTCCTCGTTCGGGACGCAAGTGAAAACTCACTAGAATATTATCAGCAGTAGATCCCCAACCGAGCCACACCGGTCAGTTGACGATTCAACAGCATCGTTCTTTCCTCCATGCCAGGCTCGTTCTTGTTTTGGGTAAGGGTTACGTCAGAGAAGCCACCGCCACTGGGAAGGCGACGATGCTTGCGCCTTCCTTCCACTGCTGGCGGAAAATAACGCATGAGGTTTGTCCTTCTCGCTCCCAGCTCCCTGCAGACATTGTCCGAAGAAAACCCGATGCCTCGCGTGCCGAAAAAAACATTTCGTAGCATGCAGGCCAGTGTGCCAAGAGTCGCCGTTTTTTCTCGACCGAACCCACAGGATCGGGTCCCGACAGGGCTACGCCTTGAGGCTCTGCGGCTTCGTTAGACCCTAAGCTGCGTAAATCCCCTATCAACGACCGAGGATGCTTAGTCCCTGAAGATCTTCTTGTTGGCTCATTGATTGTCATGCTTCATCTCTAGGCAGTTGCCAGCAAGATGGCCCGTCAACAAAATTCCTGAAGGGTTGGATCAACAAGGCTAGCATGATGGGTCGGGTGACAGACAGATGGCACTTGCCAGGAGAGGCCGTACAAACAGGGGATAGGAAAGAGCAGCCCGTCATTGCATACCAGTGTGCGGGACCCTGGTATGCAAGGCACACTAACATCACCTGGGGTACCCACATAACGGTGAGAAGGAGTTGCACAAACAAACAGGATGCAACTTCTTACACAGGAAACCAGGCATGACACGCCAGGTTAGCAGGAACTGGCTGCTTCTCTAGATACCTATTTCCCCGTTGAGTCTCAGGCCACCCGCGCATGGAAACACCAATGCGGGGATCGAAGCCGGCGAGCAGTGAGGCGTCTAAAATCGTGCTACAGTAGCCACTGGCAACTGGCAGGCCGTGGGATTGCATATTCCACATCGATGCGATGCCTCGGGAAGGAGCCCACTAGCTCCACGGGTCATCTTGACCGTCGCGCCTTCGACCGGTTCGCCTCGGAGCCCAAGAGACAGCTCCATACGAGGCGAACCTTGCTGCACTTGCACGCTGGGGTATCCGTAGCATTAGGAAAGGCCGATTATATGTCCATCACACTGGTAACAACCAGGCAACCCAATTATGCCTTAGAAATAGCTCTACAGTGTTTTTAGGGGGCGGGGGGGCAGACTCGCAGGCGGTGGAGAAATCATCTCATGAAGATTGAGGGGAGGGTGGAGGGCAAGAAAGTTTCGTTCTAGGATTTTGCGCGCGCGCGCGAGACGTGTAGATGAGCGGGGCCAGCCCTTACCAAATCCGGAGCGAATCGGAGGCGCCAACCAATTAAAAATGTCCACCCGCTTTTAAGTCGCGTTCGGTTCATGTTTCCAACGCGTTGGGAATTGGAATTGAAATCTGCATTTGATCCTGCACGGAGGGGCATTTAAAAGGGCTCTCTGCCTCCTACGGTCTTTCTTTTTTTCTTTCTCTTTGCTTTTCTTTTTGATTCTCTTTTTCCCCCTTTTTCTCTTGTCCTTTTCCTTTTCCTTTCTCTTTCTTATCCGTCCGTGCTTCCTTCGCCGAGGTAGTTCCTCGCTACCGCAGTGGTTTGCGCAGTCGTACACGGAGCACCATCAACGGCTTGACGTTTCTCTTTCTCTCTCTCTCCTCTACCCAGTGGCAGACGGTCCTCGAGCATAGCAGCCGTCGGTTACACGGTTCTCGTCGCCCCCAGACTGCCGAAACTATCGTTATATTAGTCGCTACCTACCATTGATGGACGAGTCTGTGATAGCATGCCGACGATCGAGCAGTATTTGAGGCCTGACGATCCAAAATACGAACCGTGTCAACTTCGTTGGGTCACAGCTGGTTCTTCCCCTGCCTAGGATGCTACCAGACCGAGATCGTTGTACTGAGCACCTCAGGCGGCAGTCCGACGGCTCTCGGATATGCTCGCGGTCGACGTTTCGGCTACCGGTGAATTCGATATCTACAGCACGCGATCGGCCGTGTCAACCCGTGAGACCCAAGTTGCGTGGGTTCGTCAATGTGAGCTATACCACTGGGCAAGCACTTGTATTCAGAACCCTTGCCCTGGGTTGCCACTGTTTACCCGGCGACAGGTCACAATGGCTGGTGGTGGTACGGTTCAAGCCCTGATTATTGTCCATTTGTCCATTGCCCGCCGGCTTGGGTCGTCGGGATATTCCCGGCCACGTTGTGTACACGATGATAAGTAGGTTTTATAACGCCTTCTTGGTGACCTTGTAGGCCCTCTCGTCCTGCCAGCGTGTCTCCTGTTGCCAGCGTGAACATTTGCCTGTCTCCTTTCGCTCTTCATACTAGTTATCGGGCGCCCCTACTTCAGCCGGCGATGCTCAGGCTATGGCAGTTGCGGTTGCGGTTGCAGAACATGATTCGAACAGCGTCGCTATTCCCCAGCCTGTGTGGCATTGGAAGCACGGCGATCTCGTCGCGCAAATTGTCGTGGTAAGTGGACGGACAGCCACGGACTTACAGCCGCACGGTACCGTGACGGCAACTAGCAACACGATAGAAAAATGTCAGCCGCCTATTTAGGTACGCACTTGGTATACCGTCGGGGTTTGGGAGGACTATTGGACTAACAGTCTGCGTAGCAGTTGATCTGGTTGGGACAGTTGATGTCACATCCGCTTGAGGAGTAGTAGGTTTGCGTCGGCCGGGTGGTGCAGGATGATGGCAGCACTGTCACCGACGTAGGCCGAGCTGTTATTGGCGTCGCTGCAGGCTGTGACGAGGTAGGCTGTGCCGAGGTGGTCTCCAGCGGGGAGCCCAATGCTGGCGAGCTTTTGCTCTCTTGACGTTAGCATGAGCGCGTGGGTGAGGAAAAGGGAGGGTTCTGACCAGAAAGTGAGGAGAGCCGCTATGGCTGCTGGCAGGTATCTCATTGTAGCTCGGTTCGGTCCTTGGTTCCTAGGAGTAAGAGTGAAGCTTGGAGACTGGACCTTACTGGTTCTTCCCTTAGTGACTGGGGCCTTTGCTGTGCATATATAATATGTTGGCGGCGCTGCCATTTATCGACGTCTGGTTACATTGCACAGATGAGTATGAGTGCAGCCGACCCAAGGCACTGCGGGGATGTTGTGGTTGGCGTTGCACCCGGTGAAGTGTTCTTGGCATCGTGGTTAATGTGACGAAATCCTTTGGACGGTGGGTTTCCCGGTCTATTCCTGCTGTTACCTTGGTGTCCGGTTGAATGCTCGGTGTCGTATTATCCGGCTCGTATCCTTCGGGCTCTAGGCCCGGGACATAGTTGGCATTGCCATGTTTATTATTCTGTCAACATTAGCCTATAGCAGCAGCAACGCCGGGGTTTCTAGTTCGAGGCTCTTGACCTCGCGGATGCTTGGCCGCCCTGTGTGACAGATGCAGCCTCTTGTGGCAATCTCCAGTGACGATATGGCGATACTTCTCTGGTTTGCCGAAGCCTTGGGAAACTCAGTGGTGAGCCACCGTTCGAATTGGGTTGGTGGCGGGTTGTGGCCTGGTTTCTCAAGTGCCGAGCTCGCGATTAACACATCTCCCAGTATGTCCCGTCGAATTCCGGTTCGCCAATGCTTAGTCTCGTGTTGTTATATGATATATGTCCCAGTTCTGTCCAGTTTCTGGTATACCTTTCTCTCTCTTATGTGCGTTAGGCCGGTTTCTATTGGTATGTATGGCAAAGGAGCATTCTCTGTCAGGGTCGGTCAGTAGATAGGTAGGTACCCAGTCTGTTGTCAGTCACTTTAGAAATCTGGACGGAGTTAATTGCGCTAGTAGGAATTGTTTATGTGCAGCCATGTCGATGCTTGGAGGCAACTGACCGAGGTGCTATTTCTCTTGCGGGGAGAGGGTATATGACTTGTAGGATGTACCAAGTCTATCTGAGTATTTCTCGACACAATAGAGACCACATATTACCACCATTGATGAAGCAAATATCACTAGTCGGTCTCTTTCTATGGGGACACTACCCTGGTTGTGGGCAAATGGGCTAGTCGTGAACAGCATATTACAAAATAATTTCCTAGTTAGACCCGAAGAACGAGAAGATAAACAAATCCGCGAGACTTAAGAGAACTACCACTTCCACTGAGAATAGCATGTCGGTTACTTCGAAATGCTCTCTAGGCACGGGTTTTTACTCGAGAGTGGAAAAGTTGTGGTTCTCCTTTGTCGTCTCTATCGGCTTCGGTGGTGGTAGGTTTTTAATTAATTCCGTTAAGGTTAGCACAACAGGGCTCTATGCCACACAACACCGAGATGGTTCAAACTGCTAGGTTTAGGACAACTCAGTAGTAATCATGTCACGAGCATCAGTAAGCCGAACTCGGGATTATCTTTTGATTCTATGTTTTCAAATCAAGTAGACCATTGGAAAGTAGTGAAGTACTTGTATCCCAATGTCAAATGAAGCCAAGGATACGCATATTATCATAACACTGGAAATTTTAATGCGGTAGTTCATAGCACAACGTTTAACACTCTATGTTGCACATTCAAAAAAAAACCTTTCTCAGTACACAGATTAGTAACAATAACTGCTTTTAACTAAAATATACCTAATTGATAATTATTTATTTCGAGTGGAAAAAAAAGATCACAACACCAATGTATTGGTTTTCAATTGTGTATCCCAGTTGCAGCTATATTGCGAATGAGCGGGTTACCACCTACCTAGGAAATGAAGGCAGTAATGTGTTGGTATTTATTACTCGGTGTAGCTATATATATATTGTGAAATATTCTATTATTTTATTCTATCGGTTCCTGTAAACGAGTATAATGAAAACCAAAGTAGGTACAGGAGCAAGTAGCTTATATTTGACAATAGTGAACTGAGTAACGTATATATATTCACTAACCAAAACGAACACCCTTCAGTTCATCCAGGAACGCCCAATCGTTACCAGCGCCAAATATCGAGTGTCTTTACAAATTTTTCTTTTCCAGCAATAAATGATATCTCTCAAGACTCCACACAACAACAACGCCACGTATACAAATACAAGGAAAGGTAAAACCGCATACATAAAAACCACTACAACGTAGAACATCGAAAGACACTAGTAAAATAATAACAGGGACAAAGGATCATCTATAAAATTGCTACCAAACAGGCAAAATTTACAAGCGCGAGTAATACAGACACAAAGACAAGTCGAAAACACAAAGCAAGCAGGGGCACGTGACAAAGCCTATGACAATGGCACCACTGGCTACACTAGCTACAAGGACGTGTTTATTATGTTTAGGCTCCACCCCAAAGGCAATACAACAGTCACCGCAGTGAGTCACGTAGCAAGAGGCCATGTGACGAGTCGCAGAGGATGGGAACACTGAGTATCCTGTGATGAACAGCAGAGCAATAACGACACTCGGGAAGGTAAGACCGCAAAACCGACCCCGACAGAGAAACGCGTGAACGCGTGTGCAGAGAACTCCACCATGCCCATGCCGAGCTGTCAACAAGCCAACGCGACTTCTCCACCAGGACGCGACAAGCACAAGACGCATGCGCAGCGTGTGGCAGCGAGAAAAGTTTGTCAAGAACCTCTCCGCCCGAGACGGACAGGAGAAGACATGGAGTATATTGATTTCACCACGCCCAAGCCTGATTGATTCAGCCATATATCCGTTCTCCCTTCCCCTCAATCTCCCGTTATAGTACAGCGTGATTGGCGTGTGCGTGAAAACAGAGAGATAAAAGACCCAATAAACCAGTGAAACCCCACCGCCAAGTAATCCCATGAGAGGTCATCCGCAAAATAAACTGCGCGCGGACCCAAGACCCGACCATAAACAATAAAGAAAATGAGACGCCTTTCATCAAGCCATATCGTTTGGTTTGTTGTTGCTGTCGTGGTATAATTTGTGCAGGAGAAAAACGACACACGAAGACACACAAAGGGCGCGCTTAACCGCCGAAGCCGTAGAGGGTGCGGCCTTGGCGCTTGAGCGCGTAGACGACGTCGAGAGATGTGACAGTCTTGCGCTTGGCGTGCTCAGTGTAGGTGACGGCGTCACGGATGACACCCTCGAGGAAGGACTTGAGGACACCGCGGGTCTCCTCATAGATCACTGTGCGGGGGGATGCCGGTTAGGAAACTGAACCACGAGCAAGGTGAGGCTGGAGAGAACATACTGGCAGAGATACGCTTGACACCACCACGACGCGCGAGACGCCGGATGGCGGGCTTGGTGATGCCCTGGATGTTGTCACGAAGAATCTTCCTGTGGCGCTTGGCACCGCCCTTGCCGAGGCCCTTGCCGCCCTTGCCGCCTGTAGATGCATGTTAGCACGATGCCGACGACGCGTCAAGAAGGTATCAAGTAGTATATAACTTACGTCCAGTCATGTTGATAGAGGGGTGGTGGTTGTGTGTGGGGGAAAAAGATTGTTTGTGGTGGTGAGGCTGACAAGAGACTTGAGTGACAGCTGAGGTTCTGGATTGGTAAAGTGGGAAGGGAAAAGGAAGAAACGTGGGGAAAAGAGGGCGGGCCTTAAGTAAGGGAAATGCGGCTGCGGCGTGCAGAGCCTGCGGGAATCAAATCAGATCAGTGATTTGGCTGATTTTCGGGCGGGCCCCCAAATTCAGGTCTGCGGTGCCAGCCAAAAAAAAAATAACAGTCTTTTTGGAGCGTGCCTTGCAGGGCCACAGCCTGTTTTCCCACCCCACCGCTCGCCCCGCCGGCCGACCAACCAAGCGCGTAGCCCCACTTTGAAACCGTGTTGCCGTATTTTTCTCCCTCGCATCAGCGCGCCCAACTCGCAAAAAGCGTGTGATTTCAATCAGGAGGGTGGGGTAGGACTTTGGAAAATGGGGATGGAATATGATGGAGCTAGACCCGATCCGATTAAATTGTTCGGAGCAGCAAAAGAGACGTACCCCTCAGCTCACTCCCGCGGGGCCAGGACAAGGTCCGCCTCATCACGCTCGGCCTGGAATGGATCGTTGATCATTGATGCGCGCGACCTTGAGTCCAGAACGTTTGGCATCTGCCTCTGTCTCCATATCGGCATTCTTGTAGCATGAGTTCCTCCAGCCGCGCGCTCGTCGTAGTGGCTGTTCCATGTAGATAGCTGTCGTGCTTGCATCTGTATCCATCTTCTTAGGTACCCGGTTGACTCATCCCATGTTCTCTTAGTGGTTCCTGTGTCTGTCCTGAGCTTCACGACACTTGACTGCCCTGGTAGCCAAGGTATACATGTGCACCGCGTGTACAAGTACCACATATACAGCTGGTAGTAGCTATCGGGCTGCTTTCTGCGCTCTCTGAATAATATCTGCCATCCAAGCGACACCCGACTGGGATAAACGAGGCTCCAGAATCACTGTGTCATGCCAGGAAAAGACGTCGACGGCAAGGTGCACCACAATGATCGATCCTTTGTAATTTGACACGAATATCTAGCAAAGCAATAGCTACAATTCTATATCGGATTTGGCATTTGCGTGAAGTTATTTCGAGGATCTTAGGTCCGCCTCGTTAATTACATCATCGTCCATACCGTTCGCGAGGACAAGTCGCGGATTGCTAGTGCAGTACGTTCCGGAGCGCGCCTGCAATTCCCTGCTAAGTCCTAATTGCGGCAACGTCAGGCGGCTCACTGGTACAGTGGGCGCCCTGTCGCTGGAGCCGGGGTGTGGCAATTTTTGGGCCAATCAAAAAACGCCAGCTGCGGACTTAGCAGTGCACACCCAAATCAACCACCTAAAACCGCACCATTTCTCTAGCACAAACCGACCACCTTTTCCTTGGGAACGGACCCCGGTTTTGCGTGCACGCATCAACCAAAAAAGCAGGCGCAATCAAGCACAAAAAAATCCGCCGCAGCCTAATCAGCCGGCAACGTGACTGCAGCAGCCGCCTACATAAACCTCGCACCCCCCACCTCCTCCTTCCCTTTTTCATAACACACCTTCACACTACACACCCACCGCATTCAATCAATCAACTACCCGGCTTTCGCCATCAACCAACAACCAACAATCATCACAGTCATCAATTTGACAACCGAACAACACAATGGCTCGCACTAAGCAGACCGCGCGGAAGTCGACTGGTGGCAAGGCCCCGCGAAAGCAGCTCGCCTCCAAGGCTGCCCGCAAGTCGGCCCCGTCGACTGGCGGTGTCAAGAAGCCCCATCGTTATAAGCCCGGTACCGTCGCTCTCCGTGAGATTCGTCGCTACCAGAAGTCGACTGAGCTCCTGATTCGAAAGCTCCCCTTCCAGCGCCTGGTAAGTTTTCTTTCTGATTTCCATCGCCGACTCCGGTCGCGCTTGGCACAATCGCCATCCCGCAAAAACATTTTACTGACCGTCTATCTACAGGTTCGTGAGATTGCTCAGGACTTCAAGTCGGATCTCCGCTTCCAGTCTTCGGCCATCGGCGCCCTCCAGGAGTCGGTCGAGTCTTATCTCGTCTCTCTCTTCGAGGACACCAATCTGTGCGCCATCCACGCCAAGCGTGTCACCATCCAGTCCAAGGACATTCAGCTCGCCCGCCGCCTGCGCGGAGAGCGCAACTAAGCGAGACCTTGTGCGGGGTTTCCATTGATGGGCATGGCGGGGAGAGGTGCTTGCTAGTTTCGGGGTTGGGAGGATAATGACTCTTTTTTCACACGATGGGACTACTTTGACTTGAATGACGGATCATTCTCAGGTCTACGGGATAACCACGGCGTTTTCATGAAACGGGTTTCACTGATGGCTTGTACATTACATGGTGGCAAGGGGATGCCACCGATACCAAATGCCGAATAACGATCATAAACACTGCTTGTTCCCACTGTGATGCCTGCCTGCCTGCCTTGGTACTGACTCTGAACCCGACGCGAATGTTTTCTAATCTCCCGCCGTGACGCGGAGCGCGGCAATAACAGTGCTTGCCTCGATTGCTACGATGGTTGTGGGGCCCTGTCTCTGCACTTGGCAGTTGAGCTGAGCACAGTCATGAGTGTTTCTTTGGCCGAGCAGGCTACAACCGGGATGGTCGACTTCACGCCTATAAAGCGAAATTTCACACGATCGATGATGTTTATATCTCACATTCAGAATTACATGCACACGTAAATATAGAAGGTATATATACCTTGACTAGAGCAATGTATCTCACAGCACAGATCTCCAGCCGCCCGCCCGACCGCCGCCGCGGTCGAGGTCGATGTCGAGGAACTGCGCGACCTGGCCCAGGTGGTCGACGCCAAAGAAGCCCTCGGTGCTGCCCGTCTTCGCGTTCGTGCACACGAGCCACGGCAGCCCGAACGCGCCCGCCGCGAAGGCCGCGTCCGTGTTCTCGATCAGCAGTTTCTTGCCGACTGTGCTGGCGTCGGCGAGGACTGTTTTGTTTGTTAATATTGTGTGCATATGTATAGTGACGGTTTGGTTCTCTATCTGACGTGCCCGGACGGGGAGGTGGGAACCGTGATGTCTACTAGAGAGAGAGAGAGAGAGAGAGAGAACCCACTCTTGTCGGCCTCGGCGGGCCCAAACACGTCGTCCAGCACGGCGCGCAGCACGTCGGGCCTGTGCGTCGGCTCGCCGTCAACCCAGTACTTTGCGTAGAGGGCGTCGAGCACGCGCACGAGCCGCGTCTGTTGCGCGTCGTCAGATGCCCACACGGCGCACACGGCGCGCATGATGTTGAGGGTCAGCGGCGGGAAGTCGGGCGGCAGCTCCTGCGTGATGGGGATGCCGAACGCTCCCGCCCAGCGAAGCCGCTCCGCGTTGATCCATTTGTCTTTGTCTGGGACTCGGAGGCGGCTGGTGAGCGGTGGACGAGATGCCGGGGCTGATGATACAAAGGCACGGTAGGATATGGGGTGGGGAAGAATGTCCCGTTTTCGGTGACTTATATTTCCACTGAGGGGCCTCGTTTACTTTGGAGATGGAATGAATGCCCCCCCTCACTTGGTAGCTTTCTTCAAAGGGGATAACGGAGGAGAAGAAGACAAAAACGAAAAAAAGGCATACTCTTGATATTCATCGGCGCCGTGTTGCCGCACTGCCCCCATTCGTTTGTCAGAACCAGCCGCGCTCTCAACAACACTTGACAACAACATGTCTTGCCTGTCTCTCTCTCTCTCGTGACAACGACTATCTCCGAGCAGAGCGAGCAGACGGGGCTAAGCGAACGGAAGACTACCTGACATGTCTGAATAAGAAGGAGGAGAAGGACTCACCTTATGCATCAACCCACCAAGAAAGATGGGCACAAACGTGACCTGGCAGCCCTTGAAGGCGGCATCGTGCTGGACAGTTAAAATAGGTTAACAAGTTGAGCAACAGAAAGAAGAGAAAATGCCACTTTGAGAGCTTCTCCGGTTGTGTGAATCTAGATAATCAATCCTGCCTGCCGTGACATACGAAACCCTCTCTCTCTTCACTCTCGTAGAAAAGAAACCCCCCAGAAATTAATTGAGAGGGAAGCGGAGAGAAACCCACGCGGAGGATGTAGTAAGCCTCGTAGGCGAATGGGCTGACGGTGTCGAGGTAGAGGGTGATGGCGGGCTTGTTGGGCTTGGGCTGGGCCTGCGACGTCATCATGGTCCGGGATGCTGGTCTCGGTCTCGGTTGTGGTCGTGGTCGTGGTCGTGGTCTTGGTCTCAGCCCTTGCGACGACAACGGTAGCAGAAGGAAAGGCTTCCTCGTTGTTGCTGTTGCTACAATAGCTGTCCGCACCGAGTTCACCAGCATGTATGTGTATGTTGACCGATGGTAGGTAGGTGGTAGGCGGTATAGAAGGTCCCGGGCTGAACGTAGTACCAGCACGAGCCAGCCAGTGAGTTGTCCACTTAGTACTCCAGTCAGTATGTGTTCCAAAGAGACAAAAACAGTTGCCACCCAAAAAAGAGGCCAAGAGGGTGAGTGCAGCTGACAATCTTAGTACCCGACTGCCTCGAACAAGAAGAGACGGACGGTCCTGAGCTGCTACATAAAGTAATGCCTATGTTATGGAAGCTACCGGGAGGGCAGGGCATGGAGCCGAGGAACGGCAATTGGGGCACCCGACGGCAACCCCGCATTCTCAGTCTCGAGACATGGAGATTCCTCCCGAGACTGACTGCAGCTTCACTTCAACAACACCACTTATTAGGTTGGTCTGCCTGTTGTGCGTGCCCCACTGCATGGTGTAATACGGAGGGAGCAAGAACTCGGCGGTCGCCGGCAGCATTGCTGCTTATTCGCTGGCCTATCAAGTCTTCCATGTTGGTGTGCTTACCTACCTCAGGTACTGTCTCTGTTGTGCTGCACAGGCAATGAATCCCGACAAAAAGGTATCGCAACCCGAATTCTTCTTCAAACTCCCTTGTTCCGAGCCTCGATCTGACACACACGAGAGATGAGACCTATCGTCTTCTACCTAGACATAATGTGTACGAAGCTACTCCACGCAGACCGGAAAACGACTGTACAAGTACTTTGCTTTGTACAGTACCGTAACATCAACCTCGTCAGGCCACCCCCCCTCTATTGTCACCTCTAAAGCCCCATGGCCCGGTGATGCTCTGTCGGTACTTGCGTGAGCACGTCGAACGAGCCCGTCCCCAGCCCCCCGAGCTTTCCTACCACCAGCCTGCTCGACGGTGTCTCCAGGCTGTCCCAGTCGCCATCAAGAACGGCGTCTTTGAGGAATCCCACCGTGGTTTCTATTCGCGCCCAAGAGTCAGCCATGGCCCTCGTGTCGCGCACAGAAAGCACATCGAATCAAACATACCGTAGCTCATCTTCGTAAACGGGCTGACATTGCTAGTCAGACCTATGCGGTTGAAGGCAGTGAAGCCGCCATTCCTGTTTGCAAAAAAGAGACGTCAGTGTCATGGGCAAACTATCAGAGACAGAAAAGGGGTCCTGCTTACCTGGTCATGAAGTCGGCAATCAAGTTCAAATGGCGGGGGTCGACTGAGATTCCGTGGCCTCCGAAGACGCCCCCAAGCTCTTGAACAATGTTGGCCCGGCACGCCTCGACTCCGTACACGTCGAGCACCTGAGCAATATCGTTTGTTGATATTAGGTTGGGGTTGATGTAGTCGGCGTACTGCTGCATGGCCCGCAGGTTGGCTCCCTGCGTGTGCACGACGTTCCGCTTGGTCGTCTCCTCGGTCCGCAGGTCCTTGACGTTGTCCTCTGCAAACGTCGCCGTCCCGAGCTGCGAAATCTGCTGGATCACGGCCTTCTTCACGGCCTCCTGCACCAGGTTGAGCATCAGGATCTTGGGCATCGACACGTCGTACTCGAGCAGAAACTCGACCCACTCCCCGCCAATTTCGTCGCTCCGGAACCGAGACACCCTGGAGATCCTCTCCATGATGCGCCCCGAACGTGTCATGCCTTGCGTGTCCTTCTCGCCATCTCCATTCTCCTCGGGTTCTGGGCTGCCGCCATTCGCCCCATCGACAAAGTCCAGCCTCTCCTCGCCCTCTTCGTCGGGTTCGGCCTCTCGCTGGTTCTGCTTTTGAATCGCGTCGTCCTCGTCGTCGTTCGGGCCGTACGAGACTGCTTCTGACCTGTTGGCTTTTTGCTTGGCGGTTGTGGCGTCTCCGTCGTCGTCCTCGTCATCATCGCCGTCGTCGTCACCGGCACGGCCTCCTCCGTTCTCGCCGCCGCTCGGTGCCATTTCAACGACGCCCGCCTTGACGCCGATTTCAGGCGTGGCAGAGCTCGTCTCCTGGCCTCTCTTCTTTACCTCCTTGTTTATCATGATGTTAAGGAGAGGAAGGAACTTCTTCTCTACCGTATGGAGCACGTCCTGAACGTCGATCGCATACGTCTTTTTGTATTCCGCCGCTTCAAAGAAGCGCAGTCTTATTTGGTACGTCTTCGCCAGAGCGAGAGCAACGCCGCGGCCGACACGCTCCCGCACAACTGCCTCTTTCGTGACATGGGAAAGCGGGAGGACGCTGATAGACTTTGCAAACCGCTCCCCTTCATCGGGCGTCAACTCCTCGTTGAGGACAAGCGTCATCGAGGGAGTCGAGATATTCGAACTGGCCGTCATGAGGATTTCGCGAAGTCTGGGAATACCGAGCGTCACGTTCTTAGCTGAATGGCCGGCTAAATGGAATGTGTTGAGTGTCATTTGTGTCGACGGCTCTCCAACTGACTGGCCGGCAACGACTCCGACAGCCTCCCCAGGCTCGACGAGGGACCGGATGTACTTGGCGGCCAGGAACTTCTCGGCAGTCTTGCGGGTAACCTGGCTCTTCTTCTTGGCATCCTTCTTGTCCCGGATTAACCCATCCTTGTTGGTCTTGACGTATCCCATCATGTGGGAGAAGAACTTTTCCGACGTGGCAAAGCCAACGCACGCCGGGTCAAATTCGGACGTCACCGGGTCCAGCGGGGCCTTGTGGCCGCCACTCGACTTGATGGCGCTCTTCATCCGCTTGATGATCTCGTCCTTGTGCTCAAAGAATTTCTGTGTGCCGGGTTCGCTGTATTTGATCTGCGCGAGCTCCGAGTCGAGGTTCTGGAGGAGGAACTCGTAGTCTTTGAGGTATTTCTGCTTCGATATGTCGAGGCCATCCTCGCCGAACAGGAACTGCACTATTGATCCGTCCGAGTCTCGCACAGAACTATCGTACGAGACTCTGAGGCCCTCCAAACCTTTAATTAGACATCTCTGGAGGTAACCGGAGCGAGATGTCTTGACAGCTGTGTCGATCAACCCCTCACGGCCAGCCATGTGATGGAAGTAGTACTCTTGGGGCCGGATGCCCGTCAAGAAGCGATTAATAATGTACCCTCCAGCCCTCACATCCGTGTCGTAGGGGTCGAAGCTCGGTAGAGACTTTCCGCTAACCATGAGCGGGACTCTTCGGCCCTCCAGCACCTGCTGGCCAAGGTTGCAGGAGATTAGATTGGCATTGACAGGACCGCCCTTTGCTCCTGAAGTAGTCATGGCCTGCATGTGGTTCTTGGGGAACTGCTTCTGCAGACCGGTGGGGAGACACTCCTTGGTGATTGCGCTGGACAGATCCGAGCACCTTGCCGTCACGAGATGATCAAGGTTTTCCTGCTTCTTGTCGTCTCTCATGACCTCCTCCAAGCGCTCCATAAGTAGCGGGTGGTCCTTGGTGGGGTTCTGGTCCTGGAGCGAGACGTACTTGGCCGCTACCTCGAGTCCAATCTCGGAAGCAGCTTTGAGCACCCTGAGCCTGTCCTGCTCACCTTGCGGTGTCATGCGAAGGTCGTCCATGCCGCAAGTGAATGCAATCATAGACAGGTATCGGGTCAAGAGCCGGCCCATGCTACTAAGAAGCTTGCCGGCAGCCGACGGACCGTAGACTTCGTGCACTGCGTGGATCAGTCCCCCTCCGCTCGGGCCCAGCTGTGACTTGTCGAGAATTCCAGTCACAAACTCGCCGTCGCGGAACATGACCATCTGCTCTTCCACCCCGCCCTCTCCCCAGCTGCGGGCCTTGAGTTGGGATTCGCCATTCATCCATAGGTCGCCGCAGTCCACGGGCCTTATGTTTTTCAGTATCGTTGTGATGATTTGCTTTCCCGTCCAGCGAGCCACTGGCTTCATCACGGCCGGCGGTACCAGTTCGATCCTCTCACCCATAATGTGGCCGCTTTCTGGCCGGAGGGCACCGTATATGAGCTGGTGGTATGCATCCCGGTCGAAAAAGGTGTCCTTGTTGCAGAGCGCCACCGAAACGGATATGTGATCCTGAATGAGACCTCTGAGAGGCTTTCCTGCCGTCGCGGAGATGTATTGGTGGTCCGTGTCGGCAAGCTGCAGCGCCTCAGCCCGTGCAATCTCGTTTTGCGGGAAATGCATGTTCATCTCATCGCCATCAAAATCGGCGTTGTACGAGTTACAATTCGCGTAGTGCATTCGAATCGTCTTTTCACCTGGGAGGACTCTCACTCGATGGCCCATCATTGACGGCTTGTGGAGTGTTGGTTGACGGTTCATGAGGACGACATCGCCGTTGGTGAGATGCCGATGCACTTTCTTGTTCCGCATGCCGCTGAAATTGTTGCTGCTGGGAGCAAGAAGCTGGTTCGCAAGAGACAAACGGTCCTCGAGAGTCTTGTTTCGCAAGTTCACAATCTGACCGTTCTCGTTCTCAATCGCAGAGGCACCCGGCCATTTCTCTGTAATAATAAGTTAGAAAGTTTGTCACTGTACAATATCAGCCCGAGAGATGGGGAAAACACCTAGAAGCACTCTGGTATCCAAGGTATACGCTCAACTGCCGCGGATGTGCTACTTACCAACGCCGTTGATCACAGCTTGTCTGTAAGATTGAGGTTAGCAGCTGATAGAAAGAAACAATGATTCAGATTAACTTACTGAAGATCCTTAAAGTTGTGGCTCGTTACAGGCTCGGGGTATGTAAGTTTCGTGGCGAAGACTGGAGGAACGCCGATCTCGTTTGTCTCGATGTTCGGATCGGGAGAAATAACACTTCTGGCAGCGTAGTTGACTCGCTTCCCCATCATGTTCTTCCGGAACAGGCCTTCCTTCTTCTCAAGCTTCTGCTTGATACCGTCTTCGTTTCTTTTCCCGGCATTGCCTTGAATGGGGTTCTTGTCGCGGTCGATAAGCGAGTTGACGGCGTCCTGCAGCTCCGTCCACACTTGATATAGCGAGGATATATCTCTTGTCCTCCTACCTTCTGTAGCGGCATTGGCAGGGTCTCCGATAACCCGCGAGATTTCCGCGACCTTTACAGCATTCCGGAGAATCATTTTGTAAAGGTTGTTTTGCTCCGACTCAGATATTTGCGAGTCTCCCATACGAGCCTGTTTCAGGACAAATGTCAGCAGACCAGTACTCAGGTAAACGTGGGGTATGCTAGCTGGTCAAAGGATGTACCTCAGGTCGATATTTGTTTGGGGGGACTAGGAGCGTCTGAATGAAGAACATGCCGGCGTCGATAGGCTTGGAATTCTTAGGCCGAGGCTTCGAGTTGTAAAGCACTGCGAGAACGTCCTGTTCCTTCTCGAAGAGAAGGTTCAGTCTCTCCTTGACCTCCATGGGACTGAGATAACGCTGGGCCTTGGTTGCCTTGACCGCCTTTGCTGACTTGCGCGCCTTGGGCGCAGAGTCGGCCATGACGACGTCGCCGTTCTCGTCTAGTTCCTCGCCCTCACCCTCATCCTCGGGCTCTTCCGAGGACTCGTTCGAGGACAGGTCAACATCGGCAATGCCCTCGTCCTCGTCATCCCCGTTCCGCCTCTTGGAGTTTCGCGTCACGGTCATGGCCTCGGTCCGCTTTCTCCCTGCCTGCGCCATGGCTGCCTTCTCCTTGGGAGTCAAGTCGCGCTCAAATATTTTGACGTAGCGGTCCTTGCGGTACACAGGCGATATTCCCTCGCAGGATCGGCATCGCTTCTCGCGGACTATAGCGGCCAAGAACTCCTTGACAAGGGTTCTCCTCATTTCCGAGGAGCCCTCGTGCTTGCCCTCCCGGAGGTCGCCAAGGTTGACCATTGACTTGTGGGCCTGGAGGGCATGGCGCACATATGCCTCCCTCTCGCGGATGGTGATGTCCTGGCCTTTCTCGCCCTCCTCTTCGGCCTCGTCAATGTTGGGGATGGGGACGTCACTGAGGGCGAATTGGCGAATCTCGGAGCCAAACTCGCTCTCGGAAAGGGCGTCGATTATTTGCGCCTCGCGCATCAGACCAACCTGGAGGAGACGGAGCATACATGTAGTGCGGTGGATTTCGCGGCGGGGGAGTCGGAACCGATGGCAGTAGACACATTGCGACCGCAGCAGACGGTAAGCCTGGTCCATGAAGATGGGGTGGTATACCGGAACAGAGAGCTCGATGTGGCCCGGGTGGCCCGGGCATTGCGCCTGGTTGAGATTACACGTGTTGCACCTGCGCAGCACATCATTGTGTCAGTTCAGTCGAGTGTGGGCTGTGTTTACTTCGAGAGAGGGAGGGGGAGGGGGAGGTTCTTACAGGGTGTCGCCCCATGACCCCAGGGCCGGGTCGTAGAGACCGCCGGGCACGGGGTTGAGCAGAGTATCGAAGGTGCTGTCATTCTCAATTCGGCGGACCGAGATGGCGCGGATCTCGTCGTCAGTGAGCAGTGTAAACTCGACGCTCTCGAGCGATGAGGCAACGGGCTGTGCAATATTCATGGCGGGCAGCTGTTATAGTAATTATATGGAAGTAAGGCCCCAACCTCCCATGGCAAAAATAATTGGAAAAATCCAAAGAATGAACAAGGTTGCGGCGGAAAGTGAACTTGTTGGTTGCAACATCAACGTCCAGCCTCACACCGAGCTTCATACTTTCACGCACAACTGGTGATTGGTGGGGACTTGGAGACGGGAGCTGGTCGAGAACAATTTTTTGGCGGAGAGCGCCGGCAGAACTGTCGCTTTGATGTGGGGCACATGGCCTGCCTCCAGTTATCGCACAGTGCCCTTGGCAATCAGCGGCCCGCAAGGTCGGTCGCCGTGCCTAAAGCAAGCGCATCGAACCTGGAGCCAACCTTCGCAATGAACTTCAACTTAAGGTAGCGGAACCTTTGTCCTCAACCCTGTCCTCGACCTGGCCACCGACCTTGCCATCATAATCAACATCGAAATCAACACCGAAATCGAAGTCCCACGACTCGACGCACTTTCCTCTGTGCCGCATCAAGTGTCAACCTACAGTGCTTACCTACCTTGAGGGCTTTCGACAGCGCCCACCGGCAGCGCACCGTGCTCTCATCCCCGCGACCTGCGACTTCACGAACCTGACAAGGCGCCTTAGCTAGCTTGCTCTACTTCCCGGGCACCAACCCTCTGCCCTTGGTACAGTACCACGTGCCACACAACCCGCACCTCTTATTCACCACCGCAATTCGGTCTGCGACCCTGTCGACGAATTCTTCTGGGTCCTGGGTCGCCAGCACATGCTCTGACTATGGATCGGGGTCACCAACCCAACGCGCTTGGTCCCCGCCATGACGATGCATCGAGAGTTCAGAAGCCCGAGTCGGCAGCCGACCGCTTGGCCGCGCTCAAAGCTCGCGTTGCCGCCGCAGTGGGAGGCGCCAAAGCCAAGGGCGGGCTGAATACGCCACTGCATCCCGCTCTTGCTGACTTGTCTGCTCCGGTCAAGCCTGGAGGAGCCTCTTCTTTCAGACCGGGGACGGGCCAGCGCTCTGCCCAAGATATCGCCAAATCTTTCAACAAGAAAAAGCCGCTGGGCTTCTCGGCGACAGGCCCCGATGGCGCGCGGTCCAATCCATATCTCGAGCCTGTACATGGCCCGACGGGCAAATTGCGCGAGTCGAGACAGCTCATCTTCAACCAGAAGGGCAAATACATCCACCAGGCTAATGCTCTGCGGAGACAAGCGGCCCTGGAGGACATGAAAAAGAGGATCGCGGACCAGGCTCGCAAGTCCGGCCTGGACGAGGACCGAGACGCCGAGAAGGCGTTTGCGCTGGATGCCCCTCCAGAGCTCGAGTGGTGGGACGAGGCGCTCATCGGCGGCAAAGACTACAGCGACATCCCCCAGTCTCTAAAGCTCGACACGGACGACACCATCGTAACATCACTAATACAACATCCCGTGGCCATCGAGCCACCGCAGGAGAAACTGGCGCCGGAGCCAAAGCCCATGTATCTGACGCCAAAGGAGCAGCAAAAGCTGCGGAGACAGCGGCGCATGATGGAGCTCAAGGAGAAGCAGGCCAAGATCCGACTGGGGCTCGAGCCCGCGCCGCCGCCAAAGGTCAAGAAATCGAACCTGATGCGCGTGCTCGGCGAGGAGGCCGTCAAGGACCCGACGGCCGTCGAGGCTCGCGTCAACCGCGAGATCGCCGAGCGCTTCGACAAGCACATGCAGGAGAACGAAGAGCGCAAGTTGACAAAGGAGCAGCGCCACGAGAAGCTGGCCACCAACCAGGCCAAGGACGCCTCCCGCGGCATCCACATCCTCGTCTTCAAGATCGGCAGCCTCGTCAACGGCCAGCACCGCTACAAGATCAGCATCAACGCCACCCAGAACGGCCTCAACGGCGTCTGCATCATGCACCCAAAGTTCAACCTCGTCATTGTCGAGGGCGGCGAGCACAGCATCGCCAATTATAAGAAGCTGATGCTGCGCCGCATCGACTGGACCGAGACGCTACCCACGCGCGAGAAGGACGCCGCCGCCATCGCTGCCGCCGCCTCCTCGGCCGTTTCCGGGCCGTCCGCCGCCGCCGTGCGCGACTGGCTCAAGGCCGAGGACGAGGAAGGCAACCTCAGGGATCAGTCCGGCAACAAGTGCGTGCTGCTCTTCGAGGGCGAGACCAAGGCCCAGGCCTTCAAGAAGTGGGGCAGCAAGGTCTGCGAGACGGACCATGAAGCCAGAGAGATTCTGGCCATGCGCAAGATGGACAACTTCTGGACACAGGCAAAGAACACGCCGCTGTAGTGCTGTGTTTCACTGCGAGGGCATTGCCTTGTCTTGTTTGCGGCACCCCCCTTGCCCTTCTTTTACGGGAAAAGGGGGCGTGACGCGTGTATCTCCATGTCATCAATCTAGGTATCTGACCTGTATTTCAACCCAACTATATCCCAAATGGCGCAGTTTGCTACATGAAGAAACTTCTACAGAGACATGGCAGTGTAAACCTTTTGTACAACCACTCCCACAGTTATACGTGTCAAGAGTAAACAAAGTAACACTAAAGAATTGTCACACGTCCATTTTCTCACTCACTTCTGCCGTGAAAACCCTCCTTTCGGTGCCCTGTCACAGTATGTTGTAAGGCAGTCTTGTAAACATGGAAGTGCCTACGTAGCTACCTAGATGACTGGCAGACACGGAAATATGATGCGGTATTTTGGGTGAACATGCACAGTACCTACCTGCCTACCTCGTTAATGATACCCAGCGAAAACGTCGGTTCCCTCCCAAGGCGGTGGCTTATGGATAGATAATGAAAACGTCTCCCCACACACATTGTAGCACATATACCAGAAGTATCTTTTATTTCGCCTACAGTCCAAGTAGACGTCTTTGACAGTCCGAACAGACCCCCTCTAGAGATAATACGAGAAGAAAGTTCTGGTCAGACTGTTTGGAAATGTCTTCCCATGTGTTACATGCTATGGTATATATTTGGCACGAAGACCAAGTCCATGGAGCACAGGGATTGATTGACAAGAAGGAAACACGGCTTTGTTATTCCATGTTTAGCCTGTGGTATTCTAAGAGCCTTTTGAGTTCTCTCTGCTACGCCTTGAATGCGGTTTCAGCTGCTTATAGAAAGATTCATATTGGTGAAACTTGTTACCTATCTGAACTAACGAATACATGATTAGACAAAACGTGTCAGGTCTGAGTACCTGTACATATACACGTTTTTAGACCAAGTGGGTGCTGGTATTACCACGCATGCGGCGCCTGCTGCTAATTGCCATCTAGGGCCATCAGCTCTGCCATGTCCTCATCGTCCATTTCATAGTCGCTGTCTGCGCGGGTAGCAGATTTTTTTTGTGCTGCCTGCGCATTCTGCCGCTCCTCGGCCTCGCGGCGTTCCTGGAGCTCCTTGATTTCGTCCTGGGCCTGTTGGGCCTGGTGAGCGCGGAGATCGGCCATGCTCCATGTGCTATGGCCCTCTTGGTCCTTGGCGCTGAAGGGCTGGGCCATTTTCCTGAGGAAGGTGCGGGCGGTGCTCACCGCGACATCTGTGCTAAGGTTAGTATCGACATCGTTGAGGGCGCTGTTGATCCATTTAGGCAGCTGAGCGCGCTTCTTTTGGAAGCGCCGGTCGGCGAGCACCATGAGCCCGTAGTCGTCTTTCCCACGCAGCACGCGGCCGAGACATTGGGCAGCGTGACGCATGGCATCGAATGAGAGAAAATCGTTTTCCCGAATGCGGTAAGTCTCCCGCAGGAACTCGAGTCGTGCCTTGAGGATACGCGACTCGGTGTACTGGAAAGGAACGCCAATGCAGAGCACTGTGCGTCCATACTGGTGGTCGAAATCGATACCTTCCGACACCTTACCACGCGCTACGCAGAGCATCACAGCACCACGACCGTTGCAGCAGGCAGTGCGGTACGTTTCAAGCGCCAGAGACGTCTCCTGGGCATCGGGCGTCTCTACCAGGATCAACTTGTACTTCCACACCTCGTCCAGAATGCCCATCCCCTGCCACATGCTGATGATGGACTCCATGTACAGATAAGAGGGGAAGAAGACAACCATGCCGTCAGGAGTAATTCGTGAGAGCTCTGTCAGTAAGTTTCCGTAGTTGCGCACTACGCTCGGCTCGTTGCGGACCTGGAAGCTTGTTGAGATCGAGGCTTGGTCGCTGCCACGCGTTACAATCATAGGGTAGAAAGACCGGCGGCCAAGCGTCATGGCGTAAGACTCTTGCACAACGGTAGGGAAATCTAGCATCTTGGGGTACATCTCCAAGGGCGAGATGGTCCCCGATGTGATAACAACCGAGCTAAATCGGTCAAAGACAGGCTTGATGGCGATGGCGGCATCCAGGCAGGTAAAGTGCAATACCGGATTCGGTACTTCAGCTGTGTCCGATTCGTAAGGCTCAAGAATCAGGAGGAACCCCTTTTCGTAGGTTGCTACAAGGGTTGCAAATGTGGCCACTTCTTGCAGGGGTTGATAGTCCTCAATATTCGTAAGCTCGAGCGTTCTTACTAGCGAGGTCAACCGTTCGGCACAGAATCGGAGAGGCTTCTTCTCGATAAATGTGTATTCTTTGAGGTGGGCTAGGAAGGATGGCGGAGTCTCGGAGATGACCTGCCGAACCTTCATTCGTGTCTAATCATGGTGTCAGTAAACGGACTCAAAGCTGGAGATGGTAGGGTAGCAACTGACCTTGAGGTATTCAATAAACCTCCTGAGGAAGGCAACAAAGTGCTCTGCTCTCCTAATGTTGCCGGGGATAGCTTCTGTGAGCAGATCGTCCGGAAGTGCTAGGTTATAAAATTAGCATCCTAGCAACTCAAGGCGCCATGAAGTGTACACTTACTTGGATTGGCCATAAAGGCATCTTCTTGGCGCCCCTCGTCGGCGCCCCGGAGCCCCTCGACGAGTTTCTCGTACTCGTCCTGCAACTTCTGCTGGTCCGAATCCCGCATTTCGCTGATCTTGGTCTCCAAGTTCTGCGCGCCTCGGGTGGCCCTCCGTAGCGAATCCTCGGTGATGTCTGTGCTGAGAGACTCGATGCAGACGTTGTCGATGTTGTGGGCCTCATCAAACACAACGATGCAGTCCTTGGAGAGATCCTTTGATACGCGCTCGGCAATCTTAGGATCGAGGAGATAATGATACGAGTAAATGATGACATTGCAAAATTGCATCTGGCGGCAGGGTGATTAGCGGCAAGTACCGGAATGGAATAGATTCTGGAGATGTGAGAAGAGGAGCCTTACCATCCGTCGAGCGGTAAAGTACGGGCACTGCTTGTTCTTCTCTCCGTATTGCAGCAGGTCGTCGAGCGTCCACACTCCATTTGGGACCAGGTTATGGGGCTCGAGCAGGTCAAGATTCTGCGTTCAACGTGTTAGCATTTACAATGTGAGCTGGAAAGGGGCTCAGCGGTCCACGGACGTCATGATAAATGCACAAGTCCACATCCTCTCCACGCTCCTTCTTCTCCTTTATGAAACCAGCCGTGAGGCTGCGACAGCGGGCGTCCACAACGCTGCCGCTCTTTTCCCGCTTAACCGACGGGTGCAGACATAGATTCTTTCGACTCGTGAGGCCGAGACCTCTGAATTCTTCTTCGCGCCCGAGCCGCTCTGTCCGAAACTTCATTAGGGACTTAAGCTCAACCAGCGCCTTTTCGATCTCAGACATTGTTCCTGTTAAGCTCAAGGTTAGATATCCGAGACACGATCGCAAAACGGCAATGGGGAGCATAGCATACTGGAGCAGTATATAAGCTTGCGGTGCGTCGGGTAATATTGCTGGTAGGCCACAATGAGAGATAGCAAGGTGACCGTCTTGCCGGTGCCCGAGGGCATTTCCAGCACGCAGTTGCCACCAGCATCGAGAGTCTCTGCAACGCAGTCAGTATGGCCGGGACAATACAAAGCGTCTCTCTGACGATGAGAGATGAGAGTACTCACTCTTCAGATCCACCATGTACCTGTGGCACAGCGTCTAAGTGTCAGTTTACAGTTCTCATTGCGCAGACAGACCGGGACTGGTAGAACGTACGCATATTGCTCTAAGAAAGTAAAACCCAGGTCAGCCACTACCGCGAAAAAGACGAGCCGGGGAACTGCTTACCTGGATAGATCCGGGGATACGGAAAGAGTACGGGTAAGTCACTATTTTCGACCACAGTCAGCGTTGAGCCATGCCACACGAGGTGCAGTGGGGACTCACTCGATATTGAACTCCATGATGGGCGATCTGGTGCTGGATGCCGCGGAAATACGCGCCAAATCCCCAATGCGGGCACGAGATTGGGGATGAGTCTTGAGAGGTCCCTTCCCCTTCTGGATCAAACGACGTCGGTTACTGAGGTGGAGATAAGACTTGGAGTCGCCCTGCCGGACTACTTCTAGTAATCGATTTCGTCGAACGTGCCTTCCGTCGTGTCTCAACCTAGCGCTTTCTAGTTTTTCCTCACTGGTTCGCGTGCCAAATGCACCCGTAGACTCGTATAGCCTGTCAAGTCCGTTCGATTATTTCATTCAGAGTTTATGGTCGTTTGCCCACCTCGAGGCAAGTCGACGACGTTCATCCCGAAGACAAATGTTCAAGTCACGTGAGCCCAGTGTCGCAGTTGCTGCAAATGTTGAGTCACCCACTTGGCCCGAGCTTTCGGTGAGCTTTGCCCGAGGGAAAGGTGAGCTCTTCCCAAAGCGGCCTACCATTACTGACTTAATTACTCAGGAAAGAAAAAAATATCCGCGTGGTGGCAATCCAATCTCATTTCTCGCTGCGCACCACTCGTCGAGTCGACGCCGACATCAGCCACCGCCGACCGATACCAGACCCAACGCCGATATGGAGCACTTACGCAATGCCAATGACACCCGACGCAGGCGATATTGCATTTTCATTTTCGCTCTATCCACTCTGGGATACTGCTCTCTAGTCTCTATCGCGTATGTCGGGGTCTGCATTTGGGGTTTCGAACCCCTTTTCGCCAGAATCAGAGAAATCAGCAAATTCAGGACCGTGAAATTTGATGCTTGGGCGACGTGCGAGCGTCGGTGCACTTATTGCACTTATCGGCACCGATGGCGGGCCTGCCAAGCTCCAGTGTTGTCGGCTGCTGGGGGGTTCGGGGCCGCAAGTGCCAACCCAAGCCACTTATGTCCGTCATTAGCGGTCAATCGCCGCTATTGCTGCCATCGTCAAGCCCCCGGGTCCGGGCGTCACACCCACGTGGAAAACTAGAGGCGATCACCGGTCTCTTCGGCCTTGGTACCTAACAGGACTAATTAGTCTGCAAGAGCCGCAAGTGCGTGCTGCCAGACCTAAGCACTTCCACCACACGCCCGCTTGCTGCCCACCAGCATTTCCACCCCCCCTCCCCTCTCCTCCTCTCCATCCTTCCCTTCCACGCCTCTAGGCTGCAAGTGATGTGAGAGTGGGATGTGGGTCTCCCCTGAAACGTAGCTGTTTTTGGCAACAAGAGAGCCAGGAGCCTGTCCATGGGGGGTTTTGACTGGCTGGCAGCGATCGGATGTTTCGAAACAGGCTGAGATGCAGCACAAGACAAGCACTGCGCCGCAGAGGGCGTGCTCATGGCTCAACTCTGATCCGTCGCCCGCCCAATGGCCTCGTATCGCCGCCGTCCGCCCGCATCGCCCGACCCTGGAATACCACGCTGAGGGCTTCTCTCCAAGGTGCTCACTTTGGGCGAACCGCAAGGACCTGGGAGCCTTCGGCCCTGAAATTGGCCAATCTGGCAAGGATCCTCTCAGCCTGACGCTGCCCGTCCGAGTTTCAAGTCGCTGCAATCGGCTGCAATCGGCGAGCCAAGGGCACACAGCTAGCTGCATCGAAGCCTTCCAGAACACGTCCCCGCCCGGAACTGTGCGGTCGAGGCAGGGGCGTGGCATACAGACAGCTGTCACAGGACTGCCCCTGGCTTGTTGGCCACCCCGCATATTAGCTGCCGGCTCCGATCTCATTTCTCAGCTCAATGAGAGGTGATGTAAGAGATAGGGAGAAGGAGCCGTATCCCTTATGTGCTACCGTGGGCAAATTTACCCAATATCTTGCCGTGCTTCCAGACAACCCTGTCCTGCGATGTCCACCCCGGCATCATATGCCATCGTGACTACTCTACAGTTCATGTCAGGGTTACGACGAGATTGGTCCACACTGGGGGACAGCCACATCTAAAATCCCCCGACGGGATTTTGCTGTTGGCCTCAGATGCTGAAACCGAGCAGCTGCTATCGTTGTGAGATGCGTGCTTTTTTTATTCTGTCACACATCGGAATTCTCTTCCCGCAGGTAGGCAGGCGCCAGGCACCAGCACGTGGAAGTTACCTCAGCTAAGCAACTTGATGTGTCTCCATCTGTCTTTCATAGGGTAGTATGCACGGAGTACGGGGAAGCCACCCACCACCCATTTTATCCCGTACAATGGTAGTGCGCGACCAAATGGCTCCTGTGGCCAACTTCTGGGCTGCCATGCAGGAGGAGCAGCAGCAATACACGACCTACAGCGTTGATTTGCACTGCCAGAAAACCTCGCTGCCCTAAGACATGGCTGCAGGTTGTTTCTGTTGTTTGGACAAGCCGATGCCGCTTGGTTCATTCGGGTTGGTTAGAAGGCTTAAGCCTCGTTGCCCAGCTTCAGCTCTGCTATTCGCGGCTCCAAATAATACCCACAGTTTGTTTCTGGCCGACAGGAACGACGTGCAGTTGACACTATACTAGTTCAAGGCAGCTGGCAAGCCGCCCGCAGCCCTAGTCAAAGGGGAAAAAACCCCCCGGGGCCGTTGGTAAGAATCCATCCAGTGTCCTTCCTTCCGCCCCGCTCACTCATGGGAGCCCACACCCTAAATCTGACTTCGCCACGTGAGGGATCGGAAAACGGGTTTCACTACCGAGTCCCGGGAGGTTGTGTCGGGTTGTGCTCCACAGTTTAGATCAGAGAACTCAGACAAGGTCTCGAACCTGGCGTCCGTCTGAACCCGCCAATCTCAGTGTGTGTTTTACGCATCGAGTTGTCGATGCTATTCAAGACATTCTCAAACCGAAGACTATGGAATTGGAACCTGCGTTGGGTTTTGGAAAGAGCTATCTGCTGCGCAGGTAGAGAGAAGGGCATGTTTTGGATTGATTGCGGTGGACAAAAATAGATTTTGAGTTTGACAATCTGGGGGCCTAATTCTTTGCTCACACGCTGATGCCGAACTGGGGAAGGCTCGGCAACTCGAGGTCCATCACAGTGACATTCCAGCCAGAAGCAGCCACCAGCACAGCAGCAGCTGCTGCTGCTGCAGCCAACCAGCCTTGCTCTATGGTTGGAGTCCGTGGTGGGAAGTTGGTAATCACTTGGCATTGTCAGGCATCTTTGGTGCGAGAGTTGCGATCTGCTCTGCTCTGCTTGACTTCCATACTCTGGAGCTGGAGCTGGAGCTGGAGTGGTATGTGGGCAAGTGGGGTTCAGTGTGCAGCAGAGCAGCGTAGCAACAGCAGCCTGCATGCTTCATCTCTCGGAAACAAACCAACTACACATTCGAAGAGTCTCCCAACACAGTACCGAATACGGACGGTTGCGTGCCGAATCCAACTCCAACTCGAGACCCCGAATCTAGACTCCAGCCCCCCGTTCCAACCTCGAACGAACAAAACACAACAAGGGGAAATAGACGCGTGTGTTTTGACAGGAAAGGTGTGAGGCTAGACGAGGAACAGAACAGGAAAAAAGACTCAATAAACGCACAACCGAGCCCGACTGTCTCGGCTCGCACTCGCACAAAAGCTACACAACCAACATGATATTGCGCGCTAGTGGATCAATTAATCGCTTGGCGCGCGCTTGGGCGCGTACTGTGTGCACTAACACGCTCGGTCCATCGTGTTCCGGATTGGGATTTCCCGCGGGTTTGAGGTTTTTGGCGGGTCCCCCCTTGCTCGCATTCTCGTTCCGCTGGTGGTGGTTGTGGTGGTACCACTGCAAAAGCAAGCGTCCGATGTTGGTTCACCCTCGGAACGAGGTTTCAGGCACGCCACTGCAACTCTCAGCTCTTTTTTGCTGCTGTTCCATTGTGTTTCCCGCGTGTGAAGGAATGACTAAGACGAGTCGGGAAATAGCCGACGTGTCCCCGCACGATAGACGCCTTCCAATCAGAGGCCGAGATATTTTTGGATACAGACATTAGACGAGGGGAGGAAGGATGCGGGACCCCACCAACAAGCTTCAACAGGCCCTGGGAAACACTTGGATGCAAGTCAAGGCAAGCAACCAGCTGCACCACACGCCCCAACGAACCACCACCCCACACACACTCCCACACCAACAATTGCACACAGCTCTCCGAAATCTCCCCTCTTTCGTTCGGGCTGGCTTGGCTGGCCCGCTCTTTTGCTCCAAATCGGCGGTCTCACTAACAATTTGTTCCGTTTCGACTCGATGCGCGGACTCTACTGGGAACGCTAATCAGCGAATCCCCCCCCCCTCTCCCCTCCCCTGCCCTCCCCTCGTCTGTCCCCCCGCCCGCCGATTTGCCACTACGTAGGTACCCTAGTAGGGCAGACGAGTCGGCGTTTCTTCATCGGCGTCATCATACCACATCACGTCATTTTCTCTCTATGTCCGTCTATCTATCTGTCTCGCTAGGTAGGACACACACAAGCCCCCCAGTCCCAGTCCACTGTAACAAAACGAAAAACATCCTCGCGTTCCGTCTTTACCCTTCCCCCCACCCCTGACACTTCCTTCACCTAAGGTAAAGAAGGCTACTGCAGGGCCAAAGGGAAACGAAAGCGGGGTCTTTTCTCTCTCTATTATTTTATTATTATTTTATCTATATTATTATTTTTTCTTTCTTTCAAGGTAGAGCTTCCATCCACCCTCGGCTTCCTCTCCCGGGCGGCTGTTTCATAAACCGAAAAGTGGGATTTTCGTTTCCCTTGCTCTGCTTCTGCTTCAATACTTGCTTGCTGTTCCATCCGTCCAATCCTTGCCTGTCGATCGCTTGTTTTGCGCGTCTTTCTTGCCCGCTTGTGTCGCTTGATGTCGCTTGTTCTTGCCGCTCGCTTGTGTCGCTTCTTCCTCTTGGTGTTTCTTCTCTTGCCACTTGGCCCATGACAACCCTACCCTTACCACACGCTACACATCCCAACTCACCGTGCCGTGGTGTGGGTTGTGTATGTATTATGTATGAGTGAGTGTGCAGAACGCCAGGGATAAGAGAGAGATAGGTGAAAGGGAAATAAGCCCGAACAACTAGCTTTAGTTGACTGATACTATGCCGAATAATTATGGTTTTGTTCGTTATCTGTCTGGCCGACCGCCGGCCGTCTTGCTCTTGCTATGTCAGAGCAACACATGGCTAAGTAAGCAAAAGCAATGTATGTGAGATTTTGGGCAAGTGATGATGACTGGTGGTCAGTCTTTGCATGCCGTGTAATCCACCACCACCACCCATCATCACCCATCTCTTTATCTCCTCTCTCTCTCCAACAAGGTCCAAAAGGAGACGAGTCGACACCCACACTGAATCCGAATCGAGAAGGACTGCTTCATCTAGGACTGTGTTGTTTTGCTTTTGCATAAGAGATTAGATCGGGACATTTTTTATTCTGTCTTCTTCTTTTCTTCAGGGGGTGTATGTTTAATGTTTATTTTATTTTTATTTTTATTTTCATTTTCGCTTTCGTAGTGTTTTTCTAATCTTGCTTTCCTGTTCTCCTCTTCTGGCTCGTGCGTGCGGCCTCATCAGGAACCACCAAGAGGAAAGGAAGGAACACACGATGGATCAGCAATTTGGAGTATGGGCCGAGAATAAACACCCCCCCCTACCACGTTAATGGCGAGAAACACAAAAAAAAAGGAAGATTGACACAAATCTCCCCCTTAAACAGTGCTTCTAGGAATTTCTTGGGGGCCACATCCAGACCCTCATTCCCCTATCCTGTGTCTGTGCTGCGTGTACTGTATGCCGGGGAAGAGGGTGGTGGCAGGTGGTGGGTGTGGGAAAATGGAGAGGGTACCTTGGATTGATGCAGTCACCATGGAGAAAACCACATCACCAGCCAACCCGTGATAATGATTCTGGACAATTAGCGGTGGAAAGCCTCACTCAATCGTAGGCTCACCAGCTGGGTCAGTGCAGTGCAGTGCAGTGCAGTGCAGTGCTCCAGGGCGATAATGGCATGGACGAGCAATTTGGTGGCAGCGATATCTGACGAGGTAAAGCCAGGCATGGGACTTTTTTCTCACACCCACTCCTCAACCTCACACACCCTCCCCCTCCCGGGTCCCTTTGTGTCTTGTTCCCAGCCGTATGGCTACGAGGGCACGCAATAGAAGCGGGAGATGATGGTGGGGCTGATGGCGTAAGGTAGGTTGTTGAATACTAAGTGCTGCACATCGCACGGGAGAGAAGGCTAGGCAAGGTACTAGTTTCTAGCATATATCACATTTTGGCGCTGCGTTTCCTGCTCTTTTTCCAGATCGCCACGGTGGGAAAAAAGTGACTGAAATCCTTCCGCTGCAACCCTTCCCGAGCTGCTGTTTCCCTTGCCCTGCCCTTTGGACGGGACGAAGGCTGTACTGGAGCAAAAAAGAAAGTACCCGCGCTACTGCCCGTGGGTCCCCACCTGCGCCATGGCTAGGCCCCTTGTCTACCGGCCGGTGGATCGCGCGAGGTGTGGTGGGCGAGAGCACTCTCTCCAGTCTCCCATGAGTTGGCCCTGAAAGCACGTTATTCATAGTCGAAGGATTTAAGGTGCCGAGGCGCAGCAAGGTACCAGATATAATCGGCCGAGCGCCCTTCAGGTACGCGAACCTGGGTGAATTCATGGCATTTGCATTGTCTTTGCGCACGGCCAGAATGGAAGGCGCCCGGAAAAAGAAGAAGCTTCTTAATCTTGGAGGCATTGGAGGGAACGCTCGGTCGATCCATACGTTGTTTGGGATCGACAATACATTTGGTTGGACTGCCCAAATTGTCAAGGCACCCCGCTCTCAGACACTCACCTCTCCCAGGACCCGGGGTCTTGTCTCGTCCACCACCAGGGCAGCAGCACCAGCAGCGCAGCACGTTCATTTCGCCGGACCGTCTGTGGGTGTGGCGTGTTGCCGTGGTCAAAGAGTTGCAGTGTGTGTGGGTGCTGCGTAGGTTCGTTCCTGAACCAGGCGCAGCAGCAACTTGGCTATACTCCGTGTGGCAGTTAATTAGCTTGTCTCTTTCAGTAGTGTCGCATCAACGTTAGCTAAGGTGCCCTGGGGTCGTAGTGCAATACCTTAGCAGTGGCTAGGAAACTAGAAACAAGCGCGGGATTAGGCGCCTAATCCATGCACGGGCTTTTAGCTCAGGTCCAGTAGTGAATTGCCGCGGGACCGATTTGCTTTTCGACTTCCGGTTCTATTTCGTTTTCGCGCAGAGCCTGGGGGCTGGGCCATCGCCGCCGCCGCCGCCTGCTGGCTGCACAGAAACCGGGGAAGCGGGGCGGGCTTGGCTCGATCTGCTCGACTTAGCAGTGCTCGCCTTTGCTGTGCGCCCGAGCCCCGAGAACGTAACGACGGGACTGCTCGGGACACGTCACGTAGGGAAGTGAAGTTTTGCTGCTACCCTCATCCAAGTGAAAGAGAGAAAGGTTGAAGCAATAAACCACATAGCATGACATCTAGTTTCACCGTCACACCGGCGCGTCTTGCATCCATTAGGTTACCTATCTCCAGAATTTCCTGCATCTCCCCCGCAGGGTTGGAAAGTTTGGGCTTAGTGTCGGGGAGTTCTCCAGGGTTGCGGTAGATGGAAAACGCACTGGCCATCACCGAGCCTAACACCTGACCCCACCGATTCGGAGATTCGGGCCCCTGCGATTTGAGCTCGCTCCCGGAAGGCACAGGTGGCCGGCCGATAACGGGAACATCCGATACCTTCGCCGCCCGATCGCTGTTCTCCCTCGCCTTCCCCCGGCGCGGCGATAGCATCATCAGCTTCTGCAACGACTGTAACGGCGGCACTGCAACCACGTGCAGGGGCATGCCAAATGGAAGTTAGCATTATTGCCCTTAGCATTGCACTTTAGACGAGGTCCTACCCGGCCCTGCGTAGCAATGACACCTGTGACAGGATCAAAGGTATCTGAAGCGATTAACTGTGGTAAATTAGCAGCAGCAAGTAAAGCAACAAGTAAAGCAGCAAGTAAAGCAACAAGGGTCGTTTCAATCACGCGGGATGCCCAAAGACACCTGCCCTTTCCTGCTGCCCGGCCCTGTAAGCTGCCAGCATGTATGGGTTTTGCTTGGATGGAGAGACATACCCGTACCTCAGTTTCCGCAGTCGTGGGGATGCTTACGATTGGTAGATAGCTTCCGTCGTCCCGTGGGAGGTGGCCATCTGGGAAAGACGGAAGCCGGATTTTCTTCCTTGTCGTCGTCCCTCAACGTCGTCGTTTCGTTTTTGGCTTGGCAAACGAGGCTTGGACACAATAGGCGGGAATCCTTGAGACGCAGTCCAAATGTTTCATGATGAGTTTTCCCTGCAAGCCGATTTGGGCCCATTTTTGGAACCTGCTGGGTGGCCAGGGGGTGGGCCACCCATTGTAGGGGCCTGTGGGAGTCCGCTAGGCAGTGGAAAATAGAAGAAGTGGGCAAGACGAGACAAGACAGAAAAAAGCCTCCGAATTCCTTCGACACTCTACTCCGTACTCGGCAGTCTCTAACATTGCGCAGATTCGTGTTCGGGAACTCCCACCTGAACTCTCGAGTGCCCCACGTCCAAACGGGTCCAAATTAAGCTCCCACGAGGTCTTGGCGCGCCCTTATGTTGTTGCTGAACTGCCTCGCCTCGCCCGCCTCGCCTCGTGATAACTTTGTCTCTCTTTTATCGCATGTGCCGCACGAGATCGTCGCTGTTTCATGTTTATCTTTTTTACATGTTGCTGCGACTGGACTGGCCCGTATGGATGTGCAGCAACAGTTGCTCTCAGCCTCCAGGAACTGTCCCTGGTGAGGTGATCTGGATGAAGGGACCCCTCCCTCCAACTCTCACTCCATTGCAACTGCCCTGCTCTCCCCGGCATCGTACTCCGTACTCCGCAGTGTTGGACCGTGACGCTAGCAATCCCATCCAGGGCAGTTCTTTCCCCACGTCGCCACTTGCTGATGCCGGCTGGGCTCTCTCATTTCACAGTTGCACTTCTTTTTCTTCACACACACACACACACACACACACACACACACACACAAAGTCGTCTGGTGCCCCGCTTTATCGGTTGGCCAAGACATGGATTGATGACGGCAACTAAGAAAACGCCGATCAGAATTGCAAATCCCGTTCCCAGGCCAAGGTCACCTCGTTCCCTGCGACGGAGGGGTTTCCCTGTACCATCTCCCACGTCCAACACGAAGTAATTTGAAAGACGTCGGCGAGTTTCCCCCCCGCTGGCTAGGCCTGGGAGGTGAGCAAGAACCTGCCTGCATGAGCGATTGGCTGCACTGTCCGCTGTGCATCCCGTCCGCTGTTGGCAGCAAGCGATAATCAGGTCAGACGGAGCCTTAGAGAGGGTGTCCTTGGACCCCAAGCTTGCCTCATCAGCATACTTCGTACATACGCTGGAGTAAGAACCGCCTGGTCAACCCGAGGTGGTATGAAGCGAGCAGGTCGCCGGACAGAGACAACCTCCCATATCTCGACCCCATACAGAATGCTCGTACTGACTTGCAAAGTGATTATTGTCACTTTCACAAGACAAGACGCGGCTTTTGGCGCATAATTCTTAATAGCGCCTATGCCTCTCTCTGCAGTGTATTTCTCTCATTCCTCTTCCCATTTCCTCGACGTTATGTAAGGTAGTCCGATTCTGAACCCGAAATGCGAGCTTATTTGCGTCCCAGAGCGGACGGTTGTTCGCGCGGCTTTCAGTTGGGAGAAAAGGCCCTTCGGACTCATGGCCGAAGGTGTGTGGTGCGGTGGGTGCGGTGTAGATTTGCTCCGAGATATCTGTTTTCGGAGTGGATTTCACTTCTCAGCACTTATTAGAAGACAAAATCGCACTCGCTTGGCTGGGTAACCCTCAAGCAGGCAGCGGCTTATCCGTCGGTAGCCCAGACCAGTGATGATTGCAATGGAACCCTTCTCTGTATCTTGGTATGCAGATTGGCAGCACACGGCGAGCCTTTCGGTGCCCCGTATTGGATTGCTCGTAAGATGACGCAGGTTAGTACGACCTAAAACTGAGAGAGACCACAGCAGCAAAGGCTCTCGCCTTGCTTGCCTGCAGGTGCCTAGAAGCACTGGCACCTCAGTCATCGCCATCGTCGAAGCAACTGGCCCAAGTTGGTTTCCCGTGTCTGGCCAGTCCTCGCTTGTCTCGACGCAGAGTTCGGCGCACTGGAGCATAATTGGAGAAAGATAGCGACATTGCTTCTCTCCGAAGGTCTCATGTATGTCATGACGGGTCAATTTGATGAAGTCTGGCACATTTCTCCATCCCACGTCGATGATCGTAAAACGGGAGGAATCTACCCCACGGGCCGCGTTTCCAGCTGGCCGGCCGCTATAGTCTTAAGTTTAGTGGCAGGCTCTAGACGTGCCCTAGCGGCCGCGGCGCCATCCGTAGGGCACACCTCACACTTGCGTGATCACCGTCGCGGGTCGGCATCGCGTGGCGAGCGAACGGTGGTGCCTGAGGTTATTTTCTTAGTGAAAAGGCTCCCCGCCATGCCCTGGGCTGGGCTGGCCTGACTGGTTGGCTGGCTGCTGCTGGCTGGTAAGAACCGTCAAGCGGGCCAGATAGGAAAGCAACACCCTGGCCTGGTCCGTCAGGCGGTTCCCCCGTTGATGCCGTGCTAGCTATCTATTGATACTGATGATTTGTAGTGCGCATGCAGCCGGCGGAAACGCCTTGGCCAAATGAAGTGCCCTCCCTAAGGAAGCATGGAAAATGGAAAAGTGTGCCGTGACATGTTCAATGCGAGGTCGACGTCGCATTCTATGCAGCACCTTATTTCCCCTGCTGTGCGTCGTGTCGTCCGCCATGTAGGCGTCACGCACATACTCACACGGGCCCGATGTCAAGGTAGTGGAGAGTAATGTCTGGTGTACATACCAGTTCGTACATAGTTCGGAGTAAGGTACGCAGTCCCGTCGCGAATGACAGGTCTAGCAGGTTCCAGTGGTTTGATGGATACGGGATACGGTTCCACCCTCCACTGGCTGATGTGTGGACCACAGGCCACACTGACATGCGTTCTGGCTGGTGCGGTGGACAGAACCGGGCTGCATCTCTCGAGCCCATCTCTCGAGCCAATTGGCAAATCATGTCTGTGCTTGGCGGCAGTGATGTGGGGCAGGTCAGATCCACAGCATCTCTCCGATCTGTCGCTGTGCCGTCCCGACTCCCAGATTCGTTCAAACCTTCTTCTTCAGATGTCGATATCTGACAGCAGACTCGACGACAGGCCTGTCGCAACAGCCATTTGACCGCGTTATTTTGCACGGCAACTGCCACAGCACGATCGCAACGTGCTAGCGAACTCATTTCCCCTCTTCAACTGTATGCGCGCATTGCTCCTGCCCGTCTTTTGGTCGGCACAAAGTTGGGGGCCAAAATTAAGTTAAAGTACCTGACAGTCGAGAAACTGCAAGTACGAAGTACTCCCGTACCTACCCCTCCTTCCAGTGGTGGGTGTCTGGTCCGGCACCGAGAAGACCCCACCACTTCAGTCTCCACAGTCGACACACTCCACTCACCGCAGTCTCATCCTTCGAATAACATCTCGAAGTGGCGGGAAGTCCACCTTTCGTAGTCCACCACACACGCTTCAACTCTGCCTGCGAGGTGATGCGGGCTTGCGTGATGCTGGGCGATTGCCATGGCTTGGCTTGGCTTGCCGGCCGCACCTTATCTGGCACTTTCCGGCCCCGAAACGCCCATTGGCACTCCTTCTTGCCTGGACGCGCGATGCCGTCCTCGACTTCCATTGCCTGCCCCGGGCCTGGGCAGAGCATACCTGACAGACAATATACTATACAGCGTTTGGAATGAGGCAGGTAGCACGGCATGGAAGATACCTCACCTTACCGCATACAAGATAGTATGCGCAGGTAGGACTTGCCTGCCATGGGGGATGGAAGGGCACCCACCTGCCGTCAATCGCCGACGGGCATTGAGGTCCTTGCCATTTGCATTTGCACGTACGTACGTCGGCAACCAGACCAGGCCAGACATCGCAAGCCTCTCGGGGAGTCCTTTGGTTCTCTGGCCCGTGAGCGACCGACGTGATGCGCGGTACTTCTTTTTTTCTTTGCTGCTAGCGCGACGTGGCGATGGCAACCTGACCTGCCTTGATGTGGTGTCTTGAGTCTGCTGCCTTACCTAGTCTCGATGTGAGTTGATATTGATGCCGAGAATAGTGGCTCCCGTCTTTTGGTCTTTGGCGGCCAGGCGCGCACACCCGCGACTGACAGGCGCAAGCGCTCGCCTCCCCCACACCAACATCCCGGGCATGGGCATGGTCATGGTCATGGTGGAGGGCACTGAAGCGGACCTCACCCTCACCTATCCACCGCACCGCACGGCCCAAGGTACAGACAGTACAGCAGTCGCGCTTGTGTGGTCTACTAAGGCCGGTGTACTGTCTTGTTTTGTGGTTTGTCCGCTGCCCACGCAAAACATGTGGCCGACTTTGTGCAGTAGCCAACCGCACCCGTCCGGCCTCCCGTACCTTGACCTCTGGCTTGGGTCGCCAGCTCCCAGGCGAGTGCGGTGAGGTCGGGCAAGGCTGGAGGTTAATTGCGACACTGGGCTCGCTCTCGCATGGCCAAAGACGACGTAGGTAGGCAGCAGCTACAGATGAACGGTCCAGTGCTGTATCACCGCCGATAACCGCGTCTCGGTCAATTCAAGACGACAATAATAATAATGTGGGCCCGAGAGTCGACATTCGAGTGCTCAACACCTTTGCACCTCGAGGCCCAGATGTCGTTCGTTCGCTGCTCTGTTCGTGGCTTGCACGCCGTGTCTCGAACTGACAACCCCGAGCTCTGCTGCTGCTGCAAGTCCCGCTTCCCTGGCCCGGTCGCCGAGATGGGCCTGACAGGGTCCCTTCAAACTGCTGCGAACAGAGACGGCACTAAACCTGAGTCGGCTTCAGACTTGCTCAACCTTGCACCAACAGGCATGGGGCGAGCAGGACTCGACGGTGTGACTGGTCACCACCAGCCCTGTCGCTTGTTAAGTGTAACCCCCAGAACAGACAGACACACAGAAGGGCTTCTTCGTTGGGGGGAGGGGGGCTCCACACGCCGACTGGCTCCAGCAGCGGAGCAGCAGTAGAAAGAGCTTACTTCCAGGTTGGTACCTCGTCAGCGACGGTGCCCACAAGCCAGGTGCATGTACCTCATCCCCTCCCCACCACCTGCACTCTACTTTTAGACACCCAGTGGCCCTGGGCAGGCACCTCTGGCCCTGATACATGCAGTACGGGGAGGGACGGGAGTACGGTACGTATGTACATACATGTACCTTTCCAGCGTTTGTACACCCAACAGCGACCGGCTTTCTTTTTTCAGTCCCCTTTTCTCCATTTCCTGGCTATTTTTCTCCCCGAGTGGGATTTGGCAGGCCCCCCTGGAACTTGTCCTTTCCCTGCCCTGCCCCCGTCTCCCCTCCCCACCACAAGGGTCTCTTGAGTCCCCCCTCTTCCTCTCTGATGTTAGCGTGGTTGAGCGACTGGCTTCGACTGGGCTAAATGCTTCCCCAATGGGCATAGCATGGCTCTCCCCCTCCTCCTACCGGCCTAGCCTTGCTCTCATCGGGACGGGCGGCGATTTGAGAGTCGGAAAGGCTTCGTTCGGCGGGCCTGCTGCCCTGCGCTGCGGGTCCTACTCGATCTGTGTGGAGTGTCGACATGCACTGCCGTGAGTGGGCGGTTTGTTTTTCTCTCTGCTCTGCGCTGATGTGATGATCCGCTCTGCTGATCTACTCTGCTATGAGGTGAGGTGGTTTGGTTTGGGTGCTGTTGGCGGGTTCCGTATGATCATGTCTCTGGCTCTCTCTGTTTCCATCTTTCTGTGCTCTGCTCGTCTACTCTGCTCTGATATGATGTGCGGTTGTCGTCTGCATCTGCAGTCTAGTCTGCAGTCTCCTTGGCCCTGGTTTTGGCTCTGGCTCTAGTCCGGGCAGCTGTGTACTATCCCAGGATTTGTGCTGGTTCGCTCGCTCGCTCGCTCGCCCGCCCAGCCCAGCCCAGCCCACCCACGTCTGTCTTACCCCATGCAGCCACCTACACCCCCCCCCTTGTCCCCTGTTGTTGTTGCTTCTGCTCCTCTCTTGTCGTGCATTGCTAGCCACGCCCCCCCTCCAGAAAAAACAGTCCGCCCCATCCTTCCGTCGAGAGCAAAGAGAGAGAGAGAGATGCACATCTTAGCCCCCAGCGTTCATAAGGTCAACGAACGCGATGATATCCACGGCTTACTCCCATCCATTATTAGTCCAGGCAGAAACCCGGCTCTCTACAAATCTTATAAGAGACCCCGGGAGTCTGCCTTGTCGAAACACACCTCCCCTTGTGCTTCCCACAGCCTGCCTCGCCTCACCTTTAACAAAGTTTATCTCTTGTTAGTCGAGTTGTGCTTGCTCTGCTTTCATGCTGGCAGTCCCCTCGGCAGACATTCGCACGGCATCCCGACCCAACGTCTGCGCCCTTCATCCTTATATCTGGCCTCCTTCCCCAACCTAGGTGTCTCGAGAGAGCACAAGAAGGAAGGAAAATCAACGAGTCTGAGCAACCAACCCAATCAGACCCTAGGCGCGTCTGGCTGGCCGATACCTTCATACACACCCCGGTCCTCGCTTCGCTCTCCAACAACACCAACGCCTCGCTTGCATCGTGCTCCCCTTTGCCATATATATAAGCGCACGCCAACCACCAATCGTCCCGCGGCCCAAATACAGGTCGCCCTCTCAAGTCATGGACCTCACACCGCCCTCCCTCACAAGGTCGCCCTCGTCTCCTTCCAACACATACTGCCCCTCGGAGCGGTCTTCACTGGACTACCCCTCCCCCAGCCTGGTGGAACAGCAGTACAAGATCTCGTCCATATACGGCGACCAGCCCTGCTCCGTGAACCACCCGTCCATGGACCCAGAGAACTCGCTGCCCCCGCTGGACTCGATGGGCCACTCGGAATGGAACAGCACGACCATCATCCACCCGGCGTCGTCGGCCGCGGGCATGCCCAGCATCCTCTCGGGCGACTACGAGACCTTCGGGAGCTACCCCTACAGCCATGACATGTACCACTCGCATACCCCAAGCCACCACCACGCACACTCCATCTCCACATCAACCCCTCCGCCGTCCAGCGCCGCCTCTAGATCTCCGGTCGCGTCTTCGAGGACCTCGCTCTCCTACACCCCGGGCCCGCCCATTCCTGGGTCCATGACGCCGCGGGTCAAGATGGAGACGGCTTCCGAGTACAACCAGTCCATGGAGTCGCACTACCCCTCGCCACGCTCCGTACAGACCTCATACCCCTCCGACAGCGGCGCTTATACGAGCGCGTCCGGGGGCTACCTCTCCGACGGCGGGTCATCGGGGTGGCACAAGTCGGACTACCAGCCCGTGGAGCCCGACCAGTTCTACCCCGGCCCCGGAGCACCGGCATCTGCATTCCTGCAAGATGGGAGGAGGCAGTACCGCGTAGCCCGGCCGCGGAGAGCCCCGCGCCGCCTGACAACCAAGGAAGAGGCCAACTTCCAGTGCGAGGTCAAGGGGTGCGGCAAGCTGTTCAGCCGGAGCTACAACTTCAAGGCGCACATGGAGACACACGACGAAAAGCGCGAATATCCCTTCCCGTGCCCCATCAGCGACTGCAACAAGAAATTTGTGCGCAAGACTGATCTGCAACGGCACCACCAAAGCGTCCACATGAGGGAACGCAACCACAAGTGCGACTACTGCGCCCGCCTGTTTGCGCGCAAAGATACTTTGAGGAGGTGAGCTTCTCTCTAACACCCTCCTTTTTCTTGAGCTTCACTAACCCGATACTCACCTAGACATATGGAAGACGGATGCTCAAAGAGATTTGACATCGGCACCCTGGATCTCCGGGGAGAGACATACGAAGGCCTCAACCCTGGCGCACGCTCCATGGCCGGGTCACTGAGTCACCTGGTCTCACCGCCCGTCGGGCTGCCGCCAATGGCCATCCCGCCCCTCGGCAGCAGTGGCATCCTCTCATCAATGCCACCGTCCATGCGGAGTAGAGACGTACTCGCGGGCGGCGACCACCCCCAGAGCCACTGGGGGAGGTGATACATTCGTTGGGGACCGACCGACATGAATTAAAAAAAAAAAAAGTACTACTATTCCCTTTTCTATATCATACACCCTGTTGTTCTATGGGAGGGTTGGTTTATTCGGGAATTATACCAAACGGCGCAAAAATGGCGCTTGATTACGTGGGGCTTGCCGGTGGGAAACGCACAACGGATTCACTTTTTTCTGATCAACGCTCTGTATGAATACTGTACTCTTTTTTTTCTTCTTTTTGTCCCTCGCGGCAGGCAAATTCGGGAATGGGATACATGCGTTCCGACTTTTTTTTTTCGACAAAAGGGCGCATACATGGGAGCGACATATTTTCATGTCTTCTTCTTTCTTCTTGGGGGCCGAAAGGCGGCAAAAAAAGAAATCCCCATCTTGTACAACTTCCTTTTTCTTTGTCCACGTTGGCACAAGATAGAAATCATTGGGGCTGGCGGCGTTCTTTTTTTTTCAGTGTATAAGAGAAAGAGACGCGCGAAGAGGATTATTATATCTTGTCTTGCTGCATTCTTATTATTAGCTAGCTATTATTCACCCCTACTTGAGGGAAAGAAGAAGAGAGAAAAATGAAAGAAAAAAAATTACAATAATTGCAAGCTCTCTCTCTCTCTCTCACAAAGCCGATTGCAATGATGTCGAAATAGTATTTCCCCCCCTCTCCAACATCCCCAACACAGAGGTGGGTGATAAAAGGATGCAGGGGCTCTGAGCTGGATCGGATCGTTGGGGCAGTTTCTGTCCCGCAGCCCCCTGGGCTCCTGGCTCCGCGGGTCTGGGTTCGCACGCTGTGACAATCGGCCATTTTTTCCCATTTTCTTTTTCGTTGCTTTTTTTTCTGTTTTGTTTTGTACAGCTTAACTTGATCCGTCGTTGGTTCCCCCCGCAGTCGGCAACGAGCTCATTAGCTCAGCAGCTCCAGCGCAGGCTTGTTAGCTTTCGCTCTAGCACAGCCTCTCGCGACCGGGGCAGTTGCAACAGCCTAACCCGATGCTTGAGGTATCTGAGCTAGTCGATGATCTAAACATAGAAATAGAAGGCCCAACGGCGCCCCTAATGCTGCTAGCTTAGTCCAGCACGAAAAAGTCGCGATCTGCCACGGGACTCGTCACTCCATGTTGGTGATTTCCACTTTGCACAATATCATAGTAAAATGCTAACTACGTGCCAGGTAGGTTGAACCTCCACTGCCTACCTTGGTTACCTTACCTTACTGCCTGGATTCCATCTGGGCCCAGACTTTCTTGCTTATCTCTCATCGGTCGGCTGTTGGTTCTCAAGGGACAGAGACCCACGCCTGGGCACGCCTAGCATGGAAATTAGGTGGTGCCCCCGGGCGTGCTCGAGCTTTCCCCCAACGAGTCTAACGAGCGGAGCAGGAGCAATGGTCGTCCAAACACACGAAGCTGCCAGAAGTCGCAAGAGCGGGAGGGCCTGCAATCTGCATAGCTCGCAAGGTTTGACCCATGTCGGTTGGTGGGGTCGGGGTACGGGTACGTGTTCAGTGCTCTTGCCAGTATCAGTCAATTCCATGCTGGTCGGAAGTCTGCTCTTTCCTTTTATGCCATGTAAGTCCCGCAGCGACTAAGCTCTTGCCTTAGCAGCACCAGAAGCAGCAGCAGATCAGCAACCGCGAACCGATGGACGTTCGAAGAGCAACCTAACCTCCCTCCCACTAGGAGTGCCCCACAAAACGTCGCGCGACCGTTGATCATGGTCTGGCTGCTACCCGTCGCTGCAAAGCAACAACACCACGCAACCCCCAACGCAGAGCAACCCTGGGCCGACAGAACGTCGTACCGATCTGACCCGGGTAGGCTGGAGAGTTGGGAGAGCAGAGCTGTTTTGTTCTCCACACCTCACCCAACACGACAAATGACAAACGACTTCGCACTACCGTTGGACGTACGGAGTACGTACTTCGTACAATACCCCGTACCTACAATACACACAAACCAACAAACAGCCCGACCGCCCGCCCGTCCGCCCGCTCAGCCCGCTCACTTGCAAGCAGCCCGCCGTATACCCTGCATCGACTGGGAGCGATTTGGGTTAATAAGCAGCTTTGAAAGCGATAGTCGTGGGGGGATGGGCGGGCGCCCGCGTGACAGCAGCCACGAACTGTCAGTTCTGAGGAGTCGAGGACACAGCGCGCGACCCGACATGTTGTCTCGTCGTCGCCTTATTTGACGGGAGCGATAGATTGGCTATCACCTAAGACTCAAATCACAGACAAACAAGCTTCCCGCAAAAAACGCCACGGTTTGTTAGCCGATACCCGTGGGTGCAATCGCGTTTGTGGAGTGGTGCTGGGAAAAGGGGGCCGATTTAATGGCGGCACTTGAGTACCTGCTAACGGCCCGCACAGTTTGATGGAAGGATTCCCACAAAAAAAAGCCACTATCGAGCCATGGGCCATGGCACTGGGCGACCGGAGGCGGGCGCGGAACAAGCCGTCACACACGCGATTTACTCGGTGTTGCTGCGCCTATCCGTAACTGATCATACACCTCTCCCGGGGTAATCACAACTGACCGGGGTCCGCTGTTAGAAACTTCGAGACTTTCTGCCCAGCGTACTAACAAGGACACCCTGGCAAGTTGAAGTGCCATTTAGGGACAGGTGTACATGAAAAACGGCCGAGATTGCGGAAACAGAACTCCCTCGCGGCGGCAGTAAGCGAAGCCAAAATGGACACCGCGCGCGGCTTGCCGACTCCCAAACCCGAATGCACGCAACAAAGTACAGAGTATGCTGCATGAACTCGCCGACCGGGGCGAAATAACCAAATGCCCTAGTTTCCCAGTGTAGGGCCAAATCAGCCTGTTGTGACCCTGTCGAGTCCACAATCGAGGATGGGGATATGGAGTACCTCATGATGATATGATGCGATGGTGTGGAATACTACCTACCTACTCAGGGGGATGGTTCGGACATCGGTCATGCCTGCTTGCTGCTTGCTGCTGCTTGCTGCCAAACGAACCGTTACCTGACCGCGCCGGGGAGCAGGTCTGCCTGGCCGCTTCATCTCTTTCAGGCCCTCGCCCAGACACGCACAAACCACTCACCAAGCAGCAATGCTCTCAGACCCTCCGACTGACAGCTCAGCTTCACGGAACTCGGCGAACCAGATGACAGATTGCGAAACGGAGCCAGGCACAGCACAGCCTTACCAGGCGATACCCTCGGGGTTTTCTGACCGACCAGGTCGGAAGCGCGATTGATTAGCCTTTAGGCCCCCGTGCGACCGTGTCCAATCATTCGGTTGGCTGGCCTGCTGCGCTATTCAAGTCATTATCCCGTTGCAACATCGTCGTCAGATTCAATGACATCGGCACCTTCAAAAAGACACCGACAGTCCAAAAGCCAAGTTTCTTGCCGATGTTTTGTGGAGCATTGCGCCAACCGTATCGTGTCTTCTCTTTCCAGTATACGGCTTCTCAGAGTCTCAGTTGAGCGAGCTCTAAACGACCCGAGACGCGTCACTTTCCTTCCACTATTGCTCATCCTTCGGCCCCCAACGACGCAGTGCCGGCTGGTTGTCCCTGCTCTCCCTGGCCTTTGAGCCATCCTTTTCTGGCAAAGAGGGGGGGAGGTGGGAGATTGCCCCGCACCCGTTTTCCATCGTGTCATCGTCAGTCGCCACTCGGTTTCTTTCGGATTTCTTTCGGATGCGTTTCTCCTGAGAACATGTCGATTCTCGACAGTCGTCGCATTGGTCGCATCCAAAAGGCGTTTGATAGTTTACGGTAGGGTGTGAAGCGAGCCACCAAGCTACGATTGGTCCAAGAGCCGCCCCTGACACTGCGTGGAACCGGGTTGCACGGCATCAATGAGGCTGCAACACCGCACATACAGGATATATCCGTACCCAAGGTGACGGTTCTCTGCTGCCACTAACCCGCTCCCGTGTCGCGCAAAAAGATTCCAAGCAGTCCTAGTGTGCTTGGCGCTTCCTCTCGATGGCGCTCTTGACGGCACAGCGAAATGTTCTTTTCGTCGCAAGCCACAAGCAAGGAAATCAACGAGAGACGGCGTTACGTCATCTTTCTCCCCCAGAGGTGACGAAGGCGGACGCAGTAAATGCGCTCTTGCGTACTTGCTCAAAGGGCATGGCCAAAGCGAGCGCAGTGGACACGACTCGTATTTAGCCTACCAGTCTTTTCGGTGTGATGACTTTCAGCATCGCATATCCAGACAAGTAAAGACGAAGGGTGGGCCTGCTGGGCGTTTTCGCTCTGGCGAATATGCGAATTTCAAATTGCGCTGCAATGCGATGCGCCAATGCTGCAGCTGTCACGTTGGGGGTGCCTCCTCGACAACACTGCTGCTACCGTGTAGGAGATGGAACTGCTGACCATCCAACGGTTGCAACTCTAGTGCAGGGCTATGGCCATTTCAGGTCGGTTCGGCATCTGGAACAAGTTTTCGCTGGGAGCAAACAGCTCACCTCGGGGTAATTCTCTGAAGGGGGGTAAAATGGCGCTTGTCGGTGCGGTAGATGGTGTCCGGCAGAGAAGGGGCGCTGCATGACGCGACAAGTCCACATCTGCTTGGCCGCACGGGGAGCCACGTGGATACGGCGGCCAAACAGAGCCGGGGACGCCATCCCCCAAGATAAGCTTCTCCCCTGCTGCTGCTGTAGTTGGACACCGCCAAGCAGCCAAACAGGGCCTTTTCTTTTGTCAAGGGTTTCTCAACCACCCGGACCCGGCTCCAGATCCTCGGGCCCGGTTCATCGGGCCCGGACAGTTGCGCCTACTGTCGCTTCCACCTCCAGGCTGAGCACGAGAAGAGGCCTTTTGCCCTTCAACGATGCATGGGCTTTTGTTCTGGGGCTTCTACGACCGCCGGATGTCATTCTCAATCCCTTTTCGCCTGCCGTGGGACGGGCCGTCGGAAGGCATATTGTAGGAGCCATTCGAGATGGGACGATGGAGAAGACACGGCTCGCGAGGCCTGCATTGGCACCCAATATTTGCAACGTCTTTTTGTTCGAATCCTTTCTAGAAGGCCACGGTATATCACCCAAGGGCCGTCCTATAGCCGACTGGCCAAGCGCATGTGCGCCCCAGTCGTGCAGGCTTCCCCTTCACCCTCCTTGTTTCGCACGAAACTTCCTGGTGTGGTTGATAAGGTTCTGACGATACCGATTGTCGAGGGCATGCAGGTCTGGGGCAGAGCCTCAGCATTCAGACCTCGATTGGACAGCCAAGAGACTGAAGACTCGCTGGAGCGGGACGAACTCACCACAAGTTCCCCTGTTCTAGTCCGTACCTACTGCACATCGCGCTTCTGGGTCGTGCTCAGTGCAACACATCACAGGCTCGATGCAACCATTACCGCCTCGCGCTCGTCTGTCTCCCAAGGGGGAGCGTTATGCCATTGTGCTTGTACCGTAGCGTGACTAATACCTGCGTCTCCGCGGCTACACCCCCTCCCCTAGGTTTAGCCACCAAATGCTCTCAATCTCAGCCATTCCAAATCGGACCACGGACTGCGAGGTCGAGACATACACGTACTCTTCGAGATCATGTCGCCCTCGCCTCGCCTCGCCTCGCCTCGCCTCGCTCGTCGAGCGGGGAAAGCGGCACGGAGACGGCGAGAACGGCGTAGTCCCGGGGTGCTATGTGCGGTCCGTCAGGGTTTGTATTTATTTTTGGATTTTAGCTTCTACGCCACTTTGGCCTGGCTGTTGAGATCGTGTGCATACTAGGCCCTTTCCCTCTCGACAGAGCTTGAGAGAACCCTGGGGGCCTGTTGGAAATGGAATCACCCCTCTCTCTGTCCCCCCTCCTCACATGCTGCAGGTCGGTGGCAGACGAGGGAGGAGAAGGATCACTTGGAGAACTGGGTTGATCTCACTCCCTGTCGGCTGGCTTTGGTGCATGAAACATCAACTTGAACCCCTCACGCCATGACTGTGGAAGGGCATTCTTCTATCTTGATGTGAGCGGGGAAATGAAAGTCTTTTGACCTTTGGAATCTGCAGCTCAGACGAATTACATGCGCGGCCTCGAGACCGGGCGCTGGGTGTGTGCAGGAAAGGGATCCTACCTCCCCGGCGGCCAGGGAGGTATGCTGGCAGGGGTATCCCACCCCATGATTGTGGTATGAACATTCTCTCACTAACCCCTCGCCGAACCCAAGATCCCCTCACCACGATTACTGCCTCCAAGTCGCCGATATATGGCTTTGGCAAAGGAAGCAGGGAAATTCTTGACCTCGCCTGCAAGATGTCGGCAGCGTTGGCGGCCACGCCTCCCCCATGCTCATCCAATCTAGCTCAACCGTCTGAGCGGCAAAGATGGCTCGAAGGATGAAGGGCGTGCCCACCCAAGGAGAAGGGAGACAGCCAAGGTCGCAGCTCATATGAGATAAAAATTGAAGAGCCAGCTTGTTGCTAGCTTGCCCCTGACCGCTGGGACGTGCCGAAAGGATTTTCTGGCAGCTGTCCGTGTTGGAGATGAGGCACAGTACATACCGTACCGTGCTCCAACCGACCGATCGGTGCATGTTTGGTACTGCCAGGGTCCGTCTGTTTGATGAAGGACCTATTCGGCGCTGCGCAGAAGCAGAAGCAGCAGGAGACAGCAGCCGCTCTCAAACCCCCGACTGCCCTGGTACCCTTCCCGTGAGCACCGAGAAAGGAACACCAAATCCAGAATGGAAGGTATTATTTGGCCTCTTCCAAACCCATCTCCCGCGAAGAGCTGTGTTTGGGCGGCCCAGACAAAGAGGGAGGCCGGGGAGGCGGAGAGAGGGGTTCCTGCGTTAACTGGGCTACTGGGGAAGAGGCTGGGCGAGAGGGATGGGGGCCGGGGAGAGGACAGCATCCGAATCTACCTACCTGTTTACTCACCTACCTATCCGCACCTTTCCTCCTACCCGAAGGTGCGAAACGCCCATTCACCTAGGTGATGATGGGTCGAGCAGGCGCGCCATCGCAACTTGTCTTGCGATCTAGGTATAATACGCTAACGAGCTAACTACCAGATGCCAAGGGATACATACCCTCGCAGGCAAAAGCGTCTTATCGCAGCCGATGTTCTGCTATTACCTGGAGGACAACTATAGTACTACAGTGCGCTACTACCTACTTGCTTGGTCATAGTACGTACGTACCTACGCGCATCCTCGCCGGCCTGCTTGGTTATCTCTGTCTCCTGTCTCTGTCGTGTGTATGTTTACCTGCATGGCAATGCATGGCATCGCGCGGCATGCCATATGTATCTCTTTCACTGACTGTTTTACAGTGTTGTATTCGCATATCAAGAACAGAAACGCCGCCTTGGGCCCTTGCCGTCAATATATATAACGTGGCTGATCTCGCGTCTATGTCTATCTATCAGGTATGTATGTGTGTACATACCTTAGACAAAACGCCCGCAGCAGGCGTGTGGCGCGAATGGAATCAGTCGATCCTTTGGCTGGGTCCTGGTATCTTGGCTGGCTGGTTGTCTAGATTATCCGACTGACTGAGTTGATTTTCTAGGCCGTTCGTCCACAAAGCTGCTCGGCGGCCCGTCCGTACGTCCGCCATTCTGTGCGCGTCGGTCGGCACGTATGTACGCACGTACGTGATGTGACGGGTGATGCTATATGCACTCCTCTGCTCTTCTCTGGTACTCGCTGCTACACTGTGCTGTCTCGTCTCGAAATTTGACATGTTTCCTGCCTTGGCCAAGCATGGCAGTCTGCCTAACAGTAATTGGCTGCATAGCAGCTGAGGGAGGCAGGTGGGTATCAGACGGGGTGCTGAGTCACTACTCCTTGGCCTTTTCGACCGGATCGAAGCGGCGGGGGCGGGAGCGGGAGATTTGCAAGGAAGCTTGGTGTTTTCTTTTTTCTTTCCTCGACCCCTGTGGACTCTGGCCTTCTTACCTTTCCCGCTCACTGCTGCAGCTACTTTGCATAATTCATGTATCTGGCAGCACAGCCACGCAAAGATTCAGGACGGCGGGACGATGTGGAGTTGCGATGGCATAAAGTGGCGGTGCCTGGCCGCGCGGCTAAAGGAGACGGGAAGGCATAGGCACAGGCACAGGCACAGGCACGAACACAGGCACTGCGGTAAAGGTAGGTGAGAAGGCAGGTGAGGCAAGGTGAAGCGAGGGGGGCAGGTTGCTTCGCCATTACTGTTGTTGTTTTTGTTGTTGTCCTACCCCCTTCTCTTCGCTCTTGCTTGCGGATATACAGCTAACCGCGTGTACGAGGACGAAGGGCACGTAGTACTCCGTACTTTACAGGGCATGGCTGGCCATCATGCAGTACCTCTAGGAGGCATTGTCTGCGGGTACTCGCACGAACCAGGGACTTGGGAAAGACTTTGGACTACCTAGCCAACCTGCACCAAGGCCGTCTTAGGATGTTGCAATTCTTATTCTCCCGCCTCGGAGGCCGGCCAACAACACAACGAGATGGTTGCCTTGTCCCACCAGCACGGACAGCCGATTATTCCGGGTGGTGAACTTCTCTCTGCCTCGCAGTCTAATGACGCGGGGTACTTCTTTTGGGGCGTCGTGAAATTCCCCGGGTCGTCGGCCGGGTCTCGACAAAAGCTAAACCAAGCCAAGTGTGTGTGTTACGCAGCATATTACCGTGTAACGCAGGCACAGACTTCGCACGTCCCAGGGAGGGGTTGCTGAAGCCATCTCCACGCTTCCAGGTTGACCGAAGGTGCCAGAGTCTGCATCGAGAGGCCTGACATTGATTGGGCGCGCTGCGTTTTTCCCATCCCACCCTTCTGCGCAACGCCCGAGAAAAGCGTCGGGATGGCGATGATTGCTATCACTTCCGAAGGAGGAATGTGCAGTAGGAGCATGTGTGTGGGAGAGTGTGTGCGTGTGTGTGTGCGTACGTGGAGGGCTTGTTGGGAGACTGAATGGGGCATTTGGTGCTGCTTGCGCTAGCATCTTGGTGTTTTGGTCTCTCTGTGCTACGTGCTACGGCGTCTCTTGCATGTTTTTAAGATTCCTCTCTCTCTCTCTCTCTCTCTCTCTCTCTCTCTTTCGGGGTCTTTGTGTGTGTGTGTGTTCTCGTCTTCTGGCCCCCATTCCGCCCCCAGACAACCTCCCCGCCCCTTTTCTTTCTGCGCCGCCGCCCCTTTTTTCTGGGCGGGTATCTTATGTGTCCTCATTTGGGCCATGTACTACTTGCTTGTGCCCCAGCAGCTAACGAAAAACCCAGAAAACTCCTTCGCCATCTGGCACAGCACAGCACAGCGCAGCACGGTTTGCTGGGTAGACCTTGCTGAACAGGCGCGATGTCTGTCTGTGTAGGGGCCGTAGAGGTTGCCGTAGTGGGAATTCATTCCTCTTCCGGGGGCATGCTTTTTTTTTTTTTGGTAAAGTTGGCTGTATGGGATAAAAATACAATAAAATAAAAGCCACAACTACTTTTACTATTTTCATTTATTTATTTTATCTTATGACTTGATCTCGTCACGCCGCCGGCCTGCCGACTTGCCTGCCTGCATGGTCTGACTTGCCTGCCGGCGGAGGCAGAGACTGGAGCCCACTTATACCATACAACATTCTCACACACGTACATGGACAGAGATATACATGGAGTGAGATGAGGTTGTGGAGATGGCGTCGCTCACTGCAAAGAGAGGGAGGATTCTCTCCCTCCCTCTCTCTCTCTGGGCTTGGAAGGGAAACCTCGAGATGCCTGGTCTAGACTAGACTATATAGAGAGAGAGATCATCATCACCATCCATTATACACTACACACCAACCCCCCGGGGCGACTGCAGACTATTCGCCACCCACACATGACTTGACGCCACAGATGGGTGGCCTGGATGGCCTGGCCTGGCCTCGGCTGGTGTGGTACAAGACAAGAAAAGTAAGGTCCATGGCCGCCCGATGGCTTGCTTGCCTGCTTGTCTGCTTACCTGCTTGGCCAGACCCAAACCTAGACCTAGGTCTATTCACGCTATTACAGTTGCCACTTACCCCCTTGGTGACGTGATTGGTGCGTGTGTGTTTGACCGCCCCATCGGTCGGCTCTTGTTCGTGTTTCAGGTCTGTGTGTATATTCATTCCTTCCTCCAGCACGTCATCTGGTCTTTTTTTGGTCTGTATCAAAATCTGTAAGTGTGCGTGGGTGTGTGTGCGTCTTTTTGGCATGTGTGTGTGTGTGTGTGCGTGCGTGTGTGTGTGTGTGTATGCATGTGTGTTTGGGTATTGTTCGTCGTCGCCGTTGTCGTCGTCGTCGTGATGGCTTATCCCATCTCGGCGTTGCTAGTCAAGTGTGAAACATGGAGCGTGGGGGAGGGAGGGAGGGCCACATCCCCGAGGAGCTGTGGAGAGGGCAGGACGAAGGGATTGGATGGCGATGGCGGAGGAATGCAAGTGGACGTGGAGGTGGACGTGGAGGTGGAGGCGGGGAAGAAGACGTCTCTCTGCTCGTTGTTTGCTTCGTCTGTTGTCCTTCCCCTTCCTTATCGCCCAGCGATCAGACAGACAGCCAGAGACGCCCCCCCAAGCCCTGAGCCCCGTGACGCAAGCTACTTGCTTGGGAGCTCCTGGCCCCGCGCGTCATCGGATGCTGGATGCCGGATGTCTCTCTGTCTGTCTGTATCTACCGACACGAGGCTGGGGGAGGAGTCGGTTGGGCTGATATGTTCCGCCCCGAATAGAAAGGGGGTAGGAGCGGGGGGGTTATGCGAGCCAGAGAGACGGGAGTCTTGGCCGTGTTTCTGCTGGCGACAGCAGTGATACCTCGGCTCTTGTCTTTGCTTGCTCTTGCTCCGGGAGGCGGGGAGCAGTACTGCTGCGTGCCGCATGAGCCGTGAGCTGTCTTGAGAGAGCTCGAGCTTGGCAGAGGAGGGCGGGCAGGGCACCCCCCGAGTCGTGCTCGGGTTGAGTCTCTCGACGTCTGTTCTGTTCTGCAGCGGACGTACCTGCCGCCGAAAGGGGTTACGTTGCGACGCCATGGTTAATGGGCTTCGGGTACGGGCGTTACCCGGCAGTAGACAGTGGCACCTGAAAGGGGCTGTTGACAAACGAAGGCATTCTGTATTCACTCGCAAAACAGAAGACGGCAAGCAGAGAGAGGGTGAGGCATTTGGTTGAGATGCCGATAGACTATGTGTGAACTTTGTTGACTGCCGTCAAAGCAGGCAGCAGCAAGGAGAGACAGACAGACAACCTGTGTGTAGGATTCCAACTTCCTGGTAACTGTTGACTTTGTCCGTCTTACAGCCGCACAACACTCTCTGGCCACGATACCGTGAAGTCGTAGGGAGTGGTTATAAGACAATAAATTAGTTTATCGTCTACTGCACAATGTTAAACTTACTAGTAGCCTAGCTAAAGAGAATGCCATAAGAGGCTACTGGCTTCTAGTCAATAAGGTGGAGAAAGGGGCGTTGCTCCCGAGCCCCCGGTCATGCCCGACTTTCCCCAGTCCTGGGACTTCGGAGCGACCAGCTGCGATCCAGACTATGCGAAGCTGCATTGACGGAGTAGCTGCATGCATCAATCATCCTAAGTAATAGAATTTTCCAGGAAGGCGGCTGTTTCTGTTGCATTTAAAATTAAAAGATTTGATCGTTTAAATTATTTTCTTCCTTTTTCTTCCGGGGAATCAAGGTGAGACACTTTAGACGTGTCCGGATTTGGGACGCGCGCCTTGCATGTCGACATTGTGCGACAGTTGGCGTTGCCGATTCCGTCACCAACAGACGTGACACAGCGTGAGTGGGATGGGGGGAGCCGGGTGGGTATCGCACCGGATTAGGCAACACTGTTTTGATTGCTCCGCTCCGTATGGTATTGTATTTGAGAGTCGTTGAGTGGAGTTGGACTGACTCTTGGCTCCTGGGCCAACCGCGGCGCGGCTCACGCAGCGCAGCGCAGCTCTAGGCAACGCACGGGGCGGCATTGTTAAATGCCCTGCAGGTGTGTGCATTGTTTGCTACTAGTTCCTACATACGGTAGCTGCAAACCCACCAGCAAATCAGGACGCTCAAACTGAAAGTTGAAGTAAGAAAGATTCCCAATCCGGGCCGAGGTTGGCCTGGCTGCTCTGCTCTGTCGCTTGAACTTGGATGTGACTTTTCCGGTGTCATGGTCTTGGCGTGGTGAGAGTTTAACGGAGCCCTACGAGGCGATGCCATGCTCCGGCGCCAAACGCCAAAGACTGCTGATGTGGCTGACAAATTCTGCTGCTCTGTCTCCGTCTCACCCTGATGGTGCATCTGCGGTAGTATCACTGTGTTGTGCGCTTCGTGGGGCTCGTCCAGTTGGTTAGTTGTTGCTCTGTTGGTTCTCTTGCCTTGGAGTCAAGGTTCCGAGTCTCTTCTCGATGAGGAAACAAAGATCGAGGAGGGGGCGTGCGCTGCGAGTCTGACAGATGGAACTGCTGTCACTGGCAGGTGCAACCAACAGTCCACTCCCCACTCCACTGTAATTCATGTTCAAGACCAACGGCAGGCACCTGCCAGACAAGCAAGCCCTGCAATAGGCAAACAGTAGCCAGAGGTCGGCAAATCAGCTCCGCAGGCCACAACAGATTTGAAATCGTAAACGGCTCGCTCACGGACGGACGGGAGAGCCCGCCAAGATGCAGAGTTTCGTGCAGCGTCGGACATGCAAAGTCCGAATCCTTCAATCACTCCACTCCCACTGTGTGTGCTGTAAGTGATGGATCTAAGCGCCCAGCGGGTCAGCAGAAACCCGGGCAAGGGCACCGCTAAACCCCGGGATATCCGGACGGGGGCCCGCATCCCGCCATGGCACCCCTAGATTTGTTTACTTTATAAATACTTAGCTTTGAGATATTTCCTCAGATATGAATTAAAATAAAAATAAAATAAAATAAATATAAATATATTCTTTACATATTTGTCAAACACCCGCCCACCATCAGTGTCAAACCTGAACCCGCCGGGCTGATATCCGTAGCGTTATAGATGCTCCCCGGACCTGGCCGGGAATCGGGTCAGAAGGCCCCCGCCAGCAGCGCCCCGGCCGACAACCCCCAGCAACCGAATACGGCTGAGCGTTTTCTGTCTCAACCACTTGCAAGGAGAGAGGTGAGGGCCCGCGTATTTTACTCGTTCACCTTTTTCGCCCAACGGACAAGGACAAGATAAATGCCAAGCCAAGGCTCGGGAAACCCTGCCATGGCCGTCCCGCGTCCACAGTCCGAGGCGCGGCCGCCGCCAGGCCATACCACCCCACACCCTCCCGGGGGGGCAAACATCAGACAGACAGACAGACGGACGGCAGGCTGGTCGAGTACGCATCGCAGTTACCTGTCTGACCGCATATTGTATGTATAGAGATCCGTACGTACAGCTCGCCAAGCCCGTCCGTCCGTCCGTCTGTTCATCAGACTCTGTCTGTGAGATGCGGCGACCAATCCATCCATCAATCCACACTCTCCCCAAACGACCGTGATATCAGGCGGCGTAGACTAGACGCGCGGGAAGGCAAGCGGGAATCGAAATCGATATTGAAGCAGAATCTGATATACACTAACCCACAAACTGGTGAGGAAAGAGCCAACAAGTGTGTCTGTGGGACAGGAAAAAAAAAGCGATTCCGGGGAACCCCCCCCCCCCCAAACGAACCCTTCTCCCTCCCGTGGTAAGTCGGTTTATTTGGGGGGTTTTTTAAAACATCCTGTAAATAAAATAAAATAAAATAAAACAAGCCATTGCGCAAGAACACATGGAGAGGCCTTTGACCAAAAAAAGACAATTCCGCGGGATGCATGCAGGGAGATCGAATCCGATTTCCGCGGAATAAATAGATTAAACCAACCCCCCCCCCAAAAAAAAAAAAAAAAACAAGACGCTGAGCGAATCACAGACAAAATCAGCTCTAAGACATGTCATAAGGGTTACTATGTAAAAGAGAGAGTGTCAGAAAAAAAACCCGCCGATAGGTAGGTATATCGCCACCGCCCACCCTACACACATGTGTAGACATAGAAACACGCCCCCTTGGCTGGGCAGGTCTCGGCCTCCTTTCAACGCCGGGATGGAACGGACAAGGGTTCGGCGACGAGTGAATGAATGTTGTTGTTGCTGTTGCTCCTTGTCAGCCTTGTCTCAGTCACTAGTTCAGTGCGACCGGGAACCAACCAGCGACCATTTACCGTCATCACTCTATTGACAAGTAAAATGGATCGCCACACACATCGTCTGGTGTCTGACCCGGGAGAAAGAGAGAAAGAATAGATAACGAGAGGAATAACACATTCAAAACAAGCATCTGTCTATAAGACGAGACTGAAAAGCTGGGTATATAAGGAAACCAACAACCGACAGAACCCAAAGTCGAATCCATGATAAAACAAAGACTGCTCGCTACCCCTGTCCCCGCCCATTTTAAACCCCTCCCGAAAAGGGGGAGAGAGAGGGAATAAACAGACAAACAGACCCCCCCTATCGTACTCCATACATGATATCTAGATCTAGTCCCCATGATACCACCGCTCGTCTTGTGTATATAGGTAGGCAGACAGCGCCGTCCCACGAGACAATAAAAGTACAACCAAATCTAGAGTCCCCCCAAAAGCCCCGGGATTTTCTTGGTATTGATAACAATGATAATGTGAACCGCTGAGCGCTGTGCGTTTCTTGTTGATGATGGAAATGATGCTGTTAACGCCTTGCGCCATTCGCTCGGTTGACGCTGACTTAAAGCACCCATAACAATCACCCAAAAAAACCAAAAAAACAGACTACAGGCCACGGTCAAATATGCGTCCGCGGCCCCGCAGCCGGCGCAACACGCAGCTTGGCGGCCTTGACGGCGCGCATGGCGGGGAGGGTGCTCTCCCTGCCGGGGACGCGGCCGATCTCGACGCAGAGCAAGCGAACAAGGTCGCGGCTGTACCAGTAGCTCGAGTGGGCCGACAGCATGTTGAGGTACTGCAGCTCCAAGGGGCCGCCGCCCGAGCGCAGGAAGTAGTCGATCTGGCCGTTGTCGTTGAGCAGGAAGGCCTTGCGCTCGGCAATCTCCTCGCGTGAGAAGTCGTGCACGTCGAGCTCGAGCTGCGAGGGCAGGCGCGGCATCGACGGCATCTTGGGGTTGCTGCTGTTGTTCTTGTCGCCCGCGGCGCCGGCCGCGTTGTCGCCTGCCGCCGCCGCCGCCGCCGCTGCCGCCGGCGGGCCGACGCCCACCATGCCGCGCACGGCGTCTCCGACCGACTTGAGAAGCGACGTCGCCGTACTGGGCACGTACGCCGTCTTCAGACTGGCCGCGTAGGCGGGGTCGATGGTGCCGTTGAGCAGGTAGGCGATGGGGTCCTCCTTGGCGAGGATGTTGTAGATGTTGTCCACCGCACAGCAGCCAAACATGCCGACGTCGCCGACCACGTCCTTGGCCACCGTGTCGACCGCGTCCGCGCCCGGCTTCAAGCGGCCGCGCCGTGGCACGAGGCCGCCCCTCTCCAGCAGCAGGAAGAAGCTGGCCGGGCTCCCCAGCAGGAACAGGTTGGTCGTGTCGAACTCAAAGTGCCGCGTCTCGGCCGCGGGCCTGGCCGCCAGGTCGAGACGCGGGACGTAGGTGGGCTGCTTTGACAGGATGTCAATGGCCATGGCGCTGCCGAGGGAGTGGGCGACCAAGTGGACGCGCCCATTCTCTGCGAAGCCGGGGTTGTTCCGGCACCAGAGCCGGTACACGCGGTTCGCCTCGCCGACAAGGGCGGCTATCATCTTGGGCTTGAGGTGCGACATGTAAAAGGGGATATCGAACATGATGTCCGAGATCATGCTCCGCACCGCAGGGATCGTGGTGGGCTCAATGTCTTTCAAGCCGAACCCCTCGGGCGCGTACGGGGCCTTGCCCTCGTCCTCGGCGGGGCCGCCGTCTTCAAAGCTCACAATATGGCGCCAATTGACTGGCAGCACCATGATGCCGTTTTGCTCCGGCCGGAGGACTGATTTGACGGCAGGGCTCTCGAGCTCCACGTTAACCTCCCTCCGGAACGAATTAATAGCGTGCGTGAAGTGGAAGCTCTCGACCCGCTCGGCAAACTTCTGGCCGATTCCGTGGGCGAACAGGATCAGATCCGTCACGTGGCCACGGTCTTTCTGGAGCTCGCACGCCGCGCAGCCAGCTTGCTCAGCGCTTTCACCCGGAGCCGTGGCCTGCAACGTGGGCCTGTAGTCCCTGACGCTCGGAGCCTTTTGCTTTTCGTGCATCCGCTCCCACTTCGCCGCATCAAAACCGCGGACGACGGGGATGCCCACCGTAAGGTCCTTCATAATCTTGGAAACAGGCTTCCGTCCGTAGTAGGCCGATGGCTTGAGGCTGGACTTTAGGAGAAACGCAGCAGAGGCATCCTTGTAGATGACATGGTAGTTGGGATAACTCCTGTGCTCGGGCGGGGAGGTCGACGCCTCGTCGTCAGGCTTGACGGGCTCCAGGGTGCCTTCGGCAGCGGCTTCTCCGCGAAAGCACCTGGCAGCGCAAAAGGGATCACAGGATATCAGCGGCTCTTGAGCAAACCCGCACTTGCTTTTCAGACGCTTGTCCGAAACGTCGGGCCAGAGCCGATGCGTCACCTTTTCTTCACCGAGAGCGCCGACGTCCAGCGCGGATCTGAGTTCGTCAGACCAGGTTTCAGTCCACGCCCGAAGCTCCCGATAGCCGGCCTCCAGCTGGTTTGCCACGGCAGGCTCTACAGGCGCCATAGAGTCCCTAAAAACTACGTTAGCCTAGACCATCGCGGCGACTGTTCTAGACCTTACCTATAGAACCACGTAGCTCTCAACACTATGGAGATATCATTTACGGGGGACCAATATATCGGTTTCATCTGAAGGACAGGCAACGAGACCATGTGCAGCCTCGAGACTCCGACAGCTATCTCGACCGAGTCAGACCCCGGGTCGGCCGTCTCGGCAGTGACAGTTGTAGAACTCCTGGGCCTCTTGTTCCTAGCACTTTCTGCCTTGACCTGAGCGTTTGTTTCGGGCAAGGATTTGGACTGCTTGTCGAGGAGGGCGATGCCTGGTGACCTCAGACTTGGCTCGACACGGACGAACGGCTTGCCTGAGATACCGTCGTCTACCATGGGTGGTCTGGGTGAAATCAAGCCACTGGCGGGCAGCGGAAGCTGGGTCTCGTTGGCGGCCGTTGAGGCGCTAATCTCGATGAGGTTCTGGCCGGGGCTCGTCCCGAATACGAGACCCGAGGCTGCGGCGGAACTAGCTGCCTCGGCAATATCTGGGTCGGGTCGCAGGCGATTGAGCTGATCCATGACGCCCTCGACAACTCGCTCGTGGTTGAGAGACTGCTGGCGCTTGCGGGTGAGGGCGCAAAACTCGTTTCTGAGCTCGGCCGAAGCATCGATCAGCAGCTCCGGGCAGCACACGGGAACGCTGCTGTCAGGGGCGTCGAGAGGGGCCCGCGGAGCCTGGCCCTCGCGGTCGTGTTTCTCCTTGTGCTTTGCCGTGAGGTGGGCTACGATGGCAGATAGCTTCTCGGCATTCTCTTTGGAGAGAGACGGACTGGGGCTGCGGTTTCTCTGGGCCTGTCTGTGATTTCTCCGGTCCCGATCCGAGGCGAAGCCATGCCAGGCGCGTTCCAGGGTGAGATTGTCCCCGGGAGAAAAGGGCCGGAAGGGGGCCCTGGAGGACTTGGAGTCGGTCGAGGTTGCAATGGTGACGGCCGAGAGGGGGTCGTCAATGGAGATTGGCGACGAGTAGAAGAACTGGGCGTCGACGCGTGGTATGCCCTCGAGTCCGTCGACGGGCTCCTGGTCGGCCGTGGGCACCAGCCGACATGCCGGCCCGTACGTGTGCGTCGGGTTGGCCGACGCCATGGTCTTTGCTGTTTCGGCAACGGCCGTCGAGGAGAGGGAGCCAAGCTACTAGGGACAAGGTAGGTGTTAGTCAATTTGACCATGAGCAGCATGTTTTTGCAGAGACGGGCTGTGGGCGGGAAAATAAGGCCATGCAGCCATGCTGGGACATGTAGCCATGCGAACGCTTCGCCGTGCACAAGACAGACCAACGACAGTCGCACGAACAAAAGGCTGCAGAATTGGTTTTCTTTTTGGAACCAAAAGAAAGGAAGCATACCGTCGGGTGATCTGTTGAGTAACCAGGCGCGACGTGGGAGCCAGTGACAGGACAAAGCCGCCGTGGAAAAGCCCCGTTGAGGGTCGGTTGGGTTGGTTACAGCGACAACCGAACGAGGGCGACAACGACAGCGACAACGAAAACGGCAACGCACCAGCTGCGGGAGGAGCGCGCGTGTCATGAAAAGAATGAAGCTATCTATCCCCCAGGCCTTCTCGATTCGTCCGAAGTTGAGTCGCGCCAACAAAACATGTTTTAGGTCTGGTCAAAGACGGGCATGGCGAGGCGAGGCTAGAGTTTCGGGGCCAGCCGTCGAGATGGCAGCCTCCACAGCCGTCCGTCCAGTCCAGTGTTGGACGAACTGATGACGTGGTTAGCTGTGCCTGTCGTCGGCAGGCAACCACTCCACCGCGCTAGGCTCTAGCTGGCTCTACTTAGGGTGAGGCGGGAAGGCAGCCTGGACCTGGACCAGGCCACGCGACTGGCCTATCACAGGTTACTCAGCACCCCCAACCCATGCCATTCGGCGCCTCACCTCACCCATTTGACGACAATAAGCCTTTGCGTCTCAGAACGTTCTTTTTTCGTCCCAGAAATGTCGTCCAATGTACGGATAGTTCATCTGATCTGCCGAGTGCAAAGATGGGCACATAGTCTAACATGGGTTTCCCGGCTTGACGGCGATCAGCCGCATGAAACAACACCCTAATTAGCGACCTGACGGGCCCAGCGATCCTAGCTGGCCCAATCTATTCCTCCAAATCATGTACATGAAGTTTATGCTCGATAAAGTGCAGAACAACGCCATTCTCCAAGCCCACCCAGCTTAAATTCTCCCCAGAAAACAGAAAATACTCCGTAGCTCTCCCCCAAAAAGGGGAATATACAATCCCCAACATGTATGTAACAGTGACAGCCCCAACCAGAGAACCCACTCGTCAGTCGTCGTCGAGATTGTGGCCGTTCATGAGCTCGACGATCAAGAAGCCCACGTAGAGAGAAAGCATGACGAAGCCCATCCAGCGCCTGCCGCCGACAATGACTATGCTGAAGATGATGGCCGCGGACACCCACATGACAAACACCTCGAAGACGGTGAAGCCGAGCTCGAGCTGGCCGGCGTCGTCCCAGATGAACAGCACTCCGCCGCACAGCGTAACGAGGAAGATGTTGGAGCCCACCGTGTTGGCCACCATGATGCCCGGCTGGTGCCGCACGCCTCCCATGATGGCCACGAACTTCTCGGGCAGCGTCGTGGCCAGCGACAGTATCGTCGTGCCCACCACCGTGCCCGACAGCGCCAGCTCGTTGCCGATGGCCGACGCACTGTGCGCAATGATGTAGCTCGACACCAGCAGTGCCGCGAGGCCCATCGCCAGCCGCAAGAGGTGGTGGCGCATCGGCTTGGGCCGTGCCTTGCCCGGCTTGACGACCATGAACTCTCCCGAGCTCGGCCGCGAAGATTTCTTGGACAGGTTTGTGAGCCTCAACTGGCGGCCGGAGGCGTTGCCCCAACGGCGACGGCCCCCCTGCTCCTCGTCTACCTGGACCTTGTCCTTCGCCTCGGCATGATTGTCACCGCCGACCGTGTCCTCGTCGCTATCGCCGGCATGGCCGTCAAGGTCGCTATCGCTGTCACTATCACTGTCGCCATCCGAGTCGCTGTCGCTATCACTGTCCGAGTCGTCTTCGGGCGCCGTGAGAGTGCCCCGGTAGATGAGCGTGGCCACGGACGCAACGTAGACAACGAACGCGGCTATCAGCAGAGAGCCGGACAGCCACTTGAGGCTCGACCTCGCCACCGCGAGGAGGACCAAAAACACCGAGGTGAGCGCCAAGAGGACGGTGCTGTAGATCTTGGAGCTGCGGTCGAACTCGGCCTTCTTCATGAACACGAGTCCCAGCGAGAAGGACGCGAGTATGTTGGCGATAGACGAGCCCACGAGGTTTCCGAGCGCAAGGTTCGAGTTCTTCTGACTCAGGGCAACAATGATGACGACGAGCTACGCACAGAGCACACGGTCAGCTAACTTGTCCTGTGAGTGTTATTTCTGTGGCAGAGCCTCTGCAGTTCCCGCACACGCACCTCTTCCCACTCGGCGCCACAGGTGAGAAGCCCGACAAGCGTCGGCGAGACGTTGAGCCGCTTGGCCACCACAGCCGTGTGGTCAATGAACTTGTCGGCGCCATATTCCAGGAGGAAGAGCCCGGCAATGAAGGACGATATGTTGAAGAGAAGGGCGTCGACGCTCGGCATGATGGGCATCGGGAAGCTGTCAACGAGTGGAATCGGCAAATTGCTGCCCTAGATACGAAGTGCTGCGGACTGCGTCGTCGGAGACGGAGGGAACGGATCGGCCACGGGCAACCTGGACAATATCCCCCTTATAGATACCCAGACGTCAACATATCGCGCGAGAGTGGACAATAAGGAGCGTATAAGTCAATGAGGCATGACTAGGAGACTAAAGACTCAAGCACAATGCTCGCTGACGTGTAATAAAGTCAGGCACGGGTATTAATTTTTTTTGACCTGCGCCGCAACGAGGGCGCCGAAAGGGCGGTATCCTCCAAGGGGGGGAGGCAGTTGACGCGAGTGACGGACTCCAAGGTCAGAAATGCTTGGCATGTATTTGATCCTAGGCTTCTCAGGTGGCAAGCAATCGAGATTGGGACGAAAACGCATTCCTGTACCTGGCGGGCCCGCACCGGCTTATCGAATTATTGACCCGAAAAGGGAAGCGCCTTGGCGGGATTACCGTCAGTCCAGGGGGTGTTTGGTCCAATTAGCGGTGAGGTGGCTGATGAGTGACTGCATGCTGCCTCTGCAGCTCATCAATATTCAGACAATTTGGTGGTCGAGTTGTCGTATAGACTTCGATTCAGCTCTCGGGATTTCCTGAGCGGAGAGTAAAGTGAAACAGCACGCCTCATCAGCAGATCTGATCTTCGTGATGGAAATTAGGTCGGCAAGTGCCAATTGAAGAAGGCGCGTTGCGCAAAAAGACCTCCCAGGCAAGGGCTGAGACTGAGAACCTAACCTAAGGAGTAGGTCCGTCAAGGCGGCTCCTTCCCACCTTGAAGACTCAAAGGTGATAGAAACCCCACCAGTCAGTTTAGGACTCATACAGCAGCTCTCTCTCCGTCTTTTCTTTCCCTAAGTCTATTCCATTAAACCCCAATCCCTCGGTTCTACTGATTGTCCCCCACATCATGCAATCGACCGACTCGGTCTTCTCTCATCGGCCACGACCATGACAAGAGCGAATGTCAATCCGAGTGAAGAGCAACAGATGAGAGACTCTCTGCCTTGAAAGGTTTTGGACTCAAAACCGTCTCCGACTCGTCCAGACGGAGCAAGTAATTAAAGCCATGTCTCTACAAAGTACTATAGCAGAGGATCGGAGCAGACAATCCGGCCAAGCTTTCAGAGGGGTGGCCAGTATCAACAAGTGGCTTTTGGCTTGCCTTTGCGTCTGCAGGAGGGCATCGATAGACGAGAGAAATCATGGCGATGGCGCCTAGGTTATAAGCCATTGCAAGCCACTTGGACTGGTGAGTGGCCACTCACAAAGCAACCCACTGTGGCTCTGTTTCATCAACCTCTTGCCAACCGCGCCCTTATCTTTGCCTCCAATACGTACTTCACACGTCCGCAGCGATTCCTTGCACGTTCTGTGGCATACGTACCTCATGTTTGAGCGAGCTAGAGTTTTTGGATAATTGTTCCCGCTTTCAGTGTACTGTACCTACCCGCATCCAAGGAGAAGCACATCGCGCCAACAGCGGCTGCTTACACTGCTTCCGCATCCCGCCAAACCTCCTTTACTTCGTTCGAGTGTGGCTAGTCCAAGAATTCTACATACTGTATCAGGCTATCTGTGACCTCTCTGACCAGTCGAGGCCAGACCAACCACCATTGCAACCTTGCAAGAATCGCGCCATGCAGCAAACAGACCTTCGCTTCCCGTGCCCCTTATATCAATGGCTCACCCCCAACCCCATGGAGCCTCAGCGAGCCGAGTTCCTGACCCAAGACGTTGCCAGGCCTAGTTTCTTTTCTTGCAGAATCGCATTTTCCTGAAGTGCCAGAGTCGAGGGCCGAGTTGCGCAGGTAGCTCGTCCGGTGCGAGTCGGGTATCATCACGGACAAGACCATCATCCCACACTTACACACATGGCCGCTCCCGAGGTCGACGACCCCGCAATCCAGGCCACCACACCTACCCCTCATCCGGCCACCGGCCATGATGTTGAGGAAGACGAGAAGAAGGTCGTGCTAGCCGAAACAGCGTCAATCTATAGCGAGCCGGTTCCGGCACGCCGCGAGCCGCCATGGCTCGCATTTCTCAAGTCGTTGGTTGGCGTAGAGCCTGCGAGAGGGACCCCCATCTACCGGCACCGCGGCTCCGTGCCCACCGAGTCGGATGCAAAGTCGGTAAAGGCGAGGATTTGGAAGTTCTTCCAGTTTCTCGGCCCCGGTGCTATTATCAGCGTCGCCTATGTCGATCCGGATAACTACCAGACTGCCATTTCCTCGGGCGCTTCGTTCCAGTTCAAGCTGCTGTTCATGGTGCTGTTTTCCAACATCATCGCCATCTATATCCAGGCAAGCCGGCGCCTCTCTGGTCTTCGCTTCTTACCCCCCCTTCCGTTGCTGACACTGGCCACCAGTCACTATGTGTCAAACTGGGTACCGTCACCGGCATGGACCTTGCCCAGATGAACCACCGCTTTCTTCCGCGCTGGCTTGAGCTGGCCCTCTATGTCGTTGCTGAGGCCAGCATCATCGCCACAGACCTTGGACAAGTCATTGGCACTGCCATTGCCCTGAATATCCTGATCCCAGGCCTGCCTCTCCCTGCTGCCTGTGTCGTTTCGGTGGCTGACACCCTGTTGATACTCCTGTTTTACACGCCGACTGGCGAGTTGCGTCGTATCCGCCTCTTTGAGATCTTCATTGTCCTTCTGGTCAGCGCTCTTTTCATTACTCTATGTGTAGCCCTCTCCATGGTTACTGCACCTCCTCGCGATGTCTTCCGCGGCTTCGTCCCCTCGTCCGAGGTCTTTGTTGCCACGGGACTGTACGAGATGTGCGCTATTCTCGGCGGCACCTTGATGCCCCACGCCCTGTACGTCGGGACAGCCCTCTCGCGTGCTCGTCTCTACGACTTTGACGCCAAGCATAGCCTTGCACCTCTGGGCAGTCCAGATTCAAGCTCGTCCTCGCTAGCCTATCGCCCATCGCTGCGTGCGATCAAGTCGTGTCTCAAATGGTCTATTGCCGAGTTGGCCACCACTTTGTTCATCGTTGCCGTCTTTGTGAACTCGGCTCTGCTCATCATCTCCGGTGCTGCCTTTTACCGGGTAGAGCCACCAGATACAGGCTTAGGGACCGGTTCGGGCGATGGCGGTTCCGCCGGCGGCGACCTGGACAAGAGGGATCCAGGCGATGTCGTCGATATCAGCGACGATCTGTACGACCTATATAATCTCTTTACCACGAGCATTTCCCCGGCGGCTGGCACCTTGTTTGCCGTGTCTCTCCTTTTCTCGGGCATAACCGCAGGTATCGTGTCCACCATGGCCGGCCAGGTCGTCATGGAAGGCGCATTGAACCTCCGCATCTCGCCGTTTTTGCGACGCCTGATAACACGCTGCGTCGCCATCATCCCGGCCCTCGTCATAGCCGTGTCGGTCGGCCAGGCCGGCTTGTCGCGCGCCCTGGTTGCCTGCAACTATCTGCTAGCCATCGCACTCATCCCGATCACGTTCCCCCTCATCTACTACACGGGCCGCTCCAAGATGATGCAGGTCCCGTCCGACGGCGGAACGGGCTCGGTCAACATGAAAAATCACATCGTGGTTGCCCTCATTGCCTGGCTGCTTTGGCTGCTCGTCGTGGTCATGGACATCGCCACCGTCGTGCTTGCCGGCCTGGGGGTCACCGATGCCGACTGAATGCGGATTGTCTTTTTCAAGGTAGGTATTATATGCCCAAGGCCTAGGAGCGTGTGTTATTTGGTATGGTATTTATGAGTAATATAGAGGCGATATTATATCAGATTGGAGGAGCTTGAAGGCCAAGGTACATATGATGACGATAATGATGTTTATATCGCACTGGATAATATCCGCCTTTTCGGCCTCTCTGGCATTGATTCTTGCAAAACCCCAACTAGTCGGGTGGTCTTGTGTGTGTCTACTGTATCCGTACAGACAGAAAAAATACGACGGCTGGGTTTACCAGGCCTACACGTAGTGTATTACTCTTTATTTGACTCAGTTAACTAGTATACCCACGAGCGGTACCCACGAGCGGTACCCACGAGCGGTACCCTCGCTTCACTTTGCGTCTTGCTTTGAACGAAGTGGCCAATGCATAGAAGAATAGCGCCAGGGAGGCCCGTAAATGCAGGTGCTACATATCTACCTTTTGTACCTTATTCAGCACCGTAATATCAGCAAATTTATTCCTTTTATTCCTTTTCATTGTTTTTGATATTCTAGCAGTATCACCGCCGTGATGCCTCTCCTTCCAATTCGTTGTTCCCGGCGTTTCATTCCCTCTTTGCACATCGTGCCTTTTTGGGTATATATGTATCTGGTAGGTAAGGAGATTGAGATTGAGACTGAAGAGTCTTTTTCATTCCCATTACCATTACCATTCCAACACTCGCTCTCATCCCGCATGTTTGTTTGCCCGTATGCTCCACGCCATGCATAAAATACGAATACAACCAGCTAGACAACAACGCCACACCAAAAAAACGACACATGTAGTACGCACCCACGCACGCGAACCACTCTCTGCAAAGACTAAAAGTAGCCCCGTCCAGTAAGCGCGTTATCACAGCAAGCAATCGTACCTATCGCACATCATCCCGTTTCATTCCCCATCCCCCCTTTCCTTGTTTTTGTGTCGTCGTCCGGGTAGTGGTTCACTCACTCACTTGCGCAGCGATTTCAGCAGCGGCGCAATGCGCGACCGCTTACTCAGGCCCACGCGGTACTGCACCTTTGCTGCTGCCGCGGCGGCGGTTGCGGCGGCGCTCGCAGTAATAGGTTTGCCCTCGAACGGTTTGGTGGCTGTGGCCTTGTCATTGGCTGCAGCAGCAGTGTTGACAGGCAGAGGCTGCTTGCCGTCGTTGGCGGCGGGGGTGGGGATGTCTTGTTTGGATGGAGGTGCCGACTTGGTCAGTTTCGGCTTTGCTGTTTTCGAGTTGTTGTTATTGCTTTTGGCCTTGGTGTCTTTTTTGCCCCTTTTCTTGCTATTACTCGTGGTATAAGTGTTCTCCTTCGTCTCGTCGTCATCGTCGTCATTATCGTCATCGTCATTAGGCCCCTCGTCTTCATCTGCGGGGGCTTCACTAAAGTCTTGGTCGTGATCCCCGTCCGCGTCGTCGTCCTCGCCAGCGCTGTCGTTCACGCGTAACTTCCTAGGGCGTCCCCGCCGGGCGCGAGCTACCAGTTGTGAGTTTTCCGGTGGCATTTCAGAGAGGGCAGTGTCGACGCCCTCGCCGTTCTCCACGGCGTCAGGCTCAACAGGAAGCTGGGTGACAGTCGACTTACGCGGCCGCCCGCGCTTCCTCTTGGCCGGCTCTTCTGCGGTTGTGTCTGAGACAGGGATGGATAGAGATTCGGCACCTGCTGACAGGCTGTCCTCGGCTGGTTGTAGCGGATCATTGGAGTCTCCTTCTGCACTGGCTCTCTCTTTAATTTTGGCAGGCTCCTTTTTCTTGCGCCCCCGCTTCTTTTTGGGCGCGACGGGCTGCTGCTCTTCTGGAGCCACGGTGGTAGGTTCAACAGAGTCCCCGACATTAACGGGCTGGGATGGAGCAGCGCCGGCGGATATGTCATTGGAATCTAGTGTCGTCTTCGCTGAATGGGCGTCACCCTCGACGCCAAGTAAACCGTCATCTGGCACGTCAACCGCAAAAACCTGAGCTTCGGCTTGCTCTTGGGCTTGCTCATCCAGACTGGCGTCCCAGGACATTTCTTGCGGCTCCTGAGCGGTGGCTCTCTTTTTCCTCGAACTGCGGCTTATTTTCACGGGTGGAGGATCTGCTTGAGACGGAGAAATATGATTGCTAACCAGCATGGATTGCGTGGTCCTCTTCCGCTTCACACCCGCCGGAACAATGGATATTATGTCAGGGGACGATGGCTACAGAGAAAGAAAAATGTACATGTTAGATCAACCCCGCCGACTAGAACGGGAGTATTTAAACGTAAACTTACCTGATATGCATCTGTAGTTGCCTGTGTTGGTATTTCGGCGAGCACGGTCGCCTCCTCGGGCAGCACACCGTCGCTCGGGGATATCCTCGGCCTCGATGAGCCGAACCGACTTGGAGTTGTGTAGGCGATGGTTGTAGCGCCGCTAGATTTCTGCTGCTGCTGCGTGGCCGCGTCGAACCGGGGGCCAACCAACGGCAAGAACGGTTCTGGTACCAGCGAGTCGTCGTGAACGGGCTCGGACGACAGACTGACCGTCTTATACTCCTGCTTCTGGCTCGCGGTCAAAGCGCTGGGCGCAATGTACAGCGATGGAGAGGCGTCGGCCACGGTGGAGTCATAACCGAGTGAGCTGCCAGCCTTGCCGCGACCGGCTTGGCAGCGGGAGCGTCGGCCAAGGCTGTCGTGGTTCAGCTGCGGTATAGCCACTGGAGTAGAGTCCTCACTCGGCTGCGCGTTGCTCGGCTGCGTGAGGGGGCTTGTCTTTTTGGTCCTTTTGGGCCTAGGTTCTGCGGGCGACGACACACCGGGCTGGTCTGGGAAGTCGTACGGGTCCTGGGTGGGCGGCATGTTGTTTAGGAGGGGGGTGGCATGTGCGCCGTATTGGGGGCTGGACAGCGGGCTTCCGCCTCGCTTGCGCTTCCCGTACGTCTTTGCGACTCGCGGCGAGCGCGGCCTGGTGACTGAAGAGCCGGGACCTAGTGTCGACGGCAGAGGACTGCTCGGCACCTCCCACGGATCAGCGGCGGCTCGGGCTACGGGCTGCTCCCTCCTGCTAGGAGTGGTAACCTGGGTCAGGGTCAGATTGATGACGTCCGCCTTGCGGACCTCGTTGGTATTTTTCGCAGCCTTGCGACTCGCCGGCACCGGGTCAGTGACGGAGGTGAGCGACGACGAGCCCTTGGCCTGCGCCGTCTGCTTGGTGCGGCGCGCGGGCAGAGACACGTCGGTCGCTGTCGAGCGCAAGGCGCGGCTAGCCGGGTCCGTCCCGTCTTCTTCTTGCGGCACATTGGCAGCGGCCGACTGCTCATTGTAGATGCGCTGGAAAAAAGACATGTCGGTTGAGCCAGTGCTTCTGTCGACAGTCGCCGCGTCGTGGGGCGCGTCGCGGGGCTCCTCGCCTGCAGGGGCTGAGGGGAGCTCGTCGCGATGCGCGTCGGCGTCCTTGAAGCCCTCCATGTTGTCGCCGTCGTCAATGTTGTCGTCAATGGGGCTAAGATCACTGCCCTCGTCCTCGGAATCGAGGATTTCCTTTCTTGGCGCCATTTTTGTTGTCCCCTACTAGCATTGGCGCCAGACTGACCGCGTGCGCTCGTGGTGGGGAATTATGCACCTTAGCTTTGAACCGTCGCTCCCTACTTAATTGATCGCGGGAATGTGTTGGCAATCTACGCGCAGTCACGTGTCTCAAGAGCCATGAAAGTGGAACCAACCAAAGAGAGGACGTTACGGGTTGCGAAGTTTCCCTTTTGCTTTTACTTGAGAAGGAATTAAACCATAATTAAATTGAAAATTACTGCCCTATATTCGGATGTCCCCTGGTTGGGCACTACACTGCCTCTCTTATGCCAGCCTTTTGACACCACTCATTGTTGTTGTTTCTGTTCTTAACTTCCATGACTTTCATGACTAAAATTAGCCAGTTGAAACCCCTGTTTCTAGGCCACTCGTCCAATTGCTTTCCGACGACTCGCTCTCAATGACGATAGAGATCGGGCCCCAAAGCGACCCCGTTCTCGCTATATGTACCCTGTAACACAAAAGTCCTCGCTTCATTTGTGGGTTGTATATATAGCAACCATTGGTGTACTCCGTATCCGTATATTGCTGTCTTTAATCCAAGCAGACTTGTATCCTGATACCAACGAAGCCAACCCTCGTATCGAATTTGCTGTACCAGTACAACGGCGAGATACTAGGCGGGGTGCGAGCCTTTCCCCAATTAAGGCGCTTGCCACGTCCCGACCCATCATCCCTGCTCCCGGTAGAGGGCCACTGCTCGTTGGTTTGTTTCAATGTGATGGCGGCGACGGCAGTTGGCGGCGAAATAGTTACCAGTACTAAAAGTGTTCAGGAACGAGAACGGCGGGATTAAGGCTAGGAAAGAAAGCTACGGGACTAGGGGTACTGAGCAAGTTATGCCGTTTTCCCTGTCTTGACTTTCGCCCACCGGATCGCTTGCCCGATCTCGTGGCCGACCCCTTCTTGGTTTTCCCGAGCGCGCTCGAGCCCTCCTCTCCGCAAGCCGCCGGGCATAGCCAACCTATCCGACGATGTCAGTTCTCTTCTTTCAATTTTTAGGCGGTGTTGAGGGTTAATTGCACAATGCCGGGCCTCGTAGAAATGGAAATGGAGAAAGAAGGCGGAGGCGACCATGAAAACATACCATAGCAGCAAGATGGTGACCAAAATAGCCAGCACAATCGGCTGCAGGACGTAAACACCCTTGCTCTCTGCAATGGCGCCGACGGCGAACGGGACCAGGGCAGCGCCTCCGCCGCCAAACGCACAGGCGAATCCGATGGCCGAGACGTGCTGGTCGCTCGGCAGCAGCTTGGTGGCCGCGACAATGGCGCCGGGGAAAAGCGGGCCTAGGAAGAATCCAAGAAAGGTAACGAAGACGGCCGACGCAGCAAAGGTGGGCACGAGCCAGTAGAGTAACTGCAGTACCACCGTGAGACCCAGGTAGATGGTGATGGCCAGCTTCTCGCCGATGCGTCCCGTTATAAAGCCGAGGATGACGCGGCCGACGGTGAGTCCAAGCCAGAAGAAGGTCGCACTGAGCCCAGCAATGAAAGGCTCTGCGTCGCGTACCCGCAGCATAAAGGTGACAATCCAGCCGCCCAACGACACCTCGGCGCCCACGTAGCCTAGCAGGAAGACGGCGAGTAGCCAGGTGAGAGGCTTGCGCAGCACCTGCCGAGTCGTTGTGCGCTGGCCGCCGTTGTGAACCTTGTGCGACTCACGATACGCCTTCGCAGTGGCGCCCCAGAAGGAGGTGATGAGCAGGGTCACGCCGACGACGTCGGCCCCGAGCTGCACGTAATAGTACGTGTACCACTGCAGGCCGCCCTTGGTGATCATGGCGGTCGCAATGAGCGGGCCGATGGTGGCCCCCAGGCCGTATGCGCCGTGCATGATGCCCAGAAGCTCGTTGGCGTTGTGCATGTTGCCCACCCACGCGTTCCACGCGCTGTCCTCGAGCCCGTTGCCGAAGCCTACAAACAGCATGGCTACGGGCAGGACCGGGTACGGCGGGTGGAACACCAACGTCAGCAGCCCGGCTACCCGCGAAAAGCTCGCCATCACCGCAACGCCCCGCTGTCCCGCATAGTGGTGTACCATGCCGTTCACGAGCGACGCCACCAGGTACCCGACGAAGGGCGCCAGGAATACCAGCGACACGATTGTGTACGTGATATTGTAGTATGTCTCGATCTAAACGAAGCCCCCGAGGAGGCATGTCAGTACAGGGGCGCACACCAACTATGCAGCCAAGTGGCTGGGTTCAGATAAAGATGGACATCTTCATTTATACTCACATATGGAATTAAAGCCTGTTGTAGAGGTCACTCAAGTTAGCAAACACGGACCGTGGTAAATAGACTGCTCCTCTTCGGGCCTGCGGAGCGGGAGAGGACTTACTCCTGTCACACCGTCGCTCATGCCCTTGAGGATGAACGAGTTGCTAGTCGCTACGAACCGGTACATGATGGCGCCGGACTCGTTCCAGCGCACCAGCTTCGGCGAGCCGTCAACGTCGTCCGAACTGGGTGGTGCAATTGACGAGCCCACCGCTGCCTCCTCATCGGTAATGCTGGAGTTTGATGCTGTTTTGCTAGCGCGCTCGCCTTCTGTTCTTGTTGTTGCTGTCGTCACCGGAAGCTCACTCTTCTTTTCAGATATATGGGTTTGGTCTCCGTCTCGCTGTATCTGAACTGGCGAGGGGTCGCCTTGGTTTTTCTCAGACATATGGCCTTGTCCATCAACCGTCTGGGCTGAAGCATGGTGGGCCGGCTTTATTTCAGCCGTGTGGTCTTGCTCGCCCTGCACAGCCGTGGGGCTGGCTGGCTTTATCTCAGCAATTGGGGTTTGGTGTTGTTGTTCCTCAGAGGCGATAATGGGGGACTGCGGGTGCCCATTGTCGACGGCTGCAGTCGCAGCTGCATCTGCAGCTGCGGTTGCTGCCTCTGAAGAAGCAGTCATTAGGTTTTTTCTTCAAAAAGAGGCTGGGTGAATATTGATGTCAATTGGGCTAACAATTAATTCGAGGAATGACGTCTGGTGTTTGGGTGTTTGGGTGTTTGGGGATTAAAAATAAGAGAAAAGAGAAGGTATTCAAGGTTTGGTCGCATGGGAATCAGTCTGATCCCTCAATGCATACAGGCAAAAGGGAAAGAGAGAAAAGAAAGGCAGGCTGCTCTTCTATTATATAAATATTTCGTGTTCTCGAAATGCCACAAACCCCAACGTAGTCAGTGGTACATGTACAAAGAGCAGGTACCAAATCCAGGATGGAGGCTATCTGCCGATATTTATCCCGGATTCTCCGACATTGAGGTTGGGGGCGCGGCTCCTAGGCCGCCGCTTGCTAGCGGAGTGGCGTGTATGTTTAAATCACTTGTTGGCCACTCTTTAGGTGGTATCATCCAGACCTCAGGAGCCGAAGATGAGGCGGGCTGACAAGGGTTCGGGTAGCCGTCGACAGGATGCCGTCGGAGAGGCACGTTGTTGGTGGTGGTGATTGGTGAGTGGTGAATCCAGAGAGCCCCACCCTAGTTTTGGCACGAGCTTGACATCGCGGTTCGCCAACAGACAAAAAGTCGGGCGCAATGAGTTTCGAACCCCCGAGGTCCGCCGTTTTGCCGCCGCAGCACTCCTGGGCTAGACCTAGTCTGATGTGTCCATCTGTTCTTTGCGTGAATCGGTGTGGAGTTCCAAAGCCCCAGATACGCATTCCGCTGTCGGTGCTCTGCAGCTCTGCAACTCTCGAGGTGGGGTATTGAGTAGCGCCTGAGCGAGAAGCAAGCACGAGGTCACGCGGGTGCGTTGCCCTTTCCTCGTTTGGCTGGGTTTGGCTGGGTTTGGCTGGGAAGGAGTCCTTGGCACTGAGCTCGTTAGTTGCTTCCGTTGCCGGGGATCTGCCGCCGGCCCTGCCTTCCGGAACTGCAGCTCCACACAAGCCTCCAACTGCCTCGATCATAACGGCCCCGTAACGAACTGCTACACGCTTAGTTAGTTCCCTGCACCTTCCTTTTCCCGTTGAAGGCGCCCTATCCGATCGGATACAGTGCTTATTATGGGCAGGAACGCCTTCCATTCCCAGTTTGTCAGCAGTCTAGTCTAGCTAGGGTTTGAACTTGCCTTCTCTCACCCTCTACCCGTTTCGGGATACTCCGACCTGTATATTCCATCTGTCGAACGAGTGTCCTCTCGCAACACGACGCTCAAGAGTATAGTACTCGACACTTTCCTTTATCTCGCGATAGATATGGCGCCAATTTGTCAACTTATGCTAAGTCTTCCAACTCATTCGGACATGATGTGGTGCTTTGTCGGTCAGTTCATCCGCCCGATTCTCAAAAGGCATCACCGCCCACATTGAGACATCCGTGACGTTGACCGCCGCCCTTCTCCACCTTCCGATGCCGCTCCCGGGGCCTGCCCCACACCCGCCGCAACTCGAGCTCTCGTGTCTATTCGGTCACCGGCGTGTTTGCTTCAGACATACAACGCCCTGGCGTCCATCCATTGTGACTCACTTGGGAGTTGCTCCTTTGTACAGGTACTTTCTTTCCCTGTCTAGGATGCCCGACCCAAGCTACCTCACTTGGCATATATTCTCCCTTTTTTTCGGGCCAGAGAATCAGTTACAACGCTCAAGTCTACCTGCAACGTGTCTTCGGCCATGTCTCCTTGCCCAAGCCGGTCCCAAAATGGCCTCGAAAGACATACGTCGCCGCGTTTGGAGGTGCCTCCTGCCTACTATGTAGGCACATCTTCACGTTGAGAACTCAATGTTACGTGAAAGCTGGCCCTATGATATGGATGTACAAAAGACCTTCTACGGCCGGAACAGTCCTCGTTTATATCCATAGTGGTGTCAAATAACAAGCCCAATCCCGTCACTATCCACCTTCAACCTCCAACCTCAAAACATTCCACAGAGAAGCCAAAAAAGAGCCAAAAAGAACAAAAAGAAACATACAACACCAGGGATTCGCTGGTCGTCACCGACCCAACTACTAGTCTGGCGGTTACGGGTTTATCGATGGGAGAGCGGACGGGATCCCGAGTTTTCCTGCACCTATGGTCGTATGTGGAAGAATAATGTGGTAGAGTGATTCAAGCCTCCCACTTCCAACCGCTGTCCTACGGCATGGCCAACTGCGTCTTGTCCATCTCCTTATCTATTCTAGTCAAAGGGCCGCATTATCTCCTGGATCTTTTCTGCCATGGCCACCATGCTTTCATCAGGTGTCTGAACTCGATCAGGGACGCCGACTAGGATGTTTCCGTCTCGAGCGGGCTCGGCTTGGAAGCTTGTCAATCGATCCCCTTGGAAAGCCTTGACCTCCTCGGAAGACAGGGACTGGCTACACACCCCGTGTTAGATACAGTTGTGGAGTGACGGCTTGTTCAGATTGGTCAGTATACTAACCTCGACCTTGCCGGCATTTGGAAGAAGCACACCAGATGCCAGGATTGTGTATCGGTGATAAGGATAGTGTGGAGGACAGTTACCCTTGCTGGGTGTTGACAGATGTAAGGAAGATTGTAAGACCTGATCTTTCTTTCGTCGCTAACTGGAGATTCTTGGCAGGGCGGTTAAGACCTCTGGTGGACGAATGTCAGGGCTGCGAATCAGGCTCTATAAGTATTGCAGCCAGGTTGCTCGAATTCGAGGAAGACTGAACCATGCGGTCAGAGCGGCCTCTTATACTTCAACTTTTGTCTGAGGAGCTGAGCATTGATTGCTCGCATTCAGCCGTCCTTCGTCTCCCAGAAATAGGGAGTTCGTACCGCGCAGACCTAACTTCGCCTTCTCAAAGCTCGGGCAGATGAGGCTCTGTAACTGCAACACATCCACCGCTATCGCATATGTACGGTTATCACGTCTGCTCTCCCGGTCATGCCGCCCACTCCGAGCAGAGCGTGCGGCAAGTCTTAGCTCGAAGGCATCCTTCCCCAGTTTTGTGCCGCCCGGCTGTGGATGGCAAAGGTGTGGCTGCAGGAGTCCGGTCCAATTTTGGGGGGTCCTCATCAGGCGAAGGCAAGCATGCGGTCGGATAGTGGCAATCTCGATCTGCTGCGCATGAAATTTTATTCCGATATACCTCGTCCATGCCTCTAAAGGTATCTACCTAACTACCTCCTTCCACACCCTTGCCATGCGCACTGGCCTACACTAATGTGTGCTACAAAGGCGAAGACTTGTCGAGACTAGATCCAACCAAGCTGTTGCCGTTGCCAGGCTGTGGTATGGTGAAACCAGCTCGAGTACATAAGCGTTTGTCTTGGGAGGTGTCCCAACATAGGACATCCAACCATCCAACTCGAAGCAATACAAGCGACCAAATGGCGACATCAAGAGAAGCGTGTTGCACACGGGATCCGAAATTTGACAATCCACTGACCAATACTTTCTTCAGCGTGGAGAGACCGTCATATCGCACGTACTATCTATCATATGCTCTGCGTGGGATTCGAACCCCTGATTGCGGTGCGTCTGAGCAACCACCCACTTGACGGTCGACAGGGCTGGCTCGCGGCTCGCGGCTCGCCAGCGAGTGAAAAAAAAAATGAAAAAAGACAACTGATCTGCATATTTCGGATTTTATATCCGAAATATGCCAACCCTAGCTCGCGGACGCTCAGTGCGCTCGCGCGTCTTACTGCATCACGTCGCCTAACGCGGCTAAATTGTTAATCATGTGGTAGCATCCCCCATCTCGGCAACTTAGGCGCGCCTGTCTAGACTACCTCCCGCGGAATAACTGGTGCCTACCCGCCTAACCTGCTCTGTTCTTGATTTGGACCGTGTAGGCAGCCACAGAGAGACACACTTCAAAAACAGAATCGCTGACAGAGGCCCACGAACGGAAATGTCGGTGTGAGCTCATCCTAGGCATCAGATTACAAAATTTGGTTCATCGCCAACCATCTTTTGTCTATGGATTCCATTGGTCATTAACGGCATAGATAAAAAACGCTCAGTATCAACCGCCCGGTCTAGTCGCCTCCTTCAACATATCTCGTAATCGGCTGAAATTAGCCATGAGGCCGTGTTGGTTGAGCTGTTGGGGGCTACAGCGATATTCTGGTGCGCTTCTGTGCTAGCCTGCGATAACTCAGCCTACTGATATGCTTGCTTGGCCACACACACGCATCGCACGCCTGTTCCAGGCCCTGAGCTAAGCAGAAGATCAAGACGGTAATAGCCCCCCTGGTTGGCTCGGATACACCCGGACGCGGAGCAATGTTCAGCGAAGTATTTGTCACACGCTTTGACATGTAAAATAATCGCCACAGCGGACAAAATCTACCAACTCACTTCCTGGCAATTCATCGGCCTCTCCCACCACCGCAATTTCTCTAGTATAACGTCAAGATGAGGCTCTAATCCGCACTGCCATGGCCAAAGTAGCGGTGGCCGGCGACGCTGCATTCAGTTTGTATTCCGATACCCCACAACCCGAAGCCACCAATTCTCACGGATTCTCTAGTTACCCTATCTTTGCGCACCTTCTGAAAACGGACGATAAATTCATTTACAGCATGATACATTCCCGCACGGAGAGACCATCTTCCAGATATATTCTATTTACAGCAACCCTCGGAGTGTGTACACACACATCCCCCCTATTCGGATATCCGGTGAAAAACCCACGTCATCATCAAAGCAGGCTCGCGGCGATAAAAGGCGGCAGGAATATCCTTGCGCACAAAAGCCACACTTGGAGCCAGATGATCTGGCTTCTTTTCCTTCTCCAGAGAAGCCCCCCCGCGGAAGGTCGAAGCACGCGTGCAGACACGGCCCTCACATCGCCAGCAACAACACAAGGATGCTACGGGCACTGGATGTGAAGGTGGTCGGAAGCCACCCGCGACCCTGTACCCCACCAACTGGTGGGTCCTTCCTATCAAAGGGCTATGGCGCCAACAAAGAGGGCGGCCACTCCCAACAGGGACCCGAGAGAGATCTGGAGGCTCCCCGCACCGCTGGTGCCCACGGTGGCGCCGCTGCTGGATGTCGAGGACCCGTTGGTGGCCGTGTCTACTGACCCGGAAGCGTCCTTGGTAGCTATGGATGGCGCGCGCAGTGTCAACATTTCTCTTCCTGTGAGATCACTTAGGATCCGAGCCTATCCGATGTGTGAAGGATTCTAGGACGGCTGCGGACACCGCCGAACTACTCGGCAAGACTTACATGCGATGGAAGCACAGGCGTCGGTAAGAGTAGTGTTTGCCTGCAGCGCGGCGAGCTTGGCCTGTGCCTTTTCGGTCTTGGCCTGGAAGTCTGCGACTTTCGTAGCATTACCGTTGAACTTGGTGTCGAGCGCCGTGGTGTTGGCAGCGAGGCTGACTTCCTTCTGAAGGCGCGCCAGGTTGCGGCACGCGTCTTGCGTGTCGAGGCCAGCGCAAAAGGCCGTCAGAGTTGCGTTGCCCTGCAGCGCGGCGAGCTGGTCCGCGTCGGCCGTCACCTTGGCCTTGAGCGCGTTGGCCTTGGTGGCGTTGCCGTCGGTCCGCAGGTCGAGCGCCGTCGCGTTGGCCGTGACAGCCGCGAGCTTCTCCATGCGCTGGAGCTGCCCGCACGCGTCCTCCATGGCCTCGGCTGCGAAGACCTGGTCGCACACGGCCATCAGCGTGCTGTTCGCCTGCAGCGTCGCCAGCTGCGCCGCCCCATCGGTCGCCTTAGCCTTGAGCGCGTCGGCCCGCGTTGCGTTGCCCTTGGACACCTCGTCTAGCCTCGTCTGGTTCGCGGCCAGACTGGCGAGCTCGGTGAGCCGGGCCACCTGCCGGCACTGCGCCTTTGTCGACGTCGCACCCGTGGTGCCGTTCCGGAATCCGCCGCCGCCACCGCCTGGGCGGGCCAGCGCGCATCCGGCGGCCGACAGAACGAGGAAGGAGAGGAGCTTCATGTTGTCTTGATATGGGGCGTAGGTCTACTTGCGAGACGTCGGTTGCCGGCTCGGACGACGGAGCAGCTGTGCGTCGGGAAGAAAAGGAGAAAACGGGTTATATAAGGCGAGCAGAGGAGGACAACGGGCCGGCCGTGATGAGAAGACGACGAGAAACGGGAAAAAGTTGGAAACGGCTTGGTACGAGTTGCCTGATGCTATCACACACTCTTTCTCCTCTGCCAAGTCTTGCTGGGCATTGGTTTATATATTCCGGGTCTTTGCCCGAACGAAAGAAGAAAAACACAACATCAGGGACGGGGACGGGAGCCCGCCAGCGAACAGGGATCAAGCCGCGTAATCAGTATTGGGAGTCGACACGCACCACTACCTCGCCTTGCCGGCAAGGCCATGCCGCACTGTCGTGGGTTTCAGTGTGTCTGTCGCTGGTAAAGCTGGCAGAAGAATGCGCGCACGTAGGGTTTGTGGTGGCGGTGATCGACTCAGGGGGGAGAGACTCTTGTATCTGGGGTCTCGGATTCGCTCCACTCGCGTCCCAGGCGCCCAGGATTCGTGATCCTTAACCGCTGTTCCTGACTCGCCTTGCCCAGGTTTTCCCTGCTTAACACAGGCAACATTGCCAGGCACCTTGTCGTCGGGAATACTGAGGATCTCGACTTGCGCAACTTACCAACCCCTGTTTGTCGTAGTCGGCGGACAACAGTACGTAATATGCAGAATGCATGTACTTGTACAGAACAGCACGGAGAACGGAATCCGCCCACCTCGGCAGTTTCAGGTCACGGCCTCTTCTCGCTGCCCAGAGGAAGCGACGAAGATTAGAAGATTACCAACTCAGTTCAGCGACTTGCATATCATACACAGCATCGTTGACATGAGATGACATGAGATGACATGGAACCGACCTCCTCGGCATAATAGATCTGCTTTGCTCGACGAGCGAGAGAGAGATTAGATCTTCCAAGAACAGACGAACAAGGGGAAGATGAATGGAGGGGACGATTTGTCTACTCTTCCATTCTTTAGGGCACAGATTTTCCAGAAAGGACAAAGCCCCGGTCCAGGCCTTTGTTTTTGACATCCAGAAATAGCTCTCAGCTAGCCGGCCGGCTCTGAGAAGGAGAGAATCCCTAACTAAGTAAAAGATGGCGACGGCCTCCAATCCCTCCCCTGTCAGCGATGTGATGCGCGATGCACAAACCCCCGCCATCCCGAAGAAGGGCCAGGCCAGCCAGAAAAAACCGAATGGGATCGCAGGGACCAGACAGCCGCACCTCATTTCGGAACACGCACGCATCACCGTCCCGGTCCCTGGCACCAATGATAAAACCACGACATGCCGGCGCCCAAACAGACTCAATGTCGACACGACTCAGGTAGATGTGCTTTCTTTTTTTTTCTTCCCGTCGGGCCCTGTTGCCACGCAAGCAAGCAAGCAAGCAGTCGTCAGCCCGAGAAAAGTTTAAAAAAACAGCCCCGAATCTCAAACAGTAGCGGCCTCCAAGCTGTGACGGGGCCTCTCCATCTGCACAACGTTTTCTTGAAACCCCTAAAAGCTGAAGCTTCTCCACACACAACAGGGGCGCCATACCCTGTGCGGGTGGGTGCGTTGCGCCAAGATTGTGGGGTTAGGTGGGGATCAGGGGTCGGCCGATGTCCGAAAGACGGAACGGGTACAGTAGACGCAGACGCAGCCGCGGTGGAGAGCTAAAAATACACCCCTGGGTAAGCCTCCCTCCCACCTCAACCACGACCCAGACAGACTGTGCATGTAGACATGTAGACATGTAACAGGGCACGACGTGGAGAGACAGCGAGAAGCAAGTAAGGACGCCCGAGCTCAACCCGAAATCCGCATATACGTTCTGTATATCTCCTACAAATGCCTCCATCTGATCCAAACCCGACTCCTTCCCGAAACGCTAGAGCCAAATCGCAAAAGCAAAGCAAAAGCGCGGCGGTCTCCCGTCTCGGCATAGAAATAGAAGCAATCCTCTACTCTGTCATGGTTCTATCATGATCAATGTGACAAAAGCGGGACCGTCGGTTTGACAATAATGGTCTGGACTGGTTTTGTTCGCCTCACCATTGACACTCCACAGCAATGTTATCAGGGAACAGGATACGCCCAAAACCCACATCGAAACACGCGCAAAGGTAAGCCCTCCCTGTCCTGACGTCGGTTTCAAGACGCTGCTAGCTATTGGGGAATTGTTGAAGTAATTCGGGATTCTGCCTCCTTTCGAGGCACTGGAAACTTGAGATGGTTGCTTAATAGAAACACATTTCGTGATGGTCACCAGCAACGTCAAATAGGAGCGTGTTTAATTTGCTTTCCTGCGTCCCCTTTCAGCCAGTAAAGCATAACACGCCTCACCCCCGGTCTGCGCCTCGCCGAGCATCTGAGAATCCGCATAGCCGAATACGAGTATGTGCCATACAGGAGAGTAGATGACTAGAAAGCAGGCCTTCTTCCCCCCGAGATCGCAATCCGATCAAGAGGCATCTCTTCCGAGTACGATGATATAAGCACCGGTAACAGAAAGGAAAAAGAAAACAACGCAAGTATGAATGATTGTATGGATGCCTGGTATGGATAAAAGAAAAGGGGTATCAAGTGAATGCAAGAAAAAAAATAGTGAACTCAGCCCCATGCATCGTGTCCCTCCCACCAACTTGTTCAAGACCTAGCACGAACGACACATCAAAACTCGCGTGGATCTACCGGGCTGTGCCCTATTTCGCTGATGGCGTCGTCGTCTACGTTCTTTGCAGGATTCCGTAGATCTCTCGCCTGGACCGTCGCACCGAGGGTAGATGCCGGCTCGACCGGCGCAATAGGTGTAACCGAGACAACTCCCTGCTCGCTGTCGCCTTTCCCGCCATTGCGCAACTCCCAGCTCCCAGTCCGTTCATGACGCGCGCCGCCCTGGACGTAGGCTATATCGGTGTCACTGGCCATCTTCTCGGCGCCTTTGAACCCGCCTATCGTAGAGTTGCGTTGCTTTGAATCAGCGCGATGGAACCTCACGCCCCCAAGCAAAATGGCTGCAAGGGCTGCGATCCCCACGACGGCAATTGTAACAGCTGCGCCAATGACGCCGGCAACCGCCGGACTCATGGCTGTGGTTGTGGTACCGCTGGCAGGCCGAGGTGTTGGGGTCGGTGACGACGGGCCTGTATTGGACAGCAAACTGGTGCAGAAAAGGGCGGAACCACACAAGCCGCACCAGTCAGAAGCACTGGCGAGGCTGATCTGGTCCATAGCCGCCTTGAAGTCCGGGTAAGTCATGAGATAGTTATTGACGCCATTGGCAAAGAGAGAGTACGCCGTAAGTTCGGCGTCAGGGCCGGTGCTATTGCGATAAAAGAAGCGCACCCAAAGCTTGTCGGTAGGGGGATAAATCGACTCATCGCCGCCTATTGAGAACAGCTCAAACACCATCGTTGCTCCCGGGTAAGGCAATTGGAGGAAGGTGTCACTGGAGGCCCCCTCTGTTAGTTTTGACAAGGCGGCAAAAGCGACGAAGGGCTCTAGAGGAGTGAAAGCCACGTTTAGCTTCTTCGAATTGCCGGCAGAATTGATGTTGTCCTCAAAAAGCGACATAACCTTGGTGGCCATGGTCCGTCCAGCAACGGCTCGAATCATATCGCCCTCGGTGTTCCCAGAGGCTGAGAGATTCGCGTTCCTGAGCCTCTGCTGCACCGCCGCCATGAGGCGGAGGTTTACAAGATCATTTGAGTCAATCTGGCTGTCATTGTCGTGGGTGGCGTGGTAAGCGGCGTATTCGTACAACTCATATGCATTGTCAAAGTTGATGGCCGAACTGTCGAAGTCGGAGAAAATGCGCGTGGCTACGCCTTTGTAGAATTTTGAAGAGTTGGCCTGGGCTGAGACAACATCGCTGTCGCTGTCGAAGTCTAGCAACGACTTGATGTAATTCGAGCAGACCGCCTGGCCCTGAAGCCTATGTCAAGGTAAACCTGTGAGCGAAAGAGGCGTCTCAAGTGGCACGTGCCAGTGCCAGTGCCAGTGCTAGTGCTAGAATCCACCTACCATATAGAGTCCTGGTCAAACATTGACGACGACTGGATGTCTGGATACTGGTAACCCCCGAGAGGATAATCGATACTCGATCCATTGGACAACAGGAAGGCCTCGCTGCCGCCAGTCTTGTCGATCCAAGCCTGGTTCAAAGGCGGGTAGAGTCCTTGCATGAAAGCCAGGGCACCAGCAGTTGCAAAGCGGTCTGTGGTGGAAAGGATGCTGAGCTGGTCGTTGTCGATGACGTTGGTCTGGATGCCCACAATGGGCGCAATGCTGGTCACATTCTCCTGTTCGTCCGAGGAGTGGCCCAGGTAACGAGCGCGAAGCATGGTGGCCTGTGAATACATTTGCTGAGCCCCCAGAGGGGTCAAGGCGGCCGGATTCACATTCCCGAAGCCGGGAGTGAGCTCGCCATAGAGAACCCAGGCGCTGGAGGCCCAGATGTGCTCGCTTGTTGACTGAGCACTCGCCGAGCCAAAACCAACCACCAAGGCGGCGGCTAAGGCCACGGAGAGGATAGCCATAGCTCCTAACGACGGGGTGTTCGGTTCTGGAAGAACAGAGGCGAGGCCGGCCGGGAACTTGAGAGGGAGGCACGTAGAAGGTACTCCGTGGGCACCTATAAAACTACCTTACGAAAGCACGGAAACCATGGGATGGCATGGAAGGACGGAAGCCTCACGACCTTCGAACTCGAAGATTTGATGGAGAGAGAAGCGAGGTGGGAGGGCAAACGGGTAGCCAGCAGCTTGGAGCTCTGGTGGGGGAAGGTGAGCTTTACAGCTCTGCAGCTCTGTAGCTCTACCTTACCCTGCGCTGGGTTCTTTCTTTCGTCTTTCATACCGACCGCGGAAGCTGCAGACAAGGCAGGGAGGCACTTGCCTTAGCCTGAAGCCCCGCCAATTATCATCGACAACGACATAGATCGTCATTCACAAGGAAGGCTGACCGTCATGCCCGGAGTCACTCCTTGTCACTCGAGCCCGGATGCAGTGTCCAGAAGCACACAAGAGTGTTGAGGGGTACCGCAGTTGACCCCCGATGAGGGGTATCGGTACCAGAAAACGTCACAGCCAGGGAGGGAATGGAAAGCTTCCAAGATCCCACAAGGAGGGGCAGCCGCGATTGCGCCAGCGATAACGCTCGGGCAGGCACGACTATCGCCCGGCCATGACCATCTGACTAACAAGTTTTGGCAGTCGCACAACCAGCAGCGCCTTAGCACGGCATTGGCGCACTTACACAACAGCCTGTTAATGAGGAGCTCGCACGTGCTAGCAGTAGCACCTGCTGGTCTTGCTTTCGAAGAATAGGGAACAATTCTGCGCCGGCCTCGCAAACTGGTCGCCAGCGGGAGGAAGAGGCCAGCACAGCCAATCAGCCAAGACATTATTGAGCACTTGCAGCGAACTTGCAGCAGATCACTGCCCAGCTTCCTCCGGTCTAACCATCCTTGGACAGGATGGGCTGGCACCTGCACCACCCACGATAAGAAGCCAGCCATCGCCGAATTGCGGACAAACACACACACCGCTGGACCGTCCGTCCTGCTCGCCCGTGAGGGGTGAGACTGGTCGGTGACGAGGGCGATACTTGACCGAAGCCTGGATTATCTTCGGCCAGGAGGGACAGACGGACGAACGCCAAATTGTCAGGGCCTAGCAATGCAAATTGCGGTCTAGACCCAACCCGTTCAGTATTCATTCCAGGCAGTTTCGTCGGGTACATACGAAATAAGTAGGCGTTGAATACAAATCGAGATAAATTTGCTGACTGGTCTGCTCCGACATGATTCGCCGTCGGCGTCCGTGTGCGTATACTATTGTTTTCTTCGGCACGCGGTCGCTGATGAATAAGACGGGTTTCCGAATGCGTCAACAGTCGCCAAAGCTGAAAGGAAAGGCCGAGAGAAACGACGACAGCGGGAAGAAGGAGAGAGGGACAAAAAGCAAAATAAACGAGCTGTTGACAGCGAGAGCCAGCCGCAGTGACAAAGAATAGCAACTCGGTAACTTGGCGGGATGCAGGACGCAGCAGCACTGCCCCCTCTGCCCCATCCAGGAACAGACTATACACGCACCGAGTCACGATACCCGCTTCTTGCTGGGCAAAGGGTCCTTTTAGGACACAAGATCGAGCCACCATCGCCAACCTCCCCGACTAAAAGCCGGGGGCCAGAGCCAGGTGCTATACGTGTAGAGGTGCGCTTGTGGAGAGGGTGGCTGCACGTGTGCTCAGATACAACCCTGCCCCAACAGTGAGGGCAACCCAAGAGTGCGCACTCCGACCCTTCAGCTCTGGAGGCAGGTCGGCGGCAAAGGATTCTGGCGAACTTGCACCCCCGCAAGCTGTCGACCATTTCGCCGTCTTGTCCCGTCTTTCCACTGCAGCCTGCTGGTCAGCTTGTGCAAAAAATAAATCCGCAAAGCAGGTACGCGGCCAATTCCATTCAGGCCAGTCGATGATGGGTGCGGGCCTCTGGCTGTGTGTGGCCAGTCCAGCCCATTCGAGAGCGTGCCAGCCACCACCGCTGCCGTCGTGCGCAACGGCCTTCCAGAATGCGACTTTTTCAACACACTTTGGGCATGCCCGGGTGGGCATGAGGAAGCAATAAATAATTTCCCCAGAGATTTTGCCAGGGCAGTTTCTCGCCGGCGAGTGATAATAAGCGCTAAACCCGCGGATTCTTTGGTACCCAGTGGGCTTTCGGGGGCTTTTTTATTGGAGTTATTGCCGCCTCCTATCTCAAAGGGGAACTGTCTGACCACGCGATACCCATCAACTCACCCAACACTCCCAAATCGAGCGGGGGGGGGGAACCGTGACATAATCGGCAGCAGGGTCTGTTGATATGATATGGGCGTGTGAGTGTGAGCGGGCGGACAGACAGCGTCGCGGCGGGCCAGCGCTGGGCAAGCAGAAGTTTCGAGACGCCGCCGCCCTCGCCGCTCCGGCCCCCATCAGCTCCCTTCTCTGCTGATGAAAGTGAAGTGTGTGTGGTGTGCTTCCAGCCAAGTCCTAGTGCTGCTGCACCGAAGGGTTGGTAATAGTGTAATACCACCACGCGGCCAGGCCTAGTCTTCCACCGACCCCCCCCCACCGGCGTATTGTTCGTTGTTGGATTGCTCCCAAGTCCTTTTTCTTTATTTCATCGTGACGACCTTTCCGCAACGCTCGTTCCTATGCGATCTTGACGGTTTGGCAACCCCAGCCCAATGCGCAGGGTGGCACAACCATGACGGTCATCGGCCCCTTGACGACAACATTCAGGCAACCGGCAAGTTGCACAACAACTGCACCGCAGATCTATCAGGTCTTTGCCGATGACAAGAGCTACAACTTCACCCAAGGGCCGCTCTTCCCGGCCAGCAGCAGCTGCTTCCCGAGCGGGTACAACGCGTCGCCGACGAATTACTACTCGCCCGGTTTCTGCCCGTATGGATACACGGCAGCGTGCTCGAGCCTGAATCAGGTGAAGACGGAGACGGAGACGGCCGTCATTTGCTGTCCGACGTACGTGGGGATTTCAATTTGATTACGCTTGTCTTGGGGGAGATATCAGCTGGCTAAAATCCATTTTCCATCACAGCGGCAATGCCAGTAACAAGCCAAGCTACACCTGTCCTACCAGTTCAGACAAGCAAATATTAGGATGCACGTCGTCGATCAAATCTGCGGTTGCCGTCATTGGCGTGACGGTGGTCGGCGCCGACGGAAAAACTAGTGGTTATACCGTCCGGACCGAGACCTCGGGAGGCATCACTGCGTCCGGCATCCAAGTGCGATTCAAATCTGGCGACCCGACGGAGGGGCCAACATCAACAACAGACGGCGCGAATTCTGTGAGTAGATGAGAAGGATGAAAATCTTTCATGTAGCCTTGTCTGCATGTCCCCTCTCTGGATACCTACTAACAATTGATGCGATCAAGACGACATCTCCTCCCACACCAACATCAACACCAGTGCAGACGTCAGGTCCCGCGTTTACGCTTCCGACACAGTTGTTCAACTCCCCAAGCAGCACAGCCGCGGCGTCAAGTTCCGGAGGTGTGAGCACGGCAGCGGCGATTGGCATTGGCGTGGGCTCCGCGGTCGCCGTACTCCTGGCTGTCATCTCAATCGGCACATTCTTTTACCTGCGGTGGCGAAGGAGGAAACAACAACAACAACAGCAGCAGCAGCAACAACAGCAACAGATGGTAGTCCCGCCACCAGTGCCTCCCAAGGCGAAAGCGCCCTCGTCATACCGGGCAATTCCTCCGCCGTACGAGCTCTCTGAGGAGGTATCGCCGCGCCTCGATGGACACCACATGTCGAAGCAAGGGTTTCCCCGGGGCAGCGTCTTCTCAGGCCGGCCCGCCGAGTTGGAAGCGCAACCGCCGTCGGAAGCATCGCTCAGGGACAGGGCCTCTCCAGACTCGCAGAGCACCGGGTGGACGGACCGACAGGCAAGAGGCGGTGTCCAGCCCATGCCATGGATCTGAACGGCAAAGTTGAGGCTCTTGCGGCGGCGGAACCTGGCCCGATTTCCTTTTTATCTATTTTACGGCGAGGGCAGGTTGCGGGGGCGGCGGGCGAAGGGCGGGCGGGCATTTTGTGCGACGGACAAATGGTCCCTTAGGTTTAGGATCGGCGCAAAAGGAGAGCTGGAGGCATTTATTTTCCGCTTCCTCTGGAGTTATTTTGGCGACACGAGCATCTTCAAAACGCACCCACACGTCTCATGTGGTTCTTCTGGGCAAACTTGGCATTTCGATTGCACTCTCTAATTTTCTTCTCTTCTCTTTTCCGTTGCATCCTCGGTAAGCAGGACAGTCCAGACAGCAGGACAATACTAATGACCAGGCAAAATTCTTTGCGGGATTCGACGCCTTGAACGGATCCCCATGTAACTTTTATACTATTCACGATGCGCTGATAGATGTACCATTTATGGACGGACGAATTGGAGGAAAGAGGAGACGGGAGAGTTGATGGCGGTTTATTCCCTTTCTTTTATAGATATAGTTTCTTTTCTTCCGTATGTTAGTTACACCTACCTTTTAGCTTTATTATTTCCTCATTTTTAATGAGAGGAGGCAGTTTTCAAACGCCAATGGAATATATGATACTAAAACAAGAGGACGATTGATCATTCAGCTCTCGTCGTTGGCCGCTGTTCCCTGAGGAAGTACCACGGCCACTGAGGTGGCGAGGCAATCCTTCGGAATACGTCCATAGCAATGCATCTCCGCGTTTGTCCTGCTGGCGTGCGAGAGCCCTGGGAATCCAGCGAGTGGGGTTCAATAGTCCGGTACGCTACGGATATACGGATACGTAACTGTAATTCGCGCGCCGCTCGCCGCTCGGGGGCACCTAGGCGCCTCCCGCCAAAACTACGCCAGAACCGCCACGGACGGGAAGAAGCCTAAGGCACCCTACGGAGTGCAATCCAATCCCAGAAACCAGGGGTTCTTGGGATCCAAAAACGGGACCCTCTTCCCCTCTGTTAGTGTCACGTTTTAGTTTTTTTTAAAAAAAACGGTTGTGCTCACAAACGGATGAGAATCCCCGCTTCTTCTTAGCATTGGCAGCGAACAGAGGCGCACTCAGGTAATATGTACTTTGTAGGGCACTTCCCCAATCAAACGCGAGATTCCTCCAGGCCCATGGAGTTGCCAGGATCATCCAAGTATACATAGTAGAGCACTTCTTGAGCAATCGATCTAAGCATTTGACAGCGATCCTCAGCATGTTAAATCTGCCAAGAAATGTTAATCCCATGCGTCTATCCAGGGGCGAATCAGTCGCGATCATTCGTGCCGGATGGCTATGATAGCATTATTCCCACCCTCGTTTTTACGTGCCGGCTCAATATCGCAAAGTGTACAAAGATACCCGAGGCGCGCAGTGTTTTATTACGAGAGGCATTACAGATTATTGGCCGTAACTGGCGTTTGCGCCTAGCTCTGTGGGTTGAATATGGACGCTCTGTAGCGTTTTGGGCCTAGAAGCTGAGCCTCGATCGCCCAACTTCTCACACCGCGTTTCGCCGTCGTCCACCAAAGCTTAGCCTTACCAAGGCCACGAAGCGGCCTCCACTAGGAGGGCCTCGCACTGTTCACCGAGGCGCAACATCCGCGATCCAACAACTTGTACGAATCTCGGCCTCGCCATACAAGCTCTTATGCCGGCAGTTGAGCTATGATTTCCGTCAACCTCAACCAGCGTATCTCTTTGGCCGGATAGGTAGCCGCCCCTTATCTCGGCGCGGTTGCTATTTAGCTTTAGGTCTACCCCGAGTTATCTCTGATACACAGCCAAACCACAGAGCCCCACACGGCAGTACACAGCCGAACTAGACAACTACACAGCTAAATCGCACAGCTAAACTACACAGCCAAAACCACACAGCCAAGCCACAACTAAACCAGCCACAACTAAACCAACCACAGTGATGCGCAACAGGTGTCGCAAGTGCCACAATGCCACAGGTGCAGAAGCCGCCGAAGACGCAGCACAAGGCGCGCCGTAGGGCAGCCATCTGGCTGCCATCACCTCGTTTTCGGCCCCACCTTGAAGGCCTTGATTGAAGTAGATCCTTGTTGGGAAGAGGTGGTGCTATCGCAACGGGACGAATAGCAGCTGAGTTCCTCTTCCCTTACGAGCCGGATAACGTAAAGTCGTCGGTGGAAGTCATGAACCCAGCCCACTGCGGATATACACCCGTATGAATGCTCTTCTAACGTGGACACCCCAATATATATAGGCACCATAGATCTCAAAGGCTGTGTGAGCATTTTAGTAGTGCCCTATATAAGCTCAGTTTCAGGCCAAACTTGTACTTGGTCAGTCCAGGCGTGAAGAAATGATAAATAAAATACTCTTCCTAAGAGTAGCTAAGAATCCTCTATCTCGATAGGTACATTCTTAACGTCCCATCCTAGCGGCGTATATGGCCTGGCTGCTCGAATCATCATGGCAGCCTGCAAAAGCTCAAGCGCGTTTCCTCGATTGATGCCACCCTGCTGGGGGGTTTCCTGATCGAGCATTGCGAGCCCCAGCCATCGGAAACTGGTGGATTCGGTGGTTGCAAAGACCTTTATGGTATCGATAACCCCCGAGTGTGCAGCTCCATCCGGCACCTCCACCTCAAAGGAATATAGAGCGTCTTGCCTATATCTAAGGTCTCGTAAGCTGCGCCACCGTAAGGATACACCTGTTCGATCGCCCACGTAGAGTCCAGGTCCAGCAAGGTGATATTCAACGCGACTTTGGACCTGTTCTCTACCCGAAGCAACACCCATTCACCCACCCACCGTCGCCTTGCAGCGTTGCTGAGTTGAAGAGATGGAAGGTGGGTCGGTGGCCAGTCGCGGTTCCAGTGGAAAAGCATACGGCTTTTTTGTCAGTTGAACGGAGATCCAGGACGCAAGCCCACTGCGGAGGCTTCTCAAATCCAGCACGCCGTGGTATTTCGCCAGGTGTGTCAAGCTGCGCACCAGTTTCTCAGCGGCGCGCTCAGCATCAGTTGGTAGAGGGAGTACCGCGTACTGGAGCCGCTGGCCGTCTCCACCCAGTATGTCATACATCCCGTCTCTGACATGTACTTGGAAGGTTTCTCCGCCATTGGGGCCGTCGGTCAAGGGAGCGAATGTGGTGCCATGCGTTTCCCAGGCCTTACGTACTGCGTTCAGAGCCCTCTCGCTCGCGTCGTCTTCGCCTAGAGATTCCGGGTAAACAAGTCGCACTAGTCGTTGCAATAACAGGGTGGAGCGTGGTAGTGCCAGACAGCCAACTTTTAGCTGCTGGCCTGGAGTAGACGGCTCGACCAACACGGCCTCTGCGGTAACAGCCTTGAATACTGTTACAGACAACCGCCCCAGCCGCTCGGAGTCGCTGAAATCGGAACACGAGGCAGGCCATACGCCAAACTCCCATGCCCTTGGAAATTCCGTGCGCCTCGCCAGCGTTCAGCCGCACGGTAGTGTTGCCTTTCGTGTTACCCACTTCGACCACAGTAGACGTGTAGAGCAGCTCCAGGCGATCACCGCTGTAGAATAGACGGTCTCCTTCCCCCCCTAATACGACGGTTTGCCGGCTGTTCTGCTCACGCACTTTTGAAGCGACGAGTTCCCATAGCCTGTGGTATGTCAGGCGTTGAGAATTTTCCTTGAGCGTGCTGATTAGAGAGTGTGTAAGAGCGCCTTGCACTCTTTCGCCATACTTGCGCTCGAGCGCAGTCTCTTGTGCCCGGCATGCAGCAAGAAATGCGTATCCACGCGATGCAAGCAACCAGTGATCCGCCACGCTGGCTTTTCGCCAGCCAGCTGGAACAGGCCCTGTCGTGGTTTCCAGTACATGGTATGGTATGGAAGCGCCGATATATCGCTGTTAAGTTTGTTCGTGTCGACCATGCTGATTCCCCGGATCCTGCTGTCCACGCCATGATCTTGACCACGATCAGCACTGCCAGAATGACAGCAGTCGAGAACGACTGTAATGACGAGTTCCTTCTTAACCATCTCCCGGAGCAGGTAGGCAATCTCCACGTCCCGGACGTAGCGGCCTCCGACACAAGCGATGTCTGTTGGCACGAGAGCCTCGTCGATACCGTCCTCGCCCTTCAGGTCGCCAAAAATCGTCTTGACACGTATCCCATGTCCCGAGTAATGTAGGTAGACGAGGTCCTTCGGCCGGGCTTCTTGGGACACCTGCTGGAGAACCTTGATGATGTTTTCATATGTGGGCCGTTGGGATCTGTCCCCTCTTGGCGCCTTGCTATCGTCGTCGCCTGGTGTCGTGGCCGTAAGCCGATATATATGAGAGTCCTGGACTCCCAACCAGTCGCGGAGGTATTCGTGGACCTGGTTAACATCCTCCACAGAGCCCTTCAGGTTCGGGAAACTCACTCCCTCTCTCGATGTGCCGCTAATATAGTAGTCTATTCCAATCAAGACAGCCCACTTGTTCACTTTCATGTTCGCCATCAGGCCGGAGGACGCTGGTTACTCAACACAGATTAGTTACCAAATACCAGTGGCGTCAGCAACTCGAGCGGAAGCCTCGGGTCAACATTTCTTAAGCCTCCAAATGTGCCGGATCAAGAACTTTTCCAGCTAGAAGTTCAAGGTGTATTGAGAAGTCTCCAGTCTAGGTCGTTCACCAAAAGCAGAGGTCCAACGTTCTCTTGTTTGTTAGACAAGATGAGCTCTCTTCTGAGAAACCGGAGCGGGCAATGGCATGCTTAATCCATTGATGGGTCGTTGTTGAGGGCTGGTGGCCCAATTATTATTCTTGCTCCGAGCGAAAGGCAGCCCTCATTAGAATGCATTCAATCACTAGGCACCAAGTATGCCTTGCAACAGGCAGAATGACCGGCGACTTTTCACGAGGGCGCATAATACAGACGGGATTGGACCACGGCAGCCAAGCCAACCACCTGGCACACCGCCCATTGATTTAGCATCCGCTCAATGAATGATAATTGCGCCTTGTGTTAGGTAGAGATCAGATATCAGCCTTGGTTTTTATAAGCCTAGGCTAACTACTAAGTAGTTCACCTGAATCGTGGACATGCAACTGGCCGTAGTGTTGGGGCTGGCAACGTATTCACCGAAAGGCTTGAGCCATCTTGGTAATGCGTGATTTGGCAATGTCTGGTTGGAAGCGAGCATATTCGCCCATCCCCTCCCTTTGAGGCAGTGCGACGGCTGCCGGAAAGGAACATTAGGTTCAAACATTTATCTGGTTTTGGGAATGACAAACTGTGGTGGGGTGGCGACTATATAGCTGCTGTTTCCCAGAGTGCTAGGCAAGAGGTATCTGTTTTGTCTGCTGGCGTAACGGCACACCGTTACACAAACGATACTCGACGTCTTACCAAATTCACGTCCAGTTCCGTGACGTTACCTTACCACTCCTCCGCCAAATATGTCTATCTAGTCGGCCTCTCACTCCGACATCACAAACGCCCTTGCTTGGCCAGCGTCTTCTCAAGTTCCACCCGCAGCACTACAAACATACCACGGCAAGAGTATTACAACCAACCCCTCTGTGATTTTTACTTACTAATAACTGCGATAGCTCCGTCAACACCTCCGAATTAACCCACGATGTCGGAGGCTCGAAACACGGGGGAGAGCCTTCGGGAAAAGGAAGCCCGCTTACAGCAAGAGCTAGAAGAGTTAGAGACAGCAGTCAGGATCAGAGACCTCGAACGTCGGATTGAAGAAGGTCGAGTTCGGCTCGCCGCAGAGCCGGCCCCGGGAGACTCTCCAACTCGCAGTCATAAAGCAAAACCTTCTACGCATACGCCCCTTGCCGGCGCAAGCCCGGCCGACCGTGTCAGGAACCAGGAACCCGACGTGGAATCACATCCCCGGACGGCTCAACAAGCACAACGCAACCAGGAGGCTCTCCCGGCTCCAGTCCATTCGGATGCCGGCCTGGGTGTCTCGCCAGCTCGCGATTGCGATGTCCAAGCTTCCGCCAGCATGGACTCTTCTCCTAACCTGGCCATAAAGGTGGCCCCTTCTCCCGGACCCCATAACGTGATTCAACCGAGTTCCACTCCTTCGGCAGGTCTATCTAGCGCCAGCAATAGTATCGGCCGTCTCGCAATCTTGGGAGGCACTGGTGCGGGTATCGATTCGGAAACCACAAAGACGCTAGAATACTACTAAGAGATAGATCCGCCCGCCGATGACAGCGCTGAGCTGTTGTTCTATGACATGGACCTAGAACAACTGTACGAATTCGCAAGCACTTTGGAAGAAAATTCAGAGAACGATACTGCGCAAGCCAAGCTGCTCAGCAGCGTCTACTACATCATATTCTCTCGGACTGGCGCAGTGGACGACATTCAGAAAGCAGTCGATAGAGCCGAGGAAGCGATGGAGGCTACGCGCATCGATGATCCCGGCTACGTGTCCTGCCTGAGGAATCTTGTTGTGATGTTGATGAAGAAACACGCGCATACAAGCTCGCTGGAGCATCTTGACCGAGCTATCCTCCTCGGCGACGTTATGATGACTATCACACCTTCCATGCACCCCGAATGGACACACAGGTTGAAGGGTCTAGTCGAGATGAGATATAAAAAGGCCCTGCAGACACGTTTAAGTGAGGACGTCAACGAAGCGATAGCCTTTGCCACGGAGGCAGCGGGTATGGTGCAAGAGGCTAGCGTTGACCGGGCCGATCATTATCTGGAGAGGTTCAGACGGGTAGGCGATCTTAACGACCTACAAATGGCTGTTAGGAAAGGCGACGAGGCCGTGGCAGCGACACCTCACGATCACCCAGCTAGAGCAGCCAGACTGAGCAACCTAGCCGCTCTCTTTCAGATTAGGTTCAAACGGGCGGGGGATCTCGACGAACTACAAATGGCTATCAGGAGAAGCGAAGGAGCCGTAGCAGCGACACCTCACGATCACCCAGCTAGAGCAGCCATACTGAGCAACCTGGCCGCTTTCCTTCAGAACAGGTTCAAACGGGCGGGGGATCTCGACGACCTACAAATAGCTATTAGGAGAGGCGAAGAAGCCGTGGCAGCGACACCTCACGATCACCCGGATAGAGCAGCCATGCTGAGCAACCTGGCCACTTTCCTTCAGACCAGGTTCGACCGGACGGAGGATCTCGACGACCTACAAATGGCTATTAGGAGAGGCGAAGAAACCGTGGCAGCGACACCTCACGATCACCCGGATAGAGCAGTCAGACTGAGCAACCTAGCCAACTCCCTTCAGACCAGGTCCCAGCTGACTCACGATCCGGACGATTCCAAGCGGGCTGTCTCTCTTTGCGTAGCAGCGACCGAATTGCGCACCGCAACACCACGTCAGCGAATAAACTCAGCGCAACTAGCTGCTATAGTCCTTGCTAATAACCAGGAGTGGGCTGAAGTCAGCCGCATCCTAGAAGTCGCCGTGAATCTCCTCCCAACGGTCGCTCCACGTCAACTGAAGCAACACGACCAGCAGCACATTCTGGGAGAGTGCGCCGGTTTAGCGGCACTGGCTGCCTCTGCCGCTCTTGAAGCTGGAAAGGACGCATCTCACGCCGTGCAACTGTTGGAACTAGGGAGAGGCATTATTACAGGTCTGCGGCTCGGAACGCGGTCCGACCTGACCGAGCTCAGGGAGTAGCACCTGGAAGTAGCAGAGAGGTTTCAACGACTCCGAGACATCCTGGACTCGCCAAGTCCGAGCATGTCCCATTTTGCGACTGGAGAGGGCGCTTTTGCTTCCCAATTGGAGACGAACCGACGCCACAGTGCAAGCCACGAGCTCGAAGAGGTTATCGACCAAATCCGCCATCTGCCCAACTTCGAAAATTTCTTACGTCCTCCGCAAGCCGATGAGCTGAGAGAGGCTGCGTCTCTGGGGCCTGTCATTGTTATCAACGTCAGTGAACATCGTTGCGACGCACTCATCGTGGAAACGCACGGCATCCGATCGATACGTCTCCCAGATCTCCACCAATCAGACATCGAAGATAAGGTTAAGCTCGTGAGATCGGCTCGCTCTGGTTCCGCATCGTCTCTAGGTGCTGGCGATCAGGTGTCTCGAATGTTGGAGTGGCTCTGGGACGCAGCCGTTCGCCCGATTCTAGGTGAGCTGGGGTTTTTGGAACCTCCATCAGACGACAGCTGGCCTCGGGTCTGGTGGATCCCGACTGGTCCGCTGAGCTTGCTACCGCTGCACGCGGCCGGCCGCCCGTTCCCACACTCCACGGAGTCGGCGCTGGACAGGGTGGTATCATCCTATAGCTCCTCCGTCAAGGCACTTCTGTACAGCCGCCAGAACTCGCAGAATAAGGATCTCGACTTCGTGTCCGGAGAGGCCTTGCTCGTGTCGATGCACACAACTCCGACATATTCCGACCTTGTGTTTGCCGAAGAGGAGGTGAAGAAGATGGCCGATATTCTCCCGGACTCCATTCGAAAGGTGACGTTGAATCGGCCCTCCAGAGACGATGTTATGGCGGGCCTGAACACGTGCACCATATTTCATTTTGCCGGCCATGGCGAGTCGCACCCTCCGCAGCACCCGAAAACGCCAGCGGTCTGCCTTCGCAATACGCGAATCGAGCCCAAAGTACGCTTTCATCCCGGTGGGAGAGATCTCCTAAGGCCCACTGCTAACTCGTGTCAGTTGAGGACTACCCAACCGGGTATTCCCGGTTCTCGGCGCTTATCGCATCTCATCCTTCATTCCATCTCTGTCGCTGCTTCGCAAATCTACGCGCACGCCTGCTCCTGCTGAAGCAAGATAGACTGTCTATGCTGGAGGAGCGGCTGGAAGGGATCGACCGACAAGAGACTGTCCCCTTACGCCTCGGGTGCAGTCGGAGGGATAATAATAGCGAAAGGATATCTATTGTCTCCGATATCGAGAAAACCCTGGCTGAATATGGTTAGGCGCTTTCTGTCTTATTCTCTGGGGGGTGATCTTGCTGATTCATAGTAGATGAGCTGATAGAGAGGAATCACCGGATTCTTAGTCTCGAGGCCGCAAAGCCAAGAGATATATTCAATTTGCAAAATTGGGTTAACGGGAACGGCTACATGGCTAGGAAAGAGACTGCATACCTGACATCCCACGAAGTGCTTAGCGTAGCCGCACCGGACGACTATGCCGTCTCATGGTTGGAGACGCTAGTCGAAGGTGGCCTCGTTCGTCTCTGCGACTACTGCGGTAAAGTAATGAGCAAGCACTGAAATGCCATAAGTGAAGGCTAACTTTTTTTTCGGTAGCGCTATGGCCTTGAGACCTCAAGAGACCGGAACTTGTATATATTTCCTTGCTGGTTTACACTTGACCAAAGCGAAAACTATCGAGCTAACAGTAGCAGGTTCAACGTAGGTTATGCACTACTGTATTGATTTTAGAGAGGAACTGCAGACTGATCATATTATCTAACCTAGGTATACAACTGTCTGAGTCGTATTTATCGCTAGCGCGGGGTTACCGGGAAGCTGATATGTTTCAGGAAACCCTGCTGAATGCGTAGGAGCAGAGAGATGAGAGAGCAGCGCTGTTCAGTGTCATGATGGAAGCTGATTAAGGCCTTTTAGATGAATACTTTGCAATACCCGCCAGAGATTAAAACTAGGACCCTGTGCCCGTAAAGAAAAAAACGAATTGCAAAATTGAAAGGTAAGGCAGGTACGCGTGATCAAGGTGGTCACGATGGTGGCAACAAGAGGAGTGAGCAATGATTGGCAAAGGTATAAGACTCCAACCTGGCCCTTGCAAAGGAGGTGGGCAGAGGCCACTAGTTGTGTCAAAGTCAGAGGTCAGGGGTTAGGAGTTCTTATTTATATATCTAGACGCAAGGACGCAGAGTCGCGCGGGACGATGGAAAGGCTCCGCTGCGCTAGGCCAAATGAGGAGGGTGGGGGAGGGCGCCATTCCCGGAGCGTGCAGCACTGCGTTCGCGATTACTCGTCAGCGTCCATATACAGCTTTTGCCGGCCTCTGGGGCTCATCCACCAACGTAGTCCCCATGCTTCCGAAGGAGCCAACCTCCTTTCACCGACATCCACCCGGCCATATTCACCGTCCGCGTCCAAAGACGGTAGGCCTCGCATCTTCCCTACTTGATGCTCAGGTTCTATGAAGATCGGGTCTTCAGAGTCCTCCGTAATGCCGCTAGGAAACATTATACTCCAAATCGGCCACTTTCCCGATTCGTACACCAAAACAACAATTAAGCACGACAGAGACTGAGTCTGATACAGCCATCTAACGTTGAATCCCGCGCCCACACTCGGCAATACAAGTGCCAACAGATTGGCAACTAGACAGCAACAGGCCCACGCCCTGAGCGAGCGTTTTTTTTAACCGGATGAGCCCGATAATAACAAAAATGGAAATAAGGAGATGGAGAGTGGCCGGCGCAGCCCATAGAAACTCAGGACCGTGATTTATCGCAACCCCAATCCCCAAGCCAATATGAGTTAAGTAGAGTACTATCCTAATAGGAAGGGAATGTGACCATATTGGGAATGTGGAACGTATCGCCTTATAAACATCGTAATTAAACGTAGCAAACTAAAAAGTGAGTTAGTAGTGCCATATTATAGAAGAGAGCCGAAGTACCTCAAGAACTCCAACGGATAATGTCGTGAGGCCCTTTAAACCAAAGAGGAAGTCCAGCCCATATGGAGCCAATATGGCATGGCCATCTCTGGCGACGCTGACAAGAGCCACAAGGGCAATTCCAATAGGCGTAAGAAACAGCCAACAGACGCTTAGGATAACGCAGCCGGGGTAGGAACGCAGCAGCTGTATTGCTCCGTCTTCGAGTAGTGTTTTTTTCAGCTCGACGTGACTAAGGATGTAAAGGATGTAAAAAGCCTTGCTTCCTAAGTTCCTGCCCTCCATGAAGAAGCTCCGCGAAGACTTCGGGCTCACAGACCGGCTTCAAAATCCTTGTGTGGCCAGCGAACTCCCCGGACCTCAACGCCATTGAGCTTCCTTGGGCAAGGATTAAGCTATCATGGAAAAGACGGAAGGTTCTAAGATCAAGGCCGGCTCTCGAGAAAGACTAGGGCAAGCAGTGGCGCGATTATCTCCTGGAAAAACGACAGCGGTTTGTGGAGAGAATCCCGGGGCATGTTCTGTGGGTAATTCGGCTTGCTGGTGGTAGTGAGTACCAAGAAGGGAATGTGCCGCCGCCGGTAGAGCCGGGAAAAGAAGACCCGGGTGATGTTACTTGGCGGGAATGGGTGAGGAAAACAACGGAGGAAAGGCAGGCCGAGGAAGCCGACGGCGGCGGCGACTTTGGTGATCTTGAGGTAGAAGGTTTGGTGGGGCCCTGTAACTTGGTACCTTGCAGGGCAGTTGGCGGGGGCAGAAGTGTGGATTTTTTTGGTACTGTGGGATCTCTAGCTTACATAAGACAGGCGTGTAATGACTTTTGGCCCCAGGTTCCGTATAGAAAAATCCGCACCATGTTGGGGCGTCCAACCGCCGACCCCCCCACACACACTCACTACAAACCGGTTGCCCACCACCCCCGGCCCCGATCGAGACCTCGTAGCAACTGACTACCGCGTGCGTACGTTTCCTTGCTGCTGCTGCTGCTGCTGTTGCGCCGAGTAGCTTCTAGGGTCGAGATCCAAAAAACTGACAGTCGCAGACAATTTACAATCCACACACACACCGACACGATGAGTTTCGTGCCGATAAACCCGCGCCCGTTCCTCCAGGACCTGGTGAACCGCGACGTGATTGTGCGGCTCAAGTGGAACGAGACCGAGTACAAGGGCCGCCTGGTCGTATGTTTTCTTTTCTTCCTACACTCACCCAGAATCTCGGAAGCCAAGTTGCTAACGGGAGATTTGGACGGAAATAGAGCATCGACAGCTACATGAACGTGCAATTGAGCAACACGGAGGAGTTCATCAGCCAGAAGCCCATGGGCCTGCTGGGGCAGGTCTTGATACGGTAAATCTAGCTTACTACCACGTCTTCCTCTTACAATTACCTAGTTCCTCTTTTTACTTGCTTACTGCTCTCTTTTTAACTGGGCCCAACACTGACTCTCTTGGCCTGAAAAACAGATGCAACAACGTGCTCTGGATCACTGCGGCGGACAAGGGCGACGGCGGCGGTGACAGCAAGATGGAGGATTGAGCTTGAAATTTGAGGAGAGAAGGGGAAGGGATGCCTCGGAATCACGGAAACCACCAAGCTTTTTTTTTACCACTCCTGGCAAGAAAAAAGGGAGAGAACCCCCGCCCTTTTTACATCAAACAAGCAATCTTGCGGCTGCTGTGAAGCTCCGTAGTTCCGAACTTCATGCGGGTTTTTGGCCCGGCCCATGCAAACACCTCGACCATCCACTCGTACCAGACCTTGGTGTCGTCCGTCTGCCGCCACATGCTAACCTCCAGCTCGGTATCCTGGGGGAATTCCAGCGGGGTCTGTTTTGTCAAGGCAAAAGTGTGGTGGTTAATCGTAGAAACTCTCAAGACAAGCCGAGGGCTAATAGAGAGAGAGATTAAAGGGGAGTCTGCGTACCTTGAGCGGGAAGAAGATGGGGAACCACGAGATCATGTCCTTGCTCTTGCGGTCGATCTGGTCAGGCAGGATGCTGATCTCGACGGGCTGCTTGCCGGGGATCTGGGGCGCGTACAGGACCGACTCGAAGAAGCCGGCCAGGCCGTGGATGACGCCGCGCGTGCGGCACACAAACGTCAGGTGGCAGTGGCGGGCGTTGTGGTCGTTTGTGCCGCTCGACCCGGCGATGCTGCCGCCGCCAGCCGTGGCGAACTTGGCTGAGACACCGTTCTCGTCGGCGAACTCATCAGCCCGCAGCACGTCAACCGGGTGAACAAACTCCCAGGCCTGCTGGAAGCGCCCGTGGCCGGGCACCTTTTGCGCCACAAAGTCCATGGCGAACAGCCGCACCACCCACGGCGTCTCGAAGGCGTTGGCGTCGCCGCCGCCAGTCCGCGTCTTGAGGTCGGCGAAGATGCGCGGCGTCGAGATCGGGCTCAGGTGCGCCGTGTACGACTGCGGGATGGAGATGCCGTGCGGCTGGGCCAGGTGCCCCTGGATGCCGTCGAGGCACTCGGGCGACAGCTCGTTGTCGCCAAAGGACCCCAGCAGCTCCGTCACGAGGATGTCCACCTTGCACCGCACGTTCGTGTACCCCTTGGGCTGCGGACCCTCCCATCCGCGCATGTCGGTCTTGACGACGGTTACCTGGTTGTCCCACACCCGCTTGTTCTGTCTCAGGAGGTAGACGTAGGCGTTCTGGTTCTTCTCGACGGCCCACAGCTGGATCGACGTGCCAGTCTTCTTGGCAGCCCGCAGCACGCGGGTGACGAGGGGCCCTCGGCCGGCGCCGGCAACCGCGACGACGAGCTCTGGGTTGCCGTTGGCGTCAACTGCCCCGATGGCAGAGGGCTTCTTGAGGACCTTCCACTCCGCCATGGCCTCGGTGATGGCCAGCTCGTACTGGTCGTACTTGACGGGATCTCCCTCAAACATCTCGTATGTTGCCGACTCGAGGTTGTCCGACAGCGGCTGCAGGGGTGACTGAAGCCAGTCCTGGAAGCTTGTCAGGGTCGGCGTCTCGAGGATGGAGAACGGTGGCTGCTGTCGCTCGAGGTGTCTGAGGTATGCCACGAAGACGTTTAAGTTTGGCATTTGAGACTTGCGAGACTCCTTGAGGGTCTGGTTGGCCTCTGTTAGGGTCGGGAAATCCGTCACCATCTTATCCGCAGACTCTTCCAAGCTCTCTATGGCGGGACCAACGTCGTTGAGGATAAACCAGGGAGCGTTCTTGAGCCGCATGTAGTGATTGATGAGTTCTTGGTGGTGTCTGCTCAGCGACGGGTGCCTGTTTCGGTTTTCCTGAAACGTCTTTTGCGCAATTGTCAAATAATGCAGCGGCTCTGCGAACCAGCGCTCTTGAAGTTCCTTCTCGGGCAACCGCCGAGGTATGCGAACAGCTATGTACTGTGAGCATGCTGACGGGTTCCCTGCACTGCGGGAGGGGGCGAGGAAGGGGATACGGATTGCAGACGGCGCCAACGTCTGCGGTCTGATGCGCAAGAGAACATACCAACAAATAACCGGGTCGAGTAGTTGCACACCAGTCTTATGGTATTCCAAGAGTCCCAAGCACTGAACAGGTCGATCTCGCCCGCGTTAACGTCTTCTGGTCCGTTAGACTCCTTGAAGAGCGATGTGAGCGTTTCCGCCTTCTCCTCCAGTCCAGGTTCTCGGTACATGGGCATGTGGATGATGAGATTGGTCCTGCCGGCGGCCTGCAGGGCCTCCTGGATCGCACGGGCATACAGGGCAACGCCGCCGCCACTGCCATCCCGCCGAGGACCGGGGATTATGATGCTCCTGGCGCCGCAGAAATTGGCATATGCCACCTCGATGTTCAGCACCTGGCGCGAAATGCTCGAGATATCGGGGTTAGACGAGCACAGGTCGGTCCACGGACTCGAGTATGCGACAATGCTGCCAACATAGCTGCAGGGGAAGTACGACGTGTCCTCGTCTGTGAGAGTTGGCACAACGGGGCCTGGCAAGGACGGGTTTGGTTTGGCCGTGGTGTGTGAACGGCTCCACAGCTCCTTTTCTGTGAGATGGGCTTTGTACAAGGCTACGACACGCTCAAAAAAGTGGCGGTTTGTGATTGGGCTTGTGACAAAGTTGAACTTGGAGCAGTGTCAGTAATGATGTTGACATGCATTCCGACAGAAATAATAGAGAAAAAAGAGGAGAAAAAAGTCGTATTTGGAACTCACACCGCGGTCGAGAACCTGGCTATGCTGGGTATCTGTAAGTGTCTCGGAGCGGGTCGAGCTGTGCTGGCCTATGTAGAAGGGCGGATGCGAGTCGAAGCTGTCCGACTCCGGGTTGAGACTCCCGTCGGTGCTCATCGTATGTTGCTTGCAAGCTGTCACCTCTAATAATGGAATGGTTGGAAGCACTAAAGTACGGAGTAGCGCCGTCTCACGGAGGGGCTGAAAAGTTAACAAGTCGACGGAGATCTTGGCTGGCGCGTCAAGTAGGACAAGGACGAAACGGAGCGTGGGCAGTCAAATGGGAATGGAGATGAACCAATCCCCATGGTGGATATGTAGCCCGCTTCACCAAACCACTCTTCTCGTCTAGTTTCGCGAGCCTCTGCAGGCTCCCGGTTCTAGGATGCTGCCACACAATTTCTTTCCACACAAGCGGGTTTGCCTGAGTGACCCCAACTCCATGAGCCCAATCTTTTTACCACGAAATTAGGGTCCCAAGTTTCCAAATTGTGGAGAGCCGTTGCTTCGTTAGTGACGCTTTACTCGGATATTAGGATGAAGGTGGGCCGAACGGATGGACGAGTATGCAAGTAATTGCTCATTACGCAAATAGCGGGGTGTACTAGCTGCATGCACCACAGCGCCAGTGGGTTGCCTGGCTGGGGAGTGGGAGACTTTGGGTTCAAGTTTTTTTTTTTTTTTTTTTTTTTTTTTTTTTAAAAAAAATCAAAAAAAATCAAAAAAAATCATTCTACTCCGTAGTCGGTACGGAACTTAATCCTATTACCAACTCCCGAAGCCCCGAAATTTGAAAGAGAGCTCTCGCAAAATATAAGCTGGAAAAAAATACGGCATAATACGTTCCTCTTTTGATTTATACAACTACGCAGGACGGTACCAAGCCCGTCCTCCATCCAAGTGTCAAAGGCCCACTTGTTGAACAGAACTGCGCCAAGATCTTATCTTTCAACACGCTCATTGGCTACTCCCCACCTCCCGCACCCCAAAACCCACCCTGCACGGCGCAGTGAGGCCGACAAAAAAAAGTTCACGTTCTAGCCTCGCGACTCGATCAAGCCTAGAGGCGCGGCAAACGCTCCTTCCAAGTTCCCCACGACTAACGGCCCTCCAAGTCTCTCGTTTCCGATAAATTTTGGCTGAACCGCTCATTCCTGAGCAATTTCTGTCGCATCGACGATGGCTGACAGCAAAGGCGCCAAGAGATCGAGCATAGACGGCGACAGCTTCCAGGACTCCAAACGTCTTAAGATGGTGAACGGCGGGGGCAATGCGACTACCGACCCAAAGTACAACAAGTACCTGGCGCATCAGTATGAGGATGGCCAGAACCAAAATGGCTTCCAGTCGCCCCTCGACCAGTTTCAAAGACACCAGACGACGGCTATCCAGGCCGCAAATGCCGAAGATTCGGACCTCAATCCCTGGACGAACAAGCCGCATTCGCAGCGCTACTTTGGCATCCTGAAGAGCCGACGCGACCTCCCCGTGAGCAAGCAGAGGCAGGAATTTCTCGACATGTATCACAGCACACAGATCCTTGTCTTCGTCGGCGAGACGGGATCCGGCAAGACCACCCAGGTCCCGCAGTACGTGCTCTACGACGAGCTGCCCCACCAGACCGGAAAGCTCATTGCTTGCACCCAACCCCGGAGAGTGGCGGCCATGTCGGTTGCCCAGCGTGTCGCGAACGAGCTCGACGTAGAGCTGGGCGAGGAGGTCGGCTACAGCATCCGCTTCGAGAACCGGACCGGCCCCAAAACCATGCTTAAATACATGACCGACGGTCAGCTCCTGCGAGAGGCCATGCACGATCACGAGATGTCCCGATACAGCACCATCATTCTCGACGAGGCTCATGAGCGCACCCTTGCTACCGACATCCTCATGGCCCTTCTCAAGCAGATCGCCGAGCGCAGGAAGGATCTAAAAATCATTGTCATGTCTGCTACGCTTGACGCGCAGAAGTTCCAGACATACTTCTTCAACGCGCCCTTGCTTGCAGTGCCCGGACGAACCTTCCCTGTCGAAATCTTCTACACACCTGAGCCCGAGCGCGACTACCTCGAAGCCTCGGTCCGAACAGTGCTACAAATTCACGCTAGTGAGCCGGATGGCGACATCCTGCTCTTCTTGACTGGAGAGGAAGAGATCGAAGATGCCTGCCGCCGAATCAACCTCGAGGTGGATGACATGATTCAGGAATCGGAGGTGGGGCCCCTGAAGGTCTACCCCCTTTATGGTACCCTGCCGCCAGCTCAGCAGCAGAGGATTTTTGACAAAGCCCCGGAGCCACTCAAGAAAGGCGGCCGGCCTGGGCGCAAGTGCATCATTGCAACTAATATTGCCGAGACCAGTTTGACCATCGACGGTATCGTATATGTAGTCGATCCGGGCTTCAGCAAGCAAAAGATTTACAATCCCCGCACACGAGTCGAGTCACTGCTCGTTTCTCCCATCTCAAAAGCATCTGCACAGCAAAGAGCTGGTCGTGCTGGTCGTACGCGGCCTGGTAAATGCTTCCGGCTGTACACGGAGAAGGCTTTCAAGAAGGAGCTCATCGAGCAGACATACCCCGAGATCCTGCGCTCAAACCTGGCCAACACCGTTCTGGAGTTGAAGAAGCTTGGTGTCGAAGACTTGGTCCATTTCGACCTGATGGACCCTCCTGCGCCGGAGACCATGATGCGCGCCCTCGAGGAGCTGAACTATCTCGCATGCCTGGACGACGACGGCGAGTTGACCAAGCTCGGTAGTCTTGCATCCGAGTTTCCGCTTGACCCCTCACTGGCCGTCATGTTGATCTCGTCGCCGGAGTTTTACTGCTCTAACGAGATGCTCTCTATCACATCGCTGCTCTCAGTGCCACAGATATGGGTGCGGCCCAACAACGCGCGCAAGCGCGCTGACGAGATGAAGGCGCAGTTTGCGCACCCCGACGGCGACCACCTGACGCTCCTAAACGCGTACCACGCCTACAAGGGCGCCGAGCAGGGCGGCGGCGACGTCAAGCAGTGGTGCCACGAGCATTTCCTCTCGTTCCGCCACCTCTCGAGCGCCGACGACGTCCGCAACCAACTCAAGCGCATCATGGAGACGCAAGACATTGAGCTGGTCAGCACTCCCTTCCAGGACAAGAGCTACTACGTCAACATTCGCCGCGCACTGCTCGCCGGCTTCTTCATGCAGGTCGCCATGCGCGAGAGCAGCAATAGCAAGGTGTACAAGACAGTCAAGGATGACCAAATGGTTATGATCCATCCGAGCACCGTCGTGTCGAGTCCCTATGACTGGGTCGTGTACAACGAGTTTGTCCTGACGACCAAGAACTATGTCAGAACGGTGACCAACATTCGCCCAGAGTGGCTCTTGGTATGTTTTCTTTCCTTATTTGTCCTACCATTCAATGCGCAACTCTGCTAACTGCTCGCGCAGGAAATCGCTCCGGTTTATTACGATGTGGACAGTTTCGAGAAGGGCGAGATCAAGTCGGCGCTCACGCGCATCAGCGAGAAGATCCGGCGTAGACAGGCCATGAAGGGTGGCCGATGAGGAGCACGCGTAGCCTAAATTCTTCCTTAGACCGCGCGGTGTGACTTCTTCGCACGGAGTCTCAAGAATGAGTCTCTTGAAGGGAAATGAAACGGCTGATCTCTTTCTCTAATAAGCGGGAGTCACCCTCTTGTTGAGCTTCCCTTGGCGACACTTGCGAGCAAGCAAGACGGCGATCATGTGTAGTTCAACATTGCATTATGTAAAGGGATGTTATAGACCACCTCATATTTTTAATGACATATGTACTAGAGTGAGTAGGCAGATTTGACGCGGTTTGGTCCACCGCAAGCGGAATGCAACGCGACTATATTACAAAAGTAAGTACATATTGTGTGCTCAGTGCACGTTGTGAGTGTGTGCCTCTCTCTCTTCTCATATATCTGTCTCGCGTGTGACGGGGGATTACGCGGTCAGAAAATATGTGATAAAAGTGAAATTATAGCTCATAATTGAACCCGGCGAGCTTCTTTTCATCACTTGGAAAGGGGGGGACGGGGCGAATGGCGTGTAAAAAGGGGTATCAGAAACGAGGTGTGGGAGTGCTGGTCGAGACATAACAGGGATATAGGGATTAGGATTGGGATTGGGATTGCTGAATGAGAAGACGACAGAAGACCAGACCGGCCTTTTTGAGGACGCTCGCTCACCTGCGCTGTGTGAAACCGGCGCGGGCAGCCACAATTTGGATACGTGTTACGTGCCTACGCTATACACATCTCAACAAACTAGAAGCAAGCAAGCAAGCTAGGCAGGCGGCGGCGGACTCGGAGCTGCATTGCTGGGCTTGGGCCTGCTCGTTCTGTTCAATCAACGAGCGGGACGGAACAAAATCCTGCTTATCGAGAACGTTGAAGTTCCAGCAATTAATTCTTGTGGCTCGCCCCTTCCCGTCCTCCCCCGCGCCTACCTTGACTATCCTGAATGGCCAACCACGTTTTTTTCCGGCTGCGCTGGATGGTTTCAGTTCTGCGAGTTTCCTTTTTTCTTCTTATCCAATGTCCCGTCAACCCTCCCTCTCGTTTCCTCTAGTGTGACGTCAGCTATCTCAGTCTTCGGGTTTTTTATAAGGCGCACATCGCCTCCCATTTTGCGCCATTGGCGATAACATCAAATGATTATCATGGCAAAAACAAAGGATATACCATAGTCGGCATATTGATGGAAATGGGCAGATGGAGGATAGGACGAGTGGGAAGGGGGTGACGATAGGGATTCTTAGCCGTGCCAGACAGTACCAACCAGCCGGCTTTCCCCCGATAGGTGTCTCTGGGGGGCCGATGCCGCTATCCGTCGGGAAGGGCCGTAGTTGAGGTCCCTCATGCCCTGCGGAAACGGCTCGGTATCTTGAGACGAACGTGTAGCCAATAGCAAGTTTCCCCCAAGTGTATGCTTCAGGATAGCGTGTAAATGGCGCCGCCATAAGCATGCGGCTTCACGAAAGAGGATGGAAGATTCACTAGCTTCCCTGTGGCAGTCGCCATATTGGTAAGTGTATACGGTCCCAGCAAAGTCGCAATTGGTTGGGACGACGCGATTGTGACACGGCATAAACACAACAGCCCACAGAGAGAGGGATGTGCTGGATCGCGGGTTGTGCGGCGGCCTGCGTGTTTTTTTCGATGTCCCGGCCAAACCCAGAGAAAACAGGGTAGGACTGGAATTGAAAGCGAACCGGCGAACAAGCTCAGCCAGCTACTCACGTCTTGCCTCTCGCTGCGCACAGCACAAGCATCATGCAAGAGAGGGGAAGCAGAAGAGGCACCAAAACCCGCAACATCGCGTCAATAGGTACCGCGAGCCAAGGCGAGGTCGTGGGTCGGGTTGTAATAGTTTGTAGTGAGTCGAAGTGGGTTCACCCAAACCAGAGCAATGGATCATGTGAAAGGCAGGGAAATCTCGGAGTACCTGGGCAGTGAATTATTGATGATTTGGGCAAGATGTTTTCGTGCATCAAGTTACTTCATATTTTGCACCGGCGAGACAAGCAGGCTGTTGGTCATCCGCAATGTTCCTAGGGGGCCTGTTCTTGAGTCAACGTTTGTACAAAGTACCATCCCGGCACTGGCGTAGGTGGTATTTTGAGAGCAGTCTTCTACGTTTCCAATTGATCGGGCTTGATAAGCCGAGAGTAAGAGAGGGATGGATGTGGCATGATAAGTGAAAGACAATATAAAAGGGGGAATAGATATGCAGGCAGTTGTTGTGGAACATGAAAGTCAGAAGGCTGTGTCAACCACGGCCCACGATATCATCTTCGGGACACCGGGCAGGCTTTGGTGGCGTTATCGCGAGAGAGTAAAAGAAAATGGAACCACATTCTGGCCAGACCCGAAGTGGCGTCGTGCCGGATGACCAGAAGCTGATCACTTGTCAACAGGAGCCGACCGCACAGTACACATGCGCGGTCCGGACCCAAACCCGCTCCATGCCGAGGCCGCTTTGGGTTACGCCGGCATCAAAGAGGCAGGCGGGCAGAAGAACGAGACAGGAGCCGGTCAAAACTCACGTTCATCCCAGCATTAAGCTGTAGGATTGAGCTCGCAGAGAGTAAGAGGATGGAAGACTCGCGACGGGAATAGGTTCCCTAGCTGCCGAGGGAGGACGCGAAATGACGTGACAAGAAAAGATGCCGTTCGGTAGGATGGAATGGATGACTGGGAGTAAGGTGGGTTGAAGTTTTGGAAAGCACCCCTCCTCAACCAAGCACTCCCCAAATTGGAACTCGAAGAGTTGATTGCGTGGGTTTCACTGCGGCATGACTGCCTCTTGCTGCATTCGGCAGCTGCGAATGGGACGACCACCAGGCAACAATACTACTAGCGCTATTAGTAGCAGGCACAACGTGGGCAGTCTGCTGTCGGGTCCAGATTGCTTGGCTCTAAATGGAAGCGATGACGCTGTTGACTAAGATACTTAATGTAATCAAGGTAGCGATTGGGTCTGCAGGAAGTGACGGAAGGGGATGCATCTTGGGTTTGGTGGCTTTGGTCTGGTTGCCGTTTCGAGTTTTGTCATTCAACTTAATTTGCAGATGGAAGTCCAAGGTAGAACTGACGCGAAGACAGTAGCATGGCAGTAAACTCGGCATTTTATCCGTTGCTATTCCGTATCCGTACTTGGAGGTGGGAAACTGTGGATGGTATCCGTACTTAGTAGTACGGAGTCGTAGTGTAGTGGAGTGTAGACGCCATCATTTGACATTGCCCACTGCGATAGCCCGCAGCGGGTCCGCCATGCCGGCTCGCAGCTTCCGTTAGCTGAAACCACACCACGAGGAAGTCGGAACCGAGAGGAGGTCAGGTAGCTTTACTTCTTCCTTGCCGAAAAAGCGCAAGACGACAACTTTTCAGCCTCAACTGGCGAGCTCAACTGGCGAGTGAGAATGTGAGGATGGCATCCACTGCCATCTGATGCTGCCGCTCTGTACTACCCCGGCTGCCCGTGAAGCTCCGCGGATAGCATCCTGCTCGACAATTCGACTGTGAGCGGGCACAGCCTTCGGTTGCTGTGCTCACCCTCACAGGCTCACATGCAGTGGGGGGAAATGGCGGAAATCAACGTGCACCATGCAAGTGGGGGGTTGCAATGCCACTGCGCCAGCGGACCCTATTTGCTGAGGACTTGGCCTCGCCTTTCTCGACAACCCTCAGACAGCAGTTCAGACCATCGATCCAGCGAACGATGGCTGTGGATCCATGTCTGTCAGATCTCATATTTTTGAACCTTCCGGCGTCGTGTTCCGGTCTCGCGCGTCGCGGCCGTTTCTTGTCTTGCTAATACGGAATAGTTAGTCTCCCAAGTCCAAAAGAGGCTTGGAATGTCGCCTCCAGTCCTACGCACATCCCTACACCCCCTAGACGGGCGGATGGACTATGGGTTCGTCTAGTCTTGTCTGTATCTTTCTCGTACGGTACCTCCCCGAAGGCCTGATCTCTGGCTGGAAACTAGCAAGGCTCTTGGCACCATCTTGGTCAATAGCGGTATGTTCTGGCCGTTGCCGTCCGTCTGTCTTGTCTGACGAGCCGAGAACCAATCGACTTGGCACTATTCATCACGACGCAAAGGATGGCGATGTCTTGTCTGTGGCTGTCTGTCTCGAGTGGAGGGCCGAGCTGTCTCCCCGCTACACAGTGTCGTTTCTCCAGCCTTGCTACAGTCCTTGCAAATATGATTGATTTGATACCTACCCAAGTGCCTACATAGTACATGACCCACAATCTACGCAGAGGCTCTCTCCTCTGCCTTGACACATGCAGGCCACATCAACCTGCCGCTGCCCCCGGGCCACGAGAGTCTAATAAGGCCCTGCTAAACAACATCGACAAATGACACCATGCACTCCAACAAGGATCCTTGACTGAATACAGACGCCACATCGGGTCCTAACAGCCCTGCCTACCCTGGGCACCACCCCGGTACGGGGGTTTGACAGCCGCCGGCTCGCCTCCGAGCTTGGCCCGCCGTTTGCTGCATGGGCTACGGGACCTCCACACCCTCAGGGTATATAAACTATCTAGGCGCCTGCAGATCTCATTGCTTTTTTCTCTGCATCCTTTTCACAGGGTCTAGATATATGCCGAGTGTCTCAACGGCACCCAGCTAGACTATCTTGCAGCTCGCCCCGGTCTTACACGGCCCCCCCACCGCTTGACAGCCAGCGGGCAGTCAACAAAATCCCTTGTCCTCTGCCTCGAGCATATATATATAATACCCCTTTTACACCCCCCGACGTGTGTCGAAATTCTGCCACCACATCGCCAAAATGAGCGGAAGCGGCGGTTTCTATAAGTATCGGTGCAAATACTTCCTTTCCAACAACTGCCAGAACTGGGTTTGGGTTAACTACGCAGCATGCGCTACTTGCCTTGTAAGTCTTGGTTCCTCCAATTACGACAATGATCTGCTCTGTCCTGCTCTACCTGCGCCTATCCTGCATACTAACCGAACTGGTTTTAGGCCGAGGGTCGTGAGGGCGAGGAGCTCACCAAGCCTGGCGAGCAAGTCGATACGGCGGCCCCTCAGTCCTGGAGACGGTCTCCGGACATTCTCGTACCGCGGGCCCACAACGGGAGTCTGCAGTACGACTCGTTCGAAATAGTCGGCCATGGGGAGTCAGGAAACGACTGGACCCTGCGGCTCAAGGGAGGCCCCCAGCAGGTGCTCACCACGACCGCTATGACGACCCACGACACGCCCCAGGGCATCATGGCACCCACTGGCGTCTTCAACTACTCTGGATACTACGCCTAGTTGTACGTGTCGGACATGGTGGCCGAGAACATGGCCCAAGACCAAGAGAAACCGTGACGAAGAAACGAGAGACGAGATAACGAGAAAAAGGGAACCAGGCCCAGAATGGTAACAGTCTATGAATATGATGTGCCGTGATCGGCAACGGAGTTTCGTTTCGTTTCGTTTCATTTCATTTGTACACTTTGAATCCTGTTCTTTCCCTGCTCCCTGTCTCTCCTTGGGGTCCCGTTGGGGACAAGACTGTCAGAAATAGGCCCTGGAGGGCTAGGTCGATACCGAAAAGCGAGACGATTTGGTTTTATCGAAGTCGCTGGCAGGAGGGTGGTAATCTTCAATTCAGAACGACATGGGTCGCGCTGCGGCATGCATGTAGGCAACCTGCCGAGCCGTGGCACAGATCAACGAATCAATTTGCTCAATTGTATTGTGCTCCTTTGCGCGCGCTCGAGGTACGGACGTGGACCCTCTTGGCCGTGACCTAGTCTGGTCATCTGCACCCAAGCCAAAGTGACAGGCTAAACGTTGGGGACGAACCAAGCCGACGAAGACGGGATTTGCCAGGGCATGGACCTCCAAACTAAGGCAGCGGGAGGCCGAGGCGGTAATTACCTATGCATGGAGACTAGACTTGTCTAGAGGTGAGAAGCCCAGAGCCTCGCCAGATCAAGGGATAAATAACGGCGAAGTGGATTAAGGAACGGTACAAGTGCTCTACTCAGCCAGTACCTCAAGGTCAAGGTTAGGGGATGGGAGCTCTGAGCTTTCCCCACCCTAGGTGCCTGCCCGGGCTGGGCGGCTTGTTAATAAGTTAGCTGCACTCCACCTGGGCCGAGATCGTTTCAATGTGTGCCCCATGGAAGACGTCAGTGAAACGGCGGGATGGGGTGCGACGGCAGAAGCTCGAGTGTTCTTCGTGGTCTTCCAGGGGCGGCGGGTCGGTTCGGCAAGGTCCGCAGTTTCCTCCCCCTGCCCTGCCCTGCCCCGGGATCCGTTAGATGCGGCGGGGTCAATTTAGGTGGTGGAGCCCGCTAAAGCGCGACGCTGCCCGCTAAATCGATCATGTGAGCAGCACCCGCCATGGATCGATAGGTACAGAGTGGAAGGATTGGAGAAGATGGAAGGGGGAAGAAGAAAAAAGGAAGGGGCCAAGGAAAAGACGGACTGAGGTGTCGCTGGACGAATTGAAGGTGGCCCAGGGTAGTGTTTACGTCATCGAGAGCACACAGCCAAATTCATACAGGGACCCTTCCAACAGCCTTCGCAGGAGAGGCTGTTCGTTATCTGTAGCAGTAACAGAACAAAAAGGACAACAGCGAACAAGACAGGGACGAGAAGAAAGAAAGTGGGAACGAGTCTCCTCTTCGCGGCGCGTCAAACACTACTACGGGGTCTTCCAGCAAAGTCGACATCCGTAAAATACAAGGCAATGGCAGCCAAGAGATGCCCGAGCTTGGGTCTATGTAACTTCCCAAGAGAAGATAGGGACGGGGGGGGCAAGTTCGAAAAGCATCCGCCAGGACACAACGGTGGCCTGTCCATATATCTCCACTACCCGCACCATCACGGCTGCGTGCCTGCAACTATGTACACTGCTGTATCCGTACCTACCTAGGTTTGTGACGTAGCAGTAGGGAAAAAATATTAGCATTGACTGAAGCACAGTCTTCTTACCTAGCTAGCATCGACAGAGGTTTTGGCCAAAGCTAGTAGCAGTAGCACAGCACGCAGAGAAGAGGTCCAACCACTGCTACCACGTGGGGAAAGCGGAGCTTTGCGTGGGGAAAGACGATCCACAGGGACCCAGACCACCGCCCGCTTTTGTACGTCGGGGTACTTTGATGGTCCTGCCCTGAGACGGGCGGGGGGAGTACTATGGAGCCGTGAGGTGTGAGAAAACGCCCGACCGTTTGGTGGGGCAGCCGCAGCGGAGCGCCTCCACCACCGCCGCGAACACCACCACCACCGCCACCATCACGCTAGTGATAAATTTCCCGCTCATCAAAGAAAAGTGAGCTGAGCTTGACCCCCGCCGAAAACACCCCTCCAGTAGCTCCCCCACCGATCTCGTTCGTCAGCGTCCCCGAGAGTCACCAGTGACGTGAGAACACCACTGGACCTCCCACGGATCGATGCGTGTCCCCACTAGCTAAGCCAGGCCCGAGCGAGCCAGCTCAGCCGCCTCCGAGGATAGGACGTGTTATCTCTTTTTTCCTTATTTCCCTCCTCCTAGCACTCAGACAAGGGAATCACTCCCTGGACCGGAGCCACGGGACAGGGAAAAAAAAAAAAGGGCCGGGAGAGACCGTACAACATCAGCTCCGAAGGCGGAGGGACGTGCCGTGTCCGTCCGAGCGAGCGAAACAAGACGACCAGCAGATGCGGTGCGATGCAGTGCAGGCCGAGAGACAACCACCACCACCAAAAGCAAAGAAAAAGGATGGAGCAAAAACACTCTCACATAACCCGCTTTGCCAGTTTATCACGCAATAAAGGACATGTCTGCTGGCTGGCCTCGCATTGCGCACAGTGTTGCTTCACACTATGCGTCTGTCCGTCTGTCCGTCTGTCTCGTCTCGCGTTATGTCACTGCTGTCCATCCCTCGGCCTATCTAGGCACCTCTTTCTCTTCCGCACCTCCATCGAAGAGGGTGTCTATGGATCGATGGATCCGATGGCTGGATGGGGAATCGGATGGGTAAGAGCCGGTCCACCTCCGGCGGAGGGCGAGTTGCTTTCTTCGTAGTAGAATATCCATCTATTTTGACATGCCGCCGCTCCCCCCCTTTTCGCAAAACCATCCAAAAAACGCCAGTCTCCTCCAGACCCCTGATCCCTGGTGATTATCTATATACGCACACACTTACCCAAACCTTCTTCACAAGAAGACGAAGAGATTCACCACCGCCAGCAGCCCCAAACCAAGAACGCAAGACGACTGCCCCAGCCTTCCGGGCATAGCACTGCTCTTGGTGCCGAGGCCGAACGGCAGGCCCTGCGTGCCGAAGGTGACGTTCTGGCGCACGGAGGTATTGTGGCAGCGGCCGCCGGCGAGGTCGAGGCCGGCGAGGTCGTCGGGCACGTTGAAGAACATGTACTGGTCCTGCGGCAGCCCCACGAAGCCCGATGTATCGTAGGGGAAGCGGTCCGTCGCGTCCATGCTGCTGCTGTTGCGCAGTAGGATGCATAGCACCTGGCCCGGGAAGTCCCTGGTGAGCTGGACAGCGAGGGGGTGTTAGTGAAGCTCTCGCCCTTTTATGTTGCTTTTTGTTGTTGTTGCCCCTCTTTCCCCTTCCCTCTCAGGGGTAAGTACCTAAGCACTTCCCCCCAAGCCCAGCTGGTACTTGGCAGTAACACCTCCCAACCTTGGTACTGCTGACCTAGCAGTAAAAGAATGGGGGAAAACGAGAAAATGTGGCAAGACCCACCTGGGGATAGTCCTCCATGACGTCCGAGTTGCTCGTGTCGCCAACGAGAATGAACTTGCGCAGCGGAAACGTCTCAAACACGCGGTCGAGCAGGAACTTGCGGATCGACAGTGTTGCTGACACGTCCGAGAAGTTGAGCGGCCGCGTGTCGAACGACCCCGGCGGGTACGTCTTGAAGATGAAGCTATGCGCGCGTGCGTGTCAAGTCAGCCAGTGTTCCCCTTCCCTTTTTTTCCCCATTCGTCTCGTAAATCGTCCCTCCCATCATCATCTTCCAATCTCCATACCCTATGACCAATCAACCAAGAATAATAAAAAAACTCACTCCATGTAATTCCTCGTAACCTGCTCGGGCGTCGTGGTGAGGTAATGGAAGTGCATGTCTTCCCACGACGCCGACCAGTTGCTGTAGACGGCCGGCATGTCGAGCCAGGGCACGAACGGGCGGGCGAACGAGTTGAGCAGGCCCTCGCGCGGGTCCCAGATCTTGGTCACGCGCAAAATGTCGTCAATGTCCGAGACCACCGTCACCCCCGTCGGCGGCACCAGGTACGCCGTCGCGTTGCCCGAGTCGGTCCGTACCGCGCGCATGCCGAGCGTCTGCACGCGAGTTGTTTCGTTGCCTGGCACTAGGAACCCTCCACTTCCAGAACTGCTGGTGTTGGCTAGCACCACCCAGGTCCCAAAGTCGCCCTCGTCGGTCGTCTCGCCGGGGAGCTGGATCGTTTGCGCGCCTCCGGCCTAACCACCACAGTCTTCAGCCGCTGACTTGCCATCTAAACCTAACCCATCACGACTTATATATATACATAGAAGAGAGAGACAAACTCACCGCATTAACAGCGCCGCCATCACCACCCTGCTGCACCCCGGAATTCGTCTCAAAGACAACAGTGACATTGACACGCCGCTGCTGGACGACAAAGATCTCGGCCGTCAGGTTGCGGGCCTGGCTCTGCTGCGCGGGGGGCAGGTCCTTGACCGCAGTCCCGACGAGAAAAACATCCGCCAGGCCGTCGAGCTTGGCCTCGGAGATGTTGGGCATCTTGTACACATTCCCATGCACGCGGACATTCCACCCCGCGGCGGTCCAGTTGCCGTATGCCCTACAACACAACCACGAACGTGTGAGCAATACACGGAGAGGCACTGTGGGAGGATTACGTACGGCAAGTTGAGGACCTGTGTCGGGGTAGCAGCGAGATCCGCGTCGTCAATGCCGAGGGAGCTCAGGACGGCGGCGCCCGTCGGCAAGGCCTGGAAGAACTGCGGCACGCCAGAGGCGATGTAGGCCGAGACGTCGCTGCCGAGGCCGGTGACGATGCTGTCGGCGTAGCTCTCTGCGGCCGAGATCAGGCCGCGCTGCGCGAGAGGTGATGGTAGCGAGGGCGGCGGCGTCACCTCGGGGTGCTGCGGACTGGGGACCGCGGCTGCGGCTGCTGCTGCGGGCAAGAGTAGCCAGAGCAGAGAGGATATCATTTTTTTTCCTACCTAGGTATGTTGTCGTTGGCCTCGGGAACGAGGTTGTGTCTGTGACTAGGACGGTCCCAAAAAGGAGTAGATGGGCGACGATACACAAGGCAATATTGGGACGACATTGCGACAGTAGCAGATAGATTAAGGCACATTTTATTTCCTCGTACATATAAACTAGGGGCGACGATTCAACCGCGAGGCCCGGGCCTTCCGCTAGTGCATCTGTCGATGCATAGGGGCCGCTGCAACGATTCGCCCATGCCATCATTTCTCAGGGTCGCTCTTATGACGTCAGGGAGCATTACCGGATTGGTGCGGCGCCCTGCGTCTCCATTGGCCGCCGAGCTCTGGCTGAGCTTCAGCCCGACTGATGGCAAGAAAAGCTTGTTAATCTGATCGGAGCTGAGGTAAAGTTGGAGCCCACCCATCATTATGATTCATGTAATGGGTGTTGATCGTTGCGCCAGTCAAGGTGGGATCGTGCTTAACACGAATGTATAGTAAACAATACCGGCCTAAACAGGTATGTCCACACACGTCCCTCAGGGGGTTAAGGACAGCTCATGGACTCGTGGCCTCTTCCGCATCAGAGGAAATCATTATTTCCGGCTTGTTCGACAGCCTGTTATTGCATGTGCGGACGGACCAAGTCCTGCAGACTCAAACCGGACCGATCATGTATTTGATGAAAATCACACAAACAGGTAGTGACATACGTTGGGATCAAAGTAATTACCGGTTTTATGCCTCGAGAGTAGTCGTTTGTGCGTTCTCAAAGGCCAAGTCGAGTCGCATTCGTTGTTGTCTCTCCTATGACAACGCATTAGCATTCTCAACAAACGGCATTGCTTTTGGGACAGGGGGAACTTATCCTCAAAAAGAGGGGCTGCCCTCTCACCATCTCTGGTGAGAGGACAACCAAGACCGCCTTCCAAAAGGCCTGTCCCTTTCAAAGTGGCTGGCCCCGAACAGCAAAGCCCTCACGCAAGAGCCTAGAATCCGAACTGTCGAGGGAAGGAATCCGGCACCAGACAAGCGCTGAGCTCTGACACCAACTCGAGATGGGTCCCGGTACCGGCCCCGCTCCCCGGCGCCTTCATCCAGGATATCCAGGATCGAAGCATCGGTTCTCAACGAGCCAGCCAGATTCACCCGCGTCCCGACACGCACAGGCTGCCAAAACCCGCGCGACCCGAGAAAATCCCTAGCCGAAATCTACCGTCCTCAATGCAGCTCTTGCCAAACTCGGCAACCAGAGGTGCCACCGCGGGTGACGAGCCGAGCCCGAGCCAAGTCTTTCCGTGTGATCGCACTGCCAACTGGGATTTGTTTTGTGATTCCTCTCCACCAGAGGCCACCGGAGTGGCGCGCAAGGAGGGCGTTCCGCACGAACTAAAACATCCATAAAAAACCGTGCTGTCGTCTTCGGGCGGTGCCATTTCTGGCTCGCCGAAAGGAAATGTGCCAATGCTCAAGAGCAAAGACACGGGGTCCTGGCGCCCCGCCGCTCGTAGGACAAGGCCTACGAGGGCCGGCTAATGCGCCTGGTCGGATCTCGCAAGTGTGCGACACGCTTGGCTCTGCAGCCAGAGCGTGGCCCCAGGAGTTCGGCGGGAAGCAAGGCAGGGTTGGATACCCACGCAGGGATTAAAGCCCGGGGCTTTGAAGGTCCAAAAGCGTGACAGCAAGGCCGAGTTGTCATCATCTTCGATATTTCCGTGTGTGGTCTGGTGGCCCTCGCTCACTGACGTGATTCCAGCGAGGTGTACCCCAGACACTACGATAAGAAATGACGAGGATGATCGTAGGAAGCCAGTGCCGCGCCCTCCATCATTACCCCGCGGGATGCCGTTCCGAAGAACCGACAGCCCAAGGCAGGCGTGTAGCAAAGTGAATGCCAGGTGTATCGTGCCGAACCCATAGCCTCCCGCCACCAAACATCTCCAGGGCTATCCATCGTGACCAGAGTGCTCGTCTCCAGAGCCCAGTCCTGACGAGTGGCCTCGGGCCAGAGGCGCTTACCATGTGGACTCATGGGACCGGGACCTTGCCTACCCCTCACCAAAAAAAAAGACGAGGGGTATCTGGAGCTCTCACCGCCTGTCGGCCTTCGTCGCTGTCCGGGTCGGCCCCGTGTTAGCCCACTTCTCAGTGGACTGAAGCCCCCCCTTCACTCGGATCCGGGCGTAAAAGAACGGTTTGAATGACCTTTTTTGTTGTCAGGGACAAAAAAATGCGCAAAGCTTGAACCAAAGGCGAACATAGGGTTAAGTTCCGAGACCAATACACGACCGCGAGACTGGCCCGCGCCGTGCTCCCATTGGAGACGACGACACGGGTACGGCGCACAGCAATTTCCCAGGCGCGGCAAAAGCTTGGAACGAATATCCCGATACGGGAGCCGAAGCTGCGACGTGCTGTGATGCCCCGAGTCCCGCGGACGCGGCCGGCGAAGGCATTCCTTGCAGAAAAATCGGTTGGACGGATTACTGTGGGGGAGGCGCCGTGCGTTGGAAGACATAAAGTCCTCCGTGAGCGAGCGAAAGAGTAGTTTTGGCTTGGGACTTGGACGCGTCAAACGCGGTGGTTTCTGGCTGTGTAACTCGAGAGGGTGAATGGACAAGACGAAGGCCGAAGAAAGGGGCCGCTGCATCTCGGGTTGGAGATCGAGGGTCCAATCGAGAAGCTGGGAAGAGGCGTGTCTTTGCAGACGTTGTGAGTGTACTCGTGTGGATTTGGGTGCATGGCTTCTGCTCTGGAGAACACAAGTGAAAGAGAGTGAGAGGAGGAGACCAACGCGTTTGCCTGGGAGTCGCGTTCTAATAAGTGGGCGGCTGACTGGGCTGGGTGGCCTGTTTGGGTGCATCGGGTGCGTCGACTGCCCCACATCTAGCTTGTTTCGGCGCCCGAAAGCGCCACAACCTCGCCAAGTCACGGGCTTCGCTCCCATGTTCCAGTGCCTGGTTGCCATGATGAGCCTATCGACTTTCTCCCGACTTCCATCTTCCATGAACACCTTCCATGCGCACGACTCGCTTCCTTTTTTTCACCGTTTATAGTAGCATGATATTTGCTTCTGTTTCCATGAAATAACATTTGTTCCTTCACTTTGCAGTGCAGAACAGCGCACTGAACTGAAGTGAACCCTTCTTCGGGGAAAACGGCAAACATCCTCTAAATTACAATGGATCAAGCACCCCCCGCCAAGCAGAGCCGCCAGAAGCTGATGGAGGCCATCATGGACCTGGGCAACAGAGCCTACAACCCCGATTCAAGCGATGAGTTGCGGGCGCGGGGGCAGCGCGAGTTTGGCGACTTGATGCAGAGGCAAGTCATCCATGATTAGTTCATCGTCGCCAATGCATCCGTCTGACAGTCACGCCAGGACAAAGACGCTGCCGCTCATGGCGGCTTTGAATATCCTGATGCGCCCCGGCAGTGTGCCGCAATGGCTCCGCGCCAATCTGGTAGACATTCTGACTCTGGTGCCGCTGCGTCCCGACGGCGTCCGTGCCACGTTGGAGTTTGTCTTCTCTGTCCACCCTTCCAGCACCGTCAAGGTCTCCGAGGCCGCCGTCCCCCAGAAGAAGGGTGCAAACATCACCCAGGAGGCCCTCAAGATGGCCGCCCAGCTGATAGCTGCCCCCCCCGCGTCGGTGACGCCCGAGACGTGGTATTCGGGAATCTCGTCGCAGATGCTGGAGCTGCTCGACGGCACTGATGGCCCAGAGCTGACCAAGGTCGTCTCGTACATTATCGGATTCGGCATCTTTGGTCGCAAGGCCACCAGCGCCCCCGGTACTCCGGGATGGAGACACCTGGCCGAGCCCATGCTCACTCGTATCAAGCCACCTCCCTCCGGTCTTGGTACCAACACGACAGGTGTTGGGCAGGACGAGGTCGTCGATCTAAGTAGAGAGAGGGTCCTTGTCGCGCACAATGACCTGGTCACAGCTATTCGCCGCTTACACTCGCTTGTTGTCTCCCACCCTAACCCGGGTCTGTGTAAGCGGCTGCTGTCTCCGTTACTCCTGCCCCTGTGGGCACTTTCTTCGTTGCACCAACCCTCCCCATCTCTCAGCGACGCGGTCTGCACACCCGCGCTAGAGCTTTTGAGAATCCATCTGAGATTAGTCTCCTCACCCGACACACTGTTGCCCTTGGTTCAAAACCTGGGCTACGTTGGCGGCTGGGATAAGCACAGTCCAGAATGGTTCTACAAGACAACCGGACAAGGACAAGGACAAGTTCAGATTGTGGATGCGAAGCAGTTAGGAACGAGTCTCAACGGGGGAGTGCCCCAAGTCACGTTGCAAGAAATCGAGGAACGCGTCCCCAGGCTCTTGGAGCTCATTACTTCGGCATTTTCCGACGCCGATATTTCCACTGCCTTTGTCGACCTGCTCGGACGATGGCTGAAGTCAGCGCAGAAGTCCAGGCCGGGCGACATCGCGGTCAGGCAAGAACCGGTTAGCGAGCCAAACCCGATGGTGCAAATATCCGAGGTCAAGGTGCTTCAGGCCATGACGGACAAGTTCTCCGAGAAGCTTGCCAGCCAACCCAGACACATCCTCGAGCTAGCCAGCCAGGTGCTAGTCACGTCTGCGGATGCGCCCGAGGACGACGACGACATGAACGGAGTAGCCCTCAGTCTGATAAACATGGTCGTCACCGTCCCAGGCTTCCAAAAATCCAGACTAGACCCACAGGTCCTTGGAATTATTGAGTCGTCGTTGGATAAACTAACCAAGAGGGACGATGTCAACATCTCTAGAACCGCCAACAACCTGGCGCTCTTGCTCAGGTACCGTGACGAGATCGACCCGGATGTCGGGAGCACAGCTGCCCCGACCAGCCGCCAGATCGAGGACCGCAAGACGTATACTTTGGCGAGATCGTACATAACGCAGCAAGACTCGCCTCCGCCCGTCAGGATGGAGGGCCTTAGTCTAATCTCGAGCCTCATAGTGTCGCACAGCCCGGTATTAGATATCCCGGGGATCATTGTGCTCATGTCGTCTCTGATGAGCGACGCCGAGGACTATATCAACCTCCAAGTTATTAAGATCTTCACACTCCTCGCGAGTCGGCATCCGAAATCAGTAACTAAAGAGCTTATCGACCACTTTGTGGATCCCAAGGAGACAGAGTCGGTCGACTCACGGCTGCGCTTCGGCGAAGCTCTTCTCCAGGTGATTGAGCGGCTAGGAGAGACGTTTTCGGGCGAGACAGCACAGCAGGTGGGTGAGGCTCTACTCTCCGTAGCCAGCCGGCGGGGCCACCGGCCAAAGACCGAGGTAAAGCAAGCCCGAGAGGAGCGGCAGCGCAAGATGAAGCACCAAGAAGCCGGGGACGCCTGGAAGGGCGAGGTGCCCGACCTCAGCGACGAAACCACAGCCGAGGAAAAGGCGCGGACGGAAATCCTTGCGCAGATTGTCGAGGGCTGGGAGAGCAAGCGCGGCGCCGAGGACGTGCGCATCCGCGCGTCGGCGCTCTCGGTCCTGGGCAGCGCCATGGAGACCGACATCGCGGGGCTGGGGCCCTCGCTAGTGTCGGCAGCCGTCGACCTGTGCGTCAGCACGCTGCAGCTAGAGCGGGACCCGGAGAAGGGCATCCTGAGGCGGGCGGCCATACTGTTGGTCATGAGCTTCGTGCGGGCGCTGGACTCGGCGAAGCAGGCCGGCCGGCGCCTCGGGTTCGGGTTCGGCCTCGCCGCGCAGGACGACGTCGCGCGCACGCTGCGCTACGTCGCCGACACGGACAACGACGGCCTCGTGCAGCAGCACGCCAGGGACGTCGTCGAGAGCCTCGACAACTGGCAGATGGCCGGCTTGGTGCCCGCCGAGACGCCCGGAAACCAGGGCGCAGGCCTGATGAAACTGGCTGGCTTGACGGTCGACCCCGACAAGATCGCGTCGTTTCTGAGTGCGAGTGCCAGTTCCCGGCCGAGGATCGAAGAGATTAAATGAGGATATCTGCATGCATGCATGCATAGCGTAGGGATCTGGATGGGAAGGCATAGAGTGGCCCATAGACTGAACTTGGCTCATGTACACTGAAATGAACATGATTAAGCATTTGCCGCGGTACAGCAAAACGTCAAACAATTGAACGGCACCGCTCCGACAGAGTCATACCGGCCGGCTCACGAACCTTACCGCCGCCATTCAAGATCGAAGTCAGCCAAGGTAGCCTGGAACACAAAGGGTTTTTAACAGTCCGCCAACCCGGCATCCGGTCTTCTCTTCTCTTTTTTCTCCGGCACTTCCCGGCAATCAAACTTGGTGTGTCTAAACGACACCCCAGGCTCACAGCTCTCCTCCATCACACACTCGCCACATTCTGTTTTCTAAAGCATGCTAGAGCACTCTGAAGACCCAGACCGCACACTTAGCACCGCCAGGACGATCAACCCAGGTTGCAAGTCGCCCTCCAATGTCAATCAACACTACGGATTTCTGTCGCAACGTTCCAGTGCCAGAGGGACGCAAAGATGGTGAGCCACTGTCCCAAACATGGCATCACGAGGTAATAATGAGCCAACGGTCACATGAGACTGTCCCTTCCTCGTTGGTTACGCAGGGGGGTGCCGGGATCGGCCCGCATACTTCGCCCGAACACGCCATGGCCGCGTCCGAGTCTTACAGGTGGATTTGGAAAGACGAAGAGGGGAGAACGTGTGATGTCTTTGGCAAAGTCGACAACACTGGCCTTGGTGATGCTGATGGTCTTGTCTTCATTGGCATATCGGGCCAGATCATCTCCACCCGGGCAGGCTACGTCAGACAACTCCGCCAGCTGTCCAACTATGCCACGTTCATCAGCAAGTTCTGCACCTATCTCTACCTCGGTAGAGAGTACTACCGTCCGCCTCTGGAGCCTGGGGATTATCAGGAGCTCAGCGAACGCTTCTCCCGTAATTACGTGCCGAACCGAATAAATAATATATTCTTCATTACTGGTATGGATATCCGAATTGCCACCGTCAAAGAAGGGGATGGACTCAGGAGCGTGTTGTACTCCGTCCTTAGCAGTACGGACATCGCCGTCGATCTCAGAGAGGCGTGTGAAGCTCCCGAGACATACATGACCCTGGCTCTTTACGGGAGAGAGCACCACCCAATACTCAATCCGACAGGAGACACTGGGTCCTTCTGGGGGGATATTTTAAAATTGGGGGACCGTAATCAAACTATTTTCTGGGCCACAGTATGCCATAAATACGACGACGACGAAGGCGATGACGACGACAAAGAAGGCGGCGACGACGACAAACCCGTCAACATCGACCAAGTCCGGTTTGCTCTCTTCAAAAGAGATTTCGGCATTCGTCGAAACCATGGCCCGTTCAAGAGTGCCATGTCGCTTTACGCATCGGCAATGCACCACATCAACAGACACACGAGCCGCGCCTCCCCTGGCCGGGCCGCAGACTTCCTCAGGCGGCACCAGCACTCGCACTTCCCCTTCTACCCTCTCAAGCTTGGTGGTACCCAAGAGAGCCACGCGGTTTCGTACACATTCAACTTTGATCCGCAAGCAAACGCGCTTCTTCTCCACCCTCTAGTAGTAGGTGCCGGGGCCCCCGAAACCTCCAGAGAGACCAATCATGGACACTGACACGCACGGGAAAGGCAACGCCGCCCAGCCAGAACCATCACCCAGGCACAGCCATTGACGAGGAGATGTCCGATAACGAGGAGGAGGGACCCGAGATAATTGAAGCGCGGGTTCGCTAGTGCGGGAGGAGCATTACCACCCTAGCCCATGCATACGCCAGGCAAGTTCCCCAGCTCAGGACGGCGGTCAGGGACTTGACTGCCAGGCTCGAGGGCCTTGAGAACCGAAAGTGTGAGGGGGTCGCCGGCGCGCCGGCTGCTGAGCCCTCAAGATCATCGAACGAACGAGACTCGGCCACAGTGAGCGCGCAAAGATGACCGCGCGGAGCCCGTGGCCGCCTGCCAAGGGAAGAAATTCAGAGGATGTGCCAGAGGGGCTGGTAATCTGAAAGGCCTCGGTGCTATATGTCTTGCCCAAATTGTTTTTGTCAAAGAGGCTCGGTGCTCTTGGACCTCCTGGTATAGATTCCCAGAGGCGTATCTCCCTGCCTTCAAGGCCTGAAAGGCTCTTGCCCTATTTTCTAAATCTTTAAACGTAATCCTTATTCTTCCCATGACGTACGTAGTCCATCTCGTTTTACACAAAAGCCGAGACGCGAAGCACAAACGTTAGATATCTACATATTTATTTGGTGACGCAATTGAACTTGACACGGCGAGGCTGTAATGGAGGAATCCGTAAACATCCAGCATACACCTTGCGTTAGAACGGTATCTATCTATCGTACAAGGACATGCATGATTTTTCCTTTGTAGATACGCCATAACATTCACGCCATTTACTTTGCCCAACTGACCGACGGCCACTCGGGTAATAAAGACTCCGTATGAATATTCCTTTTTCGCGTTACATCAACCACCAACCCAACCAGCTAAACAAAGAGACCAAGACGAAAGACCAGAGGGCTTCACTTGGAAGGTTGCAGCACGGAGCGTACGCACGTGAGGCTGTTTCGTAGATGAGTCTCAAGGAATGCAAATAAATACCTACCTAGCGGAAGAGAAGACTATGTCGGGAGCTTTGCAATACATAAGGTACCCATCCTGTCCTATGTGGATCTGAACCCTCGATATGCTCATTTGTACTATATGAACCATGTCTACCCCTAAATACCCCCCCAAAGGGACGGTCGATTTAGCTCTGAAGCCGAGTGAGTCCAAGGCAGCAACCGAACAAGCAAAGTCGATTGAAGACAATTAATGGAGATAGGAGTTGACGTATCTCCAGTCTGAGATTGTGAAATTGATACCTCCCAAGTAAGGTAAGGTAGTTATGAACGAAGCCGTCGTGCCATCTTCCCCGATCCATCGGCCCACCCCTAAAACGGCAATCCGAGATTTCTACACTACCCATACAACCACCCCTACCTCCCTCACCCTCACCCTCACCCTCACCCCAAGACCGTAAAAACCTCTCAAAATCTGCTGCCGTTATCAAACACCAGTCTGCCGCCATTAGCTCAAACCAATAAACAGAATGGTAGGCAAGTAAAGTAAGTAAACAGACAGACAGAATATGCGACTCTTCTAAAAGGGATGAATTGGGACTATTATACAGCCACCCGATCGATGTCAGGATGCGATTTTTGCCCCAGTGCTCTCTTTCTCTATGCTCTATGTGCAAAAAAAAAAAGCATCTCGCCGAGACAAAACACTACCCAGCACAACACATAGACAACAAAAAAAGGAGACCCAAGAAATCCCCATACAGACACACACACACTCACGCACGCCCGCACACCAGCAAAAATGCTGGCAAGACCACACAACCCGGGACCTAGGTAAAGAGGGAGGGCTTAGCAAAAGGCCTCCCCCCCAAAGACTTCCCCCCGTCAGGAGAAGAAACCCCCAGGCGTGCTTTTGAAAATGGTGCAAGCCAGAAATAGGAGCTCGGTAAAAAAAACCCCCGTTAAAGACCCAACGCTCTACTCGCCGTCACCACAACCCTCCCCGTCGTCACCGTCTCCATTACGAGTCCATCGACTCTGCGCAATTATTTGCCAATCTCGGTACCGCCGGTCGCGTTCAATAACTTCTTGACGTCACCTGGTTTTGTCGTCAGTTTAGTCCGGAGCGCAAAGAGGGAAGAGGAAAACTCACCATAGATGGCGAACTGGCCAGCAGTCAGAGTGCCGACCATGAATAGACGGGCGCCGATGCCGGCGTACGAGCCGCGGAGGCCGAGCTCGCGGCCGATCTTGATCAGGCGGGTGACGGTGCCCTCGCCGGGCGCGCCCTTGGTCTTGTTGATCTTGCTGAGCATGGTGTCGGCGGGCTGCGACACGATGGCGGCGGCGAAACCGGCAATCAGACCGCTGCCGAGGTTGACAACGGTCTGCATGGGGTCCGAGAGGGTCTCCTTGGGGAAGCGGCGGAAGGCAGCCTCGGCGACCTTCTCGTAGACGACGAACTTGGCCATGGTGTACGGGATCCTGAGAGTAAAATTCATGAGTATTCCATCCAAGCCTGTGACGATAGTCGAAGCACTGTCAAACTTACTGCTTGAAGAGAATAGGCCCGAATCCGGCGTAGAAGGCGCCGAGGCCCTCAGTGCGCAAGATCTTAGAGAAGCCGCCGATCAGGCCGTTGGCGTAGGTGGGGTCAGAGACGAGGCGGATACGGGTGGCCTCGAGGGGGCAGAGGGCGATGGAGGCGAAGAACTCGGCCGAGGCGGCCGAAGCGAGGTAGACGGCGGTCCGGTTCTTGGAGGCGGTCTCGTAGCCGAGGTTGTTGACAGCCTGGGCTTTGAAGAACTCGTACCCGCCGAACTTGAAGGCGCCCTGCAGGAAGTATCCGGCGAAGGTCGGGCCGGCGCCGGTGAGCAGCGCGAGCCATCCTTCGCTCTGAACGACCTTCTTGAAGCCGCCGACCAGGCCGGTGTTGTACTTTGCCGGGTCGAGCTGGATGCGGGTCTTGACGCTGCAATGGGGGGGATTCGGTTAGCGGTCGGAACGGGGCATTCTGGAGGCTCAGGGCACGAGAGGCTAGACATACACATCGACGGGCGTGAGACTTCCGTGGGTGACAGAGCAGCACAGGGCACCAGCGAGGGCGAATCTGGAATAGAGATCGATGCCGGTCGGGTTGGAGGGGACGGCGGCGAGGGCCTTCTGAACGGCGGCGTCGACCTTGGGGGATCCTGTTGAGCTGGCCATTGTGCCGGGTGTGGGCGCCTGATGCAGGGACAAAAAAAGAATTGAGTGGGGTGGTGTCTTGCTGACTCTCGCGGAAGGTACGAGAGAGAATGGAATGGAGAGTCAATGGAAGACTTATTAGGTTGTTGATGCGCGGAGAGAGGTTTAGAGGTTAGGTTAGGTCGTTGGCGATGAGCCTTTTTGCAAAAACGGAGCGCTGCAGCGAAGGTGGCTCCCGGGAAAAGATTAAAAAAAATGTTTGCCGGTAAATCCCGGGTAAGTATGGAGTCTGTATCAAAGCACAGACCACATCCTACCGTGCACGGCAACCTGCGAGATAAAGTGCTCAATCTGAATACGGACAGAATTACCTACGATAATTACGGAACCTAGATAGGTATCCGATCCATCGCGCGTAGACAAAATGTAAATCCAAACATGTACAGCATTTGCGCAGCGAAATACTGTTTAAACTTGGCGATGCGTACATATTTGCCCCGGTTTTACTGCGGTGCGGTGCGGCATGGATTGGCTGGGTCTTTGTTGGTTCGCAGACAGACAGAAACTCGTCGCAAAATACGGCGTGGACCCTTCAGAGCTCAAGGGGGCGGCGAGCCTGTCAGATTGGCGGGTTCCCGCATGTGCCTCGATTCGATGGCTGACTCGCCGTGACGTGGCGTGTGCCGTTCGGCCAAGGGGAAAACGGAACCGGCTCGCTGATGACAAAGACGAGACAATGCACGCAACGCTGAAGAATTCAAGACGACCCGACGCGAAACACAAACGTCGATTTGTCCCAGAGGCCGCGCTAATCCGACTCAGCTTGCTCCATCTAGGATCTAGGTCTAGGCATTCGTGGTTTCGAGAAGCAAAACGCCTCTCGACAAGTTGACCGCGCGAGTCGTCGCAGACCCAAGTTCGCGTCTTCCAGCCATGCACGCTAAACCCTAACCCTGACATGGATCAAGGGGGCGAGGGGCGAAATAGCACCGACAACCGCGACGGTTGCTGTGCCCACGCCGTATAGACTCTCACAGGAGTATATAACACCCTCCAGGGCCAGCCGTGGACCTAACCAGGACTGGGCAGGTTCGGTCCATGCCTCCTCCCCCCTTATTCCCCACCGCCTGACTCTGCCTCTCCACACACCACGACGTCGGCTCGAGGGATGGCACAGGATGGGACCTTCACTGGGCCTTCCGGCGGAGCTCGTCGGCCAGCCTCAGGAGGTAGAACTGCCTCGCGGCGGGCGGCAGCCTCTGGAAGCTGGCGACGACGCGGGCGATGTCCTGGCGGCCCTTCTCGTACGCCGCCAGGTCGCGGTTGCCGTAGACGTCGCGGCCGGGCGCGTAGGCACCGCCGTCGAGGTCCCTAAAGAATATGTTGACCGCGATGCTTGTCTCGCCACCGCCACTACTACTAACGACAGTGGTAGCCGTGTGCAGCCACAGCGGCGGCAGGTACAGCACGTCGCCCGGCGACAGGACGGCCTCGTGCGGGTGCGTTTGTGATAGAGCTGTTGTTGTTGTTGTTGTGGATGAGTCAGACGACGACTGCAGAGACGCGAACACGTCGATGCTGGAGCTGGAGGCGCCCGGCGGGAAGGACAGATGCTCGACGTCGCCCGGCGGGAACAGCATGAGGCGCTTGGATCCTGCGATCTGGCAGTACACGTTGGCCATGACCTTGCGATAGTGGGTCAGCACAGAGACACAGAAGTGAAGTTATGGTTGTCCCGCAAAACCCCAAACTAAGGGGACTTACGTCGTAGTGAAGCCACATATTGACGGGCCCGGACACGCGCAGCACGGAGCTGAAGAGGCTGTCGGCGACGGCCGACAGCTGCGGCGGCAGGGCAAAGTCGGGCGCCAGCGCGGGAAAGTCGTCGGCCAGCGCGGCGGGCTTCTCGGCGGGGCGGTCGTGCGAGAGCGCGCGGAGGTACAGCCTCTCGCCGTGCGCGACGCGCCGCGCGAACTCGCCGAACCCGGCCGTCGCATAGCGGAAGTTCTTAGCGGCGAAGTCCATGGCCTGCGTCGTAGCCTCGTGCACCACGACCTGTGAGAGTGAATGTCAGTAGTTACGTAGGTAGTTAGGTGGTAGGGTAGCTAGTGTTTTCCAGAATCATAATAGATTTGCCGAACCAGAAAGTGAAAAGGGGTAGTCTCACCTTGCGATCGTGCCCGATCTTGTTTGCTAGATAGTCGAGGCTCCAAGTCGACACGCACGCGCCCAGGTCCAGGCCCGTCAGCACGACCGGCCGACCGTCGCGCAGCACTCTGGCGAAGTCGTCAGGCGTCTCCAGCGTGACTCTGGCGATGGCTGTCACGGTGGGGCTAGGCCCGCCGGATGCAGACGACGACGCGGTATCTTGTGCTGCGGCGCGCTGCTCGCTGCCGCTGCCGGGGATGATGTCGAGCGTCTTTTCGTGCGCCCAGCGCGGAGGCGCGTCCTCCTCCGGCACCCCATCTACCACCACCCCGCTGCTGCATAGTGGCGCGCCGAGGTCGATGGTATAGACGCCCTTGTTCCAGAACGTGCCCATGGAGAAACACGTAGCGCCGCCGCCGACGACGACGGCGCGGCGGCCGTCGGGGGGCGCCAGCAATGCCGAGGTTCCCGTCAGCAGCGGGCGCGGCAGCGGTGGCGTTGTCGTCGTGATCATTCCCTGACCGCCCACGAGACGCGAGCAGATCTCGTATTCGTCTGCCGTGACGCGACACACGAGGATCTCGTCTTGGTGGTCCAGCAGGTGCGCGCTGGCCACGCCGCCGAGCACCACGAACTCGCCGGGCGACGACGCCGACGCGCGGGGAAGACAGGCGGCGCCGAACCGCGCGAGCAGCCGCCGCGAGCAGCCCTCGTCAAGCGCGCCAGCCGGCCGCGGGATGGTGTACCTGATGGTGGGTTTCTGGGGGGTTTGCATTGTCAGATCCTTATCAAGCTTCAGAGAAGAAAGTCGCGAGGTAATTAACTCACTTCGGGATCCGAGACATCCAGCTCCCAGTGGAAGATCTGGTCAGCGACGACGCCGTCGCGGAGACCGCCGGCATAGACGCCGCTGAAGCGGGCATTGGGATTGGTCTCGCCGCCGGTGAGGGCGCAGAGCATTGCGCCGTACACGGTTGCGGGCCTGTCGTGCCCGAGGATCTCACAGACGACCCAGCCCGTCTGCGGCCGGTACAGGAGGCAGTCGGCGAGCGCGTCGGCCTCGCCTCTGCCGCCCGCCAGCAGGGCCATACCGGTGGCCCCCAGCGCGGTGACCGAGTGCCTGTGCAAGGGCGTCGGCAGATCATGGGTCCGTTTCCAAGCGCCCCCGCTCGCGCTCGCGCTCTGTTGGAAGACCCAGCAGTCCTTGAAGGGGCTCGACGGGCCCGCGCGCCCGCCTGCCAGGAGCACGCCGTGCCCCCCCCCGAGGTCCGTTAGGGAGTGGCACATCCTGGATGCAGGCCCCCCTTCGCCGAGGGTGAACTCCCGCGCAGCCAGCGCGCCGTTGTTGTCACCGTGGCCGGCCTGCCCGAAGACGTCGCACGACTGCAGGCGGCTCTTTGCGCCCAGGCCCATGACGTTCAGCACGACGGGACTAGTGCTGCTGCTATTGTCTTGGGAAGACAGCAGCATGGCAGTGCCGAACCGCCGCTGCCCCCGCTGCCCGGCGCACGCGTCGAACTGCAGGGCCACGGACTGGACTGGAACCGAAGCCGAGCTGGGCGGTGGTGGCATTGGCGTGGCCTCTGTAGCAGCAGCGGAACCACCACCGCTGACAACCTTGGCGTGCACGAGGCAGTAGTGGCTGGCAAAGAGGGCAAGCTCCTCCCACTCGTCAAAGGGCTCGACCTGGTCGAGGGCGGCGCGGTCCGCGGGCGAGAGAAACGTGTCGTCGGCCCAGGCCTGCCAGAGCGTCCACACGCGCACGGCGGTGCTCCACCCGCGCGACGAGAAGCGGTGTTGCTGATCCGCCACGCTGGGGTACGCGCGCACCGACTTGGGCGGCGTGTTGAGCTTGTCAAAGTGCTGCAGCATGGTGGTAGCGAACGGGTGGCCGTCGCCATCCGGGAGGATCTGCTCGAGGAGAACAAACTCGGCTGGTTTTGGTTGCAAGTGTCAGCATATAGTCGGCTACCTGAGCAAGTGTGTTCCTTCTCCCCCCCGATGTGTCGTTGCCATCCTGCTAAGGGGAAGCTGCCAACGAGCAGGCATAGGAATAGATTGACAGATACATAAATACAGGGAGAGTCGACCCACCATCCCCCAACGTAGACGCCCACCGAATCACCTCGTCGGCGCCCGCCGTCTCCATGTACGTGATGGACACCTCGGCGACGAACAGGAACTCGCAGCCGGCCAGGTCGCCGAGGACCGCGGCGAGGGCCTGCTGGAGGGTGGCGAGCTCGCGGAGGTCGCAGCCAATCTGAACGTAGCGGTCGCTCTCGAAGACGACGCTGGGGTGTCGCTGTTGTTGTTGCGCACGCACGCCCGTCAACCCGGCCAGCAGCTCGGGCGTGGCGGCGACGGTCTGACGCTTGCGCTCGATCAGCTCGGGGAAGTCGACGTCGACGAACCGCGCGCGCCCGCAGTGCTCGGGATACCGCGAGAGGCACTGCCACGGGAGGACGTCGCTGCGGGTGTGAAGCCAATCATGGTCAACGATTTTTCTTTTTTGACGTGTGTAGGTGATCACATCTTGTATCCCGTAGCTCGTAGGGAGTGGGAATGTCCTCACCTGCCACAGCCCAGATTCACGACGACCTTCGTCTTGCCACTGCTATCAGGACCAACACCCTGCAGGAACCTGCGCACCAGGACGTCAATGACGTGCAGGCGCAGGTGGTAGCCCCTGTTGATGAGGGGGCTGCGGCGCATGAACTTGTGGACGAAGAAGCGGAAAAAGTGCGGCTCGCGCGGGTAGTACAGCTTCTCGACGCTGCGCTTGGACACGATGCTGCTGCTATTTGTCTAGATACCCAACTGTCAACAATTGAATCGTAGACAAAGTGTGCTAATGTTGAAACATACAGACATGACCTGGACGTCCTGGGCCTTGTGCGCCGGTGACCTCTTTTTGCTGTTGCTGCTGCGCGCCGCCCGGACAGCCGCTACACCGTCCCTGGCCATTTTTAGGGGGGTTAGTCTTTTGATTTATTTTTGGTATTAGGCGGCCTCAGAATCTGACCAAAATCTCATCAAAGGACAGAGACGCGGTTGAGCACTAGAGAGCAAGTGAGAGACGCTGAACCAGAAGCTTTGAATTGCTGCAGTTGAGAATTCACACGGTACAGTATGGGTCCGCTGCGCATACTGTACATAGATACCACCCAGAACACCTGCCAAGCCCTGGCTGGCCTCCCTCCCAAGTCAGGGGTACCCGCCCGAGACAAAAATGGGGACAGAACCTGGCAAGTTATTAGACAAACGAGATTCTACAGTATATCGTCTATAGAAAACCAATCGTGAAATGACATATACAAAAAAAGGCCAAAAAGGCCAAAAAAGGCCACAAAAGGGTTCGAGCCCCGGCACACTCCAGCTTTGTATGTACAGTACAGAGTACACATGCGACAGAGCCAATTGAAAACATGAAAACATGACCCCCTCAAACGACAACTCCTCTCTGCGCCCACCCGTTCTTGCCCTTCCACGCCCACAGGACCAAGCCACACGCGACCCAGATGCTCGCCGCCATGGCCCAGAACGTCGGCGCGTAGCAGGCGGCCCCGTAGCAAAAGACATCCTGGCCACCACCGCCCCCGTCCCCGTCCCCGTCCCCGCCCCCTGGAGAGCCAGCAGCCCGCTTCGCCGCGGCCTGGTAGACGGCCGAGTAGATGACGCCCCACGTGGTAGCGCCCAGGGCCGGAAACATGGCAACAATACCCCAGTTGGTGGCAAAGTTCTCGACGCCCCAGATGACGGTGATGATGATGGGCGTGAGGCTGAAGACGGCGCCGTAGCCCGCGCCCACGAGCCCCGACACGATCCAAAACCGCTCGCCGTGGTTCTGAATCAGGCCCGACGCCAGGCTGGCCAGCCCCAGCGACAGCACGCCTGCGAAGAAAAGCAGAAACGAGATGCGCGACACGGACAGGTGCCGCCCCCGCGTCGACTCCTCCTCCTCCTCCTCCTCCTCCTCCTCCTCCGGCACCGCAACCGACGTGATCTGGATGTGCCGCGCCTGCGGGCTCGGCGCTAGCAGGTCCGTCAAGGTGCCCGTGAGCAGCCGCACCACGGTGCTCGTGATACCCACAATCGACACGTGGGTGGCCGCCGACGTGGGCTTGCCCTCGTAGTGCAACGTCGGCGGGTACAGCGTCTTGATGACAGTGCCCAGGTTGTTTATAAAGGCCTCGCCGGGCCCGATCATGAAGAAGAAGCCGAGCGCAAAGCACCACATGGTGTGGTCCGTCAAGAAGCGCCGCGTCTCGGCGTTGAGCACCCACTGCTTCTTGAGGCGCGCCTCGTCCTCGTCCAAGTCGTCGTTGGAGGGGCCGAGAATCCCCGCGTCGTCTCCCTCGTCGAACGGATTCGTCGACTGCTCGATGGCCCCGTAGCCCCTCTCGGACCTGCTGGGGCCGAACAGGGCGCTGCCGTCTAGAATACCACTGCGTTCGAGCTCCTCGACAGCCTCGTCGATAAAGTCGCGCTCGTCGACAATCTTGAGCCCGACGGTGCCAGACAAACCCACCACAAACAGCAGCACGGCGAGAAACAGGAAAAAGCGGAACACGTCCACGTCGCCCTTGGTGCCGTCGGGCAGCCGCTCGCAGAACACGCGGCTGCCCAGCTGGCTCAGCCACATGCCGCTGAGCCCAAACGCCGCGATGGGCACCGCGAGCGCCAGCCCGCGGTGCCTGCCCTTGCCAAAGTTCTTTGCGCACGTCGCCACAGCACTCAAATACATGCTACACGTACCAACACCGATAAAGACAAACGCGACAATCATGGCCGCGAACGTCCACGAGCCGTGCTGCTGCACCAGAGCCCCACCCTCCTGCGCGTCGCCCACGACCCTCCTGTACAGCGCAGCAGCCAGACCATAGCCAACACCAAAGAAGACGGCCGCCAGCAGCGACAGCGGCGCGGGCCCGACGCGGTCGCACAGGTAGCCCAGCAGCGGCACGAGAATGTACATGGCGATGGAGGCGGCGCAGGCGACGCCGTTGACCTGGAACTGCGTGTAGTGCAGCCGCTCCTGGAAGATGTGCCCGTACAGGCTGAACACGGTCACGGAACCCGCGCACAGCGACGACAGCACCGCCGACGCGAACGACAGGCTGCGCGCCGCCGCCACCGCCTGCAGCCGCTTGTCGCCGCCGCGCAGCGGAGAGAGCGACCGGAGCGATGACGAGGACGAGCTTGCCGGGCCTAGTGTCGAGGTTGTGTCTGAGTGCAGCAGAGGCGTCGACGCCGTGGCCGTGCCGTCGCTTGTGCCGCCGCCGCCGCCGCTGCCGAGCGGACCGGTGTGCGACATGGTGCGCGCGGTGAGACTCGAGGATCGGGGATTAATTTGAGCGAGTGTTGGACGAGGATAGTCTAGGTTCGGTTCGGTTCGGAGATGATGGCAAGCTAAAGCCTCGTGCGGGTTCGTCTTCAGGGCTGCTCCGTTTGCATCTTCACCGCCCAGGCCTGTTGGTAGGTAGACAACTCAGCAGCCGAGATAGTCGCTTTCGGGGTGATCTTGGATATAATGAGCGAGTTTGTTGTTGGATACCTAGGTCCCAACCTTGATGGCCAGTGGTGAATTAGTCACAAGCTCAGGCTCCCGTTGTCCGTCACCGAAGAGGGGCTGCTGTAGGTAGCTTGCTCAGCCGCTCGCCCCCACTGTATCCCCCCGCAAGCCATCAGAAGCCACTGATGTGCTGAGACCCCGCCACTCCCATGTTTGCCCGTGGGTTTGTTAGCGGAGGACTTTCCGAGATATGAAGGGACCTCCACGTTGTTCGCCGAAGGAGGTGATATCTATTGGAGTCTCTATTTTAGAATCCTGAAGGGGGGGATTATCTATTAGAATCCCTATTTTAGGATTATGGAGGCCTACCTTGTCTCTAAAAAGATCTAATAAAAGCCTTTTCCAGCCGGTTCTTCCCAAGTACCACGCCAACAAACATTCATACGAGTAAGGAAGGCGCCATTCACACCTTAAGCACCCAGCCTCACTGGCAGTACTTGCCTCAATTCCTCAACCTGGAAACTTTTCGGTTGGGCGAATTAGGTTCTACTACTATGCCGAGCCGTAGCCTCTCCAAATTCCGTTTCGCAAAGTCATCCAGAAATATTTAAATTTCATTGATCAAAGTCATTGCAGTCTCAAGCCCCTCGCTCACTTGCAACCCAATGGATCGCCTGTTGGCTGATCATCTGGACGCCCTTAGGGCTAACGTCCAGCTGCGAAGAGACAACCTGCAGAACCTGATCCCTTCCTTAACGGCCCACGAGATCCGAGAGTTGCGCCAACAGCTCGACGCGGTGGACTTCCGCACCGACATTCTTGCCCGTCTCCCCGTGGAGCTGCACTTGTTGGTGGCAGACTACGTCGATGGCGCCGATATCTACAGCTTCCTCACCGTATCCAGACGGTGGAGGAGGATTTGGCTGCAGGACCGCATGCGGAGACTTCTCGCCGACCGCTGGCTCCCCGGGCTTCGCCGCTATACTGAGGAGAAGGAGCGCCTCACGGCCGAGGGACAAGACCAGCCCGCCATCTTCTACGATGCCGCACGCCGCCTGCACTTCAGGTCGCTAGGCAAATTCCAAGCGATTTTTGTACACCCCGAGTTCGAAGAAGTGGGCGACGACGGCGGCAAGGGGGCACTTGAGAGCTACTTCCCCTTGGACCCCACATGCCGTCCCGTCAAAGGCAACGACGAGGACCCTTGGAAGGGAATCCTCCATGAGCCCCCCAAGCTAAATCTATCCGCTTGGCCATTGGTAAAATATCTCTACTCCAGTGGGCGACTTGCCTGGCAATCCCCTTTTGCGGAACCAAACAACTCTCTGGTCTTTGTCGACGACCTCAGAACCAAGCTGCGCAGGGTATACCAGTTACCTGATCTGACCCTTCGTGGGCCTAATTTTCAACTACGGGCTTTTGGCGACAAACTGGTGGTGGTTTCCGTGTCTAGGACACTGTGAGTTGCATTCTCCTTTTTCTCCCCATTGTCCCTGCGCGTGGCTGAGTGGTTTGTCTTGAATTGTAGCTACGCATGGCACCTCGAGACCCGGCAACTCGACATGGTCACACTGCCGACAGCGCTATTCAAGTGTGAAACAAAAGGCACCCGCGTTTATATCTACAACGAAGCCGCCATCGAGATATGGGCGTGGACGTTCAAATCGGGTCTGCGAGCTATCGACACCACCGAGATGCGGACGTACGTGGACTGGACCTTCTCCAATCACAATGCACATAGGAGAGAGGACTACCAGATTGGTGTCTTATTCCATCCGCTCGTGGAAAGCACCGTCTTCTTTGCTATCCCCATGGTAAAGGTCAAGGCGGTGGCTGTCTTCGAGTACAAGAATGAGCGATACTCCTGTCTCTTCGCATCTCCCGTGCCGCAGACTACCTACGGTTGCCCCTACGCCTATCGCATACTCGAGGTTCACGTTCATTCTGCCCCGATAAACTCGTACGGCCTCTATATGATAGCCGCCATCCATGTTCAGAGCCTGGATCCTCTGTACCGTCCCCCCCCGGACATATCCTTGATATGTTTCAATACTCTAGACTGTTCATTCTCGTCACAAGACTATCGGGTGCCGTCCGTTGAGCGGAAACCCGTTCTTAGTAGTACTATTGAGTTCACGCCAGCGTGGTGGCACGGCCAGATGACAGCCTGGGTGGATTTAGAACAATCTTACAGGAACGAAGACCTCAGCGAAGAAGACGCCCATCTGGTGACAACAAGAGAACTTGGCACGTCACGTTTTAACTCGGACTCGGTGACCCGCGTTTGGAAGGGAGAACAACAGCCCAGACTCCAAATTCGCCGCGCCGAGATGGAGTTGGACAAGATGGTCGAAGGGATTTTAGGCGTGCCGTGCAGCCCTGACCTGACAGTCAATGATGTAGCACGTGTCAGGGGCAAGGTGGCAAGCAAGTATTCTGCCGACCACGTGCAGTATTGCCTCGATATATCCGGTCTCGACTCGGTCCTCCATAACGATGTCGGGCGGGAAGTCATCCTTGACGACGATTTCATCGTCTTACTCCACGCCGGCGGCTACATTATCTGGAGTTTCTATACTGATACGCCGGTGATGTAAAGCCTTTGGAGGCTGTGATCCCTGCCTGAGGGGTTTGCATAGAGACTGGTTAATAATTAGAATGTCTACTTACGTGATAGTACACATAATAATAGGACATTATATGGGTTTCGCGAGTAATACCGGTATCTAAGAAGGCCTCGAGCATTCTACGCGAGGCCTTTGGGTTTCTTTATGAACGCTTGACGAGAATACCAGACGTATTTTTTTTACCTAGTCTAGAGTCCAAATGGACGCTTTTGATAGATGTCGATAAAGACTTGTGTGTAAAAAGCAACGCTTGTCATCTTTCATTGATGGTGGAAATGCCCTTGTCCTGTTGTCCATCACATCGTGAAGGATAACTCTAGCGATCTTGGCTCTCAACGAGCGTGCGAGTGTATTCCGTTGAGTCTTGTGGCGATGTCTACTTCTTCCTGTGGCCAGTCTTCTACTTCGTTTAGGAGCTCGACCAGTCTGGTAGGTTCTCGGCCATATACAGCTTTGTCAGGTCGCGTCCCAGGCTGAGGATTGTGTGTCCGGCCTCGACTCTGGTGTCCAAACCCCCTCTTGGTAATATGCGCTGCGTCTTTACCCCTGTGGTCCCTGCTTGAAGGGATATGCCTCCTGTCCAAGGGGAATGTAGCGACGCATATGGACCAAGGTTTTGGTGGTGATCTTATGCGTCGATTAGCGTCCAGGACAACCGCAAGAAATCCTTTGTCTAATGCGTCCTCGAACTCCGGAAAGCGTGTGCCACAGGACCGTATCTGCATATTAACTTCATGCCATAGGAAATTGGAAGAAAAAGAACGAAGAAACAAGAGCCAAAATAGTTCTGCATTTCTCCAAGGAGAGAATAAATCAAAACGAAAGAAGCAAGCAAGGTTATTGGAGATGTTTAAAACGAAAATAATTGCGGTTTATCGAATTTCCATATTTCATAATGTAGCAAAGTGTTTCTTCATGATGTTTACCTTATTAGCTTCAACAGAGACCTCCATTGGATTTAATTCTAGACGGCGTAGATTCCATTACTCGCTGCCTCTTTCATCGCCGCTTACTGGTGCTAGAGAAGGAACAAGCGTCTCCGAGCTTGGGAAAACGCCCATGTCATGATATTTTTTTCTGTGCGATAAATAGTGCCTGGAACGATTTGTCATTTTCGCCGGTGAGGACTTGCTATTCTTCGAGCTCGACCTGAAGAAATACGCCAAATAACTATCAGGTCATCACTGATCAAGTCGGCTGCTCATTATATTAAATGTAAACCGGCTAGATTCTTGGACTTTACATCTACATGTAGGCATATGTACGCTTGCTCAAGATTCAAAGCTTCCGACGGAGGAAATATATCCAGAATTGCTTAATATGAAAGGAATGGCTGCCTACACACCGACTCATATCCGAATCCCTCTCAATCTGGCACACAAGCCATCTCTCTTTTCCCGCTCCATCGGCCGTGTTTTATCCAGCACAGTTGCGGTAGGCGCAGCGGTACTAGAAGCCGTAGGATCGTACTTTGCGCCTCGGGAAAAAACACAGGCACTGCGCACATTTCGAGATTTCTCCCCCTATAGCCGTAATACGTACAGTTGCGTAGACGTGGTCGCGTGCTTCATAATCCGGCGGCAACGGCGCCGTCGGGTTTTCACACGAGAACCTCACGATACATTGAGTAAGCTTCTTCGTTTGGAGCAGATATCCGATTTACGAGTCACGGCGGCAGTCGTAGATTGGGGTTCGAGGCTAGCTTGACAGCTCGTGTCCTGCGTGGCCAACGCTGGTGATTTCCTCTATATTTGCAGCCTGGCTTGAACTTGGCAGCCTCTAGCATTCACGTCATAATGCTTACGAGGGAACGGCGTCGCTAGACGAGTTAGATGCACTGCTGCTCCAAGCTGCCATCACCACACTGCGAACGCCCAAACTACACACCATAATGCCCGAGCACGGCGGCACGGACAATGCCTACGCCTTCGTGTGCCGTACCGATAGAGACACATCACGTAGCACCTGTAGCAGGACCTACGTCTGGCAGCGCGTGGCCTCGGAGACTTGGCTGTGCGCTCCGCGTCACCAAGCAGTGAGCTGAGGGTGTTATGGTGGGTTGCCGTGCCAACGCCATCCATCATCACCTGGGCCTGCCCTGCCCTGCCGGGCGAGAGCCGTTGAACGATGCATGTACCTAGGTACCCTGCACCTTGGATCAGACGGTTTGGTTTTCAACCGTCGACTTCGGCCTTTTCTCGGCCTCTCTACTATGACTCACACTCTCCTCCTGCTGGTGAACTCCCCGATGACGAAATGTGCCGCTTCGGTCACGCGGTCTGCAGTGAAGCGTTCTACAGTCTCGCGCGGTGCTGAGCTGCGAGCTGCCTAAGGTGCCTTAGGCAGAATCCCATTCAGTCTCAGTCACGAGGCACCAGCGAAATTATCTACTAAATAGAAGCAAAGCACATTCTCTCGGAACGAAGTTAATGCTGCGGCAAGGGAGTTATGGAGGCGCCCAGTCTGGGAGCAGTAAGGACTGGCGACGGCTTGTGGGTACTCAAAGCTGCCCTGACCATCAACGGCCCGTTGCGTGCAAAAATGGGAGATCAACTTCGGGCCGTAGAGCACCAACAAACCCACCAGCAACGGCTGCTAGAGCCCGTACCCTTTTCACCCAGAGACTCGACCAGCCAGTACCGGAAGTGAAGCTCCGGCACGCAGGGGAAAGACTGCCTGTTTATTCCACAGCATTCTTTTGGCGTCGAGATCGTCTGATGTTTCTCGCAGCCGCTCACACAGCACAGGCCAGCAGTTCGGCAAACAGCCGCTGCGTACCTGCGTTGAGTGTGGAGCCATGACTTTGCAGCGGTCCTTGGGAACAAGCGGTATCCACTTGGGGCAGAGATGTTCATCAGCCTGTTGCTAACTCAAAGTATAAACAGTGGGGAACTTCTTCTGCTGTTAGTCAATGTCACTGGCAGATGGACGTGCAGTTCCCTGCCTGCCGGGAAGTTGAATTTGCCTTGGGATTTTGGGAGTGGATACGTCGTACAGAAACGGGGGGGCCTCCCGCGTAGCAACCAAACAGGCAAACGGGTAGACGGGTTGATTTGCAACAGCGTTCTGACTGGCACTGATGAAGACGAGCACGGGGGCTTGGAACGTATTTTTTAATAACGTGACAAAATCATGGCACTCACCGAGCCGTAATTGATTTTAACGACTTGCCCATAGGATTTGAGGGAGTGCCTGTGGGTAGATTTGATTTTCCGTTTAATTACCTTGGAGCTGTGATTGTGCTGCAAATTCGTCATGTTTCCCTTTGCTTGACCTTGATCTTGGGTAGATTATGGATTACCAGCGTTGCGGGCAAAGAGGTTTGTCTAGGCAAAGTCTTTGCTCTAAGGACACGATATGAGCAATCAAATGCGTCGCACAGTCATGAGTGTAATTATTATTTACGTGTCCCATCCTACAAAATGTGCCCGATATATTAAAGGGGCGTGCTCTGTACGTAAATATCAAAGTTCTGTGCAGATTTAGACTTGGTAAATAGTTTCCTTCCCCGTCTTTGTCATCGAGCTCGACGCTGTCTCATTTGGCATATCTACTGCGTCGCGAGTAGCGAAATCTCAGGCCAGTCTCAGCCTTGTGTCTAGCACATCCGTCGCGCTTTTGGTAGACACTCTTCCTCATTTAACGATATAGAAATTCGACAATAAACACAACGAAAATCGGGGGAGGCAGGTTATTATTTTGCGCGTGTCCCGAGAGACATGGGATTCACAAAGCTGGATGCAGCTGGGGCTCTGGCAAGGATTGTGAGCCATGCAGGGTTACATCTGCGGTCGCGGTGGCGTTCGGCTGGGCGGCCACGAACAACCGACCCGCTTTGATTGATTGGCATGTTGGGGGGGGCGGGTCAAAGCTCCCTAGCTTTGTTCCAACGTTCCTCGTACTAAATTTTGCAGAGCCTCAACACCATCACCAAAATCCCAAGTCGCTGAATGCGCGCGACCGTCTTCACCGCGACCTCACTTGCGCATCGATTCCTGCAGGCGTGGAGAAGCCCCCGAACATGGTAGCCTAGAGGCACGGTCCAATTGCTTCTCTACGCGACGCGCATTGTTGCCCCACCGACACACTTCCCCGATGCGTACCTTTCCGACGACGCGCACCTTCCTTGCCCGATCGCAACCCCTAAACTTCAGACCGCATCCCCTCGACATTCTCGCAAGCCCCGAGCTGCAGGCCCATCACCTCGACCTCAATATAAGCTGTCTTGGTCTGTTTATCTACGTAGGAGGCATTGCCGTCGATTCTCCCTCAGCGAGATACCATAACGTAAATATCCCCCCCGTATGATTTGGTTTTCCCCGGTGCCTCGAGCTCTGTCGGGTCGTCTAAACATTGGGAGCGGAGCAGAGGCTATGCCCCCTTCTACCAGTTCTATTGTGGTGCAATTAGTTTCTATTTTAATAGCGTGATCGGGTTCTGCTGGTTCCTATTGTTCTGTTATCGGGCCGGCTGTGAATCGCACCTTCCGTCCGATTGTTGTCTGCACCTCCCCTCCTCGACAGTGTCGACACGGACCCATCGGGCAATTAGTGCCTGCGTGCGGTCGTAGGTGCTCGTGTATTTAAACTCTTCCTGCCTCCCTTCCTCTTTCCTTCTTCAACTCTTTCGTGCGTCTTGTTACCAGAGCTTCCCAGAAGCAGCGACCAACCAGACCTTTTTTCTTTGCGAAGAGTTACCATACTAACAGTATGGAACCAGCCCCTGTTGCCTCTGCCCTTTCGGGCAACAGCACACCTCCGCCTCCCCCCTCCTCCTTCCCCCTCTCCCCCCCGCCACCTGGCGGCCAATCTCGCCTGGTCACGGCGAAAAGCGAGGAAGTTGGCGACTCGTTCGCAACTGAGCTTTTCGTGGCAGTCGTAAACGACTGCTACATGAGAGTGGACTGTTGGTGCGGAAGCCCAACAGTCTACGCCTCGAAGGCCGAGGCTGAGGTTGGTGTCGGCCACCTCCGATTCTTCCGCGCCGGCGAGGACCTTCGGGTCATTCAAGTAAAGGACGACGAGCGCTGTAAGTTTTTCAGCTTGTCCTTGTCAATCGCTCATTCAGCTTGTTCTCATCAATCGCCCATTCACCTTGTTCTCACCAATCGCTCATTTCATGCTAATCATTTCATAGGGCTTTGTGCGTGCGGAAGCACAGGGGAATACCACCCGGCATACGCCGCCATCCTCGAGGGCAGCAGCCGGAAGCGCCCGGCAGAAGACTCCGAGTTCGAGTTGATCGCGAACTCGGAGGAGAAGAAGAGCGGGCGGGCCGAGAGAGAGGTCCTTGCGACCGCCGGGACTTCTGTCCCAGGATTTGTGGCCGGGCCAGCCGGCCAAGAACACGAAGGCTCAATCGAGCAAGTTTTTGGGACCGCGAGGTCCATGCTGGCCGGCGTCGCCGGCTTCGTCAAGACGATGGGAGGCTCGGTCCTCAGCCTCCTCGACAAAATCCGAGGGGCGGTGCGACCAGCACCAGCCACCGAGGTCCGCGCCGTCAGCGGCGCCAACGTCGCCATCAAGCGCATCAAGCGCATGCACTCGGTGCTAGCCAACCCAACGCTGGCGACAGAACAACTCGGCATTGCCGAGTTCCCCTATCTCGAGTGGGTGACGGACGTCACCCAAAACGTCGGGTTGGAGGCGCTCCAGCGCCTCTACGGAGGGCTGGAGACGCTCCAGAACCAACTCGACAGCGGCAAATACTCTGGCGGCGTGAGCGTCGAGACCATCAAGAAGGAGCACGACCCCGCCAGCGGCGAGCTTCTTGAGCTCAACAGCGCTCTTGCCCATCTCTCGGAGCAGCTGTACGGGAAGATCGAGAACACGGACAGCCGCAGGGATCGGGCGAACAAGTTCAACCAGACGGTCATCGTGTTTCGGAAAGGCCTTCGGACCGCCATGGGCTTCATAGACAAGGTCTACAACTCGCAGTCGCTCGATAACATGAAGCGACGCCACCCAAGGCCGCCAAAGTCTGTGTGTCTCGCCGACATCTTCGGCAGATGCGACTACCGGATCGGTGCCGAGTTTCTCGGCTTTCTTTTGACCATCAAAGATGTGATTGGTCTCACGGGAGATGACGAGCTGGCCATCACCAAGATTGTTGTGGATGTTAATGCCCTTCACAAGCAAGAATTGCTCCCTAGCTTCGTCATTTGCCCTGGTCTGCATGATGTCCCGGTCATGCCAGGCAGCTACCCCACCCCTTTTTTCGACGAGATTGAGGTTGGCCAGACGACTATCGACCCAGTCTATGCCTTGAAGCATCCATCGCCGGCCCCGAGACGAGTGGGAACCCCCCTCAAGCCGTGCAAGCCGAGACGCATCATCCAGCCCAAAGGAATCCTGAAGCAGTCGAAGCCTTGGGACGAGAACCCGGCCTCACCCAAGTACGTTTCGACGCCCGAGAAGAAACGAACACTCGACTTTCTCAGTCCTTTGGCCATCTACTCGCCGCCTAGCAAGGCTCCTGTCGTGACCATTACCGCAGCCGAGGCAGAAGAGATTGCGCAGCAAGAGAAGAAGGCCGCAGAGGCTGCTGCAGAGGCTGTTGCAAAGCAAGAGCACGAGGACGCACGATTGGCCGAAGATCTCTATTGGCAATCTCTCCATGGCAGTGACAAGCATTCTCCCAGCACCGTGGCAATGGCCGAGAGCGAGATGCGACTCCGTTACCACCACCTTAAGTACGGCAAATTCCTGCAAGATGTCGCGCTCGACATCAAGCACGGCATTGAGAAGCAGAAGGAGCTCGACGAGCACAAGATGAAGATTGAGCAAGCTCGTCTTGATGCGGAGCTTCAGCATCATCAGCGGCTGAAGGTCATGTCGAAGATGAGAGCCTCGTCGTACAATCTCCTGAGTGAGGACGAGAGACGTGTGCTCTGGGACAAGCACCTTGAACGTTTGGATAGTCAGCCGCATGGTAGCACTGTCGAGAACCATGAGATTGCAGCCAGTCGCCAGATCGATCTCGAGGTGACCAACCAAATCGAGGGAGAATGGGTGAAATCCATCGAGCGCCGCAATGCGGAAGAGGCTGAGCACAAGGCCAAGGAAGAGGCTCGTCGTAAAGCTGAAGAAGAAGCGCGTCTGGCTGAGGAAAAGGCACGACGCATTCAAGAAGAGGCACGACGTGCTGAGGACGAGGCCCGGCGACGAGTGGCCGAAGAGGCTGCTGCATACGAGGCCGAGACGGGGCTTAGACGTGCCCGGCGAGCGTTGGTCACCCCGCTGCAGCCAGACTGGGACGCAAAAGTCGACCGTGCTACGAGTCGAGATAGTTTCTCAGCCAACTTGGCACAGGCAGTCGATGGAAGCAATCTCACAGGCCGCGACATGTCAATGCTGATCCCGCCAACGGAATGGCTCAACGACAATGTCATCAATGCCTCGCTCGCGCATCTCGCCAGAAGGATGAACGCCGTTAACGACAATGCTGGAGACGGCAGAGATCAAGCTCCGAAGTGTGCTGCCTTGAGTTCATTCTTCTATCTTCGTATACAGAGTGCGGGCCCAAACAGCGCGGGGCGTATAATGCGGCAGGCCAACGTCAGAGCGCCGTTCTTCCTTGACATTGAGACGATCCTCGTCCCCATTTGCAACAGCAATCACTGGACTCTGGGTGTGGTTCGCCCCACGCGACGGACGGTGGCGCATATGGACTCGATGCGCGCAACTGGTGGCACCGAGGTCACGGGCATGTTGCTCAACTGGGTCAAGGCGACTTTAGGGCAGGCGTTTGTCGAGAGCGATTGGAAGGTAGTCGACTATGGGGCACCGCGGCAGACCAATGGCTGGGACTGCGGCGTTTTCACCATCACCAACGCTATTTGCATGGCAGCGGGCCTGGACCCAAGACATGCATACACGAGCCGAGAGCTCTCGCTTCAGAGACGACGCCTAGCAGCGGTTTTGCTCAACCAAGGCTTTCACGGCGATTTCAGCCTCGATGATCTCTAGAGCGGCCATCATTCGGGTCCATATAAGGACTTTTATTGTCAGAATCTACGACTGGCGTCTTTGTTCGTCTTGGGTATGGCGCATCATATTATACGGGGTATAGAGAAGGGACATTCGAGCATGGCTGGAGTTTTGGCGTCGCATGAACGACCGACGGACATGTCGAGGATTCTGATGGGAATACCCTTGTGGGATTTTGTGGTGTGGGATTATTTTGTGTAGATTACCTTATGGGATTACCTTTGCTGGAGAATTTTGGACAGGAACTGGAGGTGCCCTTGGGGCGGTGGGATTCACACACATGGATTGCTTGCCTGGTTGATTGATTGACAAGATAATATATACTTACATAGGCGTGCTAAGATCCCGTCTTCCGACTGACCGCGCACGATCGCGAAGAGAGAGGGAATTAATACAAGCTTGTGATGCCGCTGAGGCACACGAGATCTTCTTCTCTATGGGGAATACCTTGCTTTTGTTGCGGCTTCGTGATTGTGAAAGTGACGATTGTTGTGCAGTCACGTGATTATGGGCGGCCTGTCCGTGTCCAGATGCCGCTCTATTTTCTCCCCTGACGATCTCAAGACAGGGCTGGGCGGCGACCAGGTTGATGTTGATCCCGAGCCTAGATTGTCACTTTTGTGGATCGAAGGCGCTCGGCAATCTGCTGTTGTCGTGTACTATACTGTTCCATCGAAGAAGCAGGGCAAGACATGCCTGAGGAGAGATACAGGCCTGTTCCCTGAGCGGCAGGTTTCGTTGTTGTTGCTATTACGGCCACCATTCTCAACTATTCTAGTACTTTACTTTACATGACTGTAGGCATAACCATGGATACAGCACCGGGGAAGACCGTGGCAGCTGGATGGATTGACGCTGTTGCAGCTTTTCCCCGAATTTGTTCAAGAAGTCGTGTCTTGACTGCCCTGTCCGACAACAGCAGCAAGGGCAAGGCAAACAAGCAAGCAAAAGCTCCGGGAGATGTGATTCTTAAGGGTTTCTCCCATTGGCGGAAAATAACCTGGAACCACCTCAGTTGGGACTGGGCGACAATTTCACATTCACATGCTAATTAGGTTAGGCCTCAATGAGAGACTTTGACTTTGAGTGCCGCAACGGTCAGCTAATAAGTAAGCCACCCAGGGCAATTCTGGTTCCTCTGGCCTCTGCCTCGCCAAAAAAAAAGTCGCTGGCCAATGGCTGGGCTGCATCTTGTCACAAGGGCCTTTCGCTGGCGCTGAGACGTGCGGGAGAATCGGGGATTTCCTCTTTGCCACAGTACGGGCTGGCTGGCTGTCAGAAGAGGGAAGGATGGGCGGGAGGCTTCAATCTTGGACCGACCCTGTCTTTGGCTCTGCAGGAACCCGGGACCCGAAACTCGCAGTGGCGTCGGGGTTTCTTTTGCCGCGCCAGCCAGGGCGCCTCGGTCTGTCTCTTTAACATTTAAAAATTTTGTGGCTATTGTGAGTGCCGCTGTTACCAGGCCTCCTCCATATTGGCATTGGCATTGGCATCCCATTGGCATTGGAGCCGAATCGGTGGCTCGCTGGCTGGATCCATTACCCCCCTAACTCACTAACTGAAAGCTTGCGTGGCGCGCCCAACCAGCGGACGGCCCAGGTCCTTTAGTGGAAACACCTACCCGCCTAGACGGGACGCTAGACGGGGCCGCTCAGGCTTCGGTGTAGATGGGACCGACGGACGCCTCGCCCGACGTCAATTCGACTTTGAGCCAGCTCAGCTACCTGACCTAGGCTGCACGTCGCCCGCCTCCAAAAGCAATTGATCAATTTTTTTATGATAATAGATATTCCTACGGGCGACAATCTGCGGGCGGGCTTCAACGGCTCCGTCGAGCAGCTCATGTCCACGAGGCGGCCAGCTTGAACAGAACACATACCTAGTCTCGACTAAAAGACGCGTCTGGGCTCCATTAGCTCTATCAAACATAACATCTATCGACAGGCATCTATCAGACGCTCCGCTGTGTTGCGTGGGCGACGGTTGCGTCATTGCGGAGCTGTCCCAACCACCGTTGCGAACCTTCGCAGTCGGCCTTGTCGCCGCCCGTCCTATCGCATCCCGTCTAGGTCTAGGTCACCGGGCTGGCCCTCACTCAGTCTGTCCAAGATCAACGGGAACAGGAACAGGAACAGGAAAAGTCAGGCCGAGTGATAGCAGCAGCAGCAGTTCCGTCCTGCTTCTCTGTTCGGATTGCAGCCACTGCGCTGTCTTTTGTAACGAGACGCCGACAGCGATAGCGACATCGACAGCAGCGGCAACAACAACAGCCCAGACAGCGACAGCACCATGCCGCGGCTCGCGAGAGCTGCGCGCCGGCTAATTGCCCCCGTGGCCGTGGCTGGCGTGGCCGGCGGGGCCCTCTACTACGTGTACCGGCCGCGCAACATCCCTGGCTACGACGGCCCCGCCGTGCCCCATCCCATCTTTGGCGGCGGCGGCACCTTCAAGCTGCCTCGCTTCCCGCGCATCAGGTCGCGCGCCGAGCAGATCGAAGCCCTCAAGAAGAGCAGCGCCTCCTCCAGTGGCCAAGACGCCGAGTACGACATCCTGGTCATTGGCGCCGGCGCAACCGGGGCCGGCGTGGCCCTCGATGCCGCCACCCGCGGCCTGCGCGTCGCCGTCGTCGAGCGCGACGACTTCAGCAGCGGCACCAGCAGCAAGAGCACAAAGCTCGTGCACGGCGGCGTGCGCTACCTCGAAAAGGCCGTCTGGAACCTCGACTACGCCCAGTACGAGCTCGTCAAGGAGGCCCTCAAGGAGCGCAAGTACTTCCTGCAGACGGCCCCCCACCTCAGTATGTGGCTGCCCATCATGCTGCCCCTGGACCGCTGGTGGAAGGTGCCCTATTACTGGGCCGGCACAAAGTTCTACGACTTCCTCGCCGGCAGCGAGGGCATCGAGAGCTCCTACTTCCTGACCAAGAGCAAGGCCATCGACGCCTTCCCCATGCTCAAGCAGACCGACCTGGTCGGCGCCCTCGTCTACTACGACGGCGCCCACAACGACTCGCGCATGAACGTGTCCATCGCCATGACCGCCGCCCTGTACGGCGCCACCGTCGTCAACCATGCCGAGGTCACCGCCCTGCTCAAGGACGACCACGGCAAGGTCCGCGGCGCCACCGTCCGGGACATGGTCGCCGAGCGCGACGGCAGGAGGCCCGACTCGTTCAACATCCGCGCAAAGTGCACCATCAACTGCACCGGCCCCTTCACCGACGGCGTGCGCAAGCTCGACGACCCCAGCTGCAAGGAGATCGTCGCCCCGGCTTCGGGCGTGCACGTCATCCTCCCCGGCTACTACAGCCCCGGCAAGATGGGCCTCATCGACCCCTCGACGTCAGACGGCCGCGTCATCTTCTTCCTGCCGTGGCAGGGCAACACCATCGCCGGCACCACCGACGAGCCCGCCACCATCGCCACGAACCCGCTCCCCGACGAGAGGTCCATCGAGTGGATCCTCAACGAGATCAGCCACTACCTGTCTCCCGACATCAACGTCCGCCGCGGCGACGTGCTGGCCGCCTGGTCGGGCCTGCGCCCGCTCGTCAAGGACCCCAAGGCCAAGAACACCGAGTCGCTGGTGCGCAACCACCTGATCGACGTGTCCGAGTCGGGCCTCATCACGTGCGCCGGCGGCAAGTGGACCACGTACCGCCAGATGGCCGAGGAGTGCGTCGACGCGGCCGTCAACGAGTTCGGCCTGCAGACGCGGCCCGTGACCGACGCGCCGCGGGTCAGCGGGTCCGAGGCCATCGACGACGGCGCCAGCCTCGACGGCTCGTGCCAGACGCACCGCGTGCGGCTCGTCGGCGCGCACGGCTTCAGCCGCACCCTCTTCATCCACCTCATCCAGCACTTTGGCGTCGAGACCGAGGTGGCCAAGCACCTGACGGAAAGCTACGGTGACCGCGCCTGGACCGTCGCCGCCCTGTGTAAGCCCACCGACAAGCGCTTCCCCGCCCGCGGCGAGCGTATCTCCCAGCTGTACCCGTTCGTGGACGGCGAGATCCGCTACGCCGTCCGCCACGAGTACGCCCAGACCGCCGTCGACGTCCTCGCCCGCCGCACCCGCCTCGCCTTCCTCAACGCCCAGGCCGCCCTCGAGGCCCTGCCCACCGTCATTGACGTCATGGCCGAGGAGCTCAAGTGGGACCGCAAGCGCCAGGACGTCGAGTGGAAGGATAGTAAGCATTCCCCCTTCTCCTCCCGACAGAACAATATGAGCTAACTAGTGTGTGTGTGTGTGTGTTGTGTGCTCTAGCCGTCGCTTTCCTAGAGTCCATGGGCCTGCCCCCGTCCATGCTCTCCGTCACGAGGAAGCAGATCGAGCAGGGCAAGATCGACTTTCGCACCTCGCTCGAGTACAGAATGTACTCGCGCCACGAGAAGCCCGTCCTCGACAGCGACGACAAGCCGGAGTAGCCCAGCGTGGGATGTATGGGCGTGCATGTACGCATGGCATAGCAGGTGGATGGATGGTTAGATAGGGACTACCTACCTACCTAAGTAGGCAGGCAAGACTTGTATTTTCTCTCCTCTTGTTGTTGTTGTTGTTGTTGTTTTCGTGCGAGTCGGCATTGCCGTCTTCTTTCGTTATCATTGTTGTCGTTATCACCATCATCATAGCCATACTCATAGCCAGCACCCCCGTCAGAAGTCCGTGGTGGTAGTAGCAATGGCAGGGCGTTAGACTTTAGAACGGATCCGGTACCGGCATCTAGGTAGATGGGTAATATGGCGCGTCTCGTTCCATTCCTTTGCTATTCGCGTGGCAGAGATGGAACCACTGGAAGTTGGCTTTTTCTCCTTTTCACCTCTTCCCTTTTTTGTTATTCCCCTTTTTTGTTATTCCCCTTTTTTTCGATAGGGGGGCTCCCTTTCTCTGTGGCTGGGAGGTTTCTTAGTGTGTGTGTATGTGGTTTGCATTACATTGCATGTTCTTCTTCTTTTTCTCTGGGGGGATGTTGGATAGCATTCATTGGAATTTTAACATTTTATAGGAATATCATCATCATCAACCTGGGGACTCTATCTTGGGTGCTATTGACAGTGGCTTGAGCGGGGCTGGCTGCGTGTCAGCCGATCTTTTATCTTTCCTTCCGTTTGAGGACGTGTTGGAAACGGCAATGCGAAAAAGACCTGCTGCGGTGGAAGTACGAGGTTCGCTGGGTGGATAGATGTCAAAGTTAGGTATGGATTCAGAAAGGGTCCCCTTGTTGATAATCGGCTGTAGAGAGATCGGAGGGGGGTTCGTCGGACGGGAAACACAGACACACACTCTCCCTCCACAGAAGTATAAAAGTAGACTGGCTAGACTGCATCGCTGTGTTGATCTATAGATACCGTGTATATTAGGTATTAAGGGACCAACTGAGCCCAACTTGAAGGTGTGTAATCGAGCACAGAGTGGCACGCACGCAACGAGATTGAGATCCGCAAAACCCATATTGTGGGCTGGACCTTGTAGAGGGTAAACACTGCCGAAACCGAGATAGAATACGGGCTTAAGTCAAAGGTAAAGAAGTCATAACAACCAAGGTGTAGCATGACACGAGTGCTGGATCTAACTCGGTTGAAAGCAGGACGAAACCCCAGTTGAACTGGGACTAAACCCGGATGCAAGCGGGTTGTAATAAGAAAAGCATGGTGAGAGTGGCAGTTGTACTGTATAAGTGATGCTAGCCCGGTGACACGCATGACAAACCGAACAGTTGCGGAACTAGACGCGGCTGTGGGCTTGCTTCTAACGTAGAGGAACACGTCGTGAAGGCTGGATGAGCTTGGCGCATATAGCGTTAGGAGTTGGCGCTCGTTTCATTGGTGTCTGCCTATGGACTCGGAAACTGTGTCTGGTTACCGTAACTGAGCAAGCTGGATGGGCAGAACCGCCATCTTGGCCTGGCCAGTCCCAGGGCCGGGCTGTGCTCTGGTGGCAGCCATATAGGGGTATATAGAGGGATTCAACACGACGAGGGTTAGCTTGTCTATTCTTTACACATATATACACTGTGGCGGATAAAAGGAGAGAGCGCCGGCAGCAAGCCATCTACCGTATCTCTCCGCCGACTGCCTCGTCCGCTTGTGCTCAGAGACCGTATGACCCAGAGAGATGAGGGGCGAACATGGCAACCGCACCACCACCCCTTGGGAAGCATGTAGGCGGCATGTCTACCTGGCACGACTTCCCTGGGCACGCCACACCACACGACTCTAATGGCGCCACAGCCGTTTCCACTGCCGTCCATCCAGATCCACGACCCCGTCTCCAACCCGACCCAACCCGCCTTACATTGCAAGCAATCAAGCCGGTGGATTCACGATGTAGGATGCCCATCTAGTATGGTATAGTCTGTATGTCTTAGATACCTTTGACACCTCAGACAGAGCCATGCAACCCCCCTTTCCTTCTGTTTCCCTCTCCTGTCTAGGTAAAGTATGTAGATCCTGTCTTGTGCTTGTGTCGATCGGTTCATCTAGTTCTAGTGGATGCGTGTAGATATCTGCCCATCCTCGCCTCGCGCCTCCGGCGGTCGTACGCATCTACATATCTACGCATATCTACACCTCCTCCGGGGTAATACATGTTAGCGTGGGAAGGTGGCAAAGTTAGTGATTAGCGAGATTTCCCTGAAAGATACTAATAGTGGCCGACGTACCAAGCTAACATGTATTTCCCCGGTGGAGGTGTATGTCTCCCTGGTCTGCCCCGGCAACTCCTCTAGCCGTATGTCCCGATGACGACAATGGCCAGAAGATAAGCGAGCGAGAACGGTTGAGCTATACTTGCGATTCTGCAGCCGGCTTACCCGCACCGCGCCGTGCCGCGGCAAGGTAAAGTAAAGCGAGGTGTTTTTGTTGTTGCTGCTTCACATGAGAGCAGACGGGTAACAAGAGTCGCGAGCCTTAGGGATGAGATGAGCGGCCGCCTCGCGTTCGCGGCCGCGATATCCAGACTCTGCTGTCCTGTATGGTGGTGGTGGCGGCATGTTCCACTCCCGAATAGAGCACGACGAACAGAGATGGATAGATAGCTAAGTTCCCTAGTATGAGGAAAAAGAAGACATTGCTCGCCAAAGCCGGTTTTTGTGCACCACGACACTTGAGAGGGCGATATATCACGCAACGTAAGAGGAGCAGCACACGATAGCGGGGATGCGAATCTGAGAGCATGGACAGTGGGCAGAGTGATAGATGGGCAGATAGATACGACACGCACGTGGAGGCAGATCGGCACAAGAAATCCAGCTGCGTAGCCACCAGTCCAACGCCACCGGCGTTGCCATCTCTGTACTTGTTCCCCGCCCTCCATGAACACCCTGTTGCGAGCACACGCACACATACACATTCGCAGGCCGCAACCCGCGGCAAACACGAGAGGTCCATCCACGCCTAGCAACCTCGCCTACCTCTCTCGACCATCAGGCCGCCTCAAACTCACGATGCCACCGCGCCAGCGGGCAGCCTATTTCTGAGAGTCGCGAAACCAAAACCAGCCAATCTGCTCAAGCCCACCTCGACAACTGCTGAGCAATGACTGACTGACGCCGATAAGCAGGCGGACGACATGCCCCAACTCGGCTCGCTCCCGCGCCCCATGTCGGCACTGCTTGATCAGGCTTGGCCAAAGTTGCATCATAGGCCACGCCGTCCAATCCGCCTTCTCGGGAGAAAGAAGAGGGAGGGGCCGGCTGCTGCGTCACTGGCACGTCAGAGAGACCAACACAAGCCCATAATGTACAGACAGACAGACAAGTCGGCGAGGTGTTCGCCATGGGGTTCACAATTGGGCCACTGAGGGGGGTCGCGTATGTATCCGGCCTGCCACCCTCACGCCGACATCCTACCTAATTGTCCCGTTTGCTTGCTTGCTTGCTTGCCTGCCTGCCTCTTGCTTCCCCGCGCCCTTGCTCGGTTTGACACGTCCGGCTCCTTCCCCGTTAGGCCCCGGACACGGGGGGCCCGGCGCCACCTGCCCATGGCCATGTCCATGCCCTTGCCATGCCATGCGATACGATCCTAGGGGACCCGGGACATGCGACGGGAGCCGGGACTGTCATGTTACTTTTCCAAGAGGCAAACGGAATGTTGCACACAGAGCCAAAAATATCTCTCTCTAGTGTAGTCTCGCCGAGCAACACCCTGCGCGCGGGTTTGTTTGGGCGCATTTCGCGCGCCCAGGCTTTTGACTCCCGTTTCTGCGGGTCGCGATGGCCTCAAAGGTTGGTGGAATGCAACATGGTGATGCTACTAGGAACCTGGGCTAGCCACGGCGCCCCAGCATGTGCGGTGGATGAGGCGACCCCGTGAGAGAACACAGCTCGTTAATCTGCGATAGACCGGATATGAGCCGAAAGCAGCCAGCCAACCAACCTTCCTCGCTTGAGAACACAGAGGCCAGGACTGGGTTGCGCTCGACGATGACGGCAACTAGAGAATTGAGGGAGCTGTCCCGTACTGAGCCTGGGGCTGGGCCTGGCCGTTGGCTGGCTGGCTGGCTGGGCAAGTACTTGCCTCTTTTACTGTCTGGGTTTGTTTCAATGTCTCTCTTCTTCCTGTTCAGGAAGCTGGTAAACGTCAGAAGGGGGGGGGGGGTAAAAGGGGGGCGGGTCTCTAATGCCGCCAACACACGGCGCCATTGGGCACAGCGAAGGGAAGGGAAAGGGAAATGGAAAGAAAAAGCGGAAGATCAAGCGGAGGGATGCAAGATCTAAGATGAGAAGCCGCCGGGAGACCGCAAACCCTGCCCGATTGGCGTCGTTCCACGCAAAGGACGAGTGCCCTGCAGCATGGGAATCAAGCTCAAAGACTTGGGAGCGCTTGCCGCTTGCCGCTTCCATGTTCCATGCTATGCCACTTGTGCCGGGCAAATGCCGGCCCTTTTTGGCTCTTTTTTCTCTTTCTGCCTTTCACGAGGCCCTGCAATTTTCGTTGGTCCTTCGTGAACCAAACAGTCCACTGCGCCAAGCGATCGAGGCCCTTCCTGAGACTTGTGGAGACGTGCGCCAGGGGCAATGAAAAAAAAAAAGAGGAAAAAAATTGGGATGCGGTAACCCACGGCTCAAGCTGTTGCTCTAGATCCGAGTTTTTTTCTTGACAATTTGCAATATCGTGTGTCATGAGGCGACGAGGTGTTTGCTAGATGGGGCGCGTTTGCGTAACAATCGAGTAATAGATGTCAAGGCGGCGGGCGACCCGCTCCGTCTCGGCTGATATGCGGAGCCAGCCTCGCCGGTTGTGGGGGTCAGGCATTGGGGGTCATTCAGTGCCCGCAAAGCCCTATGTAATTTGAATGGAATCCGGACGTGAGTCGCGAGCCTGTCGATTTTTTTTGCTGTTTTTTACTGAGTACGGAATAGCGCCGGCGCCAACACGAAAAACTGTTGTGTCCACGTGAACCGGCCGAGTGGCCCTACCCAAGACTC